AGGAGTGCGATGGAGCGGCAGGCCAGCGCAGTCATTGGACGACAGCCGCCCATGTAGGTTAGAGAGCCCAGCAGCGGAAATATCACAGGCAAGGCAGGCTCCAAAAAGTGCCTGGCACGGGCTCCCTCCGCCCGGCCGCCCGGCTGCCGCAAACTTACCGGGGGGGCAGATCCGCCCCGGCTGCATTTACGGCGTGGTATTCGCTGCTTGCTGCTGTTTTTGCCTGCTGCATGTTGGTGCCCAGCAGTCAGTGCGCTGCAGCGAGTGCCGGCCCTTTGCCTTGGGCCAAGCCGCTGACGTAGCGGTGCTTTGGCTGCGCTCACTCTATCGCTACGTATGACGATGGTGTTGGCAACGACGGTGCCCGGTGGAGCAAGGGCCTTTTTTTTTTTTTTTTGTAGCACGGTACTTTGGTGTTTTTGGCCACTATCTGGTGGCTGTGATGATCGAGGCGCAACGGGCTGAAGTTGGCTGCCGCGTGGCTCCCTGATCGAGGCAGATGGAGGGTCGGCAAGGCGAACCGAGTTGAAAGAGGCAGTGACGGACGCGGAGCCGCGAGGGAGGTAATGGAGGGTAGAGAGCAGCGCTGGTTGGTGAGATTGGCGATTCGGGCGTGGCTGCGCGGCCGCCCGCGAGATCTGCTGCAGCTTTTGGGTGCTGGCTGAAGAAAGGATAGTCCTTGTGGCTCTCATCTCTCGCTGCTGCGCCGCTGGCTATCTCTGACTCGGTGTCTCTCGGACCTTCTCTTTTCTTCGAATCCGACGATCTCTTGAATGATGAATGATAATGCGAAGCTGATACATGTGAAAGCGCCGCAACGCCGCCGAAATTCCTGTAGGACGGGGAGACGGACGGGACTTCCCCAGCCGATCGCTCCGTTTTCCAGAAATTCCCTTCTGATGATGGAGGGCTGCGCCATGTGCTTTCGCGTCGCATCGTCCCGCGCAGCCAACGAGACGTGCCGAAACTAACCCTTGCCCTGCATCGCAAGGCGAACGGACTCCGACTCTCTCGCCGAGCAAAATGATGACAGACGGCCGTCTCAGGTCGAAGATCGTGACCTCATTCAACGTCCCTCTCGTGCACTGTGACAAGTCACAGGCCCAACCAGCAGCGCTGAAGCAGCCAGGCTTACATCCTTCACAGCCAGCCCACAGCAGCGTCTGTCTCCCATCATTGCCCGTCACGGCACTGCTCGCATTGGCGCCGGCAGGATCGATCGGTCGTCGACACCGCCTGCTGAAAGCAACCCGCCAGCACACTGCCCGACGACGCCGATCTCTCGTCCTACCACCCGCCACAAGCGGCAGTAAATGAGAAGACTGAGGATCTCCCCCGCTAGGAGGCGGTGGGCTCTTGACCGGCTGGCTGGTTGGTCCGCTGCAGCGTCGAACGCACGAAGAAACCTGCCAGCCACGCCGTCGACGGAGCGACTCCGTGCGTGCCATTCCTTCGTTCGATTCGCTCCACCAGACTAGTTGTTGCCTCAGGGATGCCGATCTCCCTTGCCTGATGAGCGCCCTGCGTTGATTGCGGCCGCAACCATCTCCGATGAGAACCAGCGGTTGTGTGGGTGCTCTGACGCAAAACGGTGGTGGAGTAACCTCCGAGAGAGGGTGCCCAACCACACATGTGCCGTCGTGCGGTGATTCGTCGCTCCGCCATTTTCCTTGTTTTTGCAACCCACGACAACATAGACTTTGGTTACCCGGGCCCCAGTTCGTCCTTCCTTTTCGTCTCCTTACCGCCGGGCAAAAACCCAACAAACCATCACCGCGCCCCGCCCACTGCGCTAATTGCGCTTAATCGTGGATGACGATGGTGGACGACCATGCCGTCATAGCTCGGGTGTCACCACCGCATTATGCCGGGGGCCGCTCTCTCGTCAGCAAAAGCGGCACGGGCGAAGCAGGGAAAGGAGTGGGAAATTGGGGAGAAGCGCAGGAGAGAATACGACGGACGCCGTCTCTAGCATACGCGAACAAGCCGACGCCTGGCGCCATTAACGTCGTCGGCCTGATAAGTCCGCGGAGATTCGGTACCATAACGGAAAGCGCAAAAAGAAAAGAGCAAAGACGGGAAATTCTCCCAGGCTGTGAGGCTCGGCGGCGGAAGGCTGCAACAACTCGCTAGGTATCCCTTCTCTTTGCTCGGGGTGGAGTCATTGATGGGCGTGACGATGTGCAAAACGATCACTCCTCCGCCGTGCCGGACCTCGCTCTCTCGTGCTCTTTCTTCCCCCACCCCACATCTTCCGAGGCTCTTGTTCTCCGCTCATCTGCCGGTCGTCCCGCGCCGTGCTGCATGCGGCGGCTTTTTACCCCCAATGGGAGAAAAAGAGGTGGTCAAATGTGGGGAATATCTGGTTGGCCCCCAGAGTCACAATCTCCTTCCTGCAAAACCTCCGCCAAGTCTCGCGACTAAGAAAAAAACTAGCGCAGCCAAAGGAGCAAACGAGGTGGTTGGCGCGGCGTGCGCGCCCGCGTTGTCGTGATGAGCGGATGATGCCGTCAACAGCATGACGGGATTCTGGCGATCGACAGACGCATGTTCGTGTTTTCCTGTGTTCACTTGATCTGCTGGCCACCCGGAGAGGGAAAGTGAAGAGAAGGAACAAGAAAAAAGAGCGGGCGTATCACCCGTTCATGTCGCGATGCTGGATTTTCCTTTCCCCACACCGCCCGCTCCGCGTGAACGCCCCGGGAGAGTGGATGGAAGGAGGAGCAGCAGGTGTGTACTGTAGCGCGCTAGTAGTGCCTGTATGGTCGCGTACGCGACGCGACAAAGAAAAAATAATAATTACGTCTCTGGCATCGTACCACCCACACGGCTATAGGCCGGGAATGCATAGTACTACGCTGTCTGTGCTACGCGCATTATCACCGTGACCTCAGTGGTGGCGGCGCACATTATCTTCGTAAGCGTCACACTTTCGTCGTCGAGGCTCTTGTGGCTTGCGAGCAATCTATTTTTTCCAAAACACACTACGAGAACCACCATGGTCGTCGCTTGCGTGCGGGCAAGGCGATGACTCGCTGGGCGGCGGGTGACTCGCGGCGACCCGCAGCACCGCGTGGCGCCATGGCGGCGGCGGCGGCGCGCCTAGCGGGTACCTAGTTGGTGGTTGGTGATGATAGTCGTGTGTGTGTGTGTGAGTGCGCGTGTGAGTGTTGGCGGCCTCATTGCGGAGGAAGGTGGGGTGTGGTGCGTCCCGCAGGGCAGGTCGCCCGCGCGGCATCAGAAAGGGATCATGGGGTTGGCTAGTTTTGGGCTGGTGATGAGCCGGTTGCCGGAGCGAAGCAAGCGAAACAGCCGCGCGAGGACGGGTGGGTGGGCAGGCCGGCGCGCTGGGTGGGTGGGTGTGAGCAGCATGGGTGCGGTACCCCTCGGCGGAAGGAATTTGAGGGGATGTGGCGGCTGATGCCGCGCAGTCGTCGGACGCAGGGACTCGCAAGTGGTTGGGATGTGGTGGTGGTGATGGAGGGTGGGCGCAACAGGTACGTGGAAGGGTTCGCCCGAAGATCCCACGTCAGGTTGCTTATTTGGAGCTGGAATTTTTCGTGTTTTCTGACCCTCGCCTCGTCAGTGCATGCGGATGTGCCTGCTGATGGGCGAGACAGCTCCACTCTGTGTCTGGTGTTGCTTGCGTATCCACCGCATAGCCAACTCCATGGGCTTGGCTTTGTCGAGCATTGCGAAGTTGTCGTGGGCTGTGCTTTGATGACGATGACGAAGGCACAGTACCCACGCATTACAGGGTATTCACCATCGCGCCGCCCAGGGGTGAGTAACACGGTGAAGACATAATTTTCGCGCGGCAAAATCGACAACAGCGCCTCCATGTGTTGTCGTCACGCCGTCGTTGGCGGCACACCGCAGTCCGATGCGCTGCGTGCCCAAACGGTCCAAGAGACCGACGATTGTCGCGGCGCCAGAGTAGCATCTGCCGCTCATCGTATTATTCCCGCGCGCATCCATGTCGCGATGGGCGTTGAAGAAATCAAACGGCACCCACTGAGACGTCTTCGGGCACCAAGCCGGATTGGTATCGAGATCGAGCGATCAAGCTGCCTGCCTGGTCTGCGTGCCTTGGTTTCTCGCGCATTAGCTTGCCTTGTCACCATGGGCTCGTGCTTTGAACGGCTTCACTTCCTTCCAGGTTTGATTGTCTAACATGTGTAGTGCCATTCGCCCACGTGGGCGGTCCTACTCTGACATCCCTGTACTCGTGAAGAAACCAGCAAAGAAATGGTGCCCAGATGCTTTCCCGATGCTATAGTAAATGCACAACAAACGCCACGAATCCCTCCGCAAACGCCTCAAGCGTGGGGAACCAGTAGATAATGAAATTGGGGCAGGCCCAAGCGAGTGTGGTGTGTTTGAAAAAAGGGCCCACTTTCCAGCACTTGGTATGTGGGGACGAAATGTAACAGCGCAACCGTAAAGCGAACGGCAGAAAATCCCAACCCCAATCTCACCAAACACCCCATCTCCACCCCGTGCCTCATTGTTCCCGAACCCTTGGTACCGAAATGCGCGTGTTTTGTCTCGCGAATGACGAAGTGGCGAAGATCATGACGACGGCCATGGCGGATCACACGACGGCGACCCGACACCGCGATCGACTGCTTGCCACCGTGACAGCGTGGAGGTGGATCCTTCCACGCCTCACCATGATAACGAACGGACGGTGTGATGCTGTCCTTCCGTGGGGCTTCCAGGACTGACCGCCGGGGACCAGTCTGTCAGCCTGCCCGAAAACCTGGAAATGAAGACGCCTGATGCGGATGATGCAGATTTTTGGCGTGTCGGTGGATGAGAATGCCCAATCTCTCGCCCCTTGCTCCTGTGGTATTGATTGCTTTGACGCCGAAAAATGCTGATTGAGATGACGCCCGCCAAATTGCCGAGATCGAAAGAAGAAACCGTCATTACATAGGAAAAGCGTCGAAATAGGCCGTGTCGGAAATGATGCCAGACGACCATGGAAGTGCCCATGCTCAGCAGCTGCCCACTGACGTCGGCCGGCCGGGAGACATCTGGCCTACCCGCCTAGCCTCCTCCTGAAGGAGCTTCTCGACGAGGTCGTTCCGGGAGTCGTTGAGGCCGCTCGAAGCCTTAGCCCCTGCCGTGAGGTAGTCGCCCCCTTGGCCCTCAAGCTCGAGAGGAGTGACGGGCCCCGGGCTGCCCAGAGGGTTCAGACGAGGGCTGGCCGGCTTAGTGCCGGTAGCCATGTTGCGGGTGGCATTGGCAAGGAGCTCTCTCTGGTAGATGTAGAGCTGGCGCTGGGCCTCCGAGTACTGCTTGTGCTGGGAGCGGGGCGAGGGCGGCGGCTGCGGGCTGTTGGGGTTGGTGCCTGGCGTGTTTGCGGCGCTGGAGTTGGACGAGGGGAAGTTGGCAGGATGGAAGCGCGGCAGCGAGGGCAGCCTGAGGTTGGAGGAGCTGGCACTAGGCTGTCGGTTGGCGCGGAATCGAGGGGCCTGGGACGGGATGGCCAGAGTGTCCGAGCCGGTCCTGGCAGAGATGGTGCTGGGAGGAGCCATGACAGCGGTGCGTGGACGGGCAGACATGGTCGTGGTTGGTGTTGGAGGAGTGTATTTGATTGATTTGCCGTTTCCGGACGGTAGTGGTAGTGGCCTTGGAAGGACGTCGGGGAGGATGCTTATAAGTGTTTGGAGGCGGGTCTGGCGTCGAGAGATATTTGAAGGGCGAGGGAGAGGTTGATGCTGGTGGGACAGGGAGGTGTCAGAAGGCCAGGAGCGGGGGGTGGGTGATATAGAGGCCTTGGTGCCGGGATGGTTGCGGGCGCCGATAAAGCAGCACGGCGTGCAAGGATTGTGGTGGAGCTGCAATTCGAAAGGGCAGGGCAGGCGCTGATCAGATCAACGGCGGCCGGCTGGGAAGCGGCGCCAGGACAGGGTTTCGTAGTGCTGGTCCCTGGCGCCGGGCGCAGCGGCTCAGCAGAGCGTCGCACCGAGAGCAGCGACTGCCGGTGGGGCAGCACAAAGCGAAGGGTCCTGTGCAGTGGTGTGTGAGTGGTGTGTGTGCCTTCCCGCGGCCCCTCTGCTGCGGAATGCGTGCAGTTTCGAGCGGGCAGCGCTCAGGGAGAGGGCCCTCGAGCCCACCGCACCGCAGCCCTGTCTCGTTCCCTCGCTGCCTCGCGCCTAACCGTGAGCCCATGACCCAATTTTTGGTGATGACGACTGTGCGACAAAGGGCACCGCGCTGCTTGGCGCCCTAACCACCGCCGACGAACGCCCTCGGGCCATGTCATCATCTGCCTGCCCGCGCCGTCGCCCGCTTGCCTGCCCGCCTCCTGCACGTGAGTGCTGAGTCCTCCGGCTGTTCCGTGATGCTTCTGGCGCTTCTGGCGCCCTTCCTGGCGCCTCGCGCGCGGCACACTCGCGGCATCGCGCGATCGATATTGCTACTGCAGTCGCCAAAGCCGCGCTCTCCGAGCTCGACGCAAGCTCCCGCCGCGCGGGCACGCCAGCGGCGACCAGGAGCGCGCCGCACATGTCTCCGCCCGCCCTTCCATCACCGCCGCATCGTTGGACGTCCTCCCCAGGACAATTGTCCGCACGACCTGCAGCGCGCTGGAATGCTGGAGGCGCGGATTCCGGGCGTGACCTGACCGTCGTCCGTCGCACCCTGCGGCGAGTCTCCATGCCACAGACATCGCATTCCTCCGAACCGAGAAATGCTCTCGCTTGCTGGCGGTGGAGAAGGCAAAGGCAGACGGCGCGCCGCCCTTGCAGCGGCGCTGAGCCGGCGAGGCATACGAGATAAGCCAAAAATAACAGGTCCCGTCAGCGTCACGCATGCGGAAAGGCATAGTTGTTTGCTTCCTTCCAATAGAGCGAGGGCTGTGCGACTTGGCAGTGCTGATGGATCTTCAATTGCCGCTGCGGTTGAGCCATGGTGCTGCTCCAACTGCACGCGTCACACCGAAATCCTCAGCTCTTGCTCACCGATCAATCCGCTGTCTGAACTGTTGAGCCAGCCAGCCTCGTCCCGGACTCATCAAAACTGGCAAAAGCATGTGCAAGGGCGGCGCGGCCCTTCGTCCTTCCGCCATGCATGTTTCATTGGCGCGGCGTGGCCAATCGAACTAACCATCTCAACTACCGCCGCTGCGTGCCCGTGAGAAAGCAGCATCCTGTGCGGCACAGCCCCGGACTGGCCCGGCTGGGCGGCCTTCGCAACTGCGTGCAATAGGTGCTGCATCTCCGGCCCCAGCAGCAACCACGCCCGCGGCTGATCGACTGAAAAGAAAAAACGATTGCGTGCATCACGTTCGACAGCAGAGCGCACTATCGGACGGCGCTCTCCAGAAGACCACATGCGTCCACCTCTCACGCACCCCCTTCTCCAGGCCTCCAATCAATCGGTGATAGCACTGAACGTGCGGTTGGCTCGCGCGCACGCGAGCACGGTCACCCCCCTCATTGTTCGAATGCGATAGAATTCGAATCGCGAATTGGCGTCGGCCATGAATCGCTATCGCATATTGCCCATCCATGCTCTCCTTTCCCTCCTGCCGTTCCCACCGCGCTAGGGTCCCGCGCGGCACGAGGAATCGCATAGAAACCCCGCATTTTGCGCATGCAGACCAGCGAGAGCGTTCGAACACGCGTTCGGGCAATCATGCCATTCCGGCCGGCAGAGAACCAATGTCGGGTCAGGGATCAGCCAAACGATCTACGATCTGTGATGTACCGCAAGAAGAGGCGTGCATGTCGATAGAAGCGCCAAACCACGAAGCCAAGCACCATGCGTGTCTCACGGCCACTGTACCGGATCGACACGGCAGAGCGCGAGAAATGGATATTGCGACAATCGCGCATAGCCGCGGCCAAATGGCCTACGCGGGCATAAAGACAGGAGAGATCGGAACACCCCAGCTGCTAATAGATTGAGCTCCGAATGCAGGAATTATCCATTACGGTATAATGCGGGATGCATTACATCCGGACCTTGCCGGCTACTGCACCTATCCGAATAGACAAAGAGGGTAGACGAGCATTCGGGTGCCCGCTGCCCACAGGGTGCGCGCCGATGCCTCTTTCAGAGCCGTGTAACAATGCCAAATACTCAGCCTCCGTTTGCTGAGATGTCTAACCGATAGTCGTTGGTTGCACACGTTACTGCACTTTCAAGCCAGATTTACCCTGGGCTCCAACACGCGAACATCCACTCGTTCAACGCCAGAATGACAAGACCCGCCCAATTACCTGAACACCGCCAGCTCCTTTTTTTGTCGTTACCCGCTGCGCCATAAAGTTGAACCGTAATGGAAGACATGTCCACATCATCTCCAATTGCCTTGGCTGAGTTTGAGCAGGCCTTCCACACATCCCAGCTCTTCGCCGCTTGAGACACTTGTTCTCTGGCTGTGGCCACCTGCGCCGCCCATGAAGGCGCGAAGTTCGTCGTCATCCTCGGGGTTACTAGTCCGAGGTCCCAGTAGCCTTTTGTGCGGCGTCGCCTTCAGCCCTTTCTCGCGGTCCATCATAGTTCCGAGACTGCCATTCGTGCTCATGATATTGGTGTTCTCGCCCAAGACCCTGCGCCGTGGCTGACCAGGCTGCTGACCGGCAGTGGGCGGCTTGGTACGACGCAGGCTAGTGCCAGGAACACCTGGTTCCCAATTCTCCTTGTCCGACTCTGTCTGTGGGACCTCGAAGCCATCGTCATCGGCCTTCTTTGTGACGGCCGATTGACTCTTCTTCAGTGGCGTTCTGCTCACAGGTGCCGCCTTGCCTTGAAGGCGTCCTTGTGAAGATGAAGAGCGAGACAGAGGCGGTCGGTGTGTGCTCTTTCCATCGAGCTTGACACGCTTTGCAGAACTTTGAGTGAGGAGCTGGGCATTGCGCTTGTTGGGGTTCAGTTTCAATGCACCTCTGCTAGCAGACCGTATGAGACCAATGGCGTCCGCTGCGGAGCCACTTCCCTCTTGGTTCGCCTTTTCGGTCAGAGAATTTCTTGCGTCACTATCACACCAGAACTCCCAAGCTCTTGAGTCACGAGACCGCCCGGAGAAAGAGCGCTGGATGCCCTGGGGCGATTGAGCTTGCTTCAGACGATCATTTAAAGCGGCAGCACTGTAGCTGCGGCGAAGACCTTCGGACTTCTCGATCACCGGAGTTGGGTTCGGCTGAGACCGAGGCGGAGATGGAGAATCGTCGCCGGTGATGACCCTAGCCTTTCCGTCTTCAGTCATTGACAGGCGCACAAATGAACTGGACTTTTTCAAAGTCCGAGGGGGCGCTTGTTCTTGTGACGAGGGCACCGAACCGGACTTCTCCGCCATGGCCTCCTCGTAAGTACGGATAAACGACTGGCTACGGCGGTTTGCGAGATAGCCGATGCCTTGGTGTTGGCTTTCTTGCGATGACGGCAAAGGCTGCGAGCTGCCAAACTCTGTAGGTCCAATGCCGCTGACTTGGGCTGGACTCTTTGGAAGCTCAGTCGCCGCATTGGTTGCCTGGTGTTCGACATTCGTCAAGTCCGGCGCTGATGGGGAAGCGGTTTCCTTTGGCACGTGCTCGGTGCTAATTGTTGGAGACCTAGCCGGTGTCTCCTGAAGGCTGTGTGAGTTGTTCAGCGGCGCAACCGCAACATCTCCGACGTGCTGTTCCTGCTCTCCTCCTTCGGCATCGTCGGAATTCGGGGCGGACGAGGATGGTTCTGTGATGGGTTCCTGAGAACTGGAGAGATGCGATTGTATTTCGTGCGGTTCGAGTGGCCTGGATTTACGACGTGTGTTTTGGCGGCGATTCTGGAACCAGATCTGGTGGTGATAATGTTAGTAGCGGCTGAGTGGTCCATGCGGGGATCCTTACCTGCACCTCCTTCTCGCCAAGAGCGACGCGCTTCACGATCTCAAGACGCGCAGCCTTGTCAGGTTTGCTGTTTCTCTGGTATTCTGCTTCCAGTATTTTCTGATCTTCGGGGCTGTTGCGCGCAAAAGGAGGTTAGCATGATTTCGGCGGCACATGAAGCTGTCAGGTTTCACGCCCTGACGCGGCCTATACAGACGCGTCTCGCGCCTCAACAACAGGGGGAAGCACAGCGGAGCAAAAGCTGACCTTGTTCTTCTCCGCTTCTGGCGTGCAAGCGGTTTGTTGTCGACATCAGGCGGGAGGTTGCTTCTGACCGTGTCGGGGGAGTGAACGAGGAATGCCAGGCTGCCCGAGGGAGGACTGGACAACTTTGTCGCGTCTGCTGGCGGGGTGGTGGAGCCGGGATCGCTCATGGCGACTGGCAGCAGCAGGCAAGGTAAAATGGAAAAGCAGCGAGAGCAGCGAGGGATAGAAGATAGGGTATGGGTATGGCGAGGCACGCGTGGTGGAGAATGCGCGTGTGTCGAGATCGGCGGCACAGCGGCTGCGCTCTCGACGCCGGGATGATGACGCGAAGCGCGACCCCAGTCCGCACGCGCGCCCTTTGCAGCAGAACCACCACACTTCAACACCCCGCGAGCCCAGCACAAGCTCGTTCGCATCCGGCGCCCAGCTCGCATCCCTCCTGTCACGACCCATACCCTCGCCATTGGCGTGTCGTCGCGCCAGGTACGCGTTTTCACGTGAGTCGCCACGCGTGGGGAACTCCGCCTCAGCCCCCGCTCTCCGTGGTCGTACGTCCGGCTGTTGTGGTTCTTTGAGGCGCGACTCGTGCGCGTCCTGTGCGCCAGCCCTACGCGTTGAGGCCGCCCGGGCTGCGGACCGCTCTTAACCCTTGTCGGAACATATGACTATGTAGGACATGGACTGCATCGGACGGCATGCGGCAATGGGCCAGGCAGCAAGCACTCCAGGCCAGTCCGCGCGACACGGAGCGTAAGACCGGAGGAACCTCCTTCCCGTACCCGCTCCAGATGAGCCTCACCGCGCCTTGCTCGTGGCCACACGCCACCGCGGCCTCTAAAAATCTCGAGTCTTTTCAATTGTGCCATTGGCCATGCTCCTCATCTTCTGTTGATACGCAGTCTACTTGAGTCAGGATTTTGCCCCTCATCTCACAGCAGCTTAGGCAGACGCCTGGGATATGCCACAATCTCTCCGTAGCCCCGTCTCGCACGCTTACCTCACATTCCGATTCGGCCCTTTCCCATGGAGATTCTGAGTTTCAACGTGCTGTACAGCCTCCTGCCCCCGACGATCTTCTCCAGGTTCCACCCGTTCAGATTGTAGTAACACACCATTTGCTGTATTGACACCTGGAGCTCTCTTGCTGATGGCAGCTCGTTCCGCCCTTGGATAAAGGTCTTACTTTTCTCCGATTGCCTCCATGCAGGTGTTCAGGAGTCCAGGCTGTCGCAGGCTACAGTGGAGAGACGGTTGTCGTAAAGTGTCGGTATTTTGCGGCCGACCCCGAGGCCAGAACTACCACGATTACCGGCAGTGGGGCCACGGGAGGCCACCATGACCTGGCTCTCCCAGCCCTGTCCCTCGGGTCATCCGATCATGTCAGTCACGGACAGTCATTCTAAAGAGTGTCATTGGTCGCCCGTGTCACAGCCTCCAAGGGATGGTATAAGTGCGCAGTCAAGATTCGTTTCAGTTCGCTCAGCCCCTGTCGCCAATTCCGCTACTTGACAGCCAATCAGGCCCTATAAGCGACTGGTTCCAAGCAGCTAGAATCTAGTTTACCCTCCATTATCTTTGGCTTTGCGGACCCCACGCGGCCGGGACGCACTTTGGGTGCAACTGTCGGATATTCTTACCGCCCGCAGGTGCTAAAGCTGGAGGTCTACGTACAACCTCTGCGCGGCCAGCTTCGGGACCATTTTCCAAACCAAGTTGGTGGTACTGCTCCGTTGGTAGCGGGCGTTCTGGCTGCGGCCACGGTTACTGACTCAGGCGGAAGTCCTGGAGTCTTGTGAGGAACTCTTAGGGTTCTCCAGCGGGCAAGCCACACCGGCTATTCCTAGCGGGCCCTCCACGGAGGTGGGATTACCGGTTCCCAGATTGTCGGATTTCGCCTCCTGTACCCTTGTGAACGCTATCTTGGGATTATGGCACAACCGCAGCACGAGATGTCTCGGTGACTTTGCAGCCAACCATCAGACACAACCGGCTTGACTCGCTGTAATCGGACTCGGCCCTACAGCCGTTGAAATTCGGACTTGGGATCACCGCCGCAGGCAACAACTGCTCCATATTTTTCATGAACCCCGCCAACACCTGTCAGTGGAGCAAGAAGAGTTGCCATAGACCACTCACCTCTCACCCCGCCCTCCCGGATCTGCCGCCTTGCATCCCCGGGTTTCTTTTTTGCTGAGTGTAATGCCACTGGCACCACCTTGTCGTCACCGTCTGGATAACTGGCTGGCATTTCTAGGCTCCTATTCCCAAATCTGTGGCCATCGACCGATCCCGACTCGGGGAATTTGCTAAGGACAAGCGGTCACTGAAAGTCATACGCAAATTCTAATCGAATAGGGGGCCACTGGTGAGTCAAGCTTTTGTGAATAGCATCACGAGTTTTTATTCTAGATTGGATTGACGCCTTGGCTGCTACTCAGCACTTGCTTGCGGCTCTATTTCCCTATTAGTTGAAGAAGGGGAGGCTCAACTATTTAATCCGAAACCACCTCGTTGGAACAGCCGCATGAACCCCAAACACCCCACTCCAATTCATTCCAACATCATGCGTGTCGCAGTGGCGGGTACCAGCGGCTTGGCGCAGCTTATCGCACACTATGTTAGGGAGGAAACAAGCCACCAGCTTGTAATGCTTTCGAGAAAGGTAAGTGCCGCCGGAATTTCCTTGTTGTTAAAACTTGCTTTCCCATCGAAACCCGACTCGACTACCATCACCAAAGGCATAAAGGTTACTTTAAGACGCCAGAGGCATTCGCATAATGGTGTGGGAACTGCTTGATATCCAAACTCTTGACACGGGCTAAGTATCGGTTGGCGTTGAGCGTCCCCATGCCTAGCGATCGCGGTCCGTCTACCCGCCTCGCTACTGCGAAGGGGTATGAGGCTGGCTCTTGCTCTCCCACGAGTAACTACAATAGCGGGGCTTCTTCAAGGAACGCCTTAGTTGTACGCACTCTGCCTGATTGTGACTGTGCTCTCCTGCAGGGCGTCAGCATCAGCTACTGTTTTAGCATTCAAGCCTTGCCGTTCTCCTCACCAAACCCTCCCAGGGATTTATCCATCAACACCGGAACCGCTAACCATCTCCCAGGCACAACCAAATCTCGAGGCCAGAGGCTACCAGATTCAAGTGGTAAACTATGACGACTTGAACTCTCTTGAGCATGCCCTAGCAGGCATAGACATCATGATCTCCACGGTCAGCGGTCCTCCGCAGCTGGCGCTCATCAAAGCATCGGTCAACGCAGGAGTGCGTCGCTTTGCCCCCGCCGAATTCGAGGGCCCTCCATCACTGCGCCAAAACAACGATCCGTTAGACCGTGGCAGGGCGTCCGCGTTGGCATACCTTCAGCACTACCGCTCATACTTTGAAGCAACGACCGTCTTCGTCTGCGGCGTTCTCTACGAGCGCTTTCAGCCGGGCGGGCTGGCTGCTGGCCGCCTGGGTTCCTCGACTGGCGTTGGTCAGGAAGGACACTACATTCTGGATCTCCGCTACATGACTGCCCAGGTGCCGGCGTACGATTCGGCCAATAACCCGTCTTACGTTTGCATGACGGCGGCCCAAGATGCTGCACGACTAGTCGTCGCAGCTCTGGACATGCCTACATGGCCAGCTGAATTCCGCATGTGCGGCGAAAGGCTCAAAGTCTATGATTTGGTCTCTATTGCCCGGAGTGTTCGAGGTACGATGAGGCTGGGTCCTCTTCTCGGCCGATCACTTTCATTTGTTGAATGCTGACCCAAGCAAAACAGGAAGGGAGTTCTACACGGAGCCAGCTGTCGAAAGTGCACAGACGCTGAAGTACAAAGCATCGCTCGCGTCGACGCAAGCGGAACAGTTGAGGCTGCATAATCTTGCTGCTACGGCTGACGGGCAGCACGACTTCGCCGATGCGAATCTCAACAGCTTCTTCCCTCACATCCGCATGACCCGGTTCAGAGATTGGCTGACAGCGGCCTGGGCTGGCGTCCCTTGAACTTCCAAGTCTACTTGGAGCCGGCGGACACACTTGGACACAAGATGGAAAGCTATTCAAGGGCACTCAGCAACGCAGTCGGTGAAATCAGGGCTTTTCCGCACGCTGGCAGGGGCGAAGCAAGGATTCTTTTGTGACATCGGGGCAGGAGACGCAGATTGATATGGAAGGCGGGCAGATAGAACACAACATTGAACTTGTCTGTGGCAATCCTCACATCTCTTGTCTTCTTTTTTTAATTTTATTATTAATTCGGTGGTTCCATTACTAGTGCCGTTGGTGAAAGTACGTGCTCATCAATATACCTATGGCGTGCTACTGAAGTCGATTTCGGTCAGAAGGTAACGGATATCATCTGGCGCTTCAAAAATATCTCACACTGCCGCTGTTGCCTTGACACAAGGCAGGAATTATGTACGTTCGCTCGTTTTCGGAAGAAAATAATCTAATTGCCACCTCCTCACTCGCTTAAGGCATCAAAATGCAAACGGTGCTCAGGGATGCAGGGAAGCCCGGCTGTTGGGCAGGAATTGGTTACACAGACGAGCTGAGGCTGATGGCTCTCGGAGCAATGTCAGCACTGCCAAGGACCAGGACAGAAAGGACCTCGTCTCGGGGACGGAGGGCTTTGTAAGAACGGGCCCTGTTCGTGCAGCCATCGGCTGTGCCTGAAGCCGGCTCGGCGCGCTTTGGCCTTGGGGCCTGGACCCGGAACTAGTAGGTCAGTGACGCGGTAGGGGTTTCTGGATGTCGTGATATTCAAGAGCCCCATCTTGGAAGGCCGTGAACCACTCAACGCAGTGGATATGGGTTGCGTCATAAAGGGGTACACAAGGCAGGACGCCAAACCGAGAGAGGAATTGCACAACGGGCGTTCGGGCCCGGGGAGGAGACCGCGATCGCAAAAGCAGGTGGCATCTGCAAATCTTCGATCTCCGGTTGCCATGGACCTTGCACATCACCGTGGAGGTGGGGCCTTTTCCTTCGGTGCAATTGCGCTACTGTGATGTCATCAGCCGCCCCACTATGCTTCTGGCAACTGCCCCTCTGCATATGCTCCCCAAATCGCAAGCTACAAAAGGATAGCTTTCCTGCGCTCAATCTTCTTCCTGAACACTCATCTTCCTCACAACCAGCTTCTGTGATATCCCAAACTCTACCTTTCCAAGCACTCCACGAACAACTCTCTACAACACTTCCAACTCAAACACCATTTTCAAAATGCCTATCACCAACGCGTAAGTGGCATTTTCCACCTTGCTCGCCAGCTTCCAAGGGACGTCGAAGCTAACTCCTCACAGCCCCATCTCTGGTGTCGACAGCGCCAACCCCAAGACCGTCGAGGAGCGCAAGGCTGAGCTTCCTCTGCCCGACCAGCCTCCCACTTCGTCCGACTGGCAGTCTGCTGACGCCCGCAACGTCAACGTCGGCTCCGGCAAGGTCCAGGGTGACATCTCGTACGGCAGCGGCGCCAGCACTCTTCATGAGCCTGCCACCAGCGGTGAGAGCATCGATGTCGGCAGGACCGCCAAGGATGGTCTCAGCGGCATCCCCAACGACGCCGTCACCAAGGACAAGAGGGGCCACACTGCCACCCAGGAGACCAGGCAGTAGACGAGTGATGTTGAGGGAACATGGGGTGAAGGGTAGCATCTTCTTTGGCGGCCATTGATTGGCGCGCCTGCACCTTTGGCAGTTTCTTGAACATCATATCAAAAGGCGAACTCGGGTCTATTTCGTGTACTATAGATTTCCAGCCACGGATAATGAAATGAATAACGATCACACAAGAAATGGTGTCTTCGATAAGTGATTTAAAAGCTCTCAACCTGTAATCTCGACAAGTGACCACAATTCCTAAGCTGCAAACCGGGGCATCGCCACGTTTGAATAGCATGCCCGACTGGCCGCATACGTTGCGTTTCATACATTTCACCCACAGAAACGCATACCTCTGAGGGAGACTGGGCCACGAGTTGCACACTGCGACGAAGAATTTGCCCCGCTGCAGTGACGTGCCACGGCAAGCGCCCAGCTCCTGTAAAACGGCCACTGTGGCGCGCACGCATGCTCGCCAACCCGGCCTGCATATGGGAAATCAGGGCTTGGTAATGCGGAATTCAGTATGGCGACCCACACAAAAATGCATGAATTGGTGATTGTGGTGAGGGAAACCGATCCGAAGCACATGCGGGGCAGATTCGCTCGACAGATAGCCTACCGTCGCCGCGCGGGAGCCCACAGTTTATGCGCAAATGATGTCACTATGGTGGAAGACAATGACATCTATTGCGAGCACATGCTGCTTATATATTGGGCGCTGTAGACCCTGCACTCCATCAAGATACCCCTCACTGAAGCTCCAGCCCACACCCAACTCCTTGCCTTACATCCCACGACCACGACTATCCATTCTCACCCACTTTAAACAAACATCATGCCGTCCTCCGCTGGTCAGAAGGTATGTCAAAATCAGCACAAGACATCTGTTCAATTTTCGGTAGCACAGAAGAGTCCCCCGTCACACAACATCCGCTACACAATGACTTCGACGGCAGAGCAACGTCTGACGCGATATACCTTAGGTCACCGACCCCACCGCTAACCCGATCGCCGAGGGCACCGGCATCGTCACCAGTGACTCTCTGGCCGCCGAATCCCTGAAGGGTGACGGCTCTTTCGCCGCTGGGAATCTTAAGGCTGGCGTGAGCGCACAGCCAAGCCGTGGCACCACAATTAACACGACCGACACGTCGGCGGCGCGTACGCTGCACTCGGCGGCGGACGCGGAGTCGCGCGACGCGCAGCAGGAGTGGAGCGAGCAGGCGCAGCTGAACGCAGGCAGCGGGCTGAGCGGCAAGGGACCGACCTACAACACTACTACTAGCTCGAGCAACGCCGGAATTGCCCCTACGGCTTACAGCGCGAGCCAGCTGCACGAGCAGAAGCCGAAGGGGGCGAATCTCACCGAGGGCGACTTCTCGTCCTACGCGCCCAACGCCAGCTTCAACAGTGAGATCGGCTCCAAAAACGACCCAGGCCGCATTGCTGAGCAGAAGTTCCAGCACAGCGCTCAGCAGAGCGGCCTCGATGCGGCGCAACCGAAGGACAAGGGCGACACTGGTGACCAGCCCTACTCGGTTCTAAAGGAGGCGTCGGCCTGAGAGATAGGCAGATGGTAGTTACGGTTGATGGGTTACGATATGGGCTGTATAATTATTAAATCAGCGGCTTTTTAATGGAGCAGGCTTCAGAGCCTAAAATTAGACTTTCGCATGACTAGTGAGCGATGACGCGGGCAGCAATTTTGTGCACGTTTCAACTTTCGTCGGAAGCGTAAAAGGTTGTCGTGTTGCGGCGCGGCGGAGACGGAGGTGGAAGCAGCGCGGCGCAGGCGAAACGGTGGCCTGTGCATGAACCCCCCGGAGCCTCGCTCTCTGGTGCAGGTAGCTGATGTGGCCTCTTCCGGCGAACGCATTGCGCGCGCGTTCACCCACAATTTTCGCAACTCCCCTCTTCCTTCGCTTGCCGCTCCATGTAGCAGTCGCTGAACGGAAGCTGCCACAATGAACGGGTTCGCGGACCAAGGCCTCTCCGAGGACAGCTTCGGGCCCTCCAGCGGCGGGCTCAAGGCATTCGATGCTTTCCGTAAGTCCACCATGCGATTGCCCCGCCGCCTTGCTGCACGCCTTGCATTGCTGCTGCTCCCTGCAAATCGACCATTGATTGACGCCGCCGTTGTCCAGCCAAAACGAAGAAGACGTACCTCCAGCACACGACGCAGGGCGCCAACTGGACGCTGCTTCTGATAGTAACATGCGTGTGGCTCTCAATCACCGAGACGATGCGGTGGTGGGTGGGCGAGACGTCGCACACGTTCAGCGTTGAGAAGGGCATCGGGCACGAGATGCAGATCAACCTGGACGTCGTCGTGGCCATGCGCTGCGACGACCTGCACGTCAACATCCAGGACGCCTCGGGCGACCGCATCCTGGCCGGCTCCGCGCTGACCAAGGACCACACGCGCTGGATGACCTGGGTCGAGAAGAGCAAGAACATTCACAAGCTGGAGCGCAGCAGCCAGGACCAGAAGCGCTACGACGAGGAGGACGTGCACGACTACGTCGGCGCCAAGGTCAAGAGGAAGTTCCCCAAGACGCCGCGGTTCAGAGGCAACGCCGACGCGTGCAGGATCTACGGCAGCCTGGATGCGAACAGGGTGCAGGGCGACTTCCACATCACGGCGAGGGGCCACGGCTACATGGCGTTTGGCGAGCACTTGGACCACACCCGTAAGACTCCTGGGAGAAGTGTGGTTGCGGTTTGCTGACAAACGGTGGTAGAGTTCAACTTCTCGCATCAGATCAACGAGCTCTCCTTTGGCCCTTACTACCCCTCGCTTACCAACCCGCTCGATGACACGCGCGCCGTGACGCCGACGGAGAACGACCATTTCTACAAGTTCCAGTACTATCTGTCGGTTGTGCCGACCGTGTACACGGACAACAGCCACACGATCGTTACCAACCAGTACGCCGTGACGGAGCAGTCGCACAGCGTGCCCGAGGTGTCGGTACCGGGTGTCTTTGTGAAGTTCGATATCGAGCCTATCATGCTCACCATCTCGGAGTACAACGGCGGATTCCTTGCGCTGCTGATCCGGCTGGTCAACGTGGTTAGCGGCGTCATGGTCGCGGGCGGTTGGTGCTTCCGGGTGGGCGAGGCGCTGTTGGAGTTCTACGGCAAGAGGAAGAACCGCGGCGACGGGCTGGGCGTTCTTCACGGGAGAACGCCCAGCTACGACGAGAAGCGGAGCATTTGAAGCGTTTGCTGGTTTTCGGGGTTTGGGATACAGGCGGGCGTTCCGGACGGGCTTGTGTACAGAATCGCTTGTAGGTATATCGGTGCAGGGTAGATATGGCGCTGCAGATGAGCTTGGAGCGCGGAAAATTGCCTGAGATTTCATTGTTACTTCTGGTGCAGCTGGGAGTGAGGCGGCGTGCAAGGCTGAGGAACGGGCCAATGGGCGGCGGCGACTTATCGAGGCGGATGAAGACGGCAAAAGCACGCTGCCAGACATCTCTCTCCTTCATTCTACTGCGACATCCCTGCCGACACACCACAGTAAGTTGTGCATTCCCTTTTCAGCCTTTTGCCGCCATGTCTTTTCTGTCACGCCAACGGCTGCCATCGGCATTGCACCCCTTCCTATCCCGCCCCGCGCGCCCCGCCGCCTGCTCTCATTATATCGCCCAATTGTTTTTCCGCGTTGTGACTCAACTTGGCGCCGCGATACGAAAGCGGCAGAGCACAGCACCACACAGTGTCAGGCGGACCAAGTGCCCCGACCATCAGCAGCTTACGTGCCCCTCCTTTAACCAAGCGAGACCGAGGCGGAACCAGCATGTCCAGGAACGTGCTGGTCCCGACGCCCGTGTCTCGCTCACGCATCCTGCGGTCATGGACCCTGGTTTTGTGAGGACAGCAGATCTAAGACTGGTCCACTCCAAGCCATGTGCCAAAATACACGCTTCTTTAGCGCGTGCCTGTGCTCTGCATGCTGGACTATCCCACTAGTACGCTGCTTATCACAAGGTGCCGCAGCCTCACGCCGTAGCGCTGCACCTCTCAGGAGAGCAACTACACCCTCTTGCCCCACAACCACCCTGACTGGCTATCCGTCCCTTGCTTCCTCGATTGGTGCGCTCTTGAACGACAGAACCTACAAGCCCCTTCTTGGCACGCCTGCTTCTTTCATCGCCTTCCCTTTATATGCTTACACCTAACCCCCTCCAACCCCTGCTCTATCTACACAATCGAAGAAAGGAGCGTTTTTTGAAGTAAGAAATCATGGAACTCAAAGCCTACAAAACCAGGTCTATACAAGGCTTCAACACCGACGGCACCCTTGACCGCGCGAGGCTTGATCTCCTCTGCAGCCCGCATCGCCCCGAGTATTTCCTCTCCAGCTCCCCCCCTCGCGTCGATAGCGGCTACAACTCTCCGACGTTGTCGCCAACCGCGGCAGAACTACCGACGACTACTACCATGTCGCTGCCGCTCATCCGCCGTGCCCTGCCCAAGGGCGGCAGGAAACCCCACGTCTGCATCGTCGGTGCTGGAGTCAGTGGCCTGCGATGTGCCGACATCTTGCTGCAGGCTGGGCTGAGGGTGACGGTGTTGGAGGCGAGGAATCGAGTGGGTGGACGGGTGAGTAGTCTGGTGGCCTTTGTATGTGTGCACTTGAGTATGAGTTCTGATTCTGTGTGGTTTGTAGCTTTGCCAGGCGAAGACGCAGGGAGGACAAATGGTCGATCTGTAGGTGTTCTCCCCTGCACTCTTGTTTTCTTTTCTTGCCCATTTTCGAGCAGTGTGTCAAAAGACAGAGGTAAGGGGGCAGGGTCTCGGTACCAGTACTCTCTTGATCTCATGCAAAATGGTGCCCACTTTCGCATCGGCACGAATACCATGAGATTTAGTTGAGCGGTGTCGACCTCACCGCCACTTTAGAGGCTCTCCTATCTGTGGGAGATGTGCGTCCTCCTTTCAGTGAAGAAAACTCATGAAGAAGTGACTTCTACACATTCAGCATCTCATCCCTGGCATGAGGCTGGGCAGTATAGGTGCACTTTTTGATACACCGCCCGCGGCCTTATTATGCTTTTTAGAATGGACTGTCGAGGATTTCTGATCAGAGGCTAATGATATTTGTGGAAATCGTCAGCGGCCCAAACTGGATCCATGGGACTGAAGACAATCCGATTCTGGATCTTGCAAAAGAGACGGGAACCATCTCTCACAACTGGGATGGGCGCCAGTGCATCTTCGACCCGCAAGGCTCACCGCTCCCGGAGAAAGAGGCCGTTGAGGCCTCCGAGACGATTTGGAGCATAATAGGTGACGGCATGGAGTTCAGCAAGCAGAACAGCGCGTCAATACCTGCGAGTAAAAGCTTGCTTGACTACATCCATGAGAAAACGAAAGAACTGTACACCGACGAGGATTCGAATCACCTCCAGGAGGCCGAAAAGGAGAAAAAACGCCATCTACTACACAAGATCGCGGAAATGTGGGGTGCCTTCGTCGGCAGCCCCATCCAGCAACAGAGCATGAGGTTCTTCTGGCTCGAGGAGTGCATCGACGGAGAGAACCTGTTCGTGGCCGAAACCTACCACAAGATCCTGGACAGAATAGCGAAACCCGCCCGCGAAGGCGCAGACATCCAGTTCGGCCAATACGTGAAGACGGTCGAAACCATCGCCGACGCGGAGGGCAACGAGAACGGCGCCGTGCAGGTGCGTCTGGCAGACGGCAACAGCATGGTCTTCGACGAGGTTGTTATGACCACGCCCCTGGGCTGGCTCAAGCGCAACAAGGATACCGCCTTCGTGCCGCCGCTGCCAGAGCGCCTGTCCAGTGCTATCGACAGCATAGGATACGGCTGCCTTGACAAGGTCTACATCACCTTCCCGACGGCGTTTTGGGAGACTTCCTCGCCTTCATCCTCCTCCTCCTCCCCGGATTCCATCCCCACGTCCGCCCGCCAATCCATGCCCAACACCACCGCCACCACCGCACCCGTCCACCAGCCAGACCAGACCGTGACCGCAGACGGCAGCAGCAGCGACCCGAGCCACCACCCAGGCTTCACGCAATGGACGGCACCGCTGTACGCACACGACACCAACCCCGCCGGCTGGAGCCAAGAATGCGTCAACATGGCCGCCCTACCCGGCTCAACCGCCTACCCAACCCTCCTCTTCTACACCTTCGGCCCAACATCCCAACACATCGCCTCCATCCTCAAAGAAGGCGAGAAGGAGCAACCCACCACCGCCACCTCCCCCTTCTCCACCACCACTCCCCCCTCCATCTCCCCACCCGCCCACTCCCCCACCCACCACAAACTCCTCTCCTTCTTCGCCCCCTACTACACGCGCCTGCCCGGCTTCGACGCCGCCAACCCGCATCACCAACCCTCCGCCGTCCTCGCCACGGGCTGGACCAACGACGAGCTGGCCGGCTACGGCAGCTACTGCAACTTCCCCGTCGGCCTTGAGCGCGGCGCTGATGATGTTGAGGCCATGCGCCGCGGCGTGCCTGACCGCCGCGTCTGGCTCGCTGGCGAGCACACGGCTAGCTTCCTTGCGCTCGGGACGGTTACGGGTGCGTACTGGAGCGGGGAGGGGGTGGGGAGGGCGGTGGCGTGGGCGTATGGGTGTGGTGGTGAAGGTGAAGGTGAAGGTGAAGGTGCTGATGGGGTGAATAAGGGTGGGGAGGAGGATGGGGAGGCCGGGGTGAAGGTTTAAGCTGGTGGTGGACTGTGGTGGTGGCGTTGATGGGATGTAGGAGGGAGTGAGTGGGGTTCGGTTGTTCTTTTTCCTCTATCTCGTTTGGTCTCCTTTCTGGATGCGTTTGGGCGTAGCTATGCAGACTCTATGAGAAACAATGACACGTACTCGCAACTCGATTTTATATCACTGCTTTATGCCTCTCTTTACCATATCTCAACCTTCTTTCGTTGCTGTAGCAAAATAAATGATTGTGAGTCTTATAAATCAGGAGGTGATTTTCCAAAGACTCGATGATCTTACCCCTTTAGGTGAAAAAAAAGTCACCGAGTTCAACTGCCAATGATCCTTTGAATCATTATTTCTGCTAGTTATTGCTTCTCAGCCATTACATAGTCAAGAACAGAAAGAGAAGACAAGTGAAGGAGATCATTGTCAGACTGGTATATCTTCTCGCCGAAAAACCACTTTCACGCACGCTCGTATGATAAAGATAATCGGAAAAAGTCAAACTGCACACACACACGTACACAGCAACGGAGAGGTAAAAAAAAGTGCATCTTCATCCACACCAGCTTCCTTATCCTTGATGGGTAACAATCGCTCAAATGTCTGTCCACATAACACGGCAACTCCCTCTCCGCGTTTCTGCCATCCCTAATTGATACAAGTTTGCCTCCTCCTAGCTTTCCCATGCGTCTGCCGTGCCTTCGCTATTGAAGACCATTACCGACGGTATCTTTCTCGTATCAGATGTTCACCGTCCGTAGTCTATCCTGCTCAACACCACTCAAAAAGGAAAAAGAAAAAAAAGGCGTAAAGGCCAGAGAAAAGGCCAGAGAGGGCTTGAGTAGAAGCCCTGGGTAATAGCTCCAGAACAAGAAACGTAAAGGGACAGCAAAACAACCTGCTACCAAACGCCTTGTATATGCCGTTTCTCACTGGTGAATTTGGTTTTTCTTTGGGTATTTTTTTTGTCAAACCCATCGACGCCTCAAACCAGAAAAGACGTGTTCGGAAGGAGGAGCAAGAAAGGGTACAGATAAATCGTTGCAATAACCCTCCTCAACCTTGGGTTTGACATCGTAGACGTCGTTAAAAAAAAGGAAATAAAAGCTACCACAGTGACCATGCTATCACGATGGCTTCGATACGTCGTAACGTAAGCAGGGGCCATTAGAGATACGCTGACCATGCTTGCGCTTGTGTTGCTGCTGATATGCCTCTCTCCGCAGCATTTGCAGCAACTGTTGAAATATTAAAGATGGCCAACCTTCGGACTTACTACTCCGGGCTTGCCTCCAGCACTTCGCGCTCCCGCGCTTCCTCTAACTCGCTTAATATCTCTGGGAGCATGCCCTCGACATCCTCTTCTCTGATGCCCAATGCTCCCGTAATGAGTCGTTTATACTCGGTCGACCGCTCACCCATGCCCGCAACGCTCAGGTTTTGCACAACCTCATTCACCAGGCCACGGCGTATCTTTTGAGCATTATCAAGACTGAGCGCCAGTCGTAGCCTTTCACGGATCGAGGCCTCGCTTCCGTCGTCGCCATCTTGTTGTGCGTCGCCGTTAGCTTCTGCGTCCGCTATGCGTTGTTGTAGCTCGGCCTTTTGTTCCAGCTCCATGAGCGCCTCGGCTTCCCGTGTAAGAGCCTCCAGCTCCTCGTCTTGTTGCCGCGCATCCTCTTCCCATAATGGATCCTCCAGAGTGTCACCGATCACGCTATCAACCTCGGCGATGCCCATATCCCTCAGCTGCCTCTTTAGTGCATCAACTTCGGCCTGGCGTTTCCGCATTACCCGTTCGGCATCCGTCGCTTCCGCATCTTTTTCTACAAGCTCCTCTTCATACGCACTTGCCAGTTGCTCAAACTTTTCGTTTAGCGTCGGAGCGATCTTAGTCATCAAAGTCTGAGCAGTTTGACTGCGGAACTGGTGCGGAGATGCAACTTGTTGAAGGTTGCTCCCGTTGCGCAACCCAGGGAAGGTGGTGTTGCCATTGAGGCCGAGCCTTCCGTCCGGCGCAAATGGCGATGAGGACATTCCTCGATGGCGTCCGTCACGACGGCGAGCGTTCAATTCGCGGATCAGATCGTCGGCGGTCTCGCCCTGGTGGTTTGGAATGTCAACGGCAACATTACGACCAAGCAGAGCACGGACACATTTCCTTGCGCCATGTCGTGCAGCTATCATGATGGCGGTGTCACCGTTCTTGTCCTGGGCGTTAAGCAGGCGAGTGACTTCCTCGGGGATCCAAGTCTCGCTGAGCTTGTTGATGATGCAGTCCAAATAGTAACGGGCGCAGGCGTACTTGTTTTTGCTGCTTGTGGTGGCGGCAATGTGATGGAAGACGGTGCTGCCGAACCAGTCAGTGCGCACAACGGTTGGCTGCAGAATCTTGATCATCTGGGGCATCGTGTTCTTGTCGTAGTTGTTGGTGAACATGACTGCACGCATGAGGGGCGTCTCGAGGTTGTTAGACAGGGAGTCGATGCGTGCTTGACGGCGGATGAGGTCTTTCACTACGTCCACGTCGCCCATGGCAGCCGCCCAGTGCATGGCTGAGTGGCCTTTTTCGTCTATCATGCGGTCCAGGTTGACACCTGGCGGCGGCTCTGGTGGTGCAGGGAAGCGATCCTCTGATTCCAGAAGCATGAAGTAGTCTAACAAAGCATCCGCCCAGATCTGGTGCGCGCGATCTTGCGCAGACGGCTGGTCCACATCACGCTTCCGCTTGCGTCCTCCTTGTGAGTAGTGAACGCCATGCAACAGATCGTGCTCCTCCAACTCGGACTCGGCGATTGTAACGTTGTCGGGCGTTTCCTCGTCGGCGTACTGGATGCTTTCTCGTTCGTAAATATCTTCGCTCACTTGGCTGGGGGCAGGATAAGCGACTGAGACACGGTTAGCTGCCGTCAATGCGAGGCGGGAGCGAGGTAGCACCCACCGGGCGCCCGTCGAGCCATGCTCTGGCGCGCAGCCTTGGGTCTTGACGACGCAGCGGTAGCATGTTTGGGGGCAGGCGGCGGACTCCTGTCGCCGGGAACGTAGTCGAGGATGGGCAGAAGCTTGTCGAGAATGCCGTTGCGCTCGGCGAGCATGCGACCATCGTGAAGAGGAATCCAGGTGCCTGCAGCGGCTCGTTCAGTGGGTTGTTCTGCTCGGAGCTGGGCGACTCGTACCCTGATATTTGCCGTATCCGCCCTGCACCTTCTCGTGCACGCCCTTCTGGACCTCGCGCTCGAGAATGCGGGTGCGGGCAGGCTTGTCGAAGTCGGCGACCTTTAGGATGTGGGTTGCATTGATCCAGTCGTCGGCGCGGCGGCGCATGACATGGTTGCTGTCGACATTGAACTCGTAGACGGGGACCTGGGGAGCAGCGATGATGTCAGCAGGGGCGTTCGGCACAGCTCAGCTGGTGTGGGGGTGAGTTGAGCGCTTGGGCGGGGGCAGCTCACATTGCTGTAGGTGGCCGAGTAGATCCTGCCGGTGTTGTCGGGCGGCATGATGAGCTCTGCGGCCGGCAGCGCAGCGGTGCGGGAGAGTCGATGCAGCGGGCAATGGTCGCGGTAGGTCTGCTGGCGTGTAGCGGAGACGCGTGAGACACGCTGGGTCGCGGGCGAAGAATTCGGAGTCAGGTGACCCGGCTGGAAGCAGCCTAATTGTCGCTCGCGTCGCACCCCTGGCCCTCTCACTCGCGGCTGGCGACGCCCCATCAGCTGCGCCTGTGCCCGCCTCCGACGCCGCATCTCCGAGCTCCTCTGTCGGCGAGCGAGCCCACGTTGCCCTTTACGAACCGCGGGATGACGCGTCACAGCAGCGCCTGCGTGCGCGGCAGATGGATGCCGGTGACACAGACCAATCAAAACGGGCTGCGCCATGCGAAAACGACCTGATGCTCAGACTAGCTGCAATGTTGATAAGATTATCAAGTATATCCTTAATGCCCTGCATCTCCTGCACTCTTGCCATCTCGTCGCTTTTCTGAATTCCCTTTGGCCGCTGGCGCAGGCAAGCCTCTGTCTCGCCATGCGTCTCGCAAATCTTTCCATATTCACCGGCCTAGCCGCCAGCGCTTCCTTCGAGACCACTCTCGCCGCAGCCGACTTCAGCGACGAAGCTCAAGTCCCGCTGAAAAACTCTAACCATGTTTTCAACGCCATCCATTCGTCCATGCGACAGTGGGGCTCCTCCTTAAGCCACAATGGCATGTCCTTCTTCCTGGCCTCAGTCCCCGAGGGCACTCAGTTCTACCATGGCAGATCTAGCAACGAGTCTGTCAAGGGCATGGAATGGCTTGCGTTTGAGCCTGAGCATGCCCTGGTCTTTGCTAGGCCTCATGGCCCGCCACCAGGAAAAGGCAAAGGTCCCGGCCGTGGCGGCCCGGGCCGAGGCCCTCCTCCTGGACAAGGACCTCCACCACCAGTTCCCGCAGCAGAGATGAGCTCGGACCCCAAGGGACATCATGGATGGGACAAGCCACCGCACCACGGCGAAGATTACCGCCCGGACTGGGTGCGTCCCGGCTGGGAGAGGCATCACGGAGCTGACCGCCAAGCACCCATGGAGAAGAGGGATCTCAAGGCCAAAGATGACAGTGCTGGCGGTTATCTGCATACCTACCGCACCAAGCACAACTTATCCCTTCTTTACATCGATGGTATGTCTGCCGGAAAGACGCAGAAAGGAACCCTCGACTCCACCGATGCCATCTTGCTCCAGGTGGACATCGAAGAGCACAATCAGCACATGTGGGACTTCGAGCGTGGCCAAGCTCTCTGCAACCTGACCCGTGACGAATGGGGCAACCGCGTTGATGGCTTCCTGCGTATGGAGATGGGCTTCGAGATCATCCTGTGCGACTTCGAGAAGCACCTCGATGTGGAGCGCGTCACTCAGACAGCTGGCCGGAGATCCGATGATCATGGACCGCCCAGAGGCGGTTTCGGCGACATGACCTATTACCGCGCCGTGGCATCTCGATTCGACGGTATTGGTGGCAACCGCGTGTCTGTCAACTACGACGACTTCGTCACCGCCTTCACTTACGATGTTGACCTCTTCGACGGCGAGCCTCTGCCGCGCCTCGTCAATGTCTCCAATGAGACGCTAACTCGGATGCACAATGATGTGACGCAGCTTGTCATGTCCCGTCCATCTCCGGCGTATGGCAAGATCCCACCGACTACGAACTGGCAGGCTGTGGCAGACTTGATCGTTGAGCGTTACTCTGACCGGATTGAGTATCTCGCCTCGATATCCGATTTGGAGACCCTCCAGTGGGAAGCCGAGCAAGCCCTCAAGCCGTACATTGACTACGGAGCTCGTGACAGTGCTGCAGAGATTGAGCGCTGTGCTGCTCAACACCTGCCGGTCTCCTCCTTGACGTCCCTCTCCACTGCTCCAATTGCTGCTCAGGCTATCCACGCTGTGGCTACCTCCATCTGTAGCACGCTCGTCTCCATCGCCAACGCCACCGATGTAAACAGCGCCACGTCTGCCATACAGGATTTGGTGTCGTATCTCCAGTGGACCACATGGAAGCGCTGCCGTGGTTGCAGCGCTGCCGAAGTTTGCTTCATTCCCATCTGGCCTGCTGGCCGCAAGCAAGACTACGAGAATCCTCAGTGCCAGAGCAGCCTCCCGAGCTCGCGCGACCGCGATGACTCCTACTGGGGTGGTTGGGGGCCAGGACCTAAGCCTCCGAAGGATGGAAAGGGCAGAATTCAACAAGAAAAGTATCCGGCGCCACCTCCATATGGACCGTACCCGCCGCCTCCCCACGGTCACTACCCACCGCCGCCGCCTCACGATGATAACTTTCCGCCGCCTCTGCCCCCTCACGGCGACTTCCCCCCGCCCCCTCACGGCGACTTCCCCCCGCCCCCTCATGGCGACTTTCCTCCGCCCCCTCATGGCGATCATCCTCCCCCGCCGCCTCACAACGACAACTTTCCGCCGCCTCCTCCGCCGCCACATGGCGACCATATTCCCCCGCCTCCGCCTCATGGCAACCACGCTCCCCCACCTCATGGCGAGCATCTTCCCCCGCCTCCCCCACCGCCTCATGGTGATCACTTTCCACCGCCTCCCGGGGACCATCCTCCACCTCCTGACCGGGACCATCACGGTCCAAGGTGGTGGTGATTTACAGGAGAATGGCGGTGATTGCGCTGGCGTGGTGTCAGAGACACGGCAACACAGGAGTGCGCAATAGATTGTTTTGTTCAGGACGCAGTACTGTATACCCACATTAGATTACCAGATAGCTAGTACGAATATAGACCAGTAGTGGTGTCGCAACTATATACAGGGGGTCATTGCAGCCGACGGCTAGCGTGAATTTATTTCGTTCATATCATGAGTAGTTGAAGTTATCTTCCGGATGTAAATGTGGAATTATTACCCATGGTATGTTCTTTTCCCATTAAAAAAAACCGAGACACAGTTACACTAGTTCCAGGGCCCTGCTATTGTTCGCGCTAGCCATCGGCTGTCATACCCCTCTGTATACCCGAAGGATCCCTGATCATTTCGCTACCTTGCACGAGGCAAGGCCCCGCCGAACAGCTGCCGAGTTGCGGAGCAGAGGGCGGTGGCGGGACCAGGGCTGCCAAGCGTGGAAGCGAGTCAGGCGATCTCCGCCATGAGCAGATTACTACTGCCTCAGCACACTATTCTCGTTGCAGGCCGGCGAGGAGCAGCAGCGAGCGGGCAGATCATCCGAAGGCGGAAGGAAGCGAGACGGGTACGCCGGAGAGGCGAGCAAATTTATATGTCAGTTCCGGGAGGCGTAAGCGGTGCTGTGCGCGGTTGCGAAACGTGCTCAAACCCACGCGTCCACATCCGGGATGTGCGCCAAGGGTGCGGTGGCCCGCAGGCCAACCACCAGGCTAAGGGCCCGGTTTAAACCACTACATATCTACTAGTGCTCGCCGCTGCCATCTCACTCCTCGTCCTTCTCCCATTCCTCTCCATCACGACCTCCGGCGGCGCCTCCCATTGATACCCTAATTCCGCACCGCCGATCGCTCAAGATGGATATGAGTTCCATGTCCGGGATGGCCATGTCGACAATGGCCTCGTCGATGACCATGGCCATGTCGTCAACCGGTACGGCGGCGGCTGCCTCGTCCACCAGCACTATGGATATGTCGTCGATGGATTCTTCGATGGACATGGGCGGCGATTGCAAAGTTTCGGTAAGGACCCCTTGCACGAGCTCCCTTGAGGGGAATGCACATCCAATTGCCAAAAGCATAACCCTGACGATATCGCAGATGCTGTGGAACTGGTATACGATCGATGCCTGTATGTGAAATACTCCGCGCCTCCCCTGATTCGTTGGGGTCACCCCGGACCTACCCAAAGCATCCAAGCCAAGAAGCACGGCATTTCTAACCCAAGCATGCAGGCTTCCTCGCAAAATCATGGCACATCACCTCGCGCGGCATGTTTGCCGGCTCGTGCATCGGCGTGATCCTGATGGTCATGTTGCTCGAGTTTCTCCGCCGCACCGCAAAGGAGTACGACCGCCTGCTGCTGCGCCAGCACCAGCGCGCCATGTTCGCCGAGGCCTCGTCATTCGGTAGCTCGACGCCCCAACGGACCCCAGTGCCCGAACCCGAACCCGCTCCCACCAGCTGCTGTGACGGCGCCGACTCGATCGAGAGCGAGAAAAATGATAAGCCTGCCGCTGCCGTCGTCACCGCTCCCCGAGCCGCCGCATTTCCAAGCAGGAGGACGACGAGGTTCAGGCCGAATGTCATGCAGCAAGCCATCAGGGCGCTGTTGCACTTGCTTCAATTCGCCCTGGCCTATTTTGTCATGCTGCTCGCCATGTACTACAACGGCTACTTGATTATTTGCATTTTCATTGGCGCATTCTTAGGTGCATTCATCTTCTCATGGGAGAGCGTCGAGGTGACTATTGGAGGAGCCAGCGGAATGTGAGTGACGTGCAGATTTCCCTGGGATTGACATCGCTGACTTTTGGTGATAGGGAAGTGGAAGAGGATCCTACCGTTTGCTGCGGTTGAGAGAAGGTTGTTCTAGAAGGTTGGGCGTTTGCATTAAGATACCATTGGAGAACGTAATGAAAGACCACATAATGATCCCTGCCCGTCTGCATACAGCGGAATTTGACGTGATTATGAAACGATATGCACGGGACATTTCCACAGACGTGACGAGTAGAGTGTTCTATCTGCGCAGGCGAGTCTGCGGCAAATAGCAGCAGCTTAATAGAAGCGGGCTTTGAGCACATGGTCCACTCTGGAAGCATTCCATAGCCAATGGTAAGCAAGGCGTCAGACTGAGTCAGACGGGCATTAGCTCGCAGAATGTGATGGTGAGTTCCGTTGGTGGTTGAGCATTCGAACGAAGGTCGGCAGCCGGAGATTGGCCGGATCATGTTGTGAACAAAAGTCGCCGGTGCCGTAACTTTGAAAGCTGGCGCTGTGACTCAAGCTGCTCCCGCGCCCTCCGCCTGACAGCTTCGCTCCCAAAGCTCCCTCCCTGCCGGCGACACCTCCGCGACCGCTCTCCACGGAATTTTGCCAGGAATTGGGCCTCCGGACGCAACAATGGCCGCAGCCCTCATTGACCACTCCCCGCACCACCCCGCCCCGGCACCGCCGGTCGAAACCGCCCAGAACCTCATCCTCATAGACAACTACGACTCGTTCACCTGGAATGTCTACCAGTACCTTGTGCTCGAGGGCGCCAAGGTCACCGTCTTCCGCAATGACGAGATTACTCTCGACGAGCTCATCGCGAAGAACCCGACCCAGCTGGTCGTTAGCCCTGGACCCGGCCACCCCGAGACCGACTCTGGCATAAGCAGGGACGCTATCAAGCATTTCGCGGGCAAGATTCCCATCCTGGGAGTGTGCATGGGAGAGTGCGTTGTCTCCGGGTCGTAGCCACGACGAACCCTTCCACTAATTCCATCGTGCGCTCAGGCAATGCATCTACTCTGTCTTCGGCGGCCGCGTCGACGTGACCGGTGAGATCCTGCACGGAAAGACATCGCCGCTGCGCCACGACGGCAAGGGCGTATACGCGAACGTCCCCCAAGACGTGGCGGTGACGAGATACCATTCCCTGGCCGGCACCCACCCCACGCTCCCGGAATGCCTCGAGGTCTCTTCCTGGATTGCGACCGGCCCGGATGGCGGCAAGGGTATAATCATGGGCGTGAGACACAAGGAGTATGTCATTGAGGGTGTGCAATACCACCCAGAGAGTATCTTGACCGAGGAGGGCCGGGTGCAGATCAAGAACTTCCTGAAGATGCAGGGAGGCACCTGGGCTGAGAACGAGAAGCTTGCCAAGGCCCAGCCAGCTGCTGCGACCGCTCCCAATGGCGCCATTGTCGTTGACAAGAAGACCTCCATTCTGGAGAAGATCTTCGACCACCGCCGTGCCGCTGTTGCGGCGCAAAAGGAGATTCCTTCTCAACGGCCTGTGGACTTGCAGGCTGCCTATGATATGGATATAGCCCCGCCTCTCATTTCCTTCGCCGATCGTCTCAGGCAGTCGCCCTACCGGCTGTCGCTGATGGCCGAGATCAAGCGTGCATCCCCTTCGAAGGGCATCATTTCCCTGTCCACCTGCGCCCCTCAGCAAGCCCGGACGTACGCGCTTGCAGGCGCCAGTGTTATTTCTGTCCTTACCGAGCCTGAATGGTTCAAGGGAAGCATTGATGACCTGAAGCTTGTGCGCCAGGCTTTGGAAGGCATGCCCAACCGCCCGGCCATTCTGCGCAAGGAGTTCGTCTTTGACGAGTACCAGATCCTCGAGGCTAGGCTGGCAGGTGCTGATACCGTTTTACTCATTGTCAAGATGCTGGACGAAGCCACCCTGAAGAGGCTGTATCACTACTCTCAATCGCTCGGCATGGAGCCCTTGGTCGAGGTCAACACTGCGGAGGAGATGCACATTGCAGTGAATCTTGGAGCGAAGGTCATTGGTGTGAACAACCGCAACCTTACCAACTTCGAGGTGGACCTGGAGACCACTAGCAGGCTGATGGATATTGTCCCCAAGGAAACCATTGTCTGCGCTCTCAGCGGTATCTCTGGTCCTAAGGACGTCGAGCCGTACGAGAAGAACGGCGTTGGCGCTGTCCTCGTCGGCGAGGCTTTGATGAGGGCCTCCAACACTGCTCAATTCATTGCGCAGCTTCTCGGTGGCTCGAGCGAGATGGTGAAGACCGCTCCCCGGGCAGCACCGCTGGTCAAGATCTGCGGCACCAGGTCAGCGGAAGCCGCGAAGACAGCCATCGAGGCGGGCGCTGATCTCATCGGCATTATCCTCGTTCAAGGTCGCACTCGGTGCGTCTCGAACGAAACCGCACTCGAGATTTCACAAGTCATCCACAGCACGCCGAAGCCGCGCAAGAGCGGCGCTTCCTCGTCACCGACATCCTCCAGCATCCCCAACGCCGCATCCGAATTCTTCTCGCACGCCGCGGCGCACCACGTATCGCACCCGGACCGCGCACTGCTGGTCGGCGTCTTCCGTAACCAGCCGCTCGACTACGTGCTGGCGCAGCAGAAGCTGCTCAACCTCGACATCGTGCAGCTGCACGGCGACGAGCCGGTCGAGTGGGCGCGCAGCATCCCCGTGCCCGTCATCCACGCCTTCAAGCCTGGCCAAGCCGGTCTCGCGCGCCGCGCCTACCACGCCCTGTCGCTGCTCGACTCGGGCGCCGGCGGCTCCGGCCAGAAGCTCGACCTGAAGGAGGTGCGCGAGACGCTGGAGAAGGACACGAGCTTGCGCGTCCTGCTGGCCGGCGGCCTCGGCCCGGAGAACGTGCGCGAGGCCATCGCCGAGCTGGGCGAGCTGGGCGAGAGGGTGGTCGGCGTGGATGTGAGCAGCGGCGTCGAGGTGAATGGGCAGCAGGATTTGGCGAAGATTAAGGCTTTTGTCGAGGCGGCGAAGGCGGTCTAGGGAGTTCTTCATATGATTGAGAGTTTTGCCTGCGTGAATTGAAAATCAAGCTTTTTCCGCCGGTTTACGCGGAGCTTCTTGCCAGGGAGGAAACTGTGCTCTGCTTGTGACTTCGGTGTGCTTTCTGCCAATAGTAATTTGTCGCTTTACATTCTCTCAATAATTGTCAGGCGCTCAGCTTGCTGGAAGGACGACTGATTCCCGTGGCGATCAAGAGCGTGGAGCTTCTTTATCTTCAATTGCACACTGGCTACGTGATTTACATGGACGATCGAACGTGGAAAGTACGAATTCATGAGGCAATAATCTCTGCGCCTTTCCTCGTTGTCCATGCGGCGGGGAAGGTGAGGACGGGGGCGGGCGCACTGGGTGAAACTGCTGGTGACCTCATCGCCCACGTCAAAAATTTTTTTTTTGGGCAAATGGCTGATGAAAGTAGCTAACTGATCAGGGTTTGCGGTACTATGCCGTTCGAAACTTAATAGCTGTTTAATGACAGTTGCTGGCGTTCTTCTCTAGACATATATTACAAAACCGTCACTGCGCAGCTGGGTCTGAGAAAGATTCGTTGCTGAGAACAAAAATAGCAGAGCTAGAAACTTTCGTAGAAACAATCTGTTTGATTATGTCCGCTGTGTTGCCTCTTGCGTGTTTACCTTGGCGTGGACGAGGAGGTGTTGCGTAGTTGCTTGTTTGGTTCGCGAGCGGCGGGCACTGCCTGCCTCCCTCACCTCACTTCACTTCTGACCAGCACCTCACCTTCGAAGAACCGCCCATAATGGCCACAAATTTCAGATCTGCCCGGCCAAGAGCCGCTTGGCCCGTCTCTTTAGACCTTCACCCTCCTCTCCTCCTTCCCTCCATCATCCTTTCTTCTTCCTTACTCCCCTCCAACCCACAGTCCCGTCAAGCAAAGACACCATGTCGCAATACCCGCAGCAACCCCCTCACACGCCTCACACGCCCTACACGCCTCAGGCGCCTCAGGTGTCTCGCGGCTCTGATAACATGCTGGGCATGCTCATGAGCGACAGTCGCTACTTCGGCGACATCAACTCACAGGCATCGCCTTTTGCCTTGGTCTGCCCCCCGCATGAATCGGGTATTCCGCCCGCCGCACTTTTGACTGGCAACATGCGCAATGCCATGCCTGTCCACCAGAATCCTCCTTTCTACGGACAAATCTATCCGAACGGTGCTGCTCCGGTCAGGTCCAATGCCCAGCAGCTCACTCCCAACACGCCAATCACTCCATATACTTCACCCTCCGTTGCCAACTTCTGGTTCAACCTTATGCAGCCAACCCCAAACGCGCGCCAGCGTCGAGCTTCTGCGGTCAGGACCAGGCCCGTGGCCCAGCAGTTCAGGTTCAACCCTTATGCACGCGGTAACCCGCCGGTTGCTGCCATCCCTAGACCCGCCATCCCGCAGCACACTTTCTACACAACTCAAGCTCACCCATCTACTATCCCTCAGAGGTCCAACAGCCAGCAGCACTTTTCTCACGCTCCAAACACTTCGTATGCTGCTACTGGGACGGGAACTCTAACTCCGCAGCTTCGCACTTGGAACAGCCCTTCTGGCTCAGATGCGCATGCAGTGACTGCTGGCTCCCAACAGCCTGCTACTCACACATATCACGAACCTCAGCCGGTGTTTCCTGTACCTCACACGCCTGCCCGCATCGATAGAGCCAGCACTGGTTTGCTCAGTCCCGAGAAGACGCCAGTTACAAACAACCAGGCAAACGGCAACCTGCAAGACTTCTCCGGAGGCTTTTACTTGATCGTTCCTCAAGACACTTCTGGAAACTGCACCTTGAGCATTCCTTCGGAAGACAACACTCGTCAGTCTGCTGCAGCTGAGGCCCCACAACCCCAACAAATGCCAGCCCTAACCACTGCTCCGGACACCACTACGGAGCATATCTCGTCGGAGGCTTCGAAGGAGCGTTCTATCGAGAGCATCTTCCGCGATAAGGATGCACAGATGAACAAGGACAATGAGAAAGAGTGGACCAGTATGATGGACTTTGCAGGTGTCATTCGCGAGCGAAGCTGCAGCGACGTCGTCGAACAAACAGCCCAGAAGCACGAGATCGGCAAGAAAGATGCCATCATCGACATGGGCTCGGACAACTACCATGTGTACGGCGACCACTCTAACTTCCTCTTCCACAACATCACCCTCACCCGCGTCAATCTTATCAAGAACAATCCTGAGTGCATTATCCTCCTCACCATCTACGAGTGGGACCTCTGGCCGCCCCACTACACGACGATCATGAAAACCTACGGCCCCGGCTCCGGCCCCGGCTGGGGCCCTGGCAAGCGCCAGAACTACAAGTTAGAGTTCCTTGCCGACAAGACCGACTTCCGGACGGCGTTCCTCGAATTCCGCAAGGCATTCAAGAAGTACACGCGCATCAGCTGGGAGGCGCGGTCTGTGCCGCAGGAGTACATCACTGCGAGCGCGAGGGCGTGGGAGAAGCAGAAGCGCGAGCAGCTCATGTTCGAAAAGGTCGGCGAGCAGCGCGAGGACGGCAGGAGCAGGAGCGCCAGCCCCGTCTCGCGCGAGCCCGGAGAGACGAAGAATGCCAGCAACAGCAAGTCGAAGAAGAGCCGCACGCCGTACCAGCGCCCTGAAGATGTTCTGACCAAGGAGGAGCTGGCGAGCTGCAGGCTCTCGCTCTTCAGGTACACTCCGCCGTCCGAGCGCTACGGTGGGCCTCGCGGCGTGATGCCCGAACTGCCTGGACGTTACCCGGTCATTTCTGGAGATGACCCCAATGATGGCGGTTGGACACTGGTTGCTCCTACTGACTGAGGTTCTTGGTATAACGATTTGGTTTTCTTTCTTGCTGGGTTGAAGTTACGAGCCCGAAGTTTTCCTCACCGACTACGACATTGATTTACGAATTGGTGCCGGTTAGCTGCGCAATATCTCCTCCGTTTCTGCTTGGTCGCCGAGAGGATTGGACAGCAGATGGCCATTTGATTGGTGACTGGCGGAGGTCCTGCATTGCGCATTTGAGTTAAAACACTCATGGAAGGTCGAAGCATCACACTTCTTGCAAGTGTTCAGAAGGTTAGATAACAGTCTCATTGGAGCCAGCTCTTTTCCAATCCTGCTCTTGATTAGCTTTGGGTATCCAATTAAATGAACGTCTTCTCATATTATGTGCGCGAGCTCGGTGTGTCCATCATCGCATCTGCTGCACATGAGCGTGAATGAAATGTCTAATGAGATGGGGAGAGACGTGATCTAGAGAAACAGGGACAAGAGAGTATATATCATTCGAGCCTCGATTCCAGCCACATCCGTCTTCCTTTCTCTCTCCGCTCTGGCATAATCCATTGAACATCGTAACATCGTTTTGACGTGAAGGCGCGTGCCCACTTTTCTCCCAACCTTTCCTTTCCAATCTCCTCCCTTCTTAGAAAGGCATCACGACGACCAACCCCGCTATCGCAGCCACCAGCGCTATCGCGCTCACGCTCATGCCCGGCGCCCGGCTGCTGCCCTGGCCTTCGTCTCGTCCTCTGCTGCTGCTTCCTTCGCCTCGCTTGCTGCCGTTGCTTGCGTTGGTGGTTGGGGTTGAACTCGAGATCCAAGGACCGGAACAGGAAGAGGAGGGAGAGATGTAGACGGATGAAGGAGAAGCGTCGTCGTTGAGGAGCTGCTGGTGCGGTTGTTGGTGTTGCCACTGTTGGCGCAGCGCGGTGCTCGTCTTGAGCGGCGGGTAGGCGGCTGCTGCTGCTGCTGATGATCTCGAGGTCGAGGTCAGGGCGGAAGAAATTGTTGCTGTACTTGCGACTCTGGCGGGCCGAGTCAGCATTTTTGCGCATTGACGGGGACGTCGTGAGTCGGAGTACGGGGGACCTTCGTAAAAGGATAAATGAAGGAGGGAGAGAGGAGGAGAAAGACTTACTCATGGAAAGCCAGTACCGTCGAGGCGAGCAAGGCGTATGCGATCAAGTATGCCTGCCATAGGCGGGAGATCGACGGGACCATAGCTTTCGCGCTGGGATGCGGAGAGAGCGGCGGCGGCGCAGAGTGTCAATGGACGGAGGGTGCAGCGCCGGCGGGGGGCCTGCCGAAAAAAGGCGGAAGTGGAGGAGGATGGCCGTCGTCTCCAGCAAAAAGGCAGGGCTGGGGGGGATTGCGTTGGGAATTTTGGTGCCAGGTACGCGCGCGGAGAAGATTAAAGATTAAGGTTGTGAAAAGGGCACCAGATCCACGGACCGGTCCCGCAGCGACGCGACCAAATTATATGTGGCTGAAGAAGGGAAGAAAGGTCATTTAAAACACGACCTGACTACCACGCACTGACCAGAATATGGAAAAGGAATTGTTCTGGCCAAAAGGAGATATATGAAGGAAGCAATAAAATAATAAGACAATATCGATCAGGCTGCAGATATGCGAGTAAGCAAGAGGAGGAGGCGCCAAGGTAGACGGCCGTGAGGTGGAGAGATCAGCCAGGAACAGTGGTAGCGAGGAGATCGAAGAGGTAGAAATTGACAGCTCAGCGGTTGTTAAAAAAAAACAGGGCGATGTAGATCTGGATTAAAAAAATAGAGTCCAGCTGCTCGGAGGGGCAAGGTTTTACGTCTAACAAGCAAGGCTGTGTCCGTTGGCGAAAACGCTGTCGTCAGTTGGCGGTGCAACTCCGCCACGGCCCCGGGCGACTCGCGGCGATATATGCGTGAAGAAGAAACACCCGTCCACCCCAGAGTGCGCGTGCTGCCTTACGCAGGTCCTTTTAACATAAAAACAGGCTGTCGGCTGCTGGTCTGGTCATGCTCTTCCTTCGACCCATTCCTGCATACTCCAGCTCTTTTTTCCCCGGTGTGCGGCCAGTCGCAATTCAGGCGCCCTCCGGCCGTTGGAGTTCGGCCCCCCGAGAGCGAATGAGGGCGGAAGGCAATGATGCAAGCCGAGCCTTACGATGAAGCAGCACGCCCGCCGCCTTCGCGATCCCTGCTTTTTTTTTTTTTCCTTGCGGCGAACTTGAGCCTGATATGCAGAGCGGGAGAGGCGGAAAAATGGCCGCCCTGGTCTGCGGGGATCGTAGCGACGGACGGCAATCGCTGTTTGGCCACGCCCAGGCCACAGCACCGATGCCGTTTGCCGAACAAGGTGTGATGATACGCTTCATCAAGAGGTTCGACACCCATGCTGAAACGGAGTGAAGTGCCGAGCCTACTACGGCGCGGGGTTTGCTCCCATCGGCCGTCATAAGGCTCGTCGCATCATCATCGCACCCTCGTCGCAAAGGGGTGGTGCACCTATAACGTCGCGTCGCTCAAATCGCTCAGCATTAGATTTGCACGTCGCGGGCCGCGCGTCGTCGCTGTGAACTGACTCTCGCTGCTTGTCATGGTTTGTCAGCGATATCGCAGCGCGAGTATATCGTGAACACCATTCCGGCTGAAGATAAGGCACGCGTCCGCGTTTGATGTGCTTCTTGGCCTTCCTGCCCAAGGCTGACGCGCTGTCTGTGGTACGTAGACATATCATATTTTGCCTTCTCGCTTGTCAGCAATAAAGTTCTCGCCAGCCTGCTTGCGGCCTGAGGCATCGGACCATGGGACTGCATCGCACGTGGACCCCGCACTGCTGCTCCCGTCCCGCTCGCGCGCCTCTCCCGCCACAGGTGCTGTGTAGGATGGACATCGCGGTGCTATTTTCGGGAAAGACGCGCATGTGACGGATTGGATGAACGGTACAGAATATCTCGACTCGACTTTACAGCCACTGCTCAGCGTTGGTGGAGGCAGAGCATATATTTTTGCACGGCGCGATAAAATAGCAAGACGCGGTGCGGGGTGCGGTACAAAAGGGCGGCAGTGGCTGCATCATTGGCGATAAGGCAGACACCCAAAAATAGCAGCAACCAAGGCAAGTAGGAAGGTTCTACCACTTAGCGAATCATCGATCACTGCTGCATCGTGCAGATCACACACACACCCAGAAATAAGTTGCAGCTACTGCGGCCCGCTAAGCATGCTTAGCTCTTGCCTAAATTCTTTTTGAGCCGCGACATGCATCGTGCATTATCGAGTGGAGAGAGAGAGAGAGCGTGACTTCACCGTGCTGCTGCGAGCGGGCGTCGCGCACCACAAGAACGCCTCCCGGACGGCAGGAATGCGACCTAGTCAGCCCGTCTGCCTGTGGCGCGCGCGCATAGCAGGACCGTTGTTCCGGTGGCTTGCAGACTGCTGGTCGCCAGATGTAGCTGCTTGGCTGTTGCTAGTGCCTGGTGTCACTTTTCAGCGCTCAATGCTGTTTCTGTTTTGTCATGATCATCTTTTCACTAATCATGATGATGCAATTCGGAATTAAGAAGAATGCGACTCGGAGGCTCCGTCGGTGAGGTTGACAATGACGACACGGCGCCGGCGGGTGAGTACATGCGGCTAAGGTGTCGAAGCGTTGTGTAACTGGAACGTTGTCAGACACGAGGAAGTGAGGGGACTCGGGCTGACCGCTACGGTCGTAACATCATTCCTGCGGCTAAGAGATGCGACTGCATTATGTGCGTATCATCATGCTTGGCTGTGAGATGGTGGTGCTAAGTGAACGGAGGCATCTCCTCGGACGGCGCGCTTCACTGGCAACAGAATGATATCGATTAGGAAATTAGTAGGGTATTTTTCTTACTCACATCTGAACCAATCAACGATGGAGTATAATCATGGGTCGGTAGACGAGCCAGTAAGAGAGCCGGCAGAGGAGGAGCTTCTCTCGAAAGTAGACACCAAATAGTGAACAAGTATGCAGGAGAATTTGTACATTTTTCATACTTCCAGATGACTGTACGAGCGTAGATGCGAGCAGATGATTGCTGCCGCTAGATATTGCAAAAAGAGAAAAAAAAGGACCATCCAACCCGATATCAGCCAGCGAAGTAACGAGCGGAGAAACAGAGTGCCACCCAAATCCAACACCCAGCTCCAGCTTTTTGTGACAATAGTGACCAAAAAGGAAATGTCTGTAAACAACTGTATGCAAACCCAAAAGCCTAAACGCGAGTATATCCATCTCTTATCCAAAAAGGGGGGAATCTTATCAACACCAACCTCGAATCATTCCAAAACTCCACGTAGCGGCGTCTTCACAATTCCTCAGTGTACACCAAGCCCAGCTGCTCGCTCCACGGCAGTCCGTCGGGATGCTGGTGCTTCAGGCGGTCCTTTGCGCCGGCGGCCAAGCCGCACAATGGCAGGCGCTCTGACGGGCTCGGCGTGTTGCCATAGCACGAGTACCTGCGGTCGTCCTCGCCCGTCCAGCCGACGCACTTCCAGCAGTTGAACAGGCTGCGGGGGTCCCACTTGTTCTTGATCTTGAGCAGGCGGGCGTAGTTCTCGCCGAAGAAGGTGTTTTGCCAGTCCGGCTCGCCGTAGTCGCCCTCGTTGACGTAGCAGCCGCCGCCGGGCGTGAGCTTCTTGAGGAACGCCATGGCGTCGCGGCTGCCCTTCCAGAGCGCGTCGATCTTGCACTGCGGCGTGCCCTCCATGTAGCCGGAGACGTAGTCCAGCGTCCACAGGGCCTCGCGCCATGCCCGGTGAGCCGATGTGTCGCGGGCCTCGTCGGGAGTGTTGGCTGGGGTGGTGGCGTAGACCTGGACCTGGAAGTGGTCGTTGTCGGCGGAGCCCGCGGCCAAGCCGTTGACGAGCGCGTTAACGAGCGCAGTGCGGTTTTCCTGAGAGGCGAAGAGCGAGCGGGGGACGAGGCGGCCGGTTTCGACGACGGCCATGCCACCCGGCGCGTTGCGCTTGATGATGCCGCGGTAATCCGAGTCAGTAGCCCAGTCATTGTAGGTTGGGAACCGCTCGTAGGCATGCTTGTTGATCTTCATGCCAGGGAGAGAGGTCAGGAAGTTGGCCCACTCGGACGTCAGGTCGATCATGGCAGAGAGGGGCTGATTGGCGGGCCAGACGAGATGCGTCTCGATCTTGTTGCGAGAGAAGAAGTTGTAGCCAGACATGTTGGCATTGGACCAGGCCTGCTGGCTCTCAACGAAGCGAGTAAAGATGGCATGATAGACCCAGCTCTGAGTGACGTCCTTGGGAAGATCGGTGATGTCTGCCAGGAAGCTGTAGGTGTTGAAAGGAACTGAAGGATAAACCTTGAACTTGTAGTTGATCAAGACAGCATAGGTACCACCACCTCCACCGCGAAGGGCCCAGAAGAGGTCGGGCTCTTGGCAAGCATTGACGGTGCGCAGGATACCATCGGCAGTGACAACGTCGAATTCAACGGCCTGGTCAACCATCAAACCGTGCTTGGGTCCCAAGGGGCCATGGCCAGCACCCTGGCCGAAGCCACCAGCGGCTCCAACGCTTGCCATGGCACCCAGTGTGATATCCATGCCCTTTTCCTTGAAGTAGGCAGCTGCTTCGCCCGCGCTCACACCGGCGCCAATGACACCGATGTTTTCGTACGTCTTGGAGCAGCCCTCAGGGGTGAACTTCTCGTGGAACTCGTACTTCTGGATGTTCCGGGTCCACAAGGCAAGTGAATTGGGGCCAACGCTGCGGCCGAAGTAATCATGACCAGAGTTCTTGATTGACATGCGGACACCGGTCTTGTTGACGAAGTTGAGGGTCTGGATAACGTCGTTGGCAGTTGTGGCATTGACATAGTAGGCAGACAAGGCACCGAGGGAGCACTGTAGGCCGTCGGCAGCCTTTAGCACACACTTCTGGGGGCCGCACTCCTGCCATTGGAGGTTCTGAGTTGAACCGTATATGGCAGCTCGTGCCACGTCGTCCCGGAAATTTGTCGTAGCCATGGCACATAGAGAGGCGTCGTAATTGCCGGAGTCATCATAGCATGGGCTGGCCCACGGCTCGGTGATTCTCAGCTGTCCGTCCAGGGTCGAGTTGAAAGAAGCCCATTGTGACAGGGAGGGCCAGCACGGCTCTCCGGGGATACAGTCGAAATTTGAGGCGGACGCCGCAACGGCGAGACAGGACAGGAGGGTCAGTGGGGAGTACATGGCTTGTTGCATGTCGGAGAAGTGACTGGCGAAGAATGGCGCGGCATGGTGTATATATCATGAGGAAGGGGGCCAGATACTGAAAGGGCAATCGGACGATAGGCGGCTTGGGCGAGCCGCAGTGCATGGTCCCCACCAGACGATCATTGGATAGACGCCTGAGGCGTTCGCTGCAGGCAGAAAAGCCGCTAATTTTTCTTAGAGCCATCAGCCCGTTTGGGGCCATTTTTGGCACCTGACGTGAGACCTGCCAACCGCAGCACGCGGAGGTGAGCTCATGGTGTGAACCGGCGCTGACCGTGGTGCGGCATGTGCAGCGGGCCCTCCCCTTGCCGCTGCATTCAGCCTCGCTGCAGGACGCCGGTCGATGCGGAGCTAGGCTGGTGATGGTGATTTGGAGTGTGGAGCGCTGCAGGTCCCGGGCCCAGCGAGTTGCTCAGCTGCCGAGGCGCCCGTGCGCCCGCGTGCGCCGGCCCAAGTGCTCGGCCAGCGCGACGCCAGAGCTCCACTCCAGTGCAAACTCGGAAAGAGGTGCCATCTTGCGAGCCTACGAGCTGAGAACACTACGCTGCTCGGCGCCCGGCTCGCCTCCGTTTGGACAATGTCTGGCGGCCTCCGTCGCCGCCGAGCTCGTCCGCTGCGCGCCACCAACTGCTTTCTCCGCCGCGACCGATGACTCCCCGCCTGCTCTCTTGCGACGAGGCTGCGTCAAGCCCGGCAACAACCGCCCTTCGACGACGACGATAACCCTGTGGCGCTCGCCCGATAGCGCCTTTTGCGCCCCTTCGAAGCCTTTCCGCGCGGCCGCATTTGGGGCCCCCAGGGCCAGAGCGTGCGGATTTTTCTCTCTGCTCCACCACCTCATGCATCACCGCGGCGAGGGAGCACGCGCAAAGCCTGACCCCGACGTCCTGCGCCTCATTGGAAACGGCCTCCCGACGTCATTTGGGATCGTGTACCGCCTCATTAACGACCCACCCTTTGGTCCCTTGAGATCGCCAGGATTGCGGCGTGGTCCTGGCCTTACGCCCTGTGCTTCCGACCTCTCCGCCAGGGATGCGAGCGCAATGCAGCTCCACCTCCAGCCAGCCTTCTTGCCCCTGCTCCAGCGCTCGCGATGCTTCCAGCCTGGCCTCTTTGACGCTCACGCAATATCTTTCCTCAATCCGTCACTAATATTATCAAAGCGAGTCACGCCGCGTCTCATTTTGGAGAGCATGCATTTATCCCCAAAAGGAACCATCGCCGGAGGACATCCCTAGACCAAAGGGATTGGCTCAAGGCTCCCGCCAATGGCGCAACGAATCGGCCATGATCCGCTTCACGCAAAACCTTCCGTTTTCGTGTGTTCAGCCTTCTCATCCGCCACCAAGCGTCCTTCGACACTCCCCAATGTTGAAGGCACCGTCAGGGCGACACTGCCGCAACCTAGCATGCTGCCTTGAGATCCATTCTAAATGCAAGGAAGATAAGGCCCCTTCTCAAGACGTTAGGTAGCCTACCATGTGGGCGGTAAGCCTTGATTATCACCACGCCTGAATTGTGGCACCATATGCGAACTGCAAACGGTTTGTTTGCCTGCATCTTAGCCGATTCCTTATACTTGCCTATCGCCATTTTCCGCTTTGGGTAGTACAACGGATCGGTCCGTGTGCTAATCGTTCGTCGCTTGTTTGACAGCTTTGACCATTTGTCTAGCGTCCTCCATAGTCTCTGCTCGGAGGAGACGACACTAGCGCCTATCTCTGGCTTACTGTCGAACTGCGACCGTTTCACTAACAGGCACGATCTAGTAGATCATCGTGGCTGGATAAGATATCCAAGACCAATCCACCAGTGTCAAAATATTCAGACGTACTCAGATGCGTCCATACCTGCCGTTCTTTCACGTTACGACTAGCTTTCTCTCCGATACGAGAAGCCATCGGTACGTAGAAACCTTCTCAATCAGATCCGCAGAAGCTATGTTGGTCCATCCGAGCGTCAATGGCACCTGTACGTCATCATACGCAATTCACGCCGATTCATGCACTCTGCAAGTGATTTGCAATCCTTCCGCCGCACGTCCGCACGGAAACTTCAACCGATCATCGCGAAGGATTGCGGCGCAGCGACCACCTGGTCTAAGAGTCGGTGGCCGCAATGGATCATGAGGGCTACCAAACAAATCCTTCAGCCAAAATCTCATGGCCGGCGTAGTAATAACTAAGCAAAGGACCAAACATCCTTGTCTCCTTATCACAACGATAGGTGCGGCGGAAGCTGCACATAATCTTCCGAGCGTTAAGGATTCCGGCCCCCCTCCCCTTCAGAACGCAACATGCAAGAAGGCGGAAAGGAAAAAAAGGCTCAGCGTGATACACACATGACCCAGCCGCGGATCCGCAGCCAACGCCGCCTCTTCCTTCATCAGCCCTGACTGCACTTTCCGTTTCTATATTCTCCGCGGGTGTGGCTTTTGATTTTCCCTTATCGTTATGCAGAAAAAACTCCGCCTCTTCGTCCCACCTCGCACAAGACACGCTTGAGGCAGGGGGGCCGGGGCCTGAGATTTCTGCCTCGTAATGCGGGGGAGACATCCATTTTCGTGGGGGAGAAACGAAAGCGTACATCAGGCAGGCTGACGAATGGGGCCGCTCGCACTGCGGCGTACAGGGCGGGGCAAGATGGGGACGGCAGGACGACTGCGTGCCAATTGGGGGCCGGATTATCTGGCCCCCACGTGTCGACCATAGGTCGCGGACGTCCACCATTCGTGGCTTGGCGACTGTGATTGGACGAGCGAGGGAGATTAGTGGCAAAGCAATCGCGGATAATTGTGGATAAATTTATCCCATCTTGGGTTGGTGGGCGAAGGGTGAAGGGGTGGTCAGCTGCATGTGCTGCGCTGCTCTTCACGTCACACACACACACATTTGCCGAACAGAGTAGTGGGAAAAAAAAGTAAAAATGGGATGAACAGTAGCGTCGTCAGCTCCCGGCGGAGCCGTTGTGATAGCTAAGCTACATGCTACTGCAACTTACCGACGCCGCCGCTCTCGGTGAGCTAGTTGAGTCAACGCCTCGGTGATTGTAATCGTCGTCCCTTCGGCCGGATCGCGGTGGAGCAGTCATCAGCTGGTGACGAGCTGTTGTTGCCTTGGCCTTAGTCAAACAATCTCGAGTAGATGCCTGCGTAAGCTAGCTGCCTTCTTTTCTCGTCAACCGCGTTATACGCCGCACAACCTACCTTCCTGCGCCTTCTATCCCAGGCTTCCTTGCCACCGCGGCCTTTATTCTATTATTAAGTTGGACGCTGATAAATTATTCTGGACAGTTCTCTGTGTCAGGCTGAAACGGAGAACGGAAAATGAGGAAAGGAATAGGATATGGGCGGGATGAAGAGGAGCCGAGAGGTAGTTGATTACCCTCAAGCCACAAGACGACGTACCATCAGCACACCACACACACAGCTCCATCTCTACAATATCCTGTATTCCCTAACGCTCTTTTTATATGGTTCTCTCCCCCAAGACCACAGCCAAGATCATGCACACGCTTCACTGCAGAGACACACAAACGGAAAAGAGAAGAAGCATGACACATCCCAACCAATTGAAACTCCCTACATGACATTTGTGAAAAAGCAGACGAGGGATAGAAATTAGTCCAAAACCCTCACCTCATCTGCAAGGAAAAAAATCGTTTCCATATTTCCTTCTCTCTCTCTCCCTGACCCCCCTCCCCCTCTCTCCTTTTATCTCTTCCCCCCCAATCAAGCAACCGAACCACCACCGCCACCACCAGTACCTCCCGCAGCAGCCGCCGCCGCCGCGGTCCCCGCCGTTATAGCAGCCGCCCCCTCACCCAGACACTCCAACGCGCCCAGCAACTCGACGACGATCCTCTCCTCCAACTTGTTATCCGCCGAGGCCGCGGCGCCGGCCGCGGTGCCGCTGGCCTTCTGCTTGACGAGCTCGAGCTCGCGCTCGTTGGTGGGGACGACGCGGTCGCGCAGGCCCCTGCGGCCCTGCAGCCAGCCCTCGACGTCTTCCTTGACGCCGGCGCGGTCCCAGTCGAGCGGCATGATCTCGGCCGGGTTGATGATGGCGTTTGCGGCGGCGCCGCCCGGGTCGGCGAAGCGGAAGCGGTCGAGCACGACGCTCAGCAGCGCGAGGCTGTGCGCCTCGGCCGCCGCGCCCAGCGTCACGGCGCCGGCCACGTCCTTCATGCTTTGTGGGTTGGGCGCGCCGCCGCGCGGGTTGAGCGCGGCGGACGCGCGCGCAAGCTGCTCTGGGAACTGGTTGAGAAAGGCGGCCACCTCGGCCGCTACGGGCGCGCCCACGGCGTCGAGCAGGTTCAGGCACAGCGGCAGGATGCCCCGCGTCCAGATGGAGAAGAGGCGCGGCGGGTTGTCAAAGGGCCCCATGCCGCGCGGCTTGCGGTAGTAGTTGACCAGGTTGGCCGTGCTGAGGCGCGCCAGCACGCCCTCGACGGCGAGCACCTCGGCCATGGGCAGGATGCTTGACAGCTCGAGCAGGAAGAGGATGCTGAGCTCGCCGTAGACGGGGTCGCCGCCGTCGACCGTCAGTTGGTCCGCCCAGGTGAACAGCGCCGTCGCGTGCCGCACCGTGTTGGCCGCCGAGAACAGCAGCGTGATCTCGCCCGCCATGACCTGCATTCCAGGCACGCGCAGGATAGCCGATAGCAGGGCGCTGATGAGTACGAAGTCCGCAGGCGAGCAGCTCTCCTGATCCTCGTGCACCTGGTTCGCCAGAGATCGGAGTCCGGTAGCGACGACCTTTTCTAGTATCTCCATGAGCTCTGATGCGATCTTCGGAATGTTCTTCTGAATGCCAGGCTCCTCCTTCTGCTGAGAATTCATGTGAGGCTGCAGAGTCAGGAACAGTATCCTGAGAAGTGTCCTGTAGTAGTCGGCATTGTCTCCCATGAAAGCGATCTCGAAGTCGACGCCGGACATGCGGATGGTGTCCCAGCAGAGTCTGAACAGAGCTTTGATGTGATCGCTCGTACACCCAGCTGCGATGAGCTTTTGCATCAAAACGAATGCAAAGTCTGCTCGCACATGCACCAACCGCTCAAACAGCGCTTGCGATCCATTTGACGTCTGATTTGCCTTTAGGCATTGCCGGACGACTTGGGAAAGAATCTCCTCAAGGCGGTGGTCCTTATTGGCAATTGAGCTGAGTTCAATTGCAAGCAGCTTCCAGCTCTTAAGAAGCATTATCTGTGCCTCCACCAAAGACAAGTTGACATTGGCCCTCTGGAACTCATCCACAAAGCCATGGTCCTTTCTCAAGCCAACCCACGTCTGGTCGAAGCCAAGAACCTCAGACGCGTACTGGAGGTCGTAGAAGTAGTCGCGGCCAAACTCGGACCGCGTGAGAATCGTCCTCTTGAAATTCGAGAGCTTAACAGCGGGGAATTTGCTTTCGACATTCTTCTTTAGGTTGCTGTGTAATGATTGGTTGTATGCCGGCGGATCGACACCGTGCTTTTGGAGGAAGTCGAGCTTAGCAATGACGTGTTGTGCGGGACGCATGTCGCCCAGCTGTCGTGCGTAGTGAAGGCACATAGCGCCAATATCCGCGACTAATGATGCCATCTGGATCTTGATAGACTGGGTCTCAACCGTGTTTAGAGGTGCACTGGCTGCCACCGGTTGCAGTGTCCGGATGAAATCCATGATGCTCTCCAGGAAGTTCTTGTGGGAGTGCATTTTGGTAACAGCCCACGGCCAGTGATTTTGCGCCAGAGAGATGAACTCCAACATAGCAACAGCTCTCCGGGGGTCCAATGACTTGATCTCGCATAGCTGATCCAGCGCCGATGTTAGAACAGGCTTGCCACGAGGCTTGCCAGTCACCTTGTCCTCTTTCTTCTTGAGCGAATCTCGGGGTGTGTTGCCAGTGAGGAGATAGATCGAAAGCCATTGTTGTTTGCTGCTCACCACCGAAGACAAGAATCTCCAGATGCTGACCTCGACTGTGGTATCCTTCAAGGCTCCGCTAATGGTTGAAAGCATGCTAAGGAAAGCTTTGGCAGTCTCAGGACCCAGGTGTCCGAGTAACGAAGGGGGCTCCTTCTCCCCTCGTGCGGCGCTCTTGACCAAAACTTCAAGAAGTGTCATAGTGGAGGGCTTGAAGCTTTCGTGTGCGATTGACAGTCGGGCAAGTAGTGGGGCAGCCTTGAAAAGTTGATGTTCCAAATAAGATGTCGGACGCTCGAGCAGAACGCCACTCTGAAGAATAATTGTGGCAAAGGTAATAGCCGCGTCGGTCTGCAATCGCCATAGATTGTCAACACGGATAGGCGTAGTAATGGGAAGGGGCTTTGTCCCTGTGAAGAAGATGTTGAGGATTGCGTGAGTCGAAATGTCATTTGTCGAATCCGAGCAGAATGCATCCAGGAGGTAGTCGGCTGAAGGTGAAATGACGGAGCTTAGTTTTTCACTTGGGCTCGTCGCTTCGTCATCATATCCATGAACGGTACGCAAAATGTCGGAGAAAACCTCCATCGTTAAACGGTTGAGTTCAAGCTTCTGGTCGATAGCTCCGAAACGCCAGCTGGGACTGCTCTCAAAAACGCCAGTGAAAGTCTTGGTGAAGCTGAGCAAGACCTTGCTTGTGATCTTATCGGGAGATCCAGCCCCAGAGGCGGGAAGAGACGAGAATCTCACAAGCGCCTTTTGGCTCTGCTTTCTGGATACGACATTCTTGATCGAGTCGTTGAGCAGGGCTTTGAACAGGTGAGCGCAGGCCAGAAGGAAGTCGTAGCGACCAATCACCATTTCAGTCCCGGAGACAATCTCCACGAGGCTGCCGCCAATGCCCTCTAGATCCAGCAGCTTACTCCTTGTGAAGAATGGCCAGACCCTATTGGGGAACACCTCGACGAGCGCATGAATGAAGTGCAGACAGTTGACCAGAAGTTCAAGCGATCCTTCGTTGTTGGGTCTCTCTCGCAGCCTCTCTAGCTCTTGCTCGAAGATGTCGAACACCAAACTGATGATATCTTGGTTGCGTCCAAGTCCATCGCTGGCATCTTCCAGGATCCACTGTGCGTCTTTCCGTGCATCTGCATCCCTCGCGGAGGCGGCCTTCCCGGCGGCAGCAACAAGCATTGCAAGCAGACCGATATACTCAGTAGCTGTTTCAATGCTGATCGGCTGTAGAGTTGAGGTGTTGATCGTTTCGCTGCCTACCACAAACGTCGACAAGTATGCGGCCAAATAGCGTAGGGCCGAATGCTTATGCATCCACGCTATCACAAGAGGTTTGGAATCTGGGTTGAGCGCTATGCCTTCAGTCCCAAGAGGAATGAAGTGAACCTCATCTGCTTGCATCTCGTCAAGAGGAATAATTTCGTTTCCATTGGCTTCTTCTTCCGCAATAGGGCGCTTCGTGTCTTTTCGATTCCAAAAGAGGCTCAAGTCCTCCTTTAATTGGACAGACGGAACCTCATCCTCGCGGGTGGGCACGTAGTCTTCGAAGCCTGGCGGGATGACTTGCGTAAATTGAGCCTTTTCTTGCAACCACTTGGCGGTAACAAGCTCTCCCTCATCGTCCGTCTCCACTCTCAAGCACAATGTCTTGGCAAACTGCAAGAGGGGGACCGATTCGTAGGGATAACGGAACTTGGCCTGGTCCAGAATGCCCATTCCACCCTCGGCGACAAATGTCTCCAAAACCGGGTCGGGGATCTTCTTCGGAGATTGTTCTGCAAGCGTCCAGTACGTCTGACTGCCACTGAGCACTGTGAGGAAGCTCATGATGAGCTCAGGGCTGTATTCCACCGTGAAAGAACCTTCGCGGATGAGCCAGAGTAGTTGGAGGCGCATACGGGCATCCAATTCATGGCCGGAGCTAGCCGCAAGGTTATCCTGGAAGTTGATGTCGCTAAAAGTGCTGGCCAGGTTGACAGCAACCTCCGGTAGAAGCTCGTAAATCTTTGCACCGATAACAGAGGCCTTGATCAGTAACGTGGAAGTATCGTCTTCTTCCTCTTCGTTGATAGTGACTCCCCTGATCGTCTCGTTGAGTTTCTCTACGATAGTCAAATCAACGTCGGGGGAGCCTTGCGTGATTTGAGTTTCCCTTTCATGACTGAGAGTATCGCTATTGCCCTTGACGGTAAGACTGAAGACTGCCCAAGCAAACAATGCAGGACTCGCAGGTGTGGGACCGTATGCGCAAAGTTCCAGGAAAATTGTAGTAAGCCTTTCGACACAGAACTTGTTTTTGACGTAAGCTCCGCCATCAGCCCCATCGGTGGGAGTAACATTTACGCCCTCCGTTTCGATGAATTTCAGCAGACCCCGCACATTGATCACCGCCAAGGAGACCATGGCGATGAGAAGCTGCACGGTCGAACCCAGAACTTGCTGGCTCTGAGAAGGCGGCTGAATATTCCTGCAGAATTGGCAACTAGCCATGGCCTCAAACCAATCCACAACAACGTCGGAGGAGAAAAGGTCCGGGGCGCTGTCCACATATGTGAAGATGAGCTGGAGGATGACGATAGCTTCGGCAAGCTGTGACTGTCCCCACATCTCTTCAGCCTCCTCGTTGCCTTCGGGAACGTCCTTGTACCAGCCGCTGCCATTGTCAATGTTTTGGAAGCGCGATTGGAGGGCTTGAGTGCCCTCCTTGAGAAACCCAGTCGTTTGTGAAGAGAAAATTCTCTTTCCTAGCTCCTCAATCCAGGCCGGGGCGTTCGCGTTAGGTCTCGTATTGCCGGTTGAGCTGCTCGCATGTGCAGCTGCTGCGCCAACCCGTGCCAGCAAGTCGCTAATCTTCAAGATGTGTACCCGCTCAGTTAGATAGTTTTCCATTATCCGCAATTGCCTCCTCTCCTTCGAGTGAAAAGCGGCGAAGTTCTGGCCCATTCCGCTGCCCGTTGCGGCGAGAATGGTTGATTTGGGCAGGAAAGTAGAAGACCCTAGGTTCGCACCGCCCGCAGCATCCTGAACGCTGAGCGTCTCCTCCTCGGTGAAGCCAGCTAGCAGCTGGGTGCAAGGCCGGGCTTGCCATTCCAACAGCACTATCCTCAACGCCGAAATCTCATCAATGTTCGCCTTGGCTGACAGCCACTTTGTGTCCTCTTTGATCTCATCGATATTGTACTGGTCATTATCGGAGGGCGTGACATGGATGGCGGCGGTCTTGGTCTCAAAAGCGGATTTGGATTGGGCGTTCGGCGGCTGGAAAGGCTGGAACGGTTTGCTGAGGACGGCGACATTGGTGGTCTCGGAGAGGAAAGTGCTCAGGGTTTCACCCTCCCGATCGGCTTTGGAGCTACGTAGGGCAACGAAGGCGTCTTGCCATGAGCTGCGGGGGAGATCAGCAGGTGCGATGGCATGGCGTGCAGGGTCGGCAGAACGTACAGCAGCTGTTGCTCTCCGCTCAGGCATTTGTCCAAAGGCGGGAAAAGGACGGAGTCGCCAGTTGTTGCAGCCATTTCCGCCGGAGTGCGCGCCAGGAATGCGCGCGTCTAAATGTCCATGGAGGGGGTGGTGGGTAGTAGTGGAGTTGCGACAGCTCCGGAGCTCGACCTGGAAAACAATGCGCCTTGACGCGCTGCGCGGAGCGCCGCGGCAACCACTTTTCGCTCAACCGGCCCGTGCCTTAGCGTCTTGGCATTGGGCTCTCTGAGTGCTTTCCTCTCCTCGGAAGGCAGTTAGATAGCAGATACACTCTTCTCCTCTCTGTTGCGAGCTTTGGCGTTCGGTGTCGAGACACCCCATCCTTGCTAACGGAATCTATCCAGTTTCTTCATCTCACACTTCAACTACCGCCACTCAATCTTTGAGCACTCCGCCGCCAATATAGACACTAAGGTTCTCACACATGTCTCAACATTTAACTGAATTTCAGAATCACACCATCACCGCATCAGCAGCGATAAGCACTCACAACAAGCATCATGGCTTAGGAATCTTGCGATTCTCGATTGTTTCTGTCAATGCAATTCCTTTCCCAGTCCTTCCTTCTATTCCCCCCGACTCCAATAACCTGAATTCCTTCAACATTTACTGTTACACAGATGTCTTGTGTCCGGAGACACCACACTCTGACTCGAGTGACAAACAGATAAGCGTCTTCACATACACGAATTTTATCCGTATATCGTGAGGTTGCGTTTACCATTTCCAATACACATATACCTCATTTCGTCAAATCCAAATCTCGCCCATCTCCAAAACAAGACCAAAAGATCAGCAGGAGTAGGACTGGAATCATGAAGCCAAAAACTTACCCAAAACACAAACAACGGGTATCACAGGATACAGTATTTACAAGGACAAACGGACGACAACAACGGCGATGGGACGAGAACGAGCGGAAACGAGACGACGAACGGCGGTGAACGGTAAACGCAACGCAACGCGAAACGCAACGAGCGGAGAGACGATTACGCCGCGCCGGCAGCATCGGCGTAGGACTTCTTTTGCTTCTTGTGGAATGGGAGTTTCTTGGGCAGCGCCTTGCGGAGCGGCTTCCAAGACCTCTTACATAACCACGCAACAGCTTTTGAAAACCCGGAGAACTTTTTTCCCTTTCCTGAAGATTTCATCAACATCGTCATTCTGGTTTTGCTGCGGCTCCTGGTAGTGGCTGCTGTATTGCGGCTTGTGATTACCTGCTTGCTGGGGCTCTTGCTGTTGGGCGCCGTGCTGGGCGCCGTGCTCGGCGTGCGGCTCGCCGGAAACGGCATCGGCGTACGAGTGGCCTTCGGTGGCATGGTGGGGCTTCTCGGCGTGGCCGTTCTGGTGGTGCGGCTGCTCGTGCTGGACGGGCTGTTCGTGCTTGACGGGCTGGGGTTGCTGCCAGGCCGGGCGGTTGTGGGTAGCGATGGGGAACTTGCTGGCCGGACGCTGGCCGCCGCCGCCCAGATGCGAGGGCAGGTGGGCTTCACCACCGGTCAAGTCGACGTAGATGCGGCCGGCATTTTCCTCGGTACGGAACTGGAGACCTAGATCGCGGCAGACTTGCTCACAGCGGGGCTTGAGCTTCTGGACGTGGCCGGTGGAGTGGTTACCCTTGCCGACAATAACGTGCAGGTGCGTCTGGCCGTGCTTCTGCGCGTAACGGATGCGCTCCTCCAAAATGTCCTCGGCCTCCTCGACGAACTGTCCGTGCAGGTCGATCTCGTCGCCGGCGACGCGATCCTCGGCGTTGTTCTCGCGGAAGATGAACTCGGAAGCCTGCCTGTTGTACTCATCCATCTTAGCGGCATGGCGCTTGCCCGCCTCGGACAGCTCGTGCGCCTTCGCGCCGTCGCCGGACTCGTAGGCTTCGTGGGCACGGTCGAAGCAGTCCTGGCGCTTCGAGCGCTCGTTGCGCGCCAACTCGCGCAGACGGTCGTACTCCTCCTCGATGTCTTTGGTGCGCTCGTGCGACTCATGGTGGAAGGCTGCGAATTGTGCGATCAGCGGGGCTGGTGGTGGGCGCGCAAGGGAAGAATGCGGGACGTACGGCGACTGCCCATGTAGGAACATCCGGACGCCATGGTGCTGGTGCAGATAGTGGTTATGGCACGTGGAAAAGGAATGGACGGGGAACAATGGCTCTACAGAGAGGGGACAGGGCAAGGAGGATCGTCAGGTACTTAAGGTGGCCCTGAGTGCCTTGGAAGAGCTCGGGGAGCTGATTGCGGAGTCGATCGGCGAGCCGGCCCAGCTTGACATGGGTCTGCACGCGCGATCTCACCGCCGATCTAGACTGCCAATGGCCAGCCACGCGCACCGCCTCAGGGCATCCTCAGCCGCCGCAGTGGGGAATATTCTGCCACCTCAACTGGACCCGCGCGCATGCAGGGCCAACGGAACACCCGCTCCCGCTTGCCGCCCGCTGCGGATGAGACGGAGACGTTTGATCGCAGGCGGTGCCGCCCAGCCCTGACATGACTTGCGAGGTGGAGCCTGCGTGAAACAGGCTGTGCTGGTTCCTGTCCCTGAGCGCCAGCGAATTTCCACGCGGCTCGTGTCCGCACGTGATTTCATTTCGGATGACGTAACGCTCCAGGCGAGCCCCGAAACGGTAACCGCCTGCTCGCTGTCCCACACAAGCCTCAACCTGACCCCTCCGCCAGCCAATTGTGCGTCCCGAACGCCGAGCTCCTTGTTCCCTACAACGGTTTTCCCGGAATGGACGGACTTCCCGAGGAGCTTCTCGACCTGATTGTCGCCGAGTGCGACTTGGTCTCGTTGAAGAGGCTGCGTAGGACCTGCAAAGTGCTTGCCCGTCTGACTACCCCTCGCGTCTTCGAACACGTGCACATTGGCATGTTCATGGAGAGCCTGCAGAAAATCTGCAGCATCGCTGCGCACTCCGACTTCCGCAAGATGGTTAGGAAGCTGACCTACCACGGAGAGCTGCTGCCGTACTTTGAGAACAGAGAGGAGTACGCCGAACGCATAGACATGCGACCGCCGTTCAGTCTGTTCTACCAGATGTATTGCTTTGAAAAGGGGCTGCCGGTGCTGCCCTCGGGCGACATGAGGTATCGTGAGGCCAAGAGCGCGGCGCTCGCAATCTGGACAAAGCTGCCGAAAGTAGACCCGGAACTAGATCTGGATGCCTACTTCAAAGAATACCAGCACATCTGGGAGGAGCAGCAGGAGTGGGACGAGGAGCGGACTCTGATACTCCGACGAGCAATCTGCAACTTGCCGAATCTGGAAATGGCGGAGGTCTCGACGCAGGAGATGGGAACGCCGAAGAATAACGGCCCAGTCTGGGGAAGACTGCTGCCGCGGATTCTGCAGGGGCCCGATGATTGGAAGTTTATTGACTCGAACGAGGAGGCTTCTCTTGGCGTGAGCCTGGACGGAGCGCAGCAGATAACTCACCTGCTCAAAGCGCTGTGTGAGAGAAGCTGCAAGCCAGTCAAGTCACTAAAGTTCTCCACCAGCAATAATGTATTCTGGTGCCAGGCAACACGACTACCGATTGTCCACCAAAGTCTATGGCCAGACGAGCTCGGAGGCCTTGAAATCGACGGTCGCATCTACGAAATGAGATGTGCTTTTCACAATCTGACGCATCTCGAGCTTCTTATTTCGTTCGATCATTTTTGGGACCGGAGAGATTGGATAGGAAGTGGCATGCGAGCCTTCTTACAGGAAGCCAAGATGCTGGAAAAACTTCATTTCGGATACAGTGAAGAAACCAAAGACCGGGAAGACGACCGCTGGGATGATCCACTCCAAATTCTGGGGGACATACATTGGCCGGTTTTGCATACTCTTCGTGCAAGCTTCACGACGAGGGAAAACCTTTTGGTTAATCTTCTCAAGCGCCACTCTGCGACACTCAAGCGCCTCTCCCTGGTAGACATGGCCTTATCAAGAGCGCACGGATCGTGGGCATCTATCATCGAGCAAATCCCTCACATACTCAAATTGGAGCATATCTACGTAGAATCTCTTTGGGACTCCACGTGCGAGGAGAACGGCGGCGCTGGCCTGTTCGAGTTTTGGGAAGGTGGTGCTTACGAGAGGTCAATTATGGACTACTGTATCAACGGTGGTCAGCCTCCGCTCATTTATCCACGAGACTGGAACCAGGCGCATCCGGATGAGCCAACACAGGACTATTTTGCTCCGCTGCGCGGCAGCGACTGGGAAGAAAGTGACGAGGAATCCAGTGAAATCGATGAAGAGGAGATTTTGGTGGAGTGAGGACCAGCGACGATATACCCAAACCCATCTCTGGTTCGAGCGAGTTTACCTCGGCATAGTCGGTTCTCAACATTGAGAGTCCTGCTGGATATTGGTGCCTGTTTGCCTTACCGTAACAAGCTCGTGACCATCAGCCTTGTACATGTGACACCTGATCGTGGCGAATTTTGAAATGCAGAATTTTCAGTATGACACAGGGCTCTGGTCGAGAGATCAGAGGGATGAACTGTCTGTTCACATTGAGAGAGGCCTTGAAATAAGAATTAGTACCAGCTGTCGTCCTTCACCCAAGGCTCATCACCCAACATTGAGAGTTTCTCCGCAGTACCTCTATCTTGAAATAACCGTTAGTCCGCTGCACGTAGTCTTGCGGGGCGTCATGATAACCCTCACGTCCCCAGCTACACGCGATGTTATCAGTGGAAAATGCAATAAGGTTAAGCTTTCGTATGATATTGAGTTAGATGCCTGCAATCGCAGGTGGATGCCGTACAGATACCTCAACGCCCCATCATGCAATAGTGACAGAATGACCACCAAGGTCATTTCCTTCCTCGTCCCCTAGAACCTTATACTCGGACACTCGCCGAAGCGAACGCACTGCCTTTTCAAAAGGCACACCCTACCACTTTCGGTGGCAGTTGTGTGCAAGCGACAGAACCCAAATCCATATGATTACAAGTGATACAAAGGTCGATCTGTTGAATCAGTGACCTTTCGCACCGCGTTCATCCTGCATGCCGATGATGACGTCGGGTGCTTCAGGAAACTCCTTCTTCGCGCGAGCAGTATTCGCACGGTCGTCTCTACGACTAGAGGCGATGCCGCCAGTGCCAGAGGCGTGGGCTCTGTTGGGTCAGGTCAGCCTTGCTGCAAGTTCGGCTGAAGTGTTGGGAGCTCAACAGCCAGAGCGACAGAGGGCACTGCGGGATGATGCAGGAATGGGAAGCGGCAAAAAATGAAAATCAACTAACGCTGGCTTACTGGCGCAAGGATCCACTTACTCCTTCCCTGCGTGCGAGCTGTCATTCTGAACGTCGGCCCTGTCAGTCTTTTGGGTCGTGTGCTGCTCGTCCGGGAAGGCCTTGTTCTCGGGCTTGCCGTAGCCGTAGCGCGGAATCGAGGTGCTGAGCGGCCGGCTTGTTTGGTTGACGCTAGCAACGACGCCGCGGCGCAACGCTGGGTGCGTCGTAAGGCGGCGGTAGAAAGTCAGGAACTCTGAAGGAGACGGGGACGCCATGTTTGTTGGTGTATGTAGGAGCAGTGAAGCGGAGGTGGAAAGGTGAAAGCGCGAAACAGGAGACTGCACGCGATGAAAGAGGTCGATGAGAGGGAGAGAGTGTGAATTGGAAACGGCAGGCAGAAGTATGGACGAGACTCGGGCTGAAGTACTAAGTGGAGCCGTGGGACACATGTGTACGTATATGACGGCTGGCCTCCCTTCCCAGCAATTCTTGCATTAGACCATCATCTGCCATTGCGCCTGGCCCGGCACATGCTCTGTTGCGCTACTGCTGCCGTCTGATCACTGGTCGTTGATGCTTTAATGACATCACCCCGCGGCAAGCCCAGACGCGGGGAAGCAAGCGGCCCCGACTAGCCCGCATCGGGAAATGACGCGGGGCTTGACAACCTTTCTTCTCATCACAGGCCAGCCTCTCCTGCAGCACACAGACAGGCCCCTTTGCACGATAGAGCCGCAACACGCGCCGCCCGCCGAGACTCGTGGCCCCGCCGCATCCCCGTCCGCCCTGCAGACCTCGGGTCTATCACCACAACGCGCACGCTTGAACGGAACCTCGCGAAGCAAAACCCACCCGACCGCAAACTACACCATGGCTAGTTCCGCGGAATCCGCCGCCTTTCCCTGCACTCTGTATGTGCTCACTTTAAGCATTCTCTCTCTGCACGCTACCATTCTTGCGGCTGGATCAGCAGCAGCTAATGCATTGCGATTCAGTACCCTCAACATTCCTTTCCCGTCGCCCACTCACGCCACCAACGCCCTGCGCGCCCTCGCCGTTGATGAGGAATTGTCTTCGCTAGTCAAGCGCTCGCTTTCGGTCTCGCCCGATACCCCGAACGTTCTCGACGTGCACTACTCTGCTACGACAAACCGGATGCTGCGCGTGGCTGTGAACGGCTTCTTCGATAGTCTGGGTGTCGTACTGGGCGTGATGGAAGAGCTGGACGTGGATACGGTGTTAAAAGAGGGCAAAGAGAGTGTAGAGGGCGCGCAAGGACTGATGCCAGTGAAGGGTAGTGTGGGTTGAATGGAACTGGCACCGGCATGTCGAAATTGCAAAGATCCGAGGATTAGAGGACAAAGTGAGAACGTTCGCATCGGGCATGGAAGAGACGGACCGCTGTGTGAATTGCGGCGGCATTGATACCCTGTTTGCGGATTGCAAGAGGAAGAGAGCGCACAATGCCAAATGGTAAGGCACGACTCGTTAGGGTAAATTGCTCTCTATGAGTTGTTGCTTAGCGGCATTACGATTGTCGGCTTCTGAACTCACGAGCTGCTACGGAACCCATGGGTGATTAAGAAGATGATGAGATAGTCTTAATGAAGAGTGGCAGGAGTGGCCGTGGCATACATTGCCTATTCTGGCTGGATGACATGCTCCTGGAGGTATGGAAGCGGTGTTCCAACGCATTGATTTTCTGATATTCTTCTTATTTGGAATGTCACTACCACCATTATGGAAACAGGCTCTTGATCAACATTCGCCATAGCCAATCTCCCCTAGGTGAGCCCGATATTTGCCTTTCTGGTTGCTGATTTCTTATGCCACTTTCGCTTTACTTGATTCCCATGACGAGCAACAGTCATGATCTCCATCTCCATCCACACCATTTAGCTTTTCACACTGATATCTTCCAGGCCCCTGCTCCTTCGCTAAGTTCACCGTAGACCACACACTCGTTCATACCCATGGGCACTAACGATTCCCATACTATTGAACATGATGGAATCCTAATCTGTGTCATGCCGATATATCAAAAAGTCTAAATTAGCTCACCTAGCGCGGTAAATCAAACATCCACTAACCTAAGAAGCTTCGCAACAGCTTCAAGTTCGAGCAGCAAGAGAAAAACAAATCCGATACTAATATCCATCCTACCCTACACTACCCTAACCAATCCAAGCTAGCGCATCAAAAAATCACACGAAACGCCGGCCACCTCAAGCCCCTCAAGCTGACCAGGTGGAAATGCAGAAAAAATTCGAGGAGTGTGCTCGCTCCTCATTTCCCGTCTTCTTATGTGACCCAAAAAAAGGAAAAGTAAAAAATGAAAACATACTTGCGTGAATATCAGAGTACTGCCGGCGCTCTCGCGTTCCATTTCCCTTCTTGACGCCGCATAGTTGATTATCCTTGGCCAGTTCGTCCCATATTCGTTCCATCGTGACCTGCCGTCGTCGATATATACGACGGTATCTTGAAAATATTGCAATTGAAGATTTGATTCAAACCGAAAGGAAGAATGCAGAATTGAGGGAGGATTTCAAGGAAGAGAGGGAAAAGATATGCGTATGCACAAGGACCGGAAGAGCGAACAACGCCGGATAAAAAAGCAAGCAGTTGCAATGCGGAAAAGGACGTCGAAAGAAATCAAAAGGCCGCCTCATGGCCATCTAATAAACCCAAAAAAGAAATCTTCAAAAGAGAATCAATTGTCCGCTCAGCATATTAGTGACGGACCGGGCACGTTTAGTCGCCCATCCTGCTGTCGACATCCGAATCGCTGACGTCCTCTTCGAGCTTCTTCCTCCTCTCCTCATCCATCTCCTTGTAGGTGTCGTAAGAGAGCATGAGAAAAGCGCCAATGATCAGGCAGCCACCGATGACAGCGGCGAAGCTGAGAGGCGAGTTGAGCGGCGGCGGGAGGAGCTGGTCGATCAGGGCGACGATGAAAATAGTCAAGAGCGCGGCGACGGACGACAAAACGGGAGATGTCAGACTGATCAAGACAAGGAAAGAGCCGGAGAAAGCTGTTCGAACTCTAGGTCAGCGCTGGACCAAAAAAGAAAAACATGCTTAGTATGGTGAGGACTTACTTGCGTTGGCCAGCACACTGATAGCTAGCATCCATGCAGCTTCACCAGTAGGCAAAGCGAACTTCTCAATGCCGGAGAAATGCAAAATTGGAATGGGAATCCACAGAATGAACAGAGTGAAGCAGCCGATCAAGCTACCAAAAGTGTTTGCAAAGATCATGCCTCGGCCAGGGCTGCAGCCATCAGGGGGGCAGGCGAGCTTCTTGTAGAGCACCTCGTACAAGCCGTACAGGACACTGCCAATACCGATGATGATGTTGCCCAGAGCACGGTTGCTAGCTTCAGAAGGCTGAGGAGCCTTCCCACCGCCGGCACCACCGCCCGACTTGTTACCGTGCTTTGCCGGAGTGACGTCGCCGTAGGCGACGACAAGCACACCTACGATGGCAATGGCAACAGCAACAATTTTCGAGGCGCGCACTTTCTCGTGCAGCAGCGGGATACTGAAAGCGTAGGCAAAGAAGGCGGAGCAATTGTAGATGGCCGTCAAGTCGCTTGCGGTCGTCAAGTCCACAGCCACGTACCAGCTGCCGCCGGCAACCGTCAACGCACACGTTACGATGGCGGTCATCTTAAGCATGTACGGAACAGGGGACTTTGATGTCTGACGGCCGGTGGGGCGCAGAGTGCCGTGCTCGACCATCTGCGCGGTGCTGCGGAGAATCTGCACATGTCGGCGCCAGAAGGCCGGCCAGGGCTGGTTCCACTTCTGAATGCGGAGAATGAGGAGTTGCGTGGGCCAGAGCAGGGACCAAGAACCGTGCGTCAACCATCTGCAAGGGAAGGATTCCAAAGTTAGCGCCATTGGCTCTCCCCGGAGAGTCGTTGCGGAGAAGGGGGTGGATTTTGCGGGGTACACTGTACATACAGCATTGAATATGCTTTGTTCCAGCCCAAGTGGTGTTGGATGTAGACCGCCGTCTCCGTCTGCACGGCGAAGCTGATTAAGCTCAAGACCAGGAAGCCTGCAGCATACGTATACCGCTTTCGGGTCGCAGTCTTAGCCTCGAGATCAGGGTCGCGTTCGTGGAAGGTGCGGCGACGGGCGCCCATCTGCGGACGGAGAGGAGGCGAATCATAACTGCGGCGGTCGTCCCGCTTGTTGCCAAGCAAGGGTTGGTGAGAACGGCCGTCGGTAGGGCGGTGGAAGGGGGGACGCAGGTCTGAAGGCATGTCTTCGTCGTCGTCGTCGTCGGCGATCGAGTCCCTGCTGCTGCGGCGATGATGCTCGTCGTCGCCGTTTCCCAATTCCCAATCCTCAAAGCCGAGGTCACTGTCTGGCGCAGCCGCTGACGGAGGGTCCCTCCCTTCGTTCAGCTGCTTATTGTCGTCGGAGCCGTGATGGGCGTGAGGAGGGTGGCGATGGACTGCCCCGGAGGTAATAGACACGAACGGCGACGGGGATCGCGAAGGCTGCCGTGGTGAGAGGACGACGGGCGACGAGCCCAAGGATGGAGACGAGTCTGGGGGAAGCTGATGGGGTTGAGAGCGCAGCGGGCGGTTGGGATGGAGAGAGGAGGAGGGCGCGGGTCTGGCTTTGTGCGGCGAGGAATGGGCTGACGAGTTATTCATCCATGCGGTGTTTGGTGGGGATGATCAGGGTTTGGGACAAAAGTAGGCGCATCGAGTGACGGAGTCGTGACCTGCGCTTGGCCACGATGCACGAATGGCGGCGCGGCTTGGCAGCGCGCCCGAGGCTGGCCCTGTTGTCTCGCACGCGCCGATCACGGGTCGGGCAGCGGGCAGCGCGACTGACCCAAACCGCCTCGAAATCATGGCAGATGGCGGCGGGCAAGCGTCTTTTAGCAGCGGCAGACGCCGGGGCGTGTATCGCGCAGGTGCATGGCGTGCGTGGTGCCTGGCGCCGGGCTCGTGGCTTCGAGTCAAGGACGATCTCCACGGACTTAGCATAACTCCAGCAAATGTTCCCCGCTGCCGATGACGAGCGCGATAGCAGCTCCGCTTTGCCCACCCTTCGCAGCAGTAGGGAGCCATGTATATAAATCGTCGTCCGCCTGCGCCCTGGGGCTCCGTCCCTGAAGTCGCACAGCCGTCCGTCTCGGCAATCTCTCACCCGCGCCGATCGAGCCCTACCAGCCCCCCAGCCCTCAAGCATCCGCACCAATGCCTCTCGTCGCCAGCACCCGCCCCACGCCGCGCGTGATCCTAGGGCTGATGACCTTTGGGTGAGCACGACATCGCACACTAAGACACCGTTTCCCCCACGTGTCACTCGCGCCGATGATGTCACAGAAATAAATAGAAAAAACTCCACTGACTCGTCAGGCCTGATGAATCCTCAGGTGCCCGCATCACCTCGCTGGACGAGTACACCAAGGTCCTTGATTATTTCCAGTCACAGGGCTACAATGAAGTCGACACCGCACGCTCTTACGTTGGTGGCAAGCAAGAAGGCTTCACCGCTTCGGCCAACTGGAAAGATCGCGGCCTGACGCTGGCCACCAAATGCTACCCGCACGAGGCTGGTATTCACCAGGCCGCACGCATCACCGAGAGCGTGGAGAAGAGTCTGGCCGAGCTGCAGGCTGACTGCGTCGACATCTTCTACCTGCACGCAGCTGACAGGAGCGTGCCATTCGCCGAGACGCTCGAGGCTGTCGACAAGCTGCACAAGCAGGGCAAGTTTGTCCAGCTGGGCTTGAGTAACTTCACGGCCTTTGAGGTCGCCGAGGTCGTCATGACCTGCAAGTACAACGGGTGGGTGCGCCCGACCATATACCAGGCCATGTACAATGCCATCAGTAAGTCCTCTCTTCGCTACATGGAAAGCCTGGTATTGACGCCTGCTAGCACGCTCCATTGAAGCGGAGCTCATCCCTGCCTGTCGTAGATATGGTCTGGATATCGTTATTTATAATCCCCTCGCCGGCGGTCTTTTCTCGGGCAAGTACAAGTCGTCGGACGTGCCCACGACTGGTCGCTTCTCCGACTCTGTTGGTCGCATGGGTAATATGTACCGTGCCCGGTATTTCAAGGACGCGACCTGGGAAGCTTTGCGTATCATCGAGCCTGTGGTCAAGAAACACAACTTGACCATGCTTGAAACAGCTTTCCGCTGGCTGACCCATCACTCAGCTCTGAACATCAAAGACGGTGGTAACGATGGTGTCATCATTGGTGTGAGTAGCTTTGAACAGCTGCAGGGAAATCTCAAAGAGTTTGGGAAGGGCCCTTTGCCGGACGAAGTGTTGAAGGCGCTCGATGAGGCGTGGCTTGCTGCCAAACCGACTACGCCCAATTACTGGCACCTGGACCTCGTCTATACCTATGACACGAGGAAGGCACTTTTTGGCTGAAACAAGAAAAGAGAAGCGAGTGGGACATGGGGTTGGGAAACTCTGCGAAAACCAACGACGCGAGACAGCCTTTCCTGCGGCTTGATCAGGCTTAGGAAGGTGAGTGTCGTCAGGTGTGCACAACCTCACAAAAGGAATATGAATGAACGCATCTCCATTTTCTGATCATCTAAGCCTGATAAACACCTCCCAATGTTGCTAAACAAAAAGTCCTAGAGAAGAATGGGGTATCGTCGAGCAAAGAACCGTGCGTAGTGAACGCAGCGAGTGAACAAGAAATCAAAGGTCTTCGCCCGTCTGAAACCAATGCTTCAAATCCCGGACTTCTTTGATTGGCGCGTAACGAACGCAGATTTCCTGAATGTCGTATTGGAGCGAGTCAGCCGGCACCAGTCCGCGTCGTATAAGGTTTCTGATGAATAAAACTAGCAATTTCACTTTTCGTTTCCTTTCTTCGGGGTCAAGAGAGGGCGAGTAAGGCTCCTCGGAGTCGTTTGTTCCGGTGCTGCCGTCGCTGGATGAGTCTTCGAGTTTACGGAGGCCATGTTGAATGTAATTGCAGGCGATGACGGGGTTTTCCAAGTTCGCTTGGCCTGAAACAAGAACACCGTTGATGATCTCCATGGAAGCCAGATCGATGGGCAGGTTCACAAGCATCTGCTGGGCTTGATCAGGCTCCTTGCGTGACATCTCGATGATTTCTTCCGCAGTTAGGCGTTCGTTTCTTTGTCGTGGCCCAGCGTGGATTTCAGCCTTAGAGATATTAGCAGGCGCCGTCTCACGAGATGGTACTGCCTCTGGCCCCATAGTTGGGGCATACCACTCTTGGATATCTTCTTCACGCTGTGTCCAAATCGTCTTCTGTTCATTTTCGGGCGACGGCTTGTATAATTTGATTCCATGAGCTCGTGCCTGTTTGCCATCATCCACGGCGTCGTTCCTGTACCAGTTGCGCCAGGGAATGCCCCCATTATCCAGTACCTCAATATAGTTTCCGATGTTGAACTTGGGCTCTGGGGAATTCTGTTTGAAGTCTTTGAGGAACGAAGACGGACTGGGAATCTTGTTGAGAGCATCCTGGGGCGATTGGGATATCTCAAGGATGATGTGCTTGATGTACCGCACAACGACCCGGAGAAGCTGGGCTTCATAATTCTGCTCTGGGAACCTATCGAGCGTCTCTGGCTGGTCCCATAGAAGGAGAGTCTTGACCCAATGGGCCAGCGCGGGGTGGTACTGTAACTCGGTATTGGGGTGAAGTCGAACAAGCTGGTTGTTGCATTCGAGGCAGTGTATGACCATTTTCCTGATCGGTACTTCGGCGACTATGCAGTCAGCATTGGTGTTCATCATTGGGGAAGAGAACAAAGTGTACCAGCATCGGTGGGCTGCTCCAGCTGGTGCACGGTGGCGATCAGATTTACTGTTCTGATGAAGGCCGTGCTCCCGAACCAGTGCTGCGCAGATAGGTGGTCAGGGTCGCTGGAGGTAATAACGTTGTACACCTCGTCGTACCACGCCAGGTCATTGGCGTCGGTCTCGAAGACATAGGCGAACAGACGCAGTGGCTCGGGCAGCCTGGAGCGGTTCGCAGCAGCCCTGAACTTGACGGCGATGCCGGGCAGAGAGGCCATGGTGCTAGCGTGTGTGGGAAACAAATGGCTGCTGTGAATGCTAGCTGCGGTGGTGGGGAGGCCGAGGTGTGGCAGATGATGCGGGTGGGCCATCTCTCCGGAGATGGGCAGGGCGCGTTGCGGAAGGCATGGACGGGAGAGAAGAAGGCGCAGGTCGCGCTCTACTCGCGGAAGGTTTGTACGAGCTGCGGAAGTGACGTGGGTAGCGGTAGCGAAGCTCCACGCCGAAACACGCGGGCTGCTGGGCGGGCCCTGCCGTTGACTAGCGCTGATCGCCGCCACTGTCTTTCCGCCGGTCACGTGTAACATGCTATTAATACTTGTTTCTGTCGCTGCTCCCGCCGAGACACATTCCGTTCCCTCGAGAATGCTGCTGGTTTGAGCTGGAACATGTATGTTCCCGTGTCGCGAGTTTCACATCGACCCTCGACCGCAACGCCGACTTCTGATCGACACAAGCCACCGTTGGGAATGCCCGTATACCGCGGGGTATTGGCGAACCAGAGCAATTGCAGCTTCGTGTGATTGTAATAGATAACGTGTCAGCAGAGCAGTGGGATGCATGCAATGCAGCAGCCTCACGTCTCTACGCAAATCAGCGAGCTCTCTGCGACCCCGCTTCAAGGTCAAACATCGCTCGGACCATAAGACCCTTTCTTGGCAATGGGATGGCTGTCTGGTGCTGCTCCCTCCGCCGATCATGCTAGCCAAGGCCGACGCCTTCCGTTGTGGCCAAGACCAGCTCCTTCGTCTGGTGACTTGAATCTGGCAGGGTGTGGACTAGGCAGAATGTCTTGTCCAGCGTGGAGAATTGGTCGAAGCTCTCGAACATTCGTAGAGCACTGGTTGTTACAGCAGCGTGACCAGCGGCTCTTTGGTATCCTCTGTATCTGCAGCTTTGAGAGCGGCCATGATATTGATAAACGAGTATGGATGGTGAAAGTCTGTCGAATGCATTGCCCCAGCAACCGTTACTACCCATCGACGGAATTGATGCCGAAACGAGTCTCATGCAAGACCAAGCTTGATTGTCACAAGCATTCGTCAATCTGCCGCATTTCCATATTTTATCATCACACAGTCAGCCGCATCTCTGACAAAGTCTAAAAGGCCGTAAGCCCAATAGTGCACACAAACTCCAACATCGCAATGAACGTTTGCGACCTACGTCACCGCCCCCAAACCCGTGCACAGGTCTTTTCCCATCTAGGCCCAACATTACCAGGATCTCTAAGGAAAGCACGCTTCTCAGAAAAATCAGCAGCTCGGGGCGCTGGAGAGTTAGGACACAACGTGGGTATTCCGTAGACCGCCCCTACGCGCCTTCTAGCCGATATTGACGCTGTTCATGCCACTTTCTTCGGCCCCGCATTCCGGGATCCAGGGCGCAAATAAGAGGGCGCTTAGAGCAGCGCATTCGGTGAGTGAGCGAAAGGTGAGACCACTGGCCTGTCGTTAAGCGCTGGCGACCAGGGCTTTGGAGTATCTGTGCACCGACCATTACTCCTGTCCTGTTGGAATCGAAGGAAAAGCGGCCGCCGAACAGTTTCTAAATCTGACGTGTTAATGTGGCCGGGCAACCAGAGTGTTGCTGTAGCTTTCTCAAAGAAGAAGAAATAAGGGTGACAAAAAAAAGAATAATGCATTGGGTGTCGACTCCCAAACAACAAAGAACGCGCGCTCTGCAAATGGACGATTATGTGACCGTCGCACTGCATTAGCGCGGCTCCTGGACGCTGCATTTCTGCTAGCTGAAGATGTTCTCTGGTCGGCCAGCGGTCCATGTAAGGGCACGGTGCCCGCGGGTAGGTCAAGAGGACGGGGTCCGCGGGCAAGTAGGTAAAGAGCACGGAAGTTCGGCAGACGGAAAGCACGGAATACCTGGGCAGTCCTGAGTCAAGCAAAGCGCGCGGCGCGGCCGACCGGTCTAGTGGATGCGCAACTAGCAGCGACAGTGCATCGCTCGGTCACGCCAAAGCGGAGGTATCGCGGAATGTCAACGAGGGTTTTGAATCAGGTTTTCACGAGCGACGATCGAGGCGGAGAGGATTACGGTGTGGGAGAAGTGTCATTAATGGATCATCACTATGTAAGGAGGATTGCGCTGCAAACTGCAGCTGCCGTACCGACTACCATGCAAGATTATCCGCCACGCCAGGAGGGATCTGACAACGCCGAATGATTATGCCGTTAGGCGCTGGCCGCGCAGCGTGCCGAAACATCCAGAGAAAGGAAAATTGGGTATCGAGTAGGTGGTGAGGCTCCGTTGCATCGACGCGACTAAAACTTGAAGATAATGTACCTGAGGGCGCGATTAGCGGCCGTGTTGTTTCAAAACAATTGGCGGTGACGTACAGCGCGTGGATGATACCGGGGATGTAACCCAGGATGGTCAACAGGATGTTGATGAGGAAGTCGGCATTGCAACCGCGCTCAAGGAAGACACCGAGCGGGGGCAGGATGATGGCGAAGATGATCTTGATGATGTCGCTGCAGTCATGTCAGTAAGCAGCGCTTTGCGACGCGGCGAGGGAGCGCGTACCTTCCGGTGAAAGGCATGATGGCGGTTTGGAGTTGGAGAGTCGGGAATGTGGTGTCTGAGGTGCAGTTGTGCCGAGCGAAGTAACGCAAGTGCTGTGATGGGAGTGGACGGGTGGTAGTGGCTGGAGGCAGTATTTATGGGCAGTGACGGGCACCTGCGCGCATGACGTAGCGGGCATGTCAAAGGGCCGCAATCCCTGAACTGCGCAGGCGCTTGGATGCGGCTGGACCTCGCCGCGCTCATCATTCATCATCTTAGCACCAAACGCCCTCTGGAGCCAAGTCCTGTTTGCGCGTCGTGCGACTGGGTGCTGCCTTGCGGTCACCTCGACGTGCCCTGCTGTTGCCGCCGCCTGCGATCTCTTCCCGCCTCCCAGCCAGCGCGTGCGACCAGATCGAGTACCAGCCGACCCGCAGCAGCGTGGCCCGTCCAATCGCTCGCCCTGGTCGAGGCGAAACCTGCGGCAACGCGCCATTCCGTCCCATCCGAACGCGCCTGGGCTCTGTTCCGTGTTCCGTTGCCTGCCACTCCTTGGCCTGCTTCCCCGGATGACTTCAGCCCTGTTGTGGCGCTGGCTGTGGCGCAGCCTGCATGTCCTCGTCATGCCTTCCGAGCCTCTTGTCTGACGTGGTCGGCCTCCTTGGCCTGCTCTCTCACGCGACCGATATGCGCCACACTTTCCTTGCAGTGCGTTCACCTGATGCTGCCCGTGCTTGGTTGTTGATCACTCAAACACGGCCTCCTCTCCAGCTCCATCGGTGCAAAAAATGCGGCCTGAGGAAAGAGCTAAGCCTCAAAGCGAGCGCTATTTAATTAAGCTTTCACCGCCCAAAAAGTGGGCCCTGGATTATTGAAAATGGGCTGAGCGGACGATTGACAATCACAAGCCAACAGCTTCAGAACTCCAATGCGAGTACGATAACGACAATGCCCAAGCCGTCGCCCTTTCGCCGGCTGCCCTTTCCCGAGCTTGGGCCTTGCCGGAAACAACGTCCACGCGCCTCGGCCCGATAAAACGTTACCAGACCCTGACCGCCCAGGACTTCGAAATGTTCTCTGCGGTCTTCTAGCCTTGGTAGATGCGTCTGGCATGTCTCCAATTCGAGGCAACAGCTTGTCCAGAATAGCAGCGTCAACATGAACGCAACTTTTGAGTTCTGCAGGGTCTTAGGTAAGGGAGCAGTCCTTCGGCCACGACTTTCGCATTCCATAAACTTCGTACCCCGCCGACGTCACACTTGAAACAAGCATCACCCAATTCCGCGCAGACATTTCAATCAAGCACCTCACTCCGGCATTGAATCCGCCAGGTATACACAGGCCATCTGCAGCAGTCAAGCCGAAAAGTAAGAAAAGCGCCGGAAACAATGCCGTTCCAGCCATCTGCCCACGATGGCGTTGCCCACCGCTTCTCGCCGGGTCTGCTGGCTTTTGAGCACAAACCCGCCAATGCCTCCGCCACTACCACTAACGTGCTAATCTGGTATATGCTATTCCATCGTCCCTCCGCCCCCATATCTGTTCTATCTTTATCACGAACCACGCTAAGCACGACTAAAATCTTACAGGGTCGGCGGTCTCGGTGATGGTCTGCTCACCGTTCCATACCCCACTACTATCGCCTCCAAGCTCCCGCCTACCTGGTCTCTAGCCCAACCGCTCCTAAGCTCCTCCTACACCGGCTGGGGTACCTCAAGCCTCGTCCGCGATGCCGACGAGCTCGCACTGTGCGTCAAGTACTTTCGGTCGCTCCGCGGGCCTGGCGCCAAAATCGTGATCATGGGCCACAGCACGGGATGCCAGGACGCGATCGAGTACGTGGCGTCGCCCTCCAAGCCCTCCGCCGCTTCCTACAGAGCCCCCATCGACGCCATCATTCTGCAGGCCCCTGCCAGCGACCGCCAGGCCATGCTGCACTCGTTGGGGAAAGATAAATTCGATGCGGCGAATGCTGTGGCGCAGGCGTATGTGGACGAAGGCCATGGTGAGGACATCTTGCCGTTCAGGGTCACGGAGAAGGACTTCAAGAAGACCCCGGTCTCGGCGCGGCGGTGGTTGGCGCTCGCGTCCCCGGATAAGAAGGGCGCGGATGACTTCTTCAGTGACGACCTGCCGGATGAGGACTTGAAGAGGACGTTTGGAGCTGTGCCGAAAGGCTTGGGCGTGTGTGTGCTGTACTCCGGCAGCGACGAGTTCGTTCCCCCGAGCGTAGACAAAGAAGGTCTGGTGAAGCGGTGGAGTGGATTTGTGAAAGAGGCAGGAGGCGTTTGGGAAGAGGAATTTGGAGGCATCGTGCCGCGTGCCAGTCACAACCTAAGGGGAGACGCGGAAGAGGTTGTAGGTGACCTGTGCAGAAGGGTTGTTGGGTTTTTAGGAAAGGTGGAGAAGGGTGAAGCGGCGCATCTGTAAAATGGTGTGCTGTTTGCTAGTAGCCTGGATAGCACGGTTGGATTCCTCAGGATTGACTGCCCAAGACTACTGCAAAGACCTAAACATGATTGACGAATCGCATGAAAATAAAATGTGTAGTGAGCTGGATCATGTTCTATCAAAGGTCAGTCCCTGTTCTTCACCTATTCTCTTTGTCCCTATATGATGCCTACTTGTAGTGGTATTGCCGAACTTAAAGTGTCGATACCAATTTCACCAAATGTCTGAAACTTGATTCCCTCTTCTGCCCTTCATCCGGACCACCCAGACAGGGAAATCTACTAATTCTCTTCTACTTATATATGTTTATTTCAATTCCTATTCAGAAGCAACCCTTTGTGTACACTTGAGCCGGTACAGCCTCCCATAACAGGATTGAAAGTAACTACATAGCTACGACTGATTCGGACGTGAGCCCTGTGTCGCCCGCTTGAAGTGCCAATAAGAGCTAAAAATCAGTAGAACTCAATGAACTTGGCAGCCCCACTTAGAGAATATGCCAGCGTTCAGTCGCTTATTAAGAACATTGTCCTGTCCCAAATCAAGATCTCCTCCTATAGCCTCATCCACTCGTATCTTCGCAGCAAATTGGTCGGTCATACCGTCTTCGGCTCCGCCTCCAAAATGAGTTCCCTGAGAACTTATTTGATTGCCCCAAAGCTGCAAGACCTTCCAGATGGTCCCATATCTCTCGGAAATGCCATAGTAGACCCGCCCAGTGCACACCGTCCGATCATGAAACTTTCAGAAAACAAACGGCCGCAAGTTGCGGAATCCACCGAGCCCGCTTTTTCCAAATTGGGAGACATGAGGAGCCAGGGCATGGCCTGACGGCACTGACCTTGGCATTGACGACAAGTCCAGACGCCAGAGAAGGTGTCTGTTCACAGCTGTGCTGACGTCAACCCAATACAACCCAGGCTCGCCTGATTAAAGCAAACATCTGACGTCGTCACAGGTTCTTGTACGCACAGAAGCACGCGATGAAGCATTCCAGAGAGCGAACGGCTACAACTCAGCACCTCCGACACGAATAAAACTTGCACATATCTGCACGTAAACCTAAACAATACACCAGCCATTTTGAAACCGGTTCCGAGTTCGGGCCCTTTATGATGCAGGAAATTTTGTGGTTGACATCATATTTATTCACGGATTCATTAGAAATTCTATTAACGTATGGCGACACAGCAATGGCGCATATTGGCCAACCGATTTTCTTCTGAGGGCAAATGCTTCACCTGCCCGGGTCATAACCTTTGGTTACAGTTTTCACGGCTCCTGCATGACTCTAAAAGACATTGAAAATCCTGAAAGAGCTCTAAACCGAGGTATTTGTGTGATGAGGGCTGGTGATAATAGTCTAAGTGTGCTCTGGTATGGATTTGCAATTTGCAGTGCTTTGTTCACCTAATACACAGAAAACCAGGAAGGTCGTAGGTTCGTGCATAGCCTGGGAGGTCTGATGCTTGGAAGAGCAATCGCAATCTCGGATACCGCCACTGGCCGGTATGAGAAGCAGCTGAATGACTTCATATCTGCGATAGCTTTCCTGGGAACGCCACAATTCAACCTCGGCATCACGAGTTCCGTAAAGGCGATTGTCGGTATATTAAGTCTAGCTGGCAAGGGAAGAGATCCGCTTCCTGAGGAGCTCGAAGGTCTCCGAGAAATCAATGAATTGTTTTCGTTTTGGCTGAGCTGTGACAATGGGATACGGATAGCCTGTTTCTACGAAATATCTCCCCTTCAATGGGCCGCAGGCAGGGTGAGCTTAATCCTACCCAATGCCCTATTGCCTGCAGGTATTGAAACGTTGTAGGCCGTCTCACCACAGTACGCCTTTATTCCAGGGTTTCATAATCATTCTCTCACGGCAAAATATACGGTAGGTGGGTTACCAATCAGACTCGCAACAATAGTAGTGTTGGAATTCTGAGAACAATCTCCAGGACATAACAAAGTTCGGCGGAAGACTTGAAAGAGGATACCAACGAATTGAGTGGTTGGTGAACGCACAGAAGACGACAGGTTCGGCCCATATTTCTTCCCTGAAATAATCAATGATGGAATTGATTGATTTGATCTTGTTAGGTCTTTTCTTAGGAAGATAAGAGTGGACTCTAGAGTAAATTGGTTTGTGGCATTTCTAAAATATCACGTATGTAATATTGACTTAATAAAAGCATTAGAAATCCTTAATTTGCTTTGGTTTTTCGGCATGAATACTAGAGGTAACTACACTGACAGTGCCTTCCCCAACACCTGCTCATGGATACTGGAAAACGATCATTACAGGACTTGGTCTTCCAAAGGTGGTATCTTTTGGATCACAAGAAGACCTGGATCTGGAAAATCGATCATGATGAAATATCTTGTCAATGCTCTTGAACAGAGTTCATCCGAAAATGATATCTCACACGCTCTGTTTTTCTTCCGCCTTGGTGGGAGATCAACTACATACAGGCCTTTCGAATTCTTCCGTGCCCTGTTGTTCCAGCTGTTACTTTAAAACCGACGCCCCCTGGAGAGAGATTGACTGAGATATATTCCGAAAAGCTGAAGGTCCAATCTAAAACCGGTGTGAGCTGCGCCTGGACAAGTGCAGAACTTCAGGAATCTATCTTTGCGTGTCAGCAACTCAGAGCACGAATTCCTATAAACCGAGTGTCGTCTCAACACGAAGGAAAAGTGGTAGGGTTGGACTCACTTCTCGGAACAACCCCACGACTTATCATCTCGATGTAGCGTATACGCCTGCGTGCTCACTGTCGTGACCTCGGGGATGACGCCGCCAGGCGGCACAACGCGCGGAAGGCTTCTGGGTACGGCGCAGGAGAGGCTCAGGGTCTCGTTGACAATGGCGTTGAGTAAGGGGAGCTGCTCAAGGTCTGCGTCGGAGAAGCCTTCCTGCAGCGCCGCCACCTCCTCTTCTAGGCCCTCTGCAGCGCTGGACTTGTCAGGAGGGAGTAGTTGAGTCTCGAAGCGCCCTGAACGGTAGCTGGGCGCCCACAACCCTCACCCACGGTAGATCTGCGCCGCCTCTAGCACACGAATATACTCCGCCCCTCCCTCCCAAGCTCCAGCAGGCCAAAGCTCTCCCCAAACTCCAGCGAGCCAATAAATTCCGTCGCCATGCACGTCCACCACTTCACTAAATTCACCGTCCGCCCGGCCGCCTCCGCCGCCGCTTCCTCCCTCACCCTCCCCATCGCAACCGCGCACCTCCCCCTTACCACACCCTTCCCAAACGCGCGCGCGAATAGCTGGCGGCCGGCGGGATCGTGCGCGGTAAACACGTTTGGGCGGGGGGAAGTTGGCCAGCTTTCTCGTACCGCGCGGCCTTTGCGAGCCTGCTCTACACGCTGTGGATCCCCCTGAAAGACGGCAACAGTCAGCGCCGATGGCGACCTCGGTGGGCACGGTGCGGATGATGGGACTGTAGTGTGGCGGAGCGCGTCGATGTGGAAGATGCGGCGGCTGGAGACGACAGCATGCTTGAGTGGGAGGTGGTTTAGGGTGTGGAGGATGCCCTGAGACGCTTTATTTGATTTTTAGAATTGCTGTGGGAGGGGCGGAGGGTGTACGCTTGAGTAGAGATAATGGTGGCTAAGTGTGGACGGAGGAAAGAATGAGGGATTCAAGAGAAAGCTCGTGTGAAATGGACTCTTTGGGCGGCGGACTTCCCTAGAACTATCTAGGATTTAGACGTATTATAATAAGAGCTGCTGCACTTTAAGTGCACCCGACAGCCGATGGATCCAACCGTTAAGATTGAACTCAAACCCAGCATGGCGTCATGAGCAAAAGAAAAGTTCATGATGCACATGGTCAAAAGCAAAGCACGGATTCGTTTCCGTCAAATGGGTAACATTATGGTTGTGCAGGTATAGCGTGCTACGATAAAGAGCGTCGGGGAAACGGCTATGGAAGATAGAAGCGCGGCGTGAAGTAGCGGTAAGCTCAATTAGAGTTGGGCCTAAGATGATGCACTAAACAGCATTGGCAACTTCTCCTCACCGACAATCTGCAAGAGAAACAAGCATAAGTAAACCAAGACGAGGCTCATGAACCAAGAAAGTGCCCGAGTGAGCAGTGGACGGTCAGCCAAGAAGCAAATGGGCCATCTTTGACAGTGTTGGATAGGTGTCGTGAACACACGGATTGCCCTATTCAGTAAGCTCGCCAGGCACGCATGAGCGTTGTGTTCTCCAGCACGGGGTTGGTGCACGGGATCAATTCCCACTGCTGTCGATGACGCAGCCATTCAAGATGACCCGAGCCTGACCTCGCACAGCATCATCGCTGCAGGTTGTACATTCCCCTGGATCTGTACCTTCAGCTCCCCCTTTCGTTCTCCCAGCTCTTGTGAAATTCTTTTCGTGCGTATGAAGGAGCAACAAGCGGTCTCCGAAAGGTTAGTATGACGCTTCAGAAAGCGAGAGCTAAGGACGAAAAAATAATGGCAAAGTATTCATAGAAGATGCTGACCAAACCTCGTGACAACCCGCCTTTCCTACTTCCACGTCCATTCCTGCCACATCACCGTTGCTGAATAATTTATCTGATTGCAAGACATGCAGGCCAGCAAGACACCGCCATGTTAGCGTCAGAAAGCATGGCATACCAATAAGACATCAAGGTATAACCGGATCAACAGTGAACCATGGCTATATTCGGAAATATTCGGAAAGCAAGAAGACAATAGTGGAGAGCTAGAGGAAATCTTACGAAGTAGATGGTAGTAATAGCGGGCGCAACCTTAATCGCTCACCGCGCCCCGGGCGTAGGCTCGACAGGTGAAACACGGCGCCACTCCCGCGCAATCGATTCGCGAACGGCAGCTGTGTGCACTGGCCCCCGCGAAGCAAAATGCTCCTCTAGGCTGGCAACACGTAGCGATCCATCTTGTCGTGGAATTTTATGCGCCGAGCCGGCATCTGTCGCGTAAGGAGAGTCGTGGACGAATTGAGCGTCCGGCGGCAAATTTTGAAGCAGACGGCGACGCGAGGTACTTACAGCGGCAGCATGATACCGAACCTATGCATTCCCGAGTGGCTTTCAAAGCATTACAATGCAGAGCTGCCGAGTTGTAACGTGGAACTTGCCTGGCCTGCCACATCTTTGACGCCCTGACATGCTCAAACGGATGCGTCATGCTCACTTACCCTTACGTTCAACTTGTTTCCCACTTGGAGCATCAATCAGTAGCATCGTGTTCAAGCGGTGTGAGACGGACCCCCTGCAATTCAATGTAATCATGTTCCCTGTTACTGCTGCAGCTTGGTACGGCTTTAGTGGATTCGCCGACGCCCAAAGTGGAAGCGGAAGGGAAACATCAGACGTGGGGAGTCGGAGAAACCAATCCGGATATGTGAGTATTTATAGCTTGCACAGACTACCCGGGTAAGGCTCCCCAACTCCCCATGTACTTCCATCATCACCTTCTAGACGATCTAGTTCTTCTCGGCGCGCCAATGTCTTCAATATCCATGACATTGGTCACGGGCACGTCTTCAGCTTTGACGTTCTGTTCTACCTTGATGTCTGTCGCCACTTCTTGCTTTACTGTCTCGCCGTCTATTTCAACTTTGACAACGGCTCTGTTTTTCTTCACCGTTGTCTGCTTCTTCGCAACAACGGCGCCGGGGCAGAGTCCCTTTTCGGCAAGCGTGCACTCCCCGCACTTCCTGCCTACAGGCAGACAAATAGTTTGACCAAAGCCGACCAGGAGATGATTGATCGCATGCCACTTGTCTCTCGGCAGCCAGGCCTCGAGAGCCGCCCTCGTCTCCTCAGGGTTACGCGTCTTGTGCCACCCCCACAGATTGGTGATCCGATGGACGTGAACATCGACGCCGATGCCCTCGTCGCGGCCCCAAGCCGCGCTCATGCACAGATAAGCCATCTTGGGGCCAACGCCGGGCAAAGATACAAGCCCCTCGATCGTGTCGGGGATGTCTCCGTTGAACTTGTCGCGCAAGATCTCGGCCGTCTGCTTGATGTACTTGGTCTTGTTGTTGTGGAAGCCAACCTTTTCTATCAAGGAATTCAGCCGCGCCGGCTCGACCTCCAGTAGCGCGCGCAGATTGAACCCGCCAGGCAGGTTGTCCTGCAAATTCTTCATGGCGACAGAGGTGACGGTGTCTTTGGTCTGCGATGACAGCATCAACGCAACCAGGGTCTGCAACCGCTGATCGAGAGGCGAATCCTTCTTGTCGGCCAGACTCTCGCAACCCATCGTATCGACGGGCGCTACCACACGGGAGCGCATGTCGGCCGTCAGGCGGTACATCTCTTCCCAATTGGGCGGCGGCTCGACCTTGACGGAGCCATCCGCGGCGACTGCCTTCTTCGCCGGAGCGCGGCGCGCCTTTTTGGCCTTTGCGCTGGTGGTGACGGTTGCATCCGGCGCATCATGACGATTGATTAAGTGCGACGAGGTTGACTCGGCGGCAGTTACGGTGAGTAGCGTCGGCGTCTTGGTTTCAGAAGCGGCTGTGCCGCTCCGTTTGCGCTTGCGCGTCATTGATGCTAAGGACGGCGTCTCCGTGGGTTTTGCCGACGATTTTTGGCTCCGAGATGGGTCTGTAGAATCGCCGTCGGAGGGCACGGAGGAGAGGTCGGATGAGGAAGAGCCGCGTTCGTCGGCGGCGCCAGGGACGTGGTTCTCCGCTGGTGCTGGTGTGATCGGCGGTGGGGAGCTGCTGCTCTTCCGGTACTGCTGCTCCTGTTCCTGTTCCTGTTCTTCGGGCGCGGAGGTCAGGGCGGCGGAGCCTGAAACCGTCCGCGTTTGAGCGACGTCGGGTCGAGCTGGAAATTTCCGTGATGAAGACGAAGACAATGCGCGCATGACGGCGGCAGTCTCGCGGGCGATACGGGAGGTGCGCATTTTTCTCTAGCGGCCGTCAATTGGGGGGGAAGGTGGCGGACTTCGTCGTGGTGGGATGTGCGGAGCTCGCGTGGATGGGGTTTGTAATTGCGTCGCTGTTGACAGGTCGGTTCCCGCCCGCTCGGCCACTAGTAAGGTCCAGGGGCACGGCAGGGCCCTTGTCGGTATACGCAATGAGCGCGCCGCTGCCATCGCGTAAGCAGGTGACCGCGCGCAGCGCATCCCTCCCGCCCGGCTGCGTCCATCCATCCCACCGAACCCCGCGTCCACCCTGCACCACCGGTCAACGTTGGCTTCGAGAAGCTTTCCGCAGAGTCAGCGCACACGCCTCCCGCTGCCAGGAAAGCACGAAAATATGCCGCCGCAAACCGATATTCCCACTTTCGCAGCCGCCCAGCTGTCCCTGCTCGACGCCGAGCTGCAGGCCGAGCTGCAAGAGACGGCCCTGCTGCTGTCCGCGCACCCGCCCCAGACGCTCCAGCGGGCGGGCCTTGCGATCCTCAACCTGCATATCTCCTCACAGCGCACGGGGCTGGGCGGCAAGACGGTGGTCGAGCTCGAGCTGGACCCTGCGGTAAAGGGCGCCGGCGCCGAGCTGCCGGAACACGGGATCCGCACTGGAGACATCGTGGGTGTGCAGGAGCAGCCCGCCGGCAGCGCGAAGAAGAAGGAGAAGAGCGACCTGAAGAAGAGCGGCGTCGATGGCGTTGTGCTGAAGGCGACGGCCACGACGGTCGCCGTGGCCCTGGATAAGGAGGACGCCGACGTGCCGCAGGGGAAGCTATGGCTGTGCGTCGTACGAAAGCTATGGGCAGAGAATTGTGCTGATTGTACATTAGAGTCAAGCTTGCCAATGATGTCACGTACAAGAGGTGTGTCTTGTGCGGCTGTGATAAGAGCGGCTTCTATTCTGACAGTGCGAAGGATGACACAGACCATGACCCGGTTGCAGAAGTTCACGGACTCGGAATATACGCCCTTCATCCGCGCCCTCTTCGGCCTATCGTCGCTTTCGCCTTTGCCGAAGGACTTCTCGGAAGTTGGCCTCGACAAGCTCCAATGGATCGACCCGACCCTCAATGAGTCGCAGAAGGACGCCATCCGATTTGCCATGGCTTCTAGGGAGGTCGCACTGATCCACGGCCCGCCAGGCACCGGTAAGACTCATACATTGATCGAACTGATCCTTCAGCTCCTTAAACAGGACCTGCGCCTCCTTGTATGCGGCCCGTCTAACATTTCCGTCGACAACATTGTGGAGAGACTGGCTCCGCACAAGGTCCCCATCATTCGGCTGGGACATCCCGCGCGCCTGCTGCCGTCGGTGATTAACCACTCCTTGGACGTCCTCACGAGGACGTCGGATGCTGCGGCCATCGTGCAGGACATCAGAAAGGAGATGGATGCGAAGCAGGCGAGTATAAGAAAGACGCGAAATGGACGCGAGCGCAAAGCCATCTATGGCGAGATGAGAGAGCTGCGCAAAGAGTTCCGCGAGCGCGAGCGCAGGTGCGTGGACCAGCTGGTAAGGGGCAGCAAGGTGGTCCTCGCGACATTGCATGGTGCGGGGGGCTTCCACCTCAAAGACCAGCAGTTCGACGTGGTGATCATCGACGAGGCTAGTCAGGCACTCGAGGCGCAGTGCTGGGTGCCTCTGCTGTCGGCCAAGAAGGTAGTTTTGGCTGGCGATCACCTGCAGTTACCCCCGACGATCAAGTCGTTGAATAGCAAAGCGCAAAAGGAGGCCAAGACAAGCGAGAAAGGTCTTACGTTGGAGCAGACGCTCTTTGACCGGCTGCTCGCGCTGCACGGGCCATCGATAAAACGCATGCTCACGACGCAGTACCGGATGCACGAGAAGATCATGGCCTTTCCGTCACAAGAGCTCTACGAGTCCAAGCTCATTGCTGCGGACTCAGTCAAAGCGCGCCTCCTGGCCGATCTGGAATATGAGGTTCAGGAGACCGAGGACACCAAGGAGCCCGTGGTGTTCTGGGACACGCAGGGTGGCGACTTTCCAGAACGCAGCGAGGACGAGGGCTCGGGCAAGAAGGCGTCGCTATTGGGCGACAGCAAGAGCAACGAGATGGAGGCTGCGCTGGTCCGGTTGCACGTCGGGCGGCTGGTCGAGGCAGGCGTGAGACCAGAGGACATTGCGATCGTGACACCGTACAATGCACAGCTGGCAGTGCTGTCTCAACTGCTCAAGGAGCAGTACCCGGGGCTCGAGCTGGGCAGCGTGGACGGGTTCCAGGGCCGCGAGAAGGAGGCGGTGGTGGTCAGCCTGGTGCGCAGCAACGCGGAGCACGAGGTGGGCTTCCTGGGCGAGAAGAGGCGGCTCAATGGTAAGGCTCGCGTCGCGTTCCAGAAGATGACGATCGTGGCAAGCTGAAACAGTTGCACTGACACCTCGCAGTGGCCATGACTCGCCCGAAGCGGCACCTCTGCGTGATCGGAGACTCGGAGACGGTCGGACGGTAAGCGGGCTCCTTGCATGCACAGGCCGAGACTGACGGGCGCAGGGGCAGCAAGTTCCTCAAGCGCTGGATGGACTTTCTGCAGGAGCAGGCGGACTTGCGATACCCGGATGCCGCGGAGCTGTACGGATGAGCGAGGCCCGGGCGGGAGGTGGGCCACGGCCGTGTTGGGGCGCGCCAGTGTGCGATGGCTGCAGCGCCCCCGCTGCTAATTTCAGGGCAGCGGGATGGGATTGGTGCTTGCGCAAAACTGATAGCGGTTCTGGAGCGGCAGGCCGCATTTTGACGTGGCGCGCTGGCAGCCAGCAGCGTTTGATGGGCGGCAGCGGGGGGTGCCTGGCAGGTCGGCCGTTGGCGATCAGCGCGGCGTCCACAAACAGAAGGCCCCTGCCCGCCCGCGCCGCCGGCGTGGATGTTCTGCATACAGCTATGCACAATCCGGTCTCTCTCCCGCCCTGAAACGGTACTGCCCCTCTTGCCTGAATCGACGGCACTTCGCACACGGCCCCCGACCGCTCGAGCCCATGCCACTGGCTCGGTGCCTCCCATCTCCACGCGTGGAGCGGCCCGGCAGGCGTACGCACCGTGTCAGGCCCTGCCCCTGCCACAATGATACATAAGACTCTTGCGCCATTCAGGCACTGTCCCGCGCCCTCACTTTGCCCTCTTGTCAGTGTGCTGGCGCCGCTCGTTTGCCTTCGATTCTTCCTCTCAGTGTTACCGCGAGATGCGTTTTGACCTGCACGCAATTACTGCATGACGAGATTGCGCCCTGCCGCCACCCGCCATTGAGCGCTGTCCCCGCCCGCCATGCTTCCAGCACAGGACCAGCCGTCCTCTGCCTCCGACCGCCCCAGCTGGAAAGCTGAAGCGATCCGCCGCGGGAACCTGAGAATCACCGGCCCTTCGCCCGCCGACCTGCCGCCCGTGGACGCCGTCGACGAAGACGAAGACAAGCCCCTGTCGCCTAAGCGCTTCACCGACTCGCATACGCTGGACCTGCGCGACGCCAACTCGTCGACCCGCCGCCGTCTGCTGCGCAAGGCCAGCCTGGACGTTGGCCACCGGGTCGGCCTCTCCAGCGTCTTTCCGAGCCACAAACGCACTTCGACCGACGTCCAGGAGACTATTATGCAGTCCAGCATCTCCATCAGCGGTGCCTCTGCTGCCACGCCCACCACCACTCTCAGCCGTCCCAGCAAGCGTCAGAAGCGTGGCTCGTTGAGCGCTGCTTTCAAAAAGATCTTCGGCAGCAAGAGGCGCGTTGAGCGCGAGAGAAGCCGCACCGCCTCTCCGCCGAGGCATGCCTATCACCACAGCGTAAATCTACGATTCGTGCCGTTGCCTCCCCGTGTAATGCTGACCGCCTTCAGGAACCGCAGGTCAGGCGCGTTTCGCCGACGCCGCGCACTTTCGTCGCAGAGCCGCGCGTTGGAACCTCGAATTCTGACGAATTACCTTCATTTACTGAGAATCTCGGCCGCGGGACGCCGAACCAACTTCCTTTCCCTATGAACGTCAACGCGCCGCAGGAAGAAAGCGGTGCGCTGGGTTACATCGCATTCAACCGCACGCCCCCGGTGCACCGACGGAGAGCCACGCTACCTAGCGTCGTCTTTAATTCCACCGACGCCTCCACCCTCTCCGCAATCTGGAGCGAGTCCGCGAGCAAGCATGAGGATCAGCGCAGTATTAAGGATGAGATCGGCATTGCTGTTTCCGGTCCCGAACATCGCCAAAGCTTCAGCTCGCAAGGGCCAGGAAAAAGGTCCAACCGCAGGTCACGCAGCGCTGGCGCCTTGGAAGATTTGAGAAGAATGCATGAGCGAGACCCGTCGATTCGCAACAGTATTGTCAGCAGCTTCCGCCAAAGCAAGACCCCAGGGAGCCGACCACAGACTTCCCACGTGCCCACTACCGAAGAGGAAGAGGATGTGATCATGCAAGATGAGGTGTATGAGACTCCGTTTGAGACTCCAGGCGAGGGCGCATCGCGGGCTAGCAGTCGCGATACTGTGATGCGTACCAGCCCACCCCCTCTGGATGAGCATGAAGTGCACGCCTTTGATTTTGGCCCTCTGCGCACTGGCCATGATTCCCCTGCACTCAAGGATTCCCCAGCACTCAAACAACAGTTTGATTCCACAGCTGAATCGCAGTTCGTCCTGCTCGATGAGCGTATGGAACGCCTGGAAAGCAACATGCGGTACTTCGACGAATCGTTGCGCCGCATGCAGGGTCGCCAGAATCGACAGACTATCATCCTGGAGAATGCGCCTCCCGGGCGAGGTCACTCCAGGCATTTGAGCACATCTTCAGAAGACTCCCCAAGATACCCCAAACGCCCGTCCATTCCTTTCACCGACCAGCAGCAAGTGCCTTCTCCAGTCTCTTTGACTTCTTCCCCTCATGATTCGCACTTTACTCAGTCGCAAGCTGGAGCATCAGCCCAGTCCGGCCAAGCATTCTACACACCTACCCAATCCTCTCAGAGCTTCCCTCACCAACGCTACCCATCCCCCAAGACGTCTCTTCCCAACCTCATGAGCTCTCCGAGTATAACCACCATGAGCAGTGCGCCGACAGTTGTAGCGACTGCCGGTATTCCTCCACCATCCTCACACTCCTACACCGAGCAACACTCGTACGCTCCTGACCAAATGTCAGCTCTTTACTCCCTTCTCTATCACGAACGCGCTGCGCGCAAGGACCTCGAATCGCAGATTGATGAGCTGCGTCGTGAGATGGGTGAGTTGCGTTTACGTGTTGAGCGGCAGTATCCACGAAGCCACCCAGAAGGGTACAACAGCAGCGGCGTGCTCCAAAACAGCGGACCTAATTCCTACGCCAACAATTGTTGCCCTACTTTGGAGAAATCACATGTGACCTCCAATATTTACAACTATGCTGCCTATCCCGGCACCCAAAATGCCTATCCAACACCCTCGCCCGACGTCAGTATCCTTCTCGGAACAACCACCACCTCATCTACCGAGCATCTTTCCGCCGTACACCCTCGCGTTTCCCAGCTGAACTACGAAGAAGAGGCTTCCAAGCAGCGCAAGAGTCATTTCAGCTTCGATTCCGAAGAGCTCGACCTGCCGGACAGCGGTCGTGCCAGCAAGCGCAACAGTGGCTCCGCCAACACGGCTGCCGCTCCTCAGGGCAGCGGCAGGGGTAGCCCGGCCTCCTCCCAGCGCCAGAACTTCTTGCGCTACGGAGGGCCCGTCGTGGACCGCAGCAGCAGCGTCTACGAGTACGGGTATCCGCCGGAAGACGACGACACGGAGGTTATGGCTTCGCCGGACGCGAAGGCCGGTATCGACGAGTACCAGACGCCGCTCGAGGAGCCCGAGAGCCCACCGCCGCGGGATGGCGAGGAGGTCTTCAGGGGCGTCGGCGTCGCCATGGGAGGCCCGCTTCCTGTGCGCAAGATCAGCATTGGGAAGATGATTTGAGAGGGGGGCTGCTGGAAAGACCAGCCCCCCCAACAAACCAAAAATAGAACAACTTACATACCACTCATGGGATATGGGATATATGTCCACTAACAACAAAAGGGGCGTTCAAGGCGTTGAATCCACAGCTACGGCTGGGAAAAACGAGTTTCCTTCTTTACCTTTTCTTTCTCTTTCTCTTTCCTTTTTCTTCCGGATACTACTGATTAATGACTTTTTTTTACGGACTGAGGAACACCTCCAGTCTCTTTTCTCCTTTTCCTTTGTTCCCATTTCTTGATTGAATGTTTGCTCCGCCTTTCGTCGCGTGAGTTGCGCACACGCGAGCCAGCAAGTCTTGGCTTCTCGAATTTTTTTCGAGCCCGTGTGAAAGTAAGATACCCTAGCGTTTCTGTGCTATCAATCTTGCGTTTTCAGCGAACTTCCGATCTTCTTGTCTCTATTGTCTATCTATTAAATCTTATTATAGAAGTGGGTCGGAGGGAGGGTTTCTCTGGTACATAGAGGGAAATGGACACGGATTTCGAAGATGAACTTTTTCGGTACTCCTAAAGTGACGTCGGCATGTGTGTGATGTCCAGTTACATGGGGCCCGCTACTGATTCAGCCTTGAGGGTCGGGCTTTGCATGTGACCTTATTTAGGCCGTTGCGTGATCGTATCAGCGATTCAGCTGCACGGTCAATGCAACCGCCGGCCAAAAATAAGAATACGACGTTGCCACCATCCCGACGTTGTGGCGATCTGCATCTCTGAGGAGTTGGTGAAGCATATCGGCTTACACGTATGTGCTTGCGGGGTTCCGCGGGGGAGGCGCATTCTTGTTTGATCGTTGTGGATACAATAAGGTTGTATGCATAGGACCAGATGGAGTAATATGGCTTGGGATGAGCCCAGTCAAAGCGCAGTATTGGTTAGATCAGTCGAGATTATCCAATTTTTTTGAACCTTTCTCATCTCATCAAAGCTCGGTATTCTTCAGCGTCGCTTCGTAAGCGCAAATGGGATGGAATATCAGTCCCATTGGTTTGCGAAGTGATGTAGCACAAGTCCTACTCATGCACATAGTTGCATAGTGCATGTGTCAGTTTTGTATCCAAGTAGTATTTTCAAATGACATTCAGATAGTAAAAGGCGAGCTGGCAGCGCTTGGTCCAAAAAACAATAGTTCCCACTGGGCTCCGCAGCCGGCGTGACATCACCACCTTTTCAAATGTATTTCTTCTTGTTAGACGACTGATCCTTGACCTGTATTCCCTCCATGGTACTACTGTGTACACTTACTGCGGTTACTTAGCAATGCTAGGCTACCTAAAGAACCCTTCGACTCTACCATTTCTAGGATCGGAGCAGGTGATATCATATATATCAGATATTCGAGCTTGTTCTATCTGATTCCCCAAATTTATCTGACCACATAGTAGTCTACAAACTATTGTGTATCTCCCAATTTGGAAAGTAAATTGCGCTCTGCTTGTATGCACGGTTAAGATTTCCACCCAGACAGTTTTGTATAACTCCAGAACATACACACGCTCAACGTCACTCGAACAAACTGATCTGGAAGGTATCTCGTAACTCCCCTTACTTCAGTGTTACGAATCGTCCGTCATATGTTACACATGTGTCAGACCTTATCATTACTCATGTTCATTGCCGTGTGTATTTGCCGTGTTTTATGCTTTTCTCAACACCAAGGATTATATCTTTTTTTATCTCACCACAATAACGTCATTCATTCATGATACTTTGTGGCATCATTTAAATCAATTGGTGTATATAAACCGGTAGTTTTACTGCTGTATCATGAGAATCAGCAGTGTTCAATTCAATTCATTTACACTGTTCAACAATATGTTTCAGCTCGAAACCGAAGCTGAAAAATATATCCGCTTACGGCTCTGCGCGGGACGAGTCGCGACTGTGTTAATTTTAGATTGTGTCAGTTGGGCTGGATACACAAGTCCTGAAAGTGACGCGTGGCTGAATCTATCTCCAATAAGAACGCAGCGGAGCTTGCGCTCTTTCATCTGGCGTAGTGGCGTCGGCTTAGTGATCACGATCTAAACGCGATAGAGATCTGAACTGGAAACATATGCAGCACGGCTTCTGCATTTGCACATACATGCATAGAGCTTTGTGTTCGAACGCCGGTTCTAGATTGCAGGGCGATAATATAGAACGAGTGAGTAGAGCGCAAGGCCGATAATCTTTCCTGGCATTGCTACTCTCCACCCAGCTCAACACTAAGCTTTGTGCCACCAACACCTCCTGTCGGTCTCTTTTCAGTCTAATAACCGATAACCATGATGGAATCCCTTGATGACAACACTACCTACACTTACTGCGGGATCACTCAACAGTGCAGAAAGTTCGACGGTCCATTAGATCCCGACATATCCGGCATTGGAGTAAGAAAACACCTTCACCCTGTGATCATTACCATGGCTAATTTGTCAATCTGGGAAGGTGTTCGCATCCTTCCTAGCAACCAGCTTATTGACAATCGCGTCTGTCATCATCGCATACTTCAGCAGATGCCTTCCAATCCCAGATGACCGGATGAACTACGCTGATGAATTACTCATCTCAGGTGCTCAAAGCTTGTTTGTAACAATATTGAGGTACCTTATCTTCGCTTTAAAGAGGTCTCAACGGATTCTTAGAAGTTCAATAAGTTCTGCGGTGTTAAATCAGGCCAACGGAGTCCAGAAGAACGTCGAAAATTCCAAGAGATATGGTCTGCAAGTATCGAGCAGTTCATACTAGCTTTAAGTGATCAGCAACTGATCACGGGTATCGCCCTTCTTACTGTGACTTTCGTCAATCGATGTTCCATTTCGGTCTACGATTTCTACATGGCGTCCGATCAGGCCTGGTTTTCCTCAACTACACATCTCGCCACAATAACCGTTTTGCCAAGATATTTCGATGAAAACAAGACCATGCGCAACATCCGCGCCATACTAATGGTAGGATTTGCATTGCTTTTGGTATGTTCTCAGGTTCTAGTATATTCCGCGAACTTGATCGACGCTCCATATGAGTTCTATTTTGGATGTCCCATGGCGAGGAAATTTCACCTATATTCAGTAGACCTCTTGTACCCTATCACTATTATCACCTGGCTTGTCTTTGTTTATACAAATCGCTTGGTATTTCTATACACGAAACCACAGAATAGAAGCTCCACTCGTAGCTGGATATATACTGCGGTTGCAAGAAAAAGAGGGCTTACTTTACCAATGTCTGTGTCTCAAGGTTTCGATGAGAGGATCAGGCATACACATTCAGCCTTTCCAGAGACACAGGAGAGGAATCCGGTTGCCGGAGAGAAATTGCTTTTTTTGGCAACACGCAGTTTCGTCAACTCATTTTTCTGGGAAATTTTATGGCTCTGCTTCAGCGCGTCTTACGGCATCAGTATGGTCACGTTTAGATGGGAAGACTCCAGATACTCCATCGATGACACATCGGATCTGGATCATTGGGGATTTGGGCAGCTAATTCCCCTTTGCTTCTTGGTTCTGCCTATCCTGACTGGAATCGAGGCTTACACTGGTATGTACTGTTTGATTATAAGCTGAAATACACCAAAGGTCAAGGACTAAGAAACCAAATTTAGGGGCCAAAACTCGGCCTAAAAACTCGGCCTAAAAACTCGGCCTAAAAACTCGGCCTCGCAAGAGAGTGAACCCAATGAAACTGGAAATGACAACGGCAGAACCTCTATATCATCTCAGGAGGTAGGACTCGATGACGCTCCACTTCTGCTCAGAAGGCCTTTCATTATAGTGCTTTCACTATCCATTTTGATGGCTATGTCCATAACCCAGTGGTTCGCTATCATGCAAGGGGTAATCAGCGATATTAGTGACGCAGTCCCTTTTGGGGTTTTCCTCGCATGGGTAGTATTTATATACTTTTTTTGCATCGTTTGCCCCGATCTTCACGCGCTTTATCAGGCGGATAAAAATCGTGGTTTCGCAAGTGGCGAGGGACAGATCTTAATGGAGCAACGTCATACAACTTCGCCGTGAAAGACAGAATGACGGCATTAATTGTCCGGTGCGAATCTCTTGAAAGGCTCCGGATCTTCACACAGCTTTCTCATTTCCAACCGTAAGAATTCACATCATATCGGTCATTACTCAACATGAATTTCCGTCTTTACAGTAAGAAGCATTGACAAGGGTTGTGGCCCCTTAGAAGGGGTATTTTAAAGAAGTGGCATCTATGAATAACCAATCCTCGGGACGAGTGTAGTCAAAGTGCAGTATAGGCTGGAAGTGATATCATTCGTGTGAGATATTCAAGCTTAGCCTATCTGATACCGAGTTTTATATAACCAGTACTATACAATGATTGGGCATTCCCTCAAATATACAGGGAAAAAGATATTTATCTAATGAAGCTTGATTATTTGGAGCGTCTGCGGTTCTTGTTCGATGGTTCGAATGATTTCCCCATCCATAAAGCCATGAACGTAACATTCGCCCACAACTTTGTAGCCGCTGTCCTGCGATCGTAATACAAGTGGACAATTGCACCCCATGATAACGAATATTTTATCCTCCGGTTTCGTAGCCGCTGGGACAAGCCCCAGAAACCCTCTGCAGGTTGTGACAAGTCGGCGCCAGGCTAGAATATTCATGGCCAAAGATGCAGCATCTCTCTGTTCCCTTGAGGGATTGTATAGTCGAGACCTACTGGAGGACCATTTTCCCTTTCCAGACACAGTATGTGGTGAAGCGGGCGCCGAAGGTTGTGGGTGACGAACAAGATCTTGCAGTGTCTGATCAAACACCACCAAATCTTGGTTTCGCTGCATGAAGTCTGCCAAACCGAGGGTCCGCGACTTCACGCCTGCAATCTCATCTCGCCAAAGCCGGGGATCCAAAAGCAAGGAGTAAGTGTCGGGAGCGATCTCCCCATCAGTCGTGGAATTCGCAACAAGGGTCCTCCAGAAGGCTTCCCTCGTCGAACTGGCATCTCCATACGCGCTGACGATATTTGCACGGCTCAGAGGATATGATTGGTCCGCCTCATGGCAATGAAAAGCGCTCATGCTGGCAACTTCATCCAAGAAAACACCTTGCACAGTCATGCGAGTGCCGCTCGGGTCGAATGTCACTTCGCTGGTCATGTCTCCGGAAGCGCGGTAATGTGTTGGAAGCCTCATGACCGGAGTTCTTGGGCACGCCCAGCAAGGAACCCAAGACGGCATCCCGTGAGAGCAGCCTTGATCAACGTGCCCCGCGCTTGGCCCCAGCAATCCGGATTTCCATTTGGCTGGCATCATCTTCGAGAGCGTCTCGTGCGAACCCTGCACTTGTCCGATCGGACTGTGAAGGAGACGAAGACCGCTCAGATGGCCACTCGAGAACATGGCCTGCGCGAATTGACGAAAAATATCTGTGGTGGCCATATTGTAATCCGGGGTGATCTGGGAAGCGCCGAGGATGCTTCTCAATCCAAGAATACCATACACTTTGTCCTTCTCGTTCGTGGCCTGAGCATCCCGGCTCAAGCTGAGGGTCCGCAGGACATTTGGGGTCTCGATCGGGGAGCTGCTATGCTGAATCCCCTGCAGAATTTCGATCTCCAACAACAGTTTCCATAGCTTCTCAGAGGACAAAGTGTCAGTATGGCCTGATGGCAATCGATCCGCGGTGAAGTCCCAGTCGAATCCTCCAAACTTCGAGCCCGCAGCCTCCAAAACATCCCAACCCAATCTACACTCATCCGCCTGGATAAGCGCCGCCGCGCGAAAAACATGCCGCCACGTAACGCCCCTAGAGCCGCAAATGACGGGCGACGAGGGAGATGCCAGCGCGATCTCCTGAAGAATCCACAGCCGCCGCCAGTACGGTCTCGCAAACAGATCGTACAGCGCCCTGTAAGCCTGCTTGCGCATCGGACTGATTTGCCTGGACCATTTTATGAATAGCGGACGCATGTCCACCGTCCGCGTCTCGCGGTAGAAGCCTTCCAGGCCCCGCCCGGATTCCACGCAGCTGCTGAGCCACTCGACGGCCACCATGGCGAGGTCGCTGTCCGCAGACGCCTGGCCCAGCCATGTGACGACCTCCCAGGCCGAGGCGTAGATGTCGCGCATCCGCGCGACCTCCCTCGAGCGCTCCGCGAGGTCGTTCTGGTTGATGCAGAGCGCGTCTACCCATATGCCGATGCTCTCCTTTTCTCCCCCCTCGTCGTCGTCGTCGTCCTTCTCCTGCTTTCGGACCCACGGCAAACGTCCGCGGAGCTGGCGCAGCGCCGCCTCGAGGTTTTCCGTAACCTGCACGATGTTGCCGTCGACGGAGATGTCTTTGGTCTTGGACGGGTCGCCCCACACGTACGACAGCGCGGCGAAGTCTCCGTCTTCGACCAGGACGTGTTCGGGACCCCGCTGCCAGATCTCATCCGCGTTCAAGTCGATTTTTGAGCTCGCAGTGGCTGGTTCATCTGGAACTTTGCTCGGGTCCCAGAGACTGTCTGTCGCAGCAGCCCCGGTGCGTTTGGGATCGAGCTCGATGACCCCTGGTTGCTCGGATGGAATCCACTGACCATGGCGTGCTCTGGGCTCTCCTGCTTTGGAAGTTGATTTCTTGAACTGAATGTGCTTGAGTCGGCAGTGTACCATGCCATGAGCGGGTTTGGTATCTGGGATGATCTGCAGCACCCGAATGTCGCTGCCATCCGAACAGAGCGGTTTGTAGTCCATCAAAGGCGAGGGAACCTGAAAGTAAGAGTAGTGAAACGCGTCCGAGCCTTTGAAATAAGCTGTAGAGTTATTTACATACCTTTGCATATTTCGGGCCGCTCATACGCCACGTGAGATTCGGGAATTATTACCCATGTTTGCTGACGTGGCTGTGGCGTCGGTAACAGATCCTACGAGACTGATTTAGAATTTTTATACACTAGATATGTCGATCAAATACCTTCATGCCTGCAGTAACTGTTGGAATAACTTGATTGCTTGTTGTTCCCGTGGGAGACTGGTAACAAGGTGTTTCGTTGCATCGTCGGATACTTTTAGCAGATAGAACAACGACTTGGCGTCTGAACTGGAGTATGGAAGGTCCGATGCCGTTCATAACGACCTAAAAAGATTTATACCAGTAGCTAGAAGTGACAAGAACGGTGACATCTCTGAAGAGATACCTCAAGATGAGAATACATTGCCTGCGACCGTCTGTCGCTTAATCTTCCCGCCTAGCAGGATGCCTCCCCCAAACCTCATCCGCATCCTTCTTTCCCTTCGTCTCGGGCACCACAAGAGCGACGAACGCACCAAAGCCAACCGCCAGCGCCGTGAAAATGAAGAACACATAACCACCCATCTTAGCCTTCAGCATGGGGAAGAACTGTGCCACGATGAACGTCGCGATCCAATTTGCAGCAAGCGCCCAGCTCTGAGTGGCACCAACAGCCTCGGGGCCCACAAGTTCGGACGCGAGGATGAAAGGGACAGGGCCGAGTCCCAGGGCGAAAGAGGCAACGAAGGTGACGACGGCAATGGCGGAAAGGATTGGGATAACGCGAATGATGGAGATTCCGATAAGGAGTGCCGAGGTTCCCATACCAGCGATGGAGCTGATGAGGCAGGTTTTGCGGCCGAGGCGCTCGATGAGCGGGGCGCAACCGGTGGTGACAACGATGTTGACAGCCGAGACAAAAAGGTTGAGGAGGGCACTATTGGCGGAGAGGAGGGTGGAAAGGAGAGAAACACCATACATTATGATGGTGTTGATGCCTGGGGGATCGTCAATATTCTCACTCCAAATGCAGTCACCTGCGTTGCCTACCTGAGAATTGCTGTGCGACCATGACGACCATGACTGCAAAGGTAGCTTTCTTCGTGTCTGGGTGTCTGAGAACTTGGAACATGCTAAGGCTCTCTCTGGAATTCTTGTCCTTGGACGCGCCGCTATGAAGAGACGCACGATCATCACTGTGAAGCAGAGTTTCCTCCTCGTCTTCGAACGGGTCAGCAATGGCTTAGCGGTGCGGAGTATAGGACTATCATACCACTCATCTGGTCAACGTTGTCGACGCCCCATCCGCTGATCTCCTCGGTGATGTTGGCGTCAGATCCCCTAATCTTGCGAAGATTCTTCTTGGCTGCAGATGGATGGCCTTGGTCTGCCAGCCATTTCGGGCTTTCAACACCAAGAACTAGACCGACAGCCTGAACGATACCAACAACACCGCCAACTGCAAGAATGAGTCTCCACATGGAATCATGACTAAAGAAGTATCCAAGAAGTTGGGTCAAAAGGATGCCACAGTTGCACGTGATCTGCGTAAAAGCACCAAAGAAACCCCGCTCAGCGGGCGGCGCGATCTCCGAGATATAGATGGGTACTACCACGACGGAAGCGCCTGCACCTATGCCTGAAATAAAGCGGCCAAGCGCGAGGACGCTAGAACTGGGGGAAAGGGCTTCAAACACAGGACCAATCACGAAGAAGATGGTAGTGAGATGCATGCATCTTAGGCGTCCGTACTTGGACGCCACGGGGCCGGCGGATAGAGCACCGATAAGGCCGCCAAGAGTGAAGATGGAGCTGACGAGCCCCCATTGTGCGGGGTCCATGGGCATACATTGGGGCAGCTTGGGGGCGGCGGAGGCATCGACGGGCTTCTTGCACCTGATGACGTCCTCGGGGGCGTTGAGCTCGGCCAGATGGAAGCCAAAGAGCAGCGGGCCCAGCGTGGCGGTGAAGAGAACGAAGAGAAAGTAGCCGGTCAGGTCTTTAGCCCAGGCTCTGGGATCCATGGCGATGGCAGAATCGGAGTGCTTCCGTCAACACGAGCCGAAGGATGCGGGATGGAGACGCGGCCTGATGGAGTCAGATGGGATTCTGGAGTCAGGAAGCCGCAACCATGCGGGTCGCAGCACACGGCGATGTCGTTCACTTGAAACACAGAGATGCTGCTGTCGTGCAGCGCAGGACGGAGGCGCTCGGGGTGGAGTCGCCCGTGGCCAGAGCGGAAGTCAGGGCGGAAAAGCAAAAGGAGGCGACGTACCGGCGGCACAGGCAGCGAGGGGCAGTGCAGCAGCGCGCGGTCGGCTGGCGGGCGGTTGGTGCAGCTAGGCGTTAGGGACTGGTTCTGGCAGGCGTGGTTGAGGGCGGTTGCTGGTGGAAGGCGCGGGTGCGCTGGCCGGCGCGGACAAGTGCGCGGCGAGTGACGCGCAGGCTCCACGCATCGCCAGCTGCAGCTGCAAACGAACTCGCTCGCACACCCGCCGCCACCGCCCCGACTCCCGAAGGCCCGCCGCCGCCGCTGGGGCCTCTTGCAAGCAGCCAGCATGGCGCCGCCTTCCCCAGACCCGCGTTCCCAGGCCTCGTCCGCTGCAGCCCTGCCCGCCAGCACCGGCCCGCAGGCAGCGTATAATGGTCGGTGCGATCAGCTTACCGCGCGCTCCCTCCAGCAGATCTTTCCTTCCTGTTGAAGCCTGATTCCCGCCCGCACGCCCCGACTCGCCGCCCGTCGCACCGCAGTCGCCGGCCCTTTACATATCTGTCCTAACTTGCCCCCAGGCTCGTCCCAGGACCCCGCCACCATGCTCCACGGCGGCTACACGAGCAAGAAACGCGTCCAGGAGCGCTACAAGATCCTCGGCTTCATCAGCAGCGGCACCTATGGCCGTGTCTTCAAAGCCCAGAGCCGCACCGGCCAGCCCGGTCTGTTCGCCATCAAGAAGTGCGCCTGCCCGTGCCCTGCCGCAGACTGCCCGCTGACCCCCGCAGGTTCAAGCCCGACAAGGAGGGCGAGGTCCAGTACACGGGCATTTCCCAGTCGGCCATCCGCGAGATGGCCCTGTGCACCGAGCTGTCCCACCCCAACGTCGTGCACACCGTCGAGATCATCCTCGAGGACAAGTGCATCTTCATCGTCTTCGAGTATGCCGAGCATGACCTGCTGCAGATAGTCCACCACCACACCCAGAATCCCCGCCAGCCCATCCCTGCCAAGACCATCCAATCCATCCTGTGGCAACTACTCCAGGGCCTCCATTACCTCCACCAGAATTGGGTCATGCACCGCGATCTGAAGCCCGCCAACATCATGGTCACTGGCAAGGGCGCCGTCAAGATCGGTGACCTCGGCCTGGCCAGGCTTTTCTATAAGCCCCTAGGATCTCTCTACAGCGGCGACAAGGTCGTCGTCACCATCTGGTACCGTGCACCCGAGCTCCTCTTGGGCAGTCGCCACTACACGCCCGCCGTGGACCTTTGGGCTGTAGGCTGCATTTTTGCCGAGCTTCTTGCACTCAGACCAATCTTCAAAGGTGAAGAAGCCAAGCTTGACAACAAGAAGCAGCCACCCTTCCAGCGCAACCAGATGCAGAAGATTGTCGAGATATTGGGTCTGCCGCGAACTGAGGACTGGCCATTGCTTCGCGCGATGCCGGAATACAGTCAGCTTCCTACTTTGCATGCCGGGAACCCGCGCGTTAACCGACCCGTGGGCCTGAAAACGTGGTACGACACGTGTATGAGGAACAACAACTACCCAGACGGAGTCGGTAACTCTCCCGGCCCAGAAGGATACTCCCTGCTTCAAGGCCTTTTGGAATACGACCCGCAAAAGCGTCTCACAGCTGAGAAGGCGCTCAAGCATCCTTACTTCAAGGTCGGACTGCCCGACGGCCAGACACCAAGCGACAATTGCTTCGCCGGTTCGAGCATCGACTACCCGCGTCGTGCTGTCAAGGCGGACGACAACGATATTCGAACCGGAAGCTTACCAGGCACGAAGAGAAGCGGATTACCTGACGACTCACTGCTGCGACCAGCAAAGAGGCTTAAGGAGGTCTGATTTGCAAAAACAGACAGACTCTATTCAGCCGCTTTGCTGGTTTCGATCTTCGTGTGTTGACTGCCATGCTTGAGTTTAGGCCGTACAAGAACGCGAAGATTCCGCGCCCGAAGATTCACACGAAAGCGAGTTTGATTTCATGGCTCCGTATAGATGGAGAGGCCCAACACCCTATGATCCTCAGATGGCCGGGTTTGCGGGTTCAGGTGCATCTCCTGAGGATGCTTCACTCGTAGCTCCAACCCAGCAAGATCTCGGAGTAGAAGACTTCATGTCTATGCTTCCATCTGAATGTGCTGATCTATCATCCTACGGGTCTCAAAGATTCTTTGAGGCGAGTTCGCCACCTGATTCTCCTGAGAAAAAAGACTTGTTCGAAGGGAAGGCCAGCCAAGGTGGCATATGAGCTGTTGTGGACGCAACGAACCAAAAGCATCTTCAGATGGGAAGTGTTGTCTGATGCGCTTCGTTGGGTTAGCTTGGTGCTGTTTCGGTTTGGTCTCGCCCAGAGAGTTGGTTCCGGTGGGATAAGAGCATCCGCATATGGCATTCGTACTCCATTTGCGCCAAGAGAGCAGGGCTATTAGATAGCGTAGCTGTACAATAGAGGTTAGAGGATCGCTTGCTAATAGCTCCCCCGACAAATAATGGTTTTTGCGCGCCTATTTAGCCAGAGATCGGCTATATTGTTTGGATCTCAGATTTGGACTTTTGAATGGTCGAGGTTTCTCGTGTTGTTGAATTCAACCTGAGGGTTGATAAATGAAGAGGCACTCGCAATGTCCGGGGTATCCTACAATGATCCGTCAGTTGGCCGACTGGCTAGTCATCAAGAAAAAAATTACGGCCGGGTCATGTCGTATCTGTACAGCCTTTCAGGCCATGACAGTTTGTTTGCGCTAAAGTTGAAGGAGCCGGGCGCGCCCGGCGCTTTTGCCTCCGCCTTAACGCTTATCTGCTATTGCCGAGCGGAAGCGTAAGGCGTGAATTAGAGTTTATTCCGAACCTCGGACGGAGGCTAAGAGGAAGTCCGATGCGCACGCAAGCAACGAGCAAGCCTAGCTCCACAACGGCGCACTGTCGGACCATTGAGAAATGGCGGCTTGTCATCAAGACAGCGGCGGAGAAAAAATGGTCGTGGGGAGCGGAAATAGCACGACCCAATCCGTCGGATTTAGGTAAGTCACGGCTAAGACTTGCAGATGTGGGGTTCGGCCAGGAGCATGCGCGCATGCAGATGATTGCCCGCCATTCACCATCCCTGCCCAAGCCGTCGTGATCCAGACATCATTCCTTCACCAGCGGGGGACCTAGCTAATAACGTGCGAAAAGACGATGGCTGCCACGTGCAGGCTGACACGCACTGTCCTTTTCCGGCAAGGACTGAATCTTTAGTTTTCAATCATCCGAGCGGCTGACGTACCCTGCCGTACCCGCACTGCTACGCCCCGTTCCCAAATGCAACACTCGACTTTTGCCGAGGACATCCCGCTTTTATGGTCCACTGCCGTTCGGAAGAGGATCCAGTTATGACGAGAATCTGGCTTTTACTCCGCAGGAGCTAAGGGAAGCCCAGGGTCCATAGGGCGGCCCCTCCTCTGCTGAGCTTCTTAACTGCGGTCACCAGCCTTTACTTACCCCTCATCTTATTCTGTCTCCTCCGTTACTTCTGTCTTGAGGAAGAAACCAAAGGTTGTTGCTCATTGTCGCGGGTTGCGTGGCATACTCCTGCAGTAACTTACCATTTCTACTAGATCCCATCCACAGCTCTCAATCATGTCCACCACGCTGCACCGCAACCCGCCGTTCCGTGCTGAGCACCTCGGCTCGCTCCTGCGTCCCAAGGATCTCCTCGACAAGAAGGCTGAGGTCCAGGAAGGTAAGGCTCAGGTTGCGGATCTGAAGCCTCTAGAGGATGCCGCCATCAAGGACATCGTGGCCAAGCAGCAGGAATGGGGCTACCGCGCTCTGAGCGATGGCGAATACCGGTACGCATGCCGCCCAAAGCAACTTGTTGGCCCCCAAGTTCTTGCCTTTTTGAGAGAGGAAAAATGTGGAAGCTCAGATATGACGGATCGCTGATTATGGTCGTAGTCGGCACATGTTCTGGGGCACCTTTTTCCCTGGTCTGGACGGCATGAAGGAGGTGCAGCAGCCGTCACTCGACATGTTCCGCACGTATGTGCCCGACATGGCGGCGTTCCTCGAGACGAACCACATTCCCGGTGAGACGGTCATCTGCACAGGCAAGATCAGGCACACCGGCCAGAGCACCTACGTCGACCAGGTTGAGTACCTCAAGACCCTCCTCCCTAAGGAGCGGTGGGGTGAAATCAAGCTCACACTCGCGGCCCCGAACTGGTACCACCTGCGCTACAGGGAGGGCCAGGCTTACCCGGCCGATGTCTACAGCAGCGACGAGGAGTACTTCGGCGACATTGCGAAGGCGTACCAGACTGAGCTAGACATTCTGTACAAGGCGGGCTTGCGCAACGTGCAGTACGATGACCCGAACCTGGCTTGTGAGTGGCTGCTTTTAGAAACTTTGAGGAGGTTCGACTTGCTGACGGCTTTGCGATTCCACCAGACTTCTGCTCGGAGAAGATGCTTAAGGGGTGGGAGGAGGATAAGCGGAACAAGTACACGGCGGACGAGCTGCTCGATGTGTACATCAAGCTGTACAACGACTGCATTGCCAAAGTGCCGGCCGACATGCACGTTGGCATCCACCTGTGCAGAGGTAAAATTAGCCCCAGTTGCGCATCATTTTCCCCTTATGCCCTTGCTTGCTCCCGGTCTCAGACACCGGACCCGCGTAGCCCCGCATATGCGCCTCAATTAACCCCACGCATATACCCCCAAACCCCGCTTCCAAAACATCATAGTTACGTAGCCTTAACTCGCACTGACCCTTGCTCTTGACGCAGGCAACTTCATCGGCTCGCGCCACTTCGCCGAGGGCGCGTACGACCGGATCGCGAGCAAGCTCTTCCGCGACCTGAACATGCAGACGTACTACCTCGAGTACGACACGCCGCGGGCGGGCGGCTTCGCGCCGCTGGCGGAGCTGCCGGTCGACAAGAACGTCATCCTCGGCATCGTGACGTCCAAGTTCCCGGAGCTGGAGGACAAGGAGGAGATGAAGCGCCGCATCTACGAGGCCGCCGACATCATGGCCAAGGGCGCCGGCCAGACGCGCGACGAGGCGCTGAACCGCATCGGCGTCAGCCCCCAGTGCGGCTTCGCCAGCCACGCGTGCGGCAACCTGATCGACCACGACGGCATGGCGAAGAAGCTGCTGCTGGTCAGGCAGATTGCGGACGACGTGTGGCCCGGCCAGCCGTGAGGAAGTGAGCGAGAAGAAGGTGGAGTCGTGGATGATGAACTATTTAGAGAAAGAGATAGAAGGAAGATACAGCCTGCGAGAGAAGGCGGCTTGTTGGATAAGATGGGACGGGAAGATGCATGTCAGCTTCAACACTGGCAACCTCGGGGTTGCATGGAATTCAGACGAAAAAAAGGTGTTAGGGATAGGGAGCCGCTTCAACCGCGAATAAGGTGAAGAAAGGCGCGCTGTGTTTGTACTCGATATACCAATTTATTTTGCTGCGTCTAGTTGGATCATGTGACGTCACGTGATTGGTGATGGCTTGCGATTTGCTTGCCAAGAACGGCCGGGGTGCCGCCCTCTCACCGGCCACGACAACGCAGCACCTGCATCCCCAATGTTGATACCCTGACTCCACACAAATTATTGTTCTTTGCAACAAGAAAGCTTCTCACCGTGCCATGCACAGATAGCACCGTCTTGACCAACACAACTCAACATCATGTCGCGTCCCACCGCGGCGCGCAAGGCGCCTAAGGGCGAGTACATCGAGACGGTGAGTAAAAACATCAACCGCACTGCGACCCTAGTCATGAACGTGAAGCCGTTGTTATTCCTTTTCTTCATTCTTACCCGCATATTCACTTCCATCTACCTTCCTGATCAGCTAATTTCGTCTGTCTTCATTTCTATTTTCTCTACTACAGAAAATGCATTTGCGCTGCTGCGGCGCGAGATCGCCAAATCGGCCAGCCCTGCTTCTTGAACTCCCCTGTCTCAATCTACCCTGTGGAATACCTATCCCAAATTTTACCCCTCAGCTGCCACCCATAGCCAGTATCCGCTTGCACTCGTACTAACCGCCCACCAGGACTCCGGCAACAAAGTCTCGCGCAAAGCCCACATCTCCGGCACCGCCAACATCACCCTCGGCGGCAAGACCGTCATCATGGCCGACGTGCACCTCCGCGGCGACCTGCACCGGCTCAAGACGTCGCACACCAGCAGCGACGCCACGGGCGAAGGCGGCAAGTCGTCCTCATCGTCCTCGTCGTCCGCCAACGCCATCAGCATCGGCCGCTGCACCGTCATCGGCGCGGGCTGCGTCATCAAGCCGCCGTCGCGCATCAGCCGCGGCCAGCTGAGCTACTACCCGATGAAGATCGGCGACAACGTCTTCGTCGGCGCCGGCTCGCACATCTCGGCCGCCAGCATCTCCAGCCACGTCCACGTCGGCGAGGGCTGCATCCTCGAGCCCTTTTGCATCGTCCGCGACAACGTCAAGATCCTGCCCCGCTCCGTCGTACCCGCAAACATGGTCATCCCCTCCAATTCCATCGCTGGGGGCAGGCCTGCCCGCGTCGTCGGCGAGCTGGGCGAGGGGTGGGGCGTCGCGGCTGGCGGTGGTGGCGGCGGCGAGGGCGGGCCGATGGGCCAGGGTGAGGTGTGGGTTGAGGGCGGTGATCTGAGGGAGCTGGTGAGGAGTGTGAAATGAGCGGCGTGTGCCTTGTCGTCGGCGGAGCTAGCAGGGAGGTATGGGCAACGGGGTTGCGGCTGTGGTTTCTTTTTTTCACTTCCGGTTGGGATCGACTCATCAATGTACAGGTGTTGGTCGAAGCGAAGGCGTGGTTTTTGATAGCTTTGGAATTTCATAGAGCCCTCTTTATTCGGCAATTTCCTCAAACGCGTTCACATGCAAGCATTTAGTAGGGAAGAGAAACCAGACATGGCATCAACCCAGCTTCCCAGCAACCGGCAAGTCAGCATTAAGGAGGCCTGCTATATATAAACAGCGGAAGCAACAGGTCCTGTTACAGATGGTTAGTGTGTTGGGCATGCTACGGCACTATACTTCACCACCAGGACCTTAGAAGCGTAAAAACCCGAGGCGTTTGTGATCTGTTGGGTTTCCTCATCAGGAAGGTGAACACCTTAACGCTGTTCTGAGTTCGATTCCCGCTTATGCGTTCATACTCCGGTTCCTGGCGCTTTGTTGGATGAGGCTTATGGGCTGCGGATGGGGTGTATCACCGACCGAGTTGCTTTTTTGTCTGTTTTTAAGACCACACTGTCGGTGCTCTCCCGATCATTCATGGCATAAAATCCGCCCTATTTGTCCTTCTCACTTCTTTTTCTCGACAAAGATCTTGATTTAGCGGCCGGTGTATTGCAGCACATAGATGTACTACGTTGGCCACGTTACTCTTGATGCCGTTTGACCTGTTCTGCAGTGCTTTGCGAGCTTGTGACGTCGGCGTCGAGTTCCTCAATCTTCTTGATTTTCACCAGTAGTGTCAGTCACTAAGAGTCCGCCTAAAAGTTCCTCCAGACTTTCGATGCCAATGGCTTGCGTCTTCATAGCTGTGACCGTGTCTTTATGGAGGTGGCCTTACTCTCAATCTCACGAGCACCACCGCCACTTTTATACGAACTGAACCCTTCTGGGCCTTCGAACCTTTTGTCTCCTGTTTCACTTAACTACATCCACCGAATAATTTAATCCGGTATATTGGCTGTTATGATGGGTGACGCGCTGGTCCGCTCTGATACGATGTCAAGCATTATTGTCTCTTACACCGTCCCAGTCACTAAAAAGCAGATGGAACAAATTCGATAAAAAGTTGTGGTATATTTCTCGCATGTTCTGTAAATATCTCTATTCGCGCTCTCGCCCATACAGGGCGTATAGTTCTAGATGTACGGGTAACGGAAAGTGATCATTAGGCACGCAGAAGATGGCCAACGGAACGGGTTGCAGCAACTCATCTTCCCACCTTGAATGACAACACCTATGCAGGAAGTTAGATCTGCACCACGCACTATCCAAACACATATTACTTACGTCGTTCTTTCCGACAGCAACCGGATCGTCTTCGGAGACCTTCACGCCACCCACTGTCTCGGCATACGCTAGAGGTGCGTCACCCATGACCTTGCGATACACGTCGCCGACCGTAGATCCCCTGTACTCTGTCAATAAGGCAGTCCATAATAAGGCAAATATAGGGGGGAAATCGTACTTCTTGACCAAGACGCAGTCTCTAAACACCGCTTTGTCCTGAGAACCCGACGCAAAGCTGTGGATGTTCCGAACGGGGAAGACAGGCACCAGGCCGAGCAGCTCCGCCGCACGACTCAACACCTGAACAACGCCCGTGCTGCCGAAGCGGTAGAGCACCATATCCTTCAGGTTCTCGATGCGTCTAGATCATTGTGAGTTGACAAGATACATATCTGAGGACTGTGTCAATCTTACTGCTTCAGCTTCTCGTCCATTTCTTTCAAACCGCCACCATCGGGGTCACCATCTTCGATGAGGTCTTCTCTCGTGTCGACAAACTCGCTGCCTTCGGTGTACCTGACGTAACCTTGCTTCGCTAGACGACGGAGGAAGACTTCACTAATGGCGGAGGTCAGGACGAGCGTCTTCGGATCTTGCTGTTTCGCTATTTTCGCGATGTTCTTTGGGAGAACAGAAGTTAATACCCATTGATTCCTACCAGCGGTGGAACGAAGTCGTCGTTACCTTATCTGCATCGGGATGATCGATTTTGTTCAGCGCTATCACCGTCGGAAATTTCTCGTCCGTGAAGACATTGACAACCTGCTCGATCGTCTCGTTTGACCAATCCTGTAGGGGCTCTTTGATTTGTAGCTTGTCCAAGACTCTTTGGACCACAGCGGCGGTACTACCGTAACCAGAAAATTGGTTCTGCAATGTCTCAACCGGCGTCGCCTCTATAGTCATGGATTAGAAATCGGCAGCGTCTCTCCGTGGAGACTGAACGTGGAAACTCACTTACGGCAACGTGCCGTCGTTTTATCGAACCCCTGCACCCACGATTAGCTATCAGCCGCCTCCAGCATTCCCAGACTGTGTATACCATTTCTCCATGAGGTTGCCCTGAATCCACCGCACGATTTCGAACCGCAGCCATTCGATATCTTTCGAAGGGTCATAGCCTCTCGTGGCCTTACCTACCCAACACATCAGCGGCCCGTTGTTTCACACCCACATTCTCCCCAATCCCCCGATCCAACGTGGCTCCCCGAAACAATCTCCACCACACCGAAACCGCCCCCGGTTCGCGACTTACCCTCCGCATCCGTCGTTCCGCTCACGTCCACCACGTGCACTAGCGCGTCCGCGTGTCTCAGGTCGTCCAGGAACCTGTTCCCCAGCCCCTTGCCCATGTGTGCGCCGGGCACCAGGCCGGCCACGTCCAGCAGCTCGATGGGCACGCTGCGGCGGCCCTCGTGGCAGCCGCCATAGTTGGGCTTGCACCGGTCCGATACGCCGAGGCGCGCGCACGCGCACTCAATCTGCAGGTAGCCGATTGCGCGCTGCGGGTCGATGGTCGTGAAACTGTTTTGTTCGAAGAATCGCGCTCAGTAATGCGGTCGGGGGAAAGAGTGGCGTGTAATGTTGGCGCCGAATTCGTAGTTGCGATTGGAGGATTGCGGTCGAGCGGATGGTGGGGCGGCGTGGTGGGGTGACTTACGGGAAATTTCCTGGAAAGATTGTGTGTTAATGAGCAGCGTCGCGCAAGAAGGGGAGTGCAAAGGGTACTGACCGACTTTGGATGTGGCATCCGTCAAGCTGCCACAGCGAAAGGAAGCTTCAGCGACCGGGTCTTCTTCGTGCTGGCACGATTTTGGGGGGCGGTGGGAGCGGGGCGCACCTGTTCAACGTCGTGGACTTGCCCGACGACGGCTTGCCGACGAGGCCGATGAGAGGGTCGCGAGGCATTGTTGCTCAATTGTGCAAGTCTGCTTGGGGGGAGACAGCGACGGGCAAGGGCAGCGGTGCTCCAGGTGCGAGGTGTGAGGCGTGGGTTGCTGCAGCGCGATGATGCCGTCACCCACCGCGACTTAACGAAAGATTCGTTCTATCGATAAGGCTGCTAGCGCGCCTAAGGCACCGACGACCCCGGTCTCGGGCGGTGTCTACAATTGGCTGGCCGCCGTTTGACCCCTAATGAAGATCGCCGCTGCCGGCTTGAAGGCGCAAGCACGACAAGCACCGGCCCCCAAACTCCTCGGCGCTTGGAAGCAAGCATAAATCATCGACACGTCAACCACCAAAACACAGGCAGCAGTGCAATGAGACTCAACCATGCAGAATGAGACATGATATTGTATTCGTAAAAAGTACCTGTATCCCTGATGCAGTCCCCCTCCAATTCTTTTGCGCAAGGCGCACTCAGAGACGCAAAAAGCAAAGTTGGACACCGGACCTCTAACCAGACCGCCGATGCTCAAGAAGACATTAGTTTCCCAACCCATAGCAAGCCTATGCCGACTTGAAAGAAGAAAACAGAACCCGCTGCATGCCAAAACTATTTATAAAGGCACTATGTTGAAAAAAGAAGCATGACTGAAACGAACGAGAAGCTCGTTTACAGAAGAGCGGCACCGAGGAAGGTCGAGGCCAGGACGACTAGGCTGCAGACGATGGGGGCAGTCTCGAAAGCGGGAGCCCTCAAGCCGGCGGCACCACCGGTGGAGCCAGAGCTGGAGCTGCCGCTGGAGCCGGTCGCGGTCGCGGTGACCTCGCCGGAGCCAGCGGTAGCAGTGCCGCTGGAGCCAGTGCCAGCGTTCTGAGAGCCAGGACCGCTGAGACCCTTGGCCTCACCAGCACCGTCGGTCATGTACTTCTTAGCAGGCTCGGGAATGGCAGGGAGCGAGTCGCTATCAACCTCCCAGGAAGACGACTTCTTGGGGCACTCGGAAGCCTTGCCATCCGTCTTGTAGCCACCATCACCAGTAGGAGCGGGGGTGTCAGCAAGGGCGGACTTCAGAGCATCGAAGTCATCCTTGTCGGTGACGGAGTCGCCCGAGATCTTGACGAGACCGTAGTTGGAGCCCTCCTCAGCGTACTCGTAGACGAGACCACCAGAGTAGACGCTGGTCATCTTGTCCGAGTAGAGGGCAGCGACCTCCTCGAACTTGCGCGTGTTGGTGTTGCAGCCGTACTCGGAAAGGAAGAGGGGAAGGCTGTAATCGCTGAACTTCTTGACCTTGCCGTCCCAGCCAGACTGGGTGAAGGAAGACGGGTCGCACCAAGAGTAGTCGTTGAAGGCGAAGAAGTCCGAGCGCTCGTCATCGGTACCGCAGTTCATGTACTGGGCCATCTCGAGACGGTTGGAGTCGACATCGGCGGCAGAGTAACCGACGGGGATCTTGCGGTAGTTCTGGCTGCCAATGTACTGTCTCATGTCGCGAGTGACGGCCTTGACGTAAGGGGCAGCACCGGTGGTCTTGTCATCGTTGATGACCTCGTTGCCCGAGAAGAAGAGTAGGGTGTTGTCGTAGTTGGCGAAAGCGTCAATGGTGGCAAAGACGTTCTGGAGGTAGACGTCGTTGTACGACGTCTCGGGCTCGTTGCGGTTGAGCGAGTACTTGGGCGTGTTGACATCAAGAGCGAGGTAGATGCCAGCATCGGCAAGTAGCTTCATGCACTCATCGTGGTTCTTGGAGTTGTCGACAGTGTAGACACGGACGGTGTTGATGCCGAGGTCCTTGAACTTCTCGATGTCACGCTTGCACTGGTCCGAGTCGGCGATGGGGTCGGCGACCTTGGAGGAACCGCCGGGCTGGTAGTCGACACCGCGGATGTAGAAGCGCTTGTCGCCAGCCCAGAAGGCGTTGCCCTTGACCGAAACCTGGGGGGTCGAGCCGGAGCTGGTAGAGGAAGCACGGGCCTCGAGGTTCGCCGGCGAACCCAGGGCGGGAGCGGCGAGAGCAACAGCGACGAATGCAGAGGAGCCCTTCATTGTGACAGGTGATAGATAGATGTGGAGATTGAGGAGTCGGCGGGGTATAAGTTGGTTGTTGTGTTGAGCGAGCGGACGGTAAACAAGGTGTTAAAGCGGAATGTGGAAGCCCGAAAGAGTGAGAGCGTTCCAAAGAAAAGGCGCAATTAGCTGGTACCGGAAGTGGCCTCGGCGTGTTGGGAAACAGGAAATGGTGTGGATGGAAAAGAGAGGGAGGCTGGCAGGTGGAGGCTGCGGGTTTTGTAAATGGGCGGCCGCAGGAAAAGGAGAGCGCGCAAACAGGGATGTGCGGCGGCAGGCGGGTGGGAAGGCGCTGCCAGGCATGCACCGGTGTGGTGTTTTCGAGTGGCCGATCGCAGCACCCCGGACACCAAGGCCCGCCTCCAGCGCCGCCCGTGGAAAAGCCAGGGCCAGGATCTTCACCCAGCGTGGCCGATCCCCGTCTCCTTATTTCTGGCGCGCCAGCACTGAAACAGGCCCGCTCCAGTTTTCTCGCGAATCATGATCTCGCCCAGCCAATGGCCCGCCGCCGCTGCTCCGCAACGATGTCATTGAGAGCACCCAATTCAATCTGCAACGCCCACCGTCATGCCCACCATCGCCAGCTCAGGGCGCTCCGCACCGGCCCCGCCGTGAGCCTGCGACAGACATTGGCTGCGCTGTCCGCGGCCGCCTGCCGCCCTCGCCTTGCGTGCCACCCGCCAGCGCTCCCTCGCGCCCGCCGAGGCTGTGCAGCGAAGGGAACGCATAACAATACGAAGCATGGATTCTGCTGCAGGTCGGCTGTTTAAGCCAGGCTGCCTGACAGGCCCGTTGTCGGACAGCGGTGTCACGGAGAGATGGCTTCCAGCCCGCTCCGCCCTCCCATCCAAATCTCCTCTGTTATAACAGGAGCCTCCGCCGCCTGCACTGGCTCGCCTGCGACTCTCCCGCAGCGGGAGGGGCTCCTAACCGGCGGCTTCTCCCAGGTGGTGTGCACGCCTGAATGACGAGCGAGCAAGCCACCGTCCCCACCTCCCCCGTTCCCGCGCCAGCGTACTATTTTTGCCCGGCCTCGCCACACCTTCCCCTTCCATGCGTCGTTTAACGCATCTCATGATTTTGCCGCGGGCCAAGGTCTGAATTTTCAGGAGGCACCAGCTGCTGTTCCGCGCTGCCCACGCTTCTCGAACGCATTGTGCCTCGCTGGAGAGGTCAAAATGCGGCCACCCACGTTGCTCAGGGCGTGCAGTCCAGCCCTCTCTCGGGCCACCCGCATCCCACCACTGCTGACAGTCAGGCGGAGAATCGCTCCCGCTGCACCGGAGATCCACCGTGTCTCAGCCGGGCTCAATCTCGCGTGGTCCGCCAGTCGGACGATTGGCCTCTTCAATCCACCTTAAGGTTCTTGCCAAGGTTCTCCCTCTGCCCCGTTTTCCCTGGCTCCGCTTCCCTGTTTTGCCCAGCAATTCTATGCACATGCCAATTTGAAGCAGACTCATTCACTCTGTCTAGCGGCCCAAGATAATATCGAAACTGCGTCGGATCATAGACTGCCGTAGCCATGTCCATTACGCGTTCTTCCAACTCAATGACGGAATGTAAGCAATCTCACATCATCTCTAGGCTTGAGAACCTCTTGTATGGGAGATCGAACCTGCAACTTGAAATGCCAACATTAGTCACGTTCTCACTGCCGCTCCTCCCGACAGCCGTCTACGAGTCGTATACTTTCTATCTCCCTTGTCACTCGCCATAAGCTTTCAATTCTCATTTTGAACTCGAGCAAGCCACAATGTGGACAAACTGGCACAAATCCACCCCGGAGGTATGCACGCTTCTCGAAGTCTTCGGGCGTTGTTCTAGACCATTTGCCGTGCCGTCTTCATTGCGGGTCGCCTTCTCATGCGCCCGGGCCTCTTGGCGGCGGGAGCTAAGACCAAGTCAAGCACGCCCAGCTTGCCCAGCGAAAATAAGCGCGTCAAAGCCCAGCACCGTGCAGAAACGGGACCGCTTGGGGGCCAAAGTCAGCTTTCTCAACAAGATGACGTCTTCGTAGTCCTTCTTGATCGGACCCGCGAGAAGCGAAGGCGAGCGGAAATACGGTCATCTCTTGGAGATCTGATTCTTGCTCACTCGCAGAATACGACAACTCGTGTCCTATTTAGGCAGTAGTGGCGTGTTTCATGTCGTAGCCCGTTGTCCGAATGCTACAATACCATCCGCTATTTTCGCGAAGAGCGGAACGAGTCGGTAAGCAGCGAGTAAAGCTCTCAGAACTTCAACGACTGTTACAATGTTTGCTCTTCCCTTAAAATTAGCAGTGCTCGTTCACCGAGCTGACTACTCTAGCTTATCTCTTGTCTAATATTCCTTATAGCATATGCCTCAAGCTTGGGGCAATTGGACTATTCACCCGAGTGCTTTTGAACACTTCAAATGAAAGGAGAACGAAAGAAAAGCAAATTTGGAAAGCGTCTAAACACTTTGAAGTTGTATTAGCAGACCCAGCTGTTGAACCATCCATACCATGGTTGTGTACATTTACACCTTTCGAGACGGATTACTCAGGTCATAGCGAGCCCTCTCGTCCGCTTCCCCCTTTCCGAAGCGAGGATTGCATCAGGTTTTTCCCCACCCACAACAAAGCCGTCCGAACGGAACCCGTCTCATCGCCGTAGCTGCATCCACATTGCCACCATGGAGCATGACAGCATGGCCAGTTTTCATGCCGAAAGAGCTTCTGTTGCTTAGAGAAGCGAGGCGTGCCAGCGTTGAGCTCGTCTCAGTTCGATTATGACACAGATCTTCTGTGATGGCTGTGGAGCACAATTTGAGGATTGTATCGCGGACTATTACGCATCACGTCACTGGCATGCTGCGAGATTCCTTTCAGGAACTGGTAGGAAGGAGGACCATTTCATGCCTGAACCCGGTCGAACGCCTCAAAATGCCATTAGCTTAGCGGCAAGATCTGAAACACGCGTTCAGCCTCAGCACCACACCGCATTAGTTCGGGTCCCGCCCTCAAGGGTAATCAAGTGTCGCAGCAGCAGCAAATCCTCATTACTAGCTTCTTTCGAGATTCTTGGCGCGGATTGTGCGATGGGCGCTTCAGCTCTTGAGGGAATGGCTGCGACGGCTGGCAGGATGTCTCAAGTCCGTGAACTTCACAGCTATACACAGCTTTTACACAACAAGCTTAGCATGCTGAAGGTATCCTAGCCTTTGGCACCGTTGAAACGTTGTAAACCATGGTTCTCCCTCCGGTATGGCCGTAGGGCAGGCAATGACAGCAGCCCACGTGCAAATTGTACCACGTTTTTAGCGGCTCTTAAGGCATCCCAAAAGGCGGTCTTCCTAACACCACCAAAGAAGGAAAAGAAGGTGGGGAACGTGCTTTTTAGAAGGACGGGGAACGGGCCATGGAACATAGCCCCATTTCAGGCGTTCGACGCCACCGACACTCAAAATCCTTCGCGCACGCCATGACGATGCGTTGGCACTTGTGCACGCGCGACACGAGACCTGAACAGCACCCCCATGACCCTTCGAAGATCACAATCACGGGCATCCCACACCTCCTCACTTTACCTCTTCACCCCGCATAAGGTAGTGAACCCTTTTCGTTTTGGGAAAAGGACTAGAAAGCAGATAAGTGATAGGCGAGAAGCTGACGCGTTCAAATTTCTTCCCCGAAAAGGGTAACGATATTCATGTTTCCTCTTTGGGAAGGAAGTTTGAGGTTGATGAAGCCCTGCTTCTCTTCGTCTGACCTCCTGTGACATCTCTTTCGACTCTACTCGTTCTGCGCGCTCAAGTACACATCCTCTGGTGGTGGCAGCGGCCGCCTCTCTACGAGCCGCACCCACCTCCTCCGCCTCCACATGCCCTTCTTCCTGCTCCCATCGCCCTCCTCCCAACTCTTGACCGCTGGCCTCGGTCTCAATGTTGCAGTCTGCCCCAAGTTTGGCGTGGACTGCGCCGCGAGGCCGTTGCCGCCACCGACGAGCGCGAGCCCGGCGGCCGCGACACCCGTCCTGGTGATGTCCTCGTTGGAGGCAAGGGCAAGGGAGGCGAAGTCGATGCCTTCGTCGTACTGAATGTCGCTGACCCAGCGCTCGCCCTCGATCTCGACCTCGACGCCAGTGATGCAGCGGTCCTCAACCCAGTCCCGTGACAAGAGATCCAGCGTCCACTTCTTGTCTGCCCAGCGCCAGCCATTAGGGGCCTCGACATCCTCGAAGAAGCGTGACCCGCGAGGCCGGTCGCCAGCGATGCGCGCGGGAGATAGTGGCGTGTACGGGTGTGTCGTGAACAGGAAGGGCTCGTATTCGGCGTCCGGGGCATCCGATGCACGCCGTTGGAGCTCAAATATTTCGACCTCGCGCTGCTCCGGCGCATGTGATAGGTCGATGTCCGATTCAGCGAAAGCATGCAGCCAGTGCGCGGCGTGCTGACCTTGCTCTTCGATGAACTCCTCCACGTGTGTCTCTTCGAGGAAGGTCTGCGCACGCGGATGGCAAGCGCCGACGAGCACCCAACCTGTAACAAGGAAGACTGCTCGCCAAGGAAGGACTTGAGCAGCTATGAATAGGACGATAGTGGTCATGAAGAGGATCAGGTACAGAGCCGACGAGAGACCTTCATCTGAGAAGTTGGTGGGCGGGGTAATGAAGTTGATTGCAGCATCGTGAACACGGCTGAAATCTTCCATGCTGTTCTGCAAGTCTCTCATGTTACGCAAGAAATCTTTACTGAACTCCGGAGCAGGCTTGATGTTCTGTGGCGCTGCCATGGGCGGCCCGTGGAGCGGGTGTACGTCAGTTGGTAGATGAGACGGCGGCGGAGGATGCCGGGCAAGGAACGCCGGGACCATGACGAAGAAGAGACATCCGGCTAGAGGTACTACTGCGAGCAGATTTGGGTCGAGACAGACGAAAGAGTAGATGACCAGAAACGCCAGAGTGTGCGTCGGGTCTTTCCAAGAGAATAATCGGATGAGACGATTCTCGAAAACAAAGACAACGCCAATTCTAACAAAGTTCTTAGATGATTACACATGTGCAAAGAATTAACTTTGGGGGCAAACCTGGAATTAAAGCGGCGGAAATTGTACGACATTGTCGGTATACTGAAGCCTGGACGCTCGACGTATTTTCTCGACCGCCGGTCTTTCGGACGACTGCCATCGTCGACATTTTCACCCGGGATCATTTGCTGGAGCAGCCTGCAGCAAGTTAGAACGACTGCTACGCAGAAAATTCCTCAGCCTTCTCATGGCGCGGAGGGGAAAGTCGACATGCAAAGCGTGAAAGAAAAGTTGGGGTGCAGAAAAAAAAAAGAGGCAGGAGAGGAAAGAGATAAGCACTAAAGCCTGCAGCGAGATGCAGTCAGAGTGGAAAGATAGGAAGGAAGCCATGATAACTTTGTCGAACCCAGATTTTCCAAAACCGCGTGCAGCTGCTGAGTCGAAACATTTTGCGATCCAAGCTCGACCAGTGGTCTCGAATCTTGTGGCGGCCGGGGTGGTGGTGGATCCTTGCGCACATCTTTGCAGGAATGGTAATGGTAATTTTGGAAGTACGGCAACCGCCAGGCGTGGAAAGGGGATGTCAAAGCTTCTTTATTGCATGGCATAAAGTCCCATCTTATGGGCCACGGTAACTGCCTTTGTGTGGGAAAGAAGAGCGAGATGGCTTACATGTTCATCAAACGGTCCTGGATCTTGCTGGGCGATTCGCTTGCGCTGGAGCTTACGCTGCGCTGGTGGCCGCGGCTGCTGCTCTGCTCTTTGAAAGAATCAAACTTCTCCCTCAGCTTCCCCGACGACAACGACTGGCGGATGGCAGCACGCTTGCTGCCCTTGGGGCGGTCATACTCGGTAGGCGAGGGATCGTCCCGTGGTGCAGAAATGGCGACGACGGGGATGGGGTCGTCGCGGTTCACCAGCGGGTCGGAGTGGATGTTCATGTCCATGGCTCAGGGAGGCTCCAGCGGCCACGGGGAGCTGGCGCAGGAATGCGCGGCGGTGAAGAGGGGCGGCGGCAAGGCAGCGTGCGAAAAGCTCGATCCGGTCTGTTGCTGCAGAAGTGCGACGTGAAGTGCTGTCCTAGTCGCACCGGTGGCCGTGGGTGTAGGAACCGCGGGCCGGCCGCATGTGACAGGGCTGCGACTCAGGCCGGCTGGGGCGCAGGTGCCTCGCGCAACGCAGGCGGCTCTGCGCAGAGGCTGGAGCCCACACAGGCGGACGCAGACGCCTGTCAGCTAGCGGGTGCAGTGTCACGTCGCGAGCCAACGCGCTCGCTCGGAACGCAGTTGTGCGCGCAGGTACGTGGCGGCGTGGGGGAGAGGCTGCGGCGATGCTGCGTCGTCGTCATAGTCGCACATGGGGAAGTGGAGCAATCAGCATCTGGCTTTGTTTGGCACGCATCTGGCAGCGCGCGTCGCCCTGCCGCCCGAGCATCCAACAGGTGCTGGCGGCGCAGTGCCTGCCACGCATCCGGCCTGGGCCGTGGGCCGTTCTGCAGGTGTCGTGTGTCGTGCGTGGGCGCGTTCGCGGGGAGACAGCCACACTGTTTTCCAAGGTTCCTGTTGGAGCCCTACGCCGCTGCCTGTCGGCCAAGCTTGGCGACGGGCAAGGGTGCGGGTCAGTAAAGCCCCAAACAGACCTGCAAGCCCAAAGTCCAGCCCAGATTTACCCACCACCATCTTGGGCACCGTGAAGAGCCCCCACTGCTCTGCACTGCTCGTTGCACCGTACGCTGCCGTCCGAGACCAGCCCTACGCCCGCGCGCAATCCTCGACTCCTAGCCTTCCGCGCTGCCGCCGCGCCCGCACCGCCTCTCTGCGCTGAGCATGGAAGAGCCGACGACGCGCCCATAGCGATCACTCCACGCCTCGGAGCTTGGAGAAGGCCCGGCCCACACATCTATACAACACACCAACGCGGATCCACGGCGGCGTGCTGGCATTGGGTCCGCACACCGTCCTCGAACCGCCCCGGACGCAAAGCCGGCCTGCTGCCCCTTTACCATGGCAACCCGCAGCTCCCAGGACGGTCTCGTTCCAGACGACTCGACGTCTGCGCCCGCCACCGCAGCCGACGACTCGCACAGCGCTGGAGGTAAGGCATCACCCGCTTCCGGGTACCTGCAGGGCGCCCATTCGGCTTCGGCAGACGCTGACACAACAAACGCGGCAGCGGACCAAAACGTCGTCAGCGCTTTCCACCCAGCACCCGCCGAACCCGACACCCCGCCGCAGGACATGTCGACGGCGAAGGCGAGCGCGGATCCCACGCCGAGCTTTGCTGGCCGCCAGCGCTCGGTGAGGGAACATAAGGCGCCTCTAGGGCCTCGCGCCATGGATACGGGGAGGAGGCACGTATCATGAATTACCCGGCATGCTCACCTGTGGGCTCGAGCTTACAATTCAGCAGGATCGTCAGCGGTTCCACTTCTGCGAACAATGCCTCCCGACTGCCGACATCCAACAGCGAACCCTTTATCGCTCCTGCCACCGGGTCCAACCCGCGCTTCAGCTTCGGGAAGCTGCCAAGCCGGGGCACCGACACCTCCTCCTACGACTTTCTACCCAGCGTCAATTTCGACGACTTCCACGAGAGCCTCACCGGCCCCGAGCTGAGCGACTTCCCCGTCCCTGGAGGCGGCCGCGCCATATTCGCTCCCGAGGAGAGTGACAACGACACCATGAACAGCGTGGCCACCGCCCCGCCTGAGCGCAAGCCCGCCAGTCGGGCTCCCAGCGGCCAGGCCTACTCTCGCCGCCCGAGTCTGTCTCAGCGCCGCCAGCCCAGCCAGAGCGACCTCAACGATGCAACCGCAGGCCAGCCCGGTGCCCAGCTTCCCGTCCGCACGCGCCGGCAGAGTCAGTTTTCGGGCCCCGCCCCAGTCTCTGATAATTCGACCTTCTCATCTGGCAACACTACAGTGCGCGGCCCCCGCAAGTCGGTCGGACCTGGTCTCCTTTCTTCTGCCGGTATGGACAACCAGTTCACCCAGCGTAGGGAGGTGTCGCATGGAAATTTGGGACACAGTCGTTCGTTGAGCAAGAATAACCGAACTGGCAACCCGGGACCGAGCTACAATTCTGACGTACCACGGCTCTCCACAGCAACGCGAAGCAGCAAAACGAAGTCTCTCCTGCAGCCATCGAGCCAGAGCTACACGTCACTTTCACCCGATCTAGGTCGTGCCGCCGGCAATGGACGCTCTCCGACGAAGGGCCTCGGCCCAAAGACTGCTGCCACTCCCTCCGTCGCCGCCAACAAGAGGCAATCCCTGCACCACCCCGGTGGGCTGGGTGCACGAACGATCAGCCCGACGGATGCCCGACGACTGAAGCGCATGTCAATGGGACCGAACGCTGGTTCGCCGCTCCGGAACCCGCCGACGCCTCAACCTGACGTCCAGCAAGAGCCTCTGCCAGCCTCATACAGCCCTGCTCTCGCTCTCCCGAAGAGCGTCACCCCTTCTTCATCTGCTCGTGCCACACCCGACAATGGTGTGGGCAAGTCCATCCCAGCACCGGCACTGTCTAACAGCTCCAGCTTCAGCTCCCTCCGCGGTGCTAGCCAGATCCCCACTCGCTCGAGTCAAGTCCTTTCCACATCGCGCCTTCCAACCCCCAAACCGCGGAACGTGCACAGCTCAGCTGGACCTGAGAATACCGAAGAAGTTCCTCCTGTGCCCGCCATACCGAAGGCGTTCGAATCTCCCCGCACAGAGATTGACCAGCCCCTTTATCCCGTCCGACAAACCCCAGCAACACCAGCGGCTGATGAAGGCAACTGGAGCGCATCCGTAGTTGAGACCACTGATAGCGATAATAACAAGAAAAAGAAGAAGGACGCCGAGGCAAAGAAACCAGCCGAGGCATCGGGTAATGACCACAAGACGGCTAAAGGTCCTGGTAGACAACGGAGAGGACTCACCGTCGGTGCAGACGATGCGGACAAGAATGGGCACCAGACGAACAGTGGCCGCACTAACAAGGGCCTAGCACCGCTCAGGTTGCCTCCTCTGAACCTCTTGCCCCTCAGCACTCCAACTGCAGCGAAGATTGCCTCGTACCCGCAGCCATCAGCCGAAGTCGATGGACGTGAACCATCGACACCTCCGCCTAAGAGGAATTACACCAAGACACCGAGCACACCATTGACAGCGTCAAAGGCTACTTTTCCTTTCCACGATGAAGAGACGGATAAGCTCCCGCCCATGCGAAGCAACACATCACACTACCACCTCAGGGCGCTTGAGACTCCTTCCTTTCCTCCGCTGCCTAATGAACCGCTTCCAAATGAACCGCTCCCGACTGCGGAAGCAAGGAACAGCCCCCGGAATAGCAACACCACTACTCCTTACTCTACTAGCTCCTTGCCCAAGACTGAGGAGGAAGATGTCGGTCCTTTGAACTCCAAGGCCCAGGACGAATACGAATTCGGAAGCATTGATCAAGAGCCGCAGAGCACCAGGTTGAACGGACCAAGGGCACAGGCAACGCACAACGCCCCGAAGAATGATGCATCGTCAGTAACTTCGACTGAGCCGGAGACTCCTTCATCTGGTTCCTCCATAAGGCGGAAGCTAAGCCTGAGTTGGAAGAGAAGCTCATCTAAGGGTCAACACAGGAGCCAAGCTTCCCAAGGAAACATCTCCTACCAACCCAACAATGATCAGCCCCCTCAACCTCCGAAACACCACGATATGCCGCCTCCGAAGCTCCCCGCTTCGGCTACCTGGAGTGGCCCTACCAATGCAACGTCGACTCCGAGCCCCTCTACCAAAACAGCAGCCACGCCACGCACGGCACGCAGGAAGCCTTCCGGTTCCTTGTTCACTAGCGATTCTGAGACGCAGAATTCTACAAACGGAGAACGCAAGGCTTCACTTTCTCACAAGGCCACTGGTCAGCCGCCCCCGTATACGGGACCCACAACCAGATCGGCCTCGAGCTCAATGATGCACAAAATGCTTGGAAACAAGAGCTCCATCAGTGCTCTCAAGGCTCGTTCTCTGGACACCAACCTAGACAAGGACGATCTTGCAGCGGACGAGGAGATGCGGAGGCTTAATGCGAGGCGGAAGGATTTCGAGCAAGCTGCAAGAGATGTCGACGAGTTGCGCAAGAGGGCTAAACCGCAGGAGAGGGTGTCACCAGCACACGCGCTCACGATGGTCCCGCTCAACATCTTCGAGCGCGGTGAGATTATCGACTACAAGGACGTCTACTTCTGCGGCACGAAGAGCGCTAAGAAGCGGATTGGTGATCTTCATGCATCAACGGCAAACTTTGGATATGATGACGACCGCGGAGACTATCAAATTGTCCTTGGCGACCATTTGGCTTATCGCTACGAGGTCGTCGATGTGCTTGGAAAGGGTTCTTTTGGTCAAGTTGTGCGTTGTGTTGATCATAAGAGCGGTAAGCTGGTGGCCATTAAGATTATCAGGAACAAGAAGAGGTTCCACCAGCAGGCTCTGGTTGAGGTCAACATCCTGCAGAAGCTGCGCGAATGGGTAAGTATAAGAATCAGACGTGCTATTTACCTGACGGCTAATCTTAGCAGGATCCTGAAAACAAACACAGCATGATCAACTTCACGCAGCACTTCTATTTCCGAGGCCACCTGTGTATCTCGACTGAGCTCCTCGGCATGAACCTTTATGAATTCATCAAGGCGCATGAGTTCAAGGGCTTTTCCCTCAGGTTGATTCGTCGCTTCGCAAGGCAGATCTTGAGCTCGCTCGTCCTTCTCAAGGGCAAACGGGTCATCCACTGCGATTTGAAGCCCGAGAACATCCTCCTTGCACACCCGCTGCATTCTGAGATCAAGGTGATCGACTTCGGTTCCAGCTGTTTCGAGCACGAGAAGGTCTACACCTACATCCAGTCTCGTTTCTACCGGTCGCCCGAGGTCATCCTGGGTATGAATTACGGCCTGCCTATTGACATGTGGAGTTTTGGGTGTATTCTTGCAGAGTTGCTCACTGGATCGCCCATTTTCCCCGGAGAAAACGAGCAAGAACAGCTTGCTTGCATCATGGAGATTTTCGGCCCGCCAGAGAAGCACCTTATTGAGAAGAGCAGCCGCAAGAAACTCTTTTTCGACTCTCTTGGCAAGCCGCGCGTCACGGTGTCATCCAAGGGACGCAGACGACGCCCGAGCTCCAAGACGCTCGAGCAGTCTTTGAAGTGCAATGATGATGCCTTCCTTGACTTCATCGCGCGTTGCCTTCGATGGGATCCTGACCGCCGTCTCAAGCCTGAAGATGCCATGCAGCACGAATTCATCACTGGTATCAAGCGGCCTCGTGGAGGACCTCGTCCTGCTGATGCCGCTGCGCGGGCCGCGGCCTCCCCGATCAAGCGCTACAACACTGTCGGACACCAGACACCCCAGCGGACGAGGCCACTGCCGGAGCCGCCGGCCACTAGCTTCAAGAACGGTGCCGCCCAGTCTGCCAGGGCTCCCGGTAACAATTCACCGGCGAAGACTGGACCTGCCCCTCGTCGTCATTCAACGGTAAATGGGCTTGCTAGCAACCTCGGCATGAAGACAAGATCTAGTGCACAGAACCAAGCGAATGGCCCAAACAGCAATAATAACGCCTCAGCGCAGCAAGGACAGAACAGCGCCTTGCCTCGTGTGGCTCAGAGGAGTGTGAGCGGAAAGCCAGATCTAGCGTCGGCAGCAGCGGTGGCGAGCCTGGTAAGTCTGACGAACAGCCAAGCGATGTTGAAAATGCTAACTTTGACGCAGCGTTCGCGTTAATATAGTCCATGCCCGACTTGACAGCAAGCCCAAATCGCGCGCACCATCATCACCGCTGTCCAACTCCTGCTCACATACGATTTGCGAGGGGAGAAATGCAATTCTTCGAGCGCAAGCGCAAAGGGTTGTACAGGCGCTTGGATTAAGTTTATGGATAGAGGGATGCCCAGGACGGTCAAGGGGAGTCCTTTATGGTTGGGGTGTGTGCTTGTTCCCCGCGTCCGGCTGATCGGACGCTTTGGCCCCCTTTACATTATATTACGAGCGTGTGATGTTTTTGATTTTTCCTCAATGGCGAGTACCCTTAACGTTTCTGCACTTTCTTTTTCTATCTTCACATGGACGACGGAGGAAGATGATGGGATGGTTGCGGGAAAGGGTAAGAAAATTCACACACACAAGGACGAGAAATTAAGGGAAGATCAGATGAGCGTCATTCAAAATCATACCCTTGACTGGCACTTATTACTCTTTTCCTTTCCCTTTTTTCTCTCGATTCCTTGATGGGACATGCATGCGTGCTTGCTTGCTTCACCCGCTTGCTGCTGGCAACACAGCAAGGGAGGTGGAGGGGGGGTTAATGATTTCTGGCAGAGCAAGTTGAGAAGAAGCTCACTTTCATGTTTTTGTCTTTTTTTTGTTTTCGCATGCGATAAGAGCTGCATGTTGCTGCTTCTTTTCACGTCTTCTTTTTTTCAGCACCTCATGACCCTTTTAATACCCGGAGTTCGTTCTTGTACTTCCTCCTTTTTCTGTTTTACTTTTCTGCTCTTTTTTTCGGTGGAGATTAGTGTGTATGTGTGTGTGTCTCCTTTGTTGAATATCCTTGGGCGGTGGCGGCGGCCGGCGGTGGAGCTTCGTGACGTTTGTTTATTCTGCTCACTCCTCCTCCTCCTCCCCATACCGAAGCTCCCCGCCTTCTCTTTCATAAACCGATTGTAAAGTATGGAGCAAGAGAGAAGAAAGGAACAAAGAAGGCGAAGGGATTAAAAAAAAATGTGAGAGTGTATTCTCTGTGTGCGTTTGCGCGTGTGCGTACATGTGTATGCTACTGTTTAGACCCTTCTCTTCTTCACCCGCTCGATACCTCTTCGAAGTGCGTTCGCACAGGTTTCTGGAGCGCTTTGTTTCATTCTGTACTTTTGTATGTAGGGATTCCCATTTTATCTAAGCAAGCACACGCGCTCAAAGCGTGTGGGAGTTTGATAGCAATTCACCGCGTGGTGCAAGGCAACTACTGCCGGAGTCGGCAATATCGCTGCGTGGAAAAGAACTGTAGAGCCGGGCAGAACTGCAGGCGGTCCTACGGGGAAAGAACGAAGTTTGAGTATCGCTAACGTGCTGGTGGGTTGCTGTATCACGCAACGTTTATAATAGATCCTCTACCTTAGCACTGCTTCGCTCTCTCACTTACTCTTTACACCCGTATTAAAGGCCACCTCACTTCATACTCAACGACACCTACAATTGACGCGGTCCGCCATGGCTCAGGGAGAAATGAATGAGGTAATGATCAAGTATGGATATATTGTTCATCGTCCTCCCACCCGTTCATAGGGTGGGGCATGTAAAAGGAGCTCGAGGGGCCCTCCCATGTCTATATCTCGTAAAGGGAAAGAGCCAACAGAACGCCTGAGCAGAGTCTTTGCCACCCATTTTATGCCAGGTAGTGCGGGGGGAATAATCATCCAAAGGAAAGGAGCAAAAGGGACTAAGAAAAGGAAAAAGTCATGAAAACCCACAATTGACCGCCCAAAGTCTCCATGCCGAAAAGCCCGCCATATCCACAGGAAAGAAAAGGGTTAAAAAGAAAATTTGAGGAAAAATGAAAAGCTGAGAGGAATTCTACCAGTGGCAAATGCCGCCCTCGCTATCATCCACGCTCCACACGCCCGCCAGGCCGACAATCTCCATCTCCCCGCTCGCGTGCTCGCCCATCTTCGTCAGCCGCGCGCCTTTCCCGCTGCTGCCGGCGTCCGCAGGCCCGTTGTTGAGCAGCCGGCGCGCCCAGGCGTCGATGGCCGGCTCGCCCGTTTCGTCCCTCGCCTGCTTCAAGAAGGGGATGAGGGCGGTACCGCCCGTGCCGCGAAGGTCCTTCTTCTTGCTGCTGCCCTCCATGCCGACGGATCCAACGGTGGCCTGCTGGCGGCGGTTCGCCGAGGCCAGGTTGACGCGCTGGGAGTGGTGTGAGGAGGGGCTGAGCGAGCGTGATTGCGAACGAGACTCGCGGCTCTTGACGATGATATACCGGCTGACCATCTGGATGTGCTTGTCGCGGAAGGCGCGCAGCATAGCCAAGCAGGCGTCGAAGGCGGTGCAGAGGGCGCGGTCGCCACGGCGCTGCTCAACGTAGGGCCGGATATTGGCGACGCCCGTGACGGCCTCAAGGAAGCGCTTGTGCGGGCCCGGCATGTAGGTGCGCATCTCCTGGATGAAGTTGTGCGACGGAGGCGGCGGGGCCGAGGGCGACTCTTGAGGCTTGGTGCCGGTCGGGCGGTGCTCAATGCCGAGGACAATGTCGAAGAACTGGATGATGGAGGACTGGGCGTTGCTACCACCGGAAAACTGGACGTAGTGCTGCGACGCTGACGTGCCGTCGTCGAATATGACACCATTGGGCAGGCCTGCGTCGGCCATGTTCTTAGAGCCGGCAAGGTAAGGTCGAATGCGGTGATAGAACACGTGAGGGTCACAGTTCTCGTACATGCGCTGCAGCAGCGTGCCCAGCTCATCCAGTCTCTCGGCAAACGAGCGAAGGCACTCGGTCACGGTGTGGCTGTCACCGTACCGCGCGGCCTCGATGGCGGTTAGCATGAGGGGAATGGTTGGCGCAGCGCGGGCCTCGATGGCCACAGAGACAAGGTAGAACCATGATTCGTCGAGGGAGCCGGTAGCGGTGTTCAGCGTGAAGATGTTCTCCAGGTTGTCGATTGGGGCTGAGGGATCCAGTGGGCGCCAGTTCCACAGCACTAGACCAGCATAGGTAGCTACGGGGGGAAGCTCTAGGTGCTGACACGTTGAGAGGAACGGCACGGAAATGGAAGGAGGAACTCTCTGTCATGCAGCATCAGCATCAGCATCAACATGGATGACGCCAAGACAATTCCCAACAACAGGCTACTCACATCCACAGGGGTATCGCCACCCCAGATGTAGGCGTGGGCGATGAAAGCTAGGATCGAGTAGGCGCGGCGCCACTCAGGCTCGGTGTCCAGGTAGTCGGTTGACAGGACGGGCAGGGCATCGACGACGCCGCGCAGGCGGCGGGTCAGGATCAGCGCCTGCAGGGCGCCGACTGTGCTCTCCCACGGGCGGTAGTAGGGGTCGTCCAGGCACTGCAGCGGCAGCTCGGCCGGAAGGAAGCCGTGCTCCGGCGACACGTCGAAGTCACCGGGGCGCGGGATTTGCGGTAGCATGGTTGCTAGCTGCGGTGGACCGGGAGGGGCTTGATGCGGGGCAGCGAGCGTGGAGAAAACTGGCCTGCGCGTCTGCTGCTCGTGTGCTGCGGTGCCTTGGACCGTGGGAGAACCGACTCAGAAAGGAATCCGGCCGCTGGCAATTTTTTGTTGGCCGGCGCCTGCGGCTCTGCGCTAACCGGAAGACTACGGGCTGTGACGCCGACTACCGTAGGTGGGCTGATGTCGCGTGCGCAGAACTGTGTAATCAACGGGCGGCTGATTAGGTGATCGTGGCGAATAGGCAGGTAGAGCAGAAGGCGGGCGGGTCTCTGGCGGAATATGTACTGGGCGAAGGGAAGCCGAGGCGGGGAGGGGGTTGCAATTGGACGCGGACAGGCGGGAGGCTCTTTAATAATAATAGCAGGAGCGACAGATGGAGTTAGGAAATAGCGGGCACCGGTGGGCGCTCTGTCGTTGGGGTCAAAGGTGTGGTTCAGGCAGCTTAGTGGGGCAAAAAAGAGTCGACAAAGAGCCCCTCCATGCGCGTCACCCCTCTGCGCCCGGAGCTTCCCGGCAGTGAGATCACAGAAAAACGCCTGACGGAGAAACGGCAGACTGAGAGAGCGGGAAAGAAAGCAGATTACTCAGGACGGGAGCGAAGGCCAGGCGGAGGAAAGAAAAATTCATGGCCAAGGAAATTCTAGGCCCTCGCCGAGATCGGTAGCGGACAGCACAGTGATAATAATCGCTCTTGCTCATCATTCCAACCACCGCCGTGTATCTGGCGTGATATTTCGCTATTCCGCTCATGCCGGCCAGCCGGTTAAACTGAATCATTGCGTGTCGCCAGCATCGTCGTCGTCTCGCCGTTTGCTGATTGATCCGCCGTCTCATGCCCCGCGGCAAGGCCCTGTTACGTCGACTTGCAGCCTCCCGGCACCGGCCATCTCTCGCAGCGCGCATCCTCCCACTTGCACGTGAACCATTCTGCCTCGCAAACACCTCGGGCTGAGCATCCCGAGAGCCGAGCTTTCTGCTTCTTCTTCTTCTTCTTCTTCTTCTTCCTCCTCCTTCTACATGGAACCTAGGCGGCGGCGCGTCCTTGGCTATGCAGCCGCATCGGGAAAGCGCAGGCGCCACATGTGCGAAGTTTGAGGACGAAACGCGCGAAGACAGGCGAAAGGACCCTGACGATCCGAGGGAACCGTTGCGAGCGAAGAAGGGGCTGCCGTGCTCGGTACCGCTGCTGGCCCATCATCGCTTCGCAGTCGTGACGAGGGGCCGGGCAATCAGGCGCGGGGCGAATGGCGCGGACGGTGGCGGCTGGCAGTTCGTGCCGCCTTCACACGTGGTATCGAAGCGAGAAGGATCATAACTTTACGCTGTACCCATACCCTGGAGCGAATCGTAAGTATGAAAATTGACTACCGGGTACCTGGTTTTGGTCCATGAAGGCTTCAAAACTTTGGGAAAAATAGTGAGGCGGAGTCGCTGCTTTATAGACGTTGCTCCGCAAAGGTGGGAGACATGCAAGAATGGGGCAAGAATGGGGGCTCGTATGCTCGTTGGTCCCCTGCGCTGCCCAAATGCAAGTCAACTGTCGCCATGTTGTGCGTCGCCACCCTCGCCCTGCAGTAGCGCCAGGTACCGCGCCAGTTGGACGGCTGCATCTCCACACTACTGTCTCAAATTGCAAGAGCCAGCGAATAAAATTCTCCGAATGCTCTCATTTATTAGACTTTCTTTGCCTCCATGTATTCCCAGCTGATGTATGTTGTTGCTCGCGCATTTCCTATCATCTGATCCTGCTCCACCACGCACTTGTCTCCAGCACACTATTCCGGATTAGAACACTACCCGGGGCATCTAATTGTCTCCCCTGCCAGCGATCTCCCTTCACTGCACACCGATGGCGGTCGGGAAAAGGGGGACAGGCAAGCAGGATGAGTTGGCACCGAGATGACGTTTCGGGAATGAAAAAGCGGGACTGCGAGATGGCGAGCAGCGGTGGGCTTAACGCGAGGCTGTAGGACCGGTCCACGCAGTCACTTTTTGGCAGCATGAATCACCCTTTGGTCTTGAAGTATTGGTTATTTCGTATCTTCTTGTTCTTCAAGAGAGCTGGACATGTTGCCAGCAATGCAAACGAACAGGAGAAAAGCAACATGCAACACAAATGCTCATCCGTCTATGCAGGCGCCACTCCACTCACAAAGAACCTACACCCATGGGGAGAAGGGGAGAGACCAGAGACAGCTAACGGTCCATGGAATATAATTTGCTGTCGAGACACCTTAGTCTCGCATATGCCGTGAATGGAGATGAAGTACTGGAAAAGAGAAACCCGGTCGACAGTGAACAGAGCGGAAGAAAATATATATAATCCTAACCCTTGTCCTTATGTCTGGCCCAGCTTCCTACGCAAGTTTCTGGTCCTCTTCATAAGCTTCTTGTACTTGTGCTTCTTCATCTTGAGCTTGCGCTGGCGCTTGACACTAATGGCGTGCATGGTGCCGTTCTCATTCCGTGCGCGGTCCCTGATGAACTTGAGCCATTCCTGTTCGCGGATCTCCATGCGCTCGAGGAAAGGCTGGCGGATGGTGATGCCCTCGTCGTATGCCGGATCCTCCATGGCGCCCTCGGAACGCGTGGGCATCCTGATGACCGGCGACGTGGTGGCGGAGAAGGTTTTCCGGCCCGTGGCATCGGTCGTCTCGGTAACGGTCAGGGTGGCCTTCCAGACCTTCTTCTGCGGCTTCTGTAGCTGCGTCTGCTGAGCATCGGCCTCTCCGGCCTCCGCGGCCGCGGTTTCCGACGCGGCGTTCTCCTGGGCCTGGTCGAACGGAACTGGCGGTGGCGGTGCGTTGAAGGGGCGCATCTGAGAAAGAAGGTCGTTCAGCGAGACCTGGCGCGCCGGGGCCGGGCCGTCAAGGTGAACCGCGCCGTCGTTCGCAGCTGATTGCCGCATAATCTCCTCCCTCAGTTCCGTCTCCTCCGACGACTGGGCGCCACCCTCCAGGCTTTTCACTGCGTTCCCCAAGGTGTAAATGACGTCCCCATATTTTGACGCATTGCTCTGCTTACGGGGCTCGAAAATGGCGCCGAAAGAGGATTCTGACGAGGCGACGGGTATCGTGGTGGTGATGGAGATAGGGCGATGGACGGAAAAGAACGAGGAAAGGGCGACATCTACGGTGCCATTAGCCACTGGCAAGCCTAGCAAGAGTCGCGAACGCACCTGTCTCTTGTAGATAACTCGTCGGCGGGACAGAGGGCACGTTCATCTGCTGCTGAGCAAGCTTTTTGCTCCTGCCGCGCGGCGTAGTCTTCTTCTCAGCCTGCTTCGAGGAGCTCGAGGAGCTGGCCTGAGAGGTGCCGGGACCTCGCGAGTTATCGGGCGGGCATGAGGTGCTGGAGTTGCGGCGCGGCTGGGTGCGGCGCGCGAGGAGATGATTTGCGCTTTGAAGAGCCCCCAGCGGGCGGGAGCTGATGGCGGATGAGGAGGGCAGGGCGCAAGTGGAGCGCGCCACACGCGCCAGAGAGGGTGAGAACATGGCTGCTCTGCTGGAAGTCGTTCAAGTCGACAGCCAACAAGCACTGGTGGGATGGTCCTTCGGCGGCGTGATCAAAGGCGCATGGCCTTAAGCCTGTTCGACCGGCTTCGGGCCAGGCCGCACGGAGATCGGAGAAACCACCACCGCTCCCTGCCATCCCATCGTGACTGAGACGCGTGCAGCCATCACGCGCACGCCATACTTCGGGCCGCTGGAAACTGCAGCAAGCTCCTACGCCCAACAGCCCGGTTGTTTGCTCAGCTGTTTCATGCGTTAGAGTGTTTCATTTACGAAGATGCTACTGTCTACACTCGCATCTGGCCGTCGTCCGCTCGTAGCTATCAGGGGTGGTTGAGGAAAACCGCAGCTATGCAACTATTGCGCCCGCTTGCCACGCTTCAAGAGATTACTCCCCGAAAACACCAAACCAAGGTATCCTTTAAAATGCAGCCATTCCCGAAAAATAGGGGGAAAGAAAAAAGTACTACGCTGAGTAAAATAGTCCCGGAGAAGGAGAAAAGAAGAAAGCGAAACCGCCCGGGAAGCAGATATCAACTTTGTCATAGTCACAGTATTAGTGCATTGAGGTTGCGCTGGACAATCATGTCCTGCACCGACGCCATCGTCTTCTTTAGGAGATCCGTGTCGGTTGCTGTCGTGTAGTGGACGTAGACCTCCTTCTTCGGTGCCCGGACGAGGTTGCGGAACTTGTTCGCGAAGAACTCCTGGCCCGCCTCGATGTCGTTTGCCTTGCCGTAGTAGTCGGGGAAGTGCTTGTTGATCGGACTGTTGCCAGCCAGGATCTTCTCGCGGAACAAGTCAACCTTGTTGAGGAAGAGAATCAGGGCCGACTTCTCAAAGTACTTTGAATTAGAGATGGACTCGAACAGCATAAGAGCCTCGTGCATTTGGTTCTGTTGGCGGTCGCGTGATCAGCATGAGGTTGCGGAAACGAGGGGGGCAGGGCCAACATACGCCATTCCTGTCCTCTACCAGCACGTGGTCGTATCCGCTAATGGCAACGAGAAATAGCACGACCTGGACGTTGTCGAACACGTGAATCCACTTCTTACGCTCCGAACGCTGGCCACCGACGTCGAACATACGATACGTCAGGTTACCTAGATCGAATATCGTCTCAGAGATACCGGTCGTCCTTAATCTTGTGCGCAGAATGTCCTGGTCGGTCGGCAGGTAATCCTTGGCGAAGAGGCGGTCGATGTCTTGGAAGTAGCTGTGCGGGTCTTGGTCAGCGTCGGGGGGCGCAAAGCAGGTCGCAGGTCCGACGTACTAGCTGAGATTGTCGTGCAGAGCGTACTCGTTGCCCTTGAGAATGGCCATCTGCACGTTCTTGTCGTCCCAGAGCGCGGTGAAGGCATCCAGGAATTCCCTGGGCATCGAGTCCTCGGGGCCAATCTCAGGCTCATGGTTGACGAGCTCGGCGAAGTTCTGGTTGGACAAGGTCAGCTTTCGCTAAGCGCGCAGCGCGAAACCATTGGGTGCATACAGAGCATTCCGGGTTATCGAAGGGCAACGCCTGCTCGGTCATGGCGCTGAAGATGATCTCGAAGGCATTAATCAGGTTGTTGAAGATCACGACGCGCCATTGCTTCCGCTCGGACTTGGAGAAGCCTCCGGCGTGGATAACGCGCATCTGCTTGAGGACGGTCGACTTGCCGCTCTCGCCGGCTCCTGTAGGCGCCATCAGCACAGCGACACGGCGCAGACGGGCAGGGCGGCGCACCTAGCAGCAGAAGCTTTACCTCCCTTTCCTGGCGCTTCTTGTCCAGGCGCAGCTGGCGCTCGATCTCCTCATTTTTCCGGTAGGTCGGATCCTCGGACTTCTTTCCAAAACACATTATTCCAGGTGCCATGAACAGCGAGCAGCTGGAAGAGCGGGTTGGTGGCGCAATGGTGGGCGACGGGGGGGTGGTGATGGCGAGAGAGTGGCAGTCGGCGAGCGTTACGACTCGTGAAGGTGCTGGTGCGGATTAAGTTGTTAGGCGCAATTGACGAAAGATGACAAAGGACGTCGCTGGCGCCGTAGAGCGCTGGGCAGCAAGCGGGCTAGTGCCTGGAGCGACGAGCTGGAGCATGAGACCCCTAACATAGACACTGCCGTTCGGAGGACATGAGTAAGGCACTTTAACGAGCGCGAGTATCCCTGCGCAGGCTTGGCGCGCTGCTGATCGACTCAGCAGCAGCGTGTCGCGGGGTTCCCGGCACAGCTCTTGCCCGCTGCAGCTACACGGCTGGTCCGCCAGATCGCGAGGGCGCTTTCCGCAAGAGGCGGCGAGCCAGCGCCATTGCTGCTGCTCCCCGCAGCCGCGCTTGCCAGGCTGCCTTAGACTACCAGCCGGCGAGCCACAGTGTACCGCCCAACAGCTGCGAATAGCGCTAGAGTCGGCGCTGTTTCAGAATCTGGACGGATTGGTGAGCACGTCCGCGTCCCTGGCCACGCAGCAGCCGGCGAACGCCATGTCCTGCCCATTTGCTGGGCGATCTGCCTCTGATGATTCCGCGCTGCTGAAATGATATGCCGGCGCCTATAGGCTCAGCTGCCGAGCTCCCCTGGGTGTCGTCGCCCGCCCAAAGGGGCTTGAGACGTCCCGCACGCCATGCCGCAAGGCACTGAAGAATTATGCCTAGCGTGGCTGGCTGTCAATTTAACGAGAACACCGACTCATCCGCGCGCGCATGGGCTGCCCGCTGCGCATGGCGACGCCGCTGTCTCCATCGTTTGCCGCCCGTCTCTGCGGCTCATTATCCGAGATGTCGTCCGCCCTGATGAACCAAGGCCACCCCTGCCACACGACGCCGTTGCGGGCGGGAGAGCCGCTGGGGCAGCTGCTTTCGCCTGTCGCTCATAGTCATCAGTGCGTGCTGCTTCCCCAACGGGCCTCACCACGAGTCTGCGGCCCATCTCGGCCGGGCTTGCTGCGCCGCCGTGCTTGGACCTGGGTAACAGCGAGCCAACACCCGTGGTCCCACTTGTGCTCTGGGAGACCGGCTCCTTGTTCGGGTCTTCTCTCCGCCGCCTTGGGTCGTCCATCTTTTAGGTGCAGCGCCCTCGTGGGCTTGTAAGACAAACATCGGATGATAGTGGCCCGCTACTAGCATCGGCACTACCTCGTGGCTGCGCCGCCTTCCGCCTGCTTACCCCGTCCGTCCTGTGAGCCAAGGGTTAGCACAAAGAACCGTCCCACGGGGCGGCACGGATAGCCCAGCGCTATACCGCAGGAGCTGAGCCCACAAGTCCACCACCGTATCGCGAACGCCACGGTTGATGACGTCGGAACCATGGACGGACAAGCGCCTACCTACTAGAGCTGAGGTGTTTGCGCACGGTGAGTCTCTTGCGTGCGCTCGGCAGCCATTGGCAATAAATCTAGCCTCGTGGGAAAGCTTGATGAGCACTGTTGCCATTCACGGCGCCTTACACAAGTGTCCGCTCACCAGGCCCTAAGATCTACCCGCTTTATCGCGATTAGTCTAGTACGTCTGACGCAAGACCCCGCGTCACCCGCTCCTTGTCTGACCATCGGACTTGAGATCAAGCGATGAACCTTAAACACTGTCTATCCCAGAGCTATTGACCCCCCTGATTTATGCGATCAGTTGTGTCCTCACTCGGCATGTATAAAACGCTTCTTATAACACAGCCAGGGTGCCTTTAAGCCAGGATACGCTATATGCTTGCTTTGTCAGCTGATCAGAATCGTTATGAGTGGCTACTTCTTTATTTAAGTGTTCAAAGTCAGAGCAATCAATAAGCTTACTTATAAACGAGCATTAAACATTTCTGAAAGGTATAAAAGCATGTCTCTCTCTTACTTTACGTTTAAGGTGGCCACTATGTCCCTACTTGGCCGTTTTAAAATGATGTCCTGGATTATGTGTTTCTCCAAATGACCGGTTAGTGTTTAAATATTTTCCGAGGGCGCCTGTATGCTTAAATACTGAACTATCAAATAAGCATACGTCCAGTTTCAAGACACTCAGATCCCGTATGAATGCCGCATTGTCACTCATGTTACAATTATCGCACCTTGTAGAAATAGCAAGATTGCGTCGTAGCCCTTGGGTCTAGTGTGAGACATCGCATACCAGGCTCAATGCACTTTTATCCACGTACAATCAGGACCATTGTACTCCGAAGTAGACAGGCTTCATTGTTCAGGCAGGCTAGGAAGTGCAGCACATGCCAAATTTTCCGACATCAATCATCTTCATGCAAACCATCAAGCCCAGGAGAGGGAAGCATGTAGGGCAGATTATCGGTGTGATTGGGGAGATCATGATCAAGCAGTGCTTGAATAAGGCGGGAAGTTATCATCGGTAGGCTTGTTGACGGTTGTGTGCGGTGCGGCTGCCAAAAAGGGAAAGACCCTGAAGTGACGGGTGCCTGCTGTTTTTGACAACACCCAGCACGCGTCCTCGCCGTCGCATTCCTTACGCGCCCCAACTTCCTCACAGCACATGCGCTCCAAGCTACTTGTCCACATTGACACGGGCGCTTGTCTGCGCGTCTGACTCACCTTTCACTCTCGGCCTCAACATGGCGACCATGTCAAATGAAAACGACCCTCCCGCCTTGGTGGCTGAGCAGCCGCAGAAGGAAGATGCTGACCTGACCAGCACCGAAGTTGTTGTCTATGAAGAGCCCTCTCTCGAGCTCACTGAATTCGATACCACGCCGGATGTCGCGAAGGCCTACACTGACATCGACGGAAATCTTGCCACGGTGACCGATCTTCTTGCAGAAGCTATCCTCGGTGGTGGATCCTTCACTGGCGATGAGATCAAGGAAATGCTCGACCTCATTCGCAGTCAGTCTGTCGAGTTCTTCGAATTGGCAATGGATGCCAAAGAGCACACCGACAACGTTATCCACGATATCCAGCAGCGCGCTCGTCAGTACATGCAGCAACAAGCCATGTACATCGCGAGTCGAGAGCAGCAGCTCGGTCAGACGATTACCGTTCAGCATAGCACTATCCGTAATCTGCAACAGCAATTCTCCCAGGTCGTTCTGCAGAACGGTCTTCTGCGCGGCGAGAATTGCGGCTTGAACAACCACAACTACGTACTTCGTGAGAAGCTCACAAACGTCGAGAGCTTCGCTACAAACCTACAGAACCAGATGCAATTGATGCAAAAGAACCATTGTGAGGAGTATGAGAAGACCAAGAGCTCCAATGCAGCCCTGAAGAACGAAATGAAGGTGCTGCAAGAGCAGCTTCGTAAGGCATCATCGACGGACTCCAATGCAAACCTGCAGGGCCAGAAGCACTTGTTACAAGAGCAGCACAAGCGCGAGCTTGATGATCTTCATGAGAAGCTCAACAAGGAGAAAAAGGCGTTTGAGCTTGCGAAGAAAGACTTTGCGGGTCACAAGAAGAATTTCGAGGGTGCGAGGAAGGAATACAGGCAGCGTCTGGCTACTGCCGCAAAGACTATCAGCGACATCAAGCAGCGCAACGAGAACCTCAAGAATGATGCCGAGCAGGCGGTGGAAGCTGCCACTAAGAACTTTGATAAGACATGCTTGGTGAGTCATTCCTGCTTTACGAGGTCGGTTCATTGAGTATTTCGGCTAACCAAGTGTGTACAGGCGCTTGAGGATGCAAAGAAGCTTCGCATCGAGAACAAGGCTCTGAAAGATAAGATGAAGGAAAATGAGAGCAACGGTACAGAGCTTGTTATGTCCAAGCTTCGGGAGAAGGATGCGTTGAGGAAGCATAATGCCTTGAACGACAGGAGCCAGGAGCTCAAGAAGACGCTAGAAGCTAAGTGTGATGAGGCTAAGAAGCGCGAGATGGAGGCAATGGCAAAGCGTGATGCTACCTTGGCCAGACTTGAGAAGCTCCAGATGCAGATGCAGGTAGGAAACATGTCACCCACCAAAGACTGTTCGCTACTGACACGGGTCCCAAACAAACAGATGCAGCAGAAGGCGTACGAGGAGCTTAATGTCAAGTACAACGACGTCCAGAAAGACTCAGAGTACTTCGCTCTTCTGGCTCAGGTGCGACACAAGGCAGGGTTCATGATTGCTCAGAGTCGTTACCGCTTACCTTGGTACAGGAGTCGAGCGTGCGCGAACTCGAGGCCCTTGCTGAGCTGAGGCGCCTTTCGCCCAACACGGACGGTGAGGACAAGTAACGGGGTTCCATAATGGGGCACAGACTTCTAGGTGATGGGGTTGGAAAGTGTGCTGGAATAGTGGTCCCTGCTCAGTTGGATGAGGCTCAAAGCGATCATCAGCGGAGCGTTTGCATGTTCATTTCGGCATCCAAGACATGGAAAATGATGCGTGGGCTGACGTAGGTATCGTCATGGGTACAAATTTCGGGAAATTCCTGGGGAAATTTATGAGCATGGATCAGCCCGATGCACGGCGTCAATCTGGAACGGTCCGCATTCAACGTGGTGATGAAGCTCGAAATAGCAAGCGCTAAATGCGGCAGGGATGGCACGCCATAGGGTGACGGTTTGCGCCATTTCTGCAGATTGGGTTGCAGGGACACGCAACACAGTGGCCCGATGGGCGCAGGGTTGCATGGAATGCAGCTGCGCGGTGTGGAGAGCAGGGGTGGAGAAAGCGAGAGGCGGTGGAATTGCGTCGAAGGCCGAGCAGCGGAGTTAACGGGGATGGCGATCTTCAGATCTCCCACTTTCGGGCCACGGCCGGGGCAGGGCTGAGGGCTGGAGAAAGATGACGCAGCGGCAGAACACGAGACGGGCTGATGAACGTGATTTCAGCAAGCGAGGTTCGAGCGAGGCGACGCGGGTGAAGGCTTGGCTCCGCTGGATTGACGCCTGAGGCGCAAAGCCAGCGCTGGTCTGACACACGTGGTGCAGCAGGGCGGAGACAGCCGGAAGAGGCATTTCTTAATAAGCTTAACAAGAAGGTAGGGCGCCACCAAGGCTTCGCCGGAGTGCTGAGTGGTTGGACAAGGCGACCGGTCTGCTCGCCAACCCCCACCGTCGCCGGAGCCGGATGGCGTCGACGACGCGCGTGGCATGCGGGGAGGATTCATCCTTCACCGCATGAGCCGCTGCGCATATTTACGCGCCCCGCGGCCTCCAGACTGCTCATCAGCTCGAGACGCGCGCACTCGCCCTCTCCCTTACGCCTTCCCGAAAGATAACGGAGAGCTTGCAGGCTGCTACTGCTTGCGCCTCAGGATAACCGCCGCCGCCGCGCATTGCAACCATCCGCTCGTATATCGATAGTCTCAACGCTCGGCCCTCTGCCAATCTGTCTCGTGGGGCAGAAGGGGGACGTCTTTCTCTGTTTACGTCTAGCCCTGCCGCCTAGAATCCGCTGATCGCCGCGAGCTAGGCCAGAAGGTATCGCCGAGGAAGGGCACCAGGGAATTCCGAGAAAAGTAGCCATGGCTCCAGGTCGTGACGCTGCCGTTGCAACTGAGGTTCCTCCCGCCGCCGAGACCCAACCTCGTCAATCTTTCCTGCGCGTGCGCACCCAGCTCTGCGAGGACTTGACGCTGCCTGGCCTGCACAAAATGCTCACCGAGGAACAGCGGCCGCTGCTACAAACGCCTGTCAAGGCCCACGACAACTTTCCTGCCTGTATGGTTTTTCTTAATCAGAACACGTACCTTTTTTCTCTCTTCCCACAGCCCTTGGCTCTCTTAAGAGCGCCTTGTGAGAATTAATCCCCCGCAAATATCACCCTCCGCCCCCGCTTCCCCCACCAAAATCAAAGTGTTCTCCCCCGTCAGCTGTATTGTCGTCAAGATTCGGTTCCTCTTTTGAACAAGAAAAAAAAAATGGGTTCGTGCCACTGATTCTCGTGCCTCTTTTGTTTGCTTTCGTGCAAATTTAGCCGCCAATTTCGCGCTCGCTCTCCGCAAAGAAGACAATGCCAGGCAGCACCAGATTCCGCAGACCATCGCGCACCGTGGCTACAAGGCCAAGTTCCCGGAGAACACGATGGGCGCGTTCAAGGGCGCGGTTGAGGTCGGAGCGCACGCTATTGAGACGGATGTGCATCTGACGAAAGATGGCGTTGTGGTTTTGAACCATGTGAGTTTCTTTTAATTTCTTTGGTATTGCCTATCTTCTTTAGTTTGCCTGTTTCTTTTTTTGAATTTCCTTGCATTGTCATAACGGCAGGCGGAGCTGTCTTCATGGCTGAATTTTCGCGCGCACTTTCATTTCGAGGGTTCTGGGGTCATCTTTCAGTCTATTCCTCCTGCTGCTCGAGGCCGGGCTTGAATTTGAGCATGGAATGTGGGTGGTGTGCTGATCTTTCCCTTCTTTCGCGGGATAACAGGATGCATCGTTAGAACGCTGCTTCGGAAAGAAGAAAAAAGTCATCGATTGCGACTGGGAGTACCTGTCGACGCTGCGGACGCTGGCCGAACCGCACGAACCCCTGCCCCGGCTCAGCGATTTGCTCGAGTACATGGCCGAGCCAGGAAATGAGCACGTATGGGTGTTGCTAGACATCAAGGTACGTTCCTGGCCTCCCAATGAGTTCAGGTAACATCAGCAACACGGAGCATGGACTGACATCCGTGGGCTCTACAGAAAGACAATGACCTGGACGACGTCATGCGCCTCATCGCCGAAACCATCGCCTCCGTCCCGCCCTCGCCTTCGAGGCCATGGAATCAGCGCGTGGTGTTGGGCATCTGGGCGGTAAGTTTTCTTCTTTCTCTCTTTTGTTTCAGTATATATATATATATATATATATATTAACCCATCGATCAAACAAAGGCCAACTACCTCCCCTTCGTCTCGACCTACCTCCCAGACTTCCCGCTCACGTACATCTCCTTCTCGCTGCCCTGCGCGTGGTACTTCCTCGCGCACGTGCCGCGCATCTCGTTCAACCTGTACGCGCCCATCCTCGTGGGCCCGCTCGGCGCGGCGTTCCGGCGCAAGGCGCAGGGCGATTCCAGGCCCGTGTTCGCGTGGACGGTCAACAAGGAGCGCATGATGCGGTGGAGCATCGAGAAGGCGCTCGACGGCGTCGTGACGGACGACCCGAAGAAGTTTTTGGAGGAGTGCGAGAGGTGGAAGGGGAGGACGGACCAAGTCGGTGCTGCCAGGAAGAGGATGGATGAGGTGGAGGGGTGGGCGTGGAAAGGGTGGGGCCCGGCGGAGGTGCTGGATCTGTTGAGGGTGCAGCTGTTCGCTCTGGTGTTGACGCCGGTGGTGGTTTGGTGGCTGAGGCCGTGGGGCGCGGTTAGGGAGGTTGGTAAGATGCAGAGGGATGTTTGAGAGGGGGGTTTTGGGATAGATAGATGATGAGATGAGGTAAGAATCGGTGGTTTCTTTGAGCGGTCACTCTGAGTGAGGAAGCAAAGAAAGAGCAGTCCGGATTACATGATCTGAGACTAGGGGTTTGGAGACAGAGGGGGAGAAACCGCTTTGAGCTGGGTATAGGTAGAGCGGAGAGCCGGCTAAGTGAATGAATTTCTCATGTCCACTCGTATGCACAGTACTTCTTCAGCCAAAGGCCGTGACTTATGGTGCGCCCTTTCCCACTGAGTCCCCAGCCAGGGGGGCCCGGAGCGTTACGGTAGTCCAAGTCTGGTTCTTGAGGAAGAGTACAGTGACGCTCCTGCCTCCGAAGGATGCGTTTATCGCTGAGATCTCCTGCCTCGCGGTGCAAAACAATGCTTCACGCTGTCATTGCAACGCTTCCACGTTCCAATGTCAAGTTTCGTATCAAGTGGATGACAATGGACCACTACCCAAGCAACAGATAGGCAAAAAGATGCGGCTGTTACTCTACGCGGGACTCGAACCCGCAGCCTTTAGATTAGAAGTCTAACGCGCTACCATTGCCTATGACGATGTTAGATGATGGTGTTGAGTGAAAAAGGGGGTAATACATACGCCAGTAGAGCCGGTATTGGCGTAATTGGTAATGAGTCAACAGGGTCTAGCTATATATACCGTTAAAAACTACTGCCGACGTTATGTCAACCAGCGGCGTGCAATGGAACGTGGAGGACTATACCAATGTGGTACCCCCCTAAGGGGTCAGCAACGCCGAGGTTCAAATTGTAAAATCACCTAAGATGCCTTCAATCGGTAATTTGAAGATATTTATGGAGACCGAGGAGGCAGCATTTGAACGAGATTGCGTTAGAGGTATTGCAATTTGATACGGAATTTGTTTGAAGTCTGGCCAATAAGGGCCAATAAGTTATCAGCTTGTCTTCCCTTCGGACGTGACTGGCCTCAAAAAAACGCGAGAACCAATCAACTTTTCGCAGTCCCATGATCCTGACACAGAGGAATGTAAAAGGAAATGCAAGGTAGAAATGCAGCCGTAATAGGCAATTGAAAAAGCCGACGCATTGTACGGTATCCCTGTCTGGGCGCATAAACGGATTATTTATTATCCAAACCTCACACCACGCAGACACTACATGTTTTCTCCACAATCTAATCCCGGGATGGTTGCATACCTGGCAACGACTTTGGCCATCAGCTCTGCTGTGTAATGTTTAATGCTTGTATATTTAACAGTGTTGAACGTAAGACCAGGACCTGCCTACTAAAATAAGTTATATAAATACAAAGTAAGAACAAAAAAACCCTCTAAATAATCCTAATCTGCTTCTCATTCCCCGGAAACTGCTGGGCAGCGCGCCATCCACCAGTGAAATGGCCGACCCTCTCAAACGTATCACCCCCTCCGTCCGGGGTCGCCTGCAACACGAGCCCCCAGATACTCCCGCTGGGCAGCAGATTGCCGTGGCGCTTCTGGCTGGTGAAGGTCTGGCAGGTAGCGGCGAGGAGGAGCCACAGCTCGGGACGCTTGGGTGCGGCCGGGCTCAGCGGGGCGCCCATGGCGCCGCTCATGCCGCCGCCGCAGTCGAAGAAGATGCGGCAGTCCTCGGTGGCGTCGTAGGGCAGCATGAGGGCGGCGAGGTCGACGAAGGCGCCCGGACGCAGGCGCGAAAAGGGGGCGCCGGGAACGAGCGGCTCGACGACGCAGCGGAAGTGCGAGATGTGCGACTCGAAGGTGGTGTGGCGGTTGGCCTCGAAGGCGATGGGGCCATCAATGGACATCCACGACCACGAGGGCGCGCGCCAGGTCGGCGGCAGGCTAACACCGCCCGTCGCTTGGGCGCGCTTGGCGTCGACGGTCCAGCACAGCTCGTGCACGAAGTGGCCCTTCCACAGGCCGGCTAGGTAGGCGTCGTTCAGCGCGCGCTGGAAGTAGGCGGCCAGGCCGGCCAGCGCGGGCAGCTTGTCGTCCGGGTACGTGAGGCGGCGGATCGAGTAGTCCTGCACCAGGAATTCCCAGATGCGGTAGAGCTGGTGGGCGCGCGTCTGGGCCCGGCTGAGCTTGCCGCCTTCGCCGGGTGACGAGGGGTCGATGAGGAGGAAGGAAGGCATGGTGGCCGTCACGCCGGGCTGGATGATGCGGCCCGATGGGCATAGGCGCATGGTTATCAGGCCTGCCGAGGCACAGTAGGCGTTCCAGTCGCGGCCCCACGCCTCGCCTGTGAGCGAGTTGTAGACGAGCCCTTTGTCGTGGCAGAAACACTTCCACACGACCGAGTCGTGCGTGTAGATGAGGACGCGCGGCGAGAGCACAACCTCCTGCAGCGTCCAGGCGCGCTCGTACGGCGGTTCTCGCAGCGTGTGGTATTCGTTTCGGGGAAAGTTGTCCTTCTTCGGCGTCAGGAGCATGCTCCCTTTCTCGCCGCTCTCGCAGCGCAACGTCAGCGTCGCCAGCGGGTTCCAGAGGTTGTCTGCCTTCAGAAAACCTTCTCGACAACTCCGCGCCCGCGCCGCCACGATGGTGACGTACGAGTTCTGGAACGTGTTGTGCATGCGCGCCATCTCGTGCTCGCGGTCGTCCTCGTCATCCTGGATGATACACAACGCATCTATCCAGATGTACTTCAGGTCCAGCCACCGCGCCGTTTTGACGGCGTCCAGAAACATCCAGGGAAGCTTGGTGATGGCTATGTCGTCCATGTGCTGCGCCACGTTGCTCTTCGTCGTCTGCAGTGGCTCTGCGTCGCCGCAGCAATAACTTAGTGCAGCATACGCGGCATGGGCCTTGCCTCCGGTGTTGATCAGGCGCAATTTTTGAGGCGCTCCGGAAACGTCGATTAGCCGGGTCGGCACCGTCGGATTCAGAGCGCAGCAATGAGCCGCATCTTTCTCAGGGAGCCGCTCATCGCACGACTTGACCCAGCCTTGGATCATCTGAAAGATAGTCCGTGTGCCCCTGTCCGACTTTTGCTTCCGGACAGGCAACGCCACGTTCAGTTTCGCATCTTCAATAGAAAGTGCATGTGGTACACTAATGGTTTGTACTTCGCCCAGAGGATCGCCTGGCCCAGTTCGTCAGCCAAGTAGCAGGTGTAGAATGAAGGTTGGCGCACCATCGAGAGTTCCTACGTCGAACTCTAGTGTCCGAGAGAAGACGGTGTCGAGCCGGGACACCTGCAGGACAGGCTTGATGATCTTGGTGTCGTTTTGCAATCTCTTCTCAAAAGAGAACTGGAAATGGATCTCCTCGTTGTCCTGCTCGTCTTCCTCTCTGCGCTTCTCGTCATCCTCAACTTGGGCCTTTTTCTGGTCCGCTTCCAATACCGTGATAAACAGTAGCCGACATAGTTTGCACCCGGCCCGCGCCGATCTCTCCAGAATAACACGCGCTACAGAGTGTCTGACCCCGCTAAAGCTGGAGCAGAGCAGCGCCCACGGCGAGTACCGGCCCTGGTTATGCGTGAAGATCCTGGAACAGAGTATGCAGGATTGCCTTGATGTTGGACTCATAATCCGAACGAGTGGTGGCTAGGATATAGAAGGGAAAGTGTGAGATCAGGCTTCAATAGGAGAAACTATGGTTAGTATCGAAGGGGGAGGCCGCGCGCCTTAGCCGAGAGCTCGGGCCAATCAGAGGCTCCATCCCTTCCCAAAATGAACACGCTATTACGCACGGAAGACGTTAACAGGCAGGAAATAATATAAGACATCGGCGACGGCGCAGAATGGCCGGCTACGCAACTATCTCATACAGTCAATAGCAGCAAAGCATTTGGGATCCTTATTGTCCGCCGCCAGATGTTCTACATATTTAAAATCGCAATGCCGAAATATACCCGCTCTCTACTACCACAAATGCTCTTTCCCTTCTGCGACCAGGGTCTTGTTCAAACAAACCTTAATACTTGAGAATAAACAGCTCACTACAGTCGTCGCTGGCTAGCGTGAATCAGCTTTCCTTTGTATAGAAAGCTTATCAACTCCCCAAGGAAGCAGATCCCAGCGGGGTTGACCTATCACATTGGCACAGTCATCCTTTCTTCTGGATCCTTGCTATTCTCCAGGTTTGTGTTCGAATGAAGCGTGAATTCCAAGTGTGATTTGTGGAGAAATTGCAATGCTGTGTATCAAGGGACCACAACCCTGGGATCTTCGCTCTCGTCTGACATATATGCGATGATCATGCACACCACGGCCATGGTAGTCTAGGCCTGTCTGGGTAAACAAGTGGCTCCAGGAAGCTGAGAATTACTTTATTAGGCAATACCAAGACTTGAAACGCCGTCAAGAATTGAATGCTGGCAACCGGATGTGAACCAGAGAGCCGCTGGTCGGGAATTTGGTTGCAAGGGCAGCATGGGGCGCGCTTAAGTCCGAGCCGAGCCCCATTTATCTGCTGAACGCGTGGACGTCACAAGGTTGGAGAACCTATCATGCCCAGACATGGAATTCTAGCCCCCAAATCATTGCGGACCATCCGCTCGAAATAGAAATCCATAGAGTGCCACATGCAGGCATCTTACGAAGGATCGTTGATCGGATGTTGGTCTCAGGTACACCGCCAACGAGTGTTTTAACACTGCTCTACCTCCTCTCGACTCCACTCGAGCCCCCAACAAAACTCCTCGAGCCCGGCTACAGACACAATCCTTGTCTGAACTCCAATCGCCATGACTTGCTACTACCCGGACGGAAACACTATCTCAGATGACGTGCCATGCGATTCCAGTGCCGAGCAGTCAGCATGCTGCGGCTCGGGGGCAACCTGCATGATGAACGGCCTCTGTTTGAATTACGGACTTTTCTCTCGCGGCTCCTGCACCGACTCGTCATGGAAAAGTGATGCCTGCCCACAACAGTGTACAGACTGTAAGAACAGCATCATTTCCTGCACACGCCTTTCTTTTTGCTGACCGTGCGGCTCCCCCCAGACAATCCCTCCGAGGGCGCCGGAATCAAACTCTGCACCCGCGCCTCAAACGGCGCCTCGACATGGACCTGCGGTAGCCAAGACTGCGACACGGCCGAAACTTTCAAGATCACCGCCAACTTCACCCCCATGGTCGAAACTGCCACCTGCGACAACACGACTTCTTCCAATGCGACGTCGTCAGGCTCGGGCGGAGGCTTCTCGAGCGGACAGATGGCCGGTGTGGGTGCGGGCATAGGAGTGCCGCTGCTGCTCGCCTTCCTGGTCACGCTCTTCCTGCTGCTGGGCGAGAAACGGAAGAGGAGGAGCCCGATGATGGATGGCCAGGTCCAGCAGCATGCTGCCATGTTCGAACCCATGAGACACCACCAACAACCGCCGCCGGCTTGGAACAACGTGGAACTCGACACTGCAGGCGAAAGGCAAGAGCTACCCGTCGATAATCCGAAGCGTGTATGAGCCTTGAGTTGTGTTGTAATTACGTTTTTCTTTTTTCAATCGAGATACCACACGTTTATGTGCACTGACAGACTCTTCCACTTCGGTGTCTTCTCAGAGACAATTGAGAAGCATACATGCTGCGAGATGAGAGAAGGACCGAGTGGTGTTCTTGCTGAGCACTTGGGAGAAACCACACCCTGGCCGGAACTGTTACACGTCTTAAGCGGACTTGGACACAACATCTTCCACGTACGACCATAGGTCGCAGAACGCAGGGCTTCCCGTCCGCTCAGCCGTACTTAAGCTGCGAACCGGCCGATTAGTACTCAAGTGGGTGACCATTGGGGAATCCCGGCTGTTGTACGTTTTGCTTTTTGCAGTTCGTGCGTAGTTGTCGGTCCGAGCGGCCTTTTTTTTTTTCTTATGGACCCTGATGCTGGCGGCTTGCCCATTTCAAGGTACTGGGAGTAATGGCGAATCTCTCAGCATTTGCTGAGAATTGCTGACGGGAATTTGTTATGCACGTCGAATGGGCGCGAAGTGTGTGTGTGGAGCCAAAACAGAAAGATGGAATGTTGTAAGCGAAGCGCTTGACCTGGAAAGGTTACAACCATACTTGACCATCTTTTTTTGTCGAAGGGATCAAGAGGCAAGAGGCAAAGAGAGAGGCAAGAGGGTATAGCTGAAAGCTGTGTGGAATATTGGAGACAGGCTGGTGTTTACAAGATACCGTGTGATTGCAAAGAACGCTCTGTCACATTAAATATCCATATTCCATCGCAGACAACTTCGATCAGGTGCCTGACAAGCACAAGGCACTTCTGAACTTCCGCTTTCTCAGATGTGTTCTCCAGTCCATCACCTCCAGCCACCACCCAAGTATTGGTCCAGTATACTGAGTCTCCGTTTCCTTGTGATCGTTGTGACTCCAGCCGACATGATCAATTTCGATCGCGGATGGCAGCTACCGAATTGCTATTATGGTGTAGACAAGGGTCATGAACGCTTGGTGTAGTATTCTGCGACGAAAAGGGAGATGGCGACAGAATTGAGCAGTAGAGCGGGAGCACGACCTTTGCGCCAAATCAGCATTCAATTCAAGCCAGAGAGCCTTCCGTCCGTACTTTCTGGATTGAGATCCAAAGCTGCACCGCACGCACGCCAACGGACAGGAATCTGGCGAAAAGATCGGGGGGTCGCTCTCGGTTTCGCGATGTCGGCCTTGGTCCTTCCTCGGGGTTGCGCGCTGCACGGGTGCCTCCGTCACTTCCCAGCTCTGTCCCGGTTAATCCTCACTTCCCTCCGAACTCTGGCAGAGCAAGCACAGCAGCGGACCTCGATGTGGAACGCTGGCAGCGGCGAAAGGTGTGGGTTTGTGAATGCCTACACCGCCGCAACAAATCGCGCTTCATGTCAGCACTTGATGCAAAATCGCAGGGCACTTGCTCCAACACAGTACCATCCATCTTCCATCTTGCAAAGGCCGGTTGCGAACACTCGGCGCTGCATAGCCTGGCGAGGCCGTTGTCCGTGATCCAGGTGTTGCGAACTCTCTCTCCCCCGCCCCTGCCGAGCAACCCTTCCCTCCTTCCCGCATTCGACCGCGCTGCCCCCCACCGCCCCGACACTCCTGCAGTCCGCAACAGCGGCTTCCTGTTATGCTGGCCGAACGCCACTTTCTCCATCCAGCGTGCAGACGCACTGACCATTCGTCCAGGTGGTATTTTAGGTCGCCTTCCGCTCGTCCTGAATCTCTTCTTCTTCTTTTCTCCTCATACCACCGCCCTGGTGCAATTTTTTGGGACTTCCTTCCTGCCCCCCCTGTTGTGGAGGAGCAATGCTAACAGAACAATTTGCTTTGTGCGCACTAGGGTTGTGTCCGGGGTCCTGGTGATCAAGAAAGCCAGAGACCTGCATTGGCTACCGCTGCATTGCACATCGCAGTCGGGAAACCTTTGTACGAGCCCGACGTCGTCGGAGCAATTTTTGATCTTCGTACAGAGACGGGTCTTTGACCTCGATCGACGTACACAAATTTCTTTTTTTTCGTTGACGCTTTCGCCTTGAGCGGGTCGTTGAGGAAGAATTAGAAAGTGAATCTGTGATGTGGTGTTGTTGTCAGGTGTGAACGTACCTATTCGTTGCCTCTTTCCTCGTGATTGTGCCCGATGGCGGTAGCATCGTCCGGTGATCCAGCTCCGTAGTGCTTTCGGATTCGACAGGTATCTATTGTGAAGAAGCTTTGCTGACAAAACAGGATGACTGTTGCCGGCCACCAGGGTTCTGACTGGGCTTTTCGTAGCCAGGACGGAGGAGTCACCGAGGACTCCTGAAGATTGCAAGACCATGCAGACATCGGGCACTTATATACCCATTAATGACACTGTATGATGGTTCAGTAGGGAAATTTTTTCGCGGTTTCGCCTGCGCTGAGCCACGGTCGAGCAGGTTGCGGGATCCCGGGGTGTGCAGAGGGTCCAGGAAAGCCGGCTACCGCCCGCTTTAGATTAACCATCCTACTTCGCCTGGCCCGCTAGCCCTCAAGGCCCACATCTACCTGACAGTTAGTATCTCGGGCGAGCCATAGCCGGTTTTCTTGAGCTCAAAGATTAATCGTAAAAGTCTGTCATTTTTCTTCTTTGTTATTCTTTCCAACCTCATAACCATCGTCATTGGCGTGAATCAGAAACACCAAAAACCGCCGAGAAAAACAAAAGTAGAAGAGACGGACGCAGAAGAAGAAAATTCCACCAACAACCAGCAGCCCCGTCCTCCACTAAAGTGGCTCAAACCATGTAGTATCCATCACGGCTTCACCCCCACAATCCCATAAGTATTGTGCGGGAGCAGGGTAATAAGTGGCACCCCTTTACGCCCTCACCTTAGTCCAATCCATAACCTCCCTGCGCACACCACCCCTAACACCCCTCCTCATACTCCTCACCATCATCTTCCTGGCCGACGCCGCGCCAGCGAAGCCGAGAGCCTCGTTCCACGCGTCGGCGGTGCTCTGGTCGCGCGTGCCGAGCGCCTCGATCTGGGCCTTCGCGTCCAGGCACGCGGCTTTGGCGTCGTCGGCGGCGTCGCACACGTTGGTCAGCTGGTCGCAGATGCGGTTGGTGATGATGTTGGGGTTGAGCGCCTCCTGCTGGCCCTTGGCGACGAGCGGGTCAATCGCCTGGAACGTGAACTCGTCGGCCGGCCGCCCGTTGAGGCCGCCGACGAACTTCATCGTCGGCGTGCACTTGCCGAAGTCGAGGTTCTTGGAGCTGGCGGTTTGACCGTTGCCGGCCGAAGAAGAAGCAGCAGCAGCAGCAGCAGTAGACGAATTAGAGTTGGCGTTAGAAGCAGAAGAAGAGTTGCTGTTACTGTTGCTGCTCTGCTGCTGCTGCTGCTGCTGGTCGGCGTTGGTGTTGCAGGAGGTGGACGATGAGGAGACGTCGGCGGCGGCGGTGGCAGCAGCAGCGGTACCGGAAGCAGAAGCGGAACCGGCATTGGCATTGGCGTTGGAATTGGCGGCATTTGCATCACCGGCAGCACCAGCATTGCCATTAGAATCCTTCGTCGCGAAATTGGTGAAGCCATTCTGCTGCAACAGGTCCGCAACACTCAGTCCCGTCGCATCGAGCGGGTTGGCTCGGGTCTGATTAGACAAGGCATTGGCGACGTCGGCACCATCGACGTCCGGGTCGACCAGAGGCGTGATACCGCGCAGGGCAGCCGACGTCGGCAGCGTCGGGTCGGAGCAGATGGTCGGTTTGTCGGTGTTGAAGGGATTGAAGTTTTGCTCGGCAGCGACCATTCCGATGGCCGCAGCCATGGCATCGGCACCGGTGCCCAGCTCGGCCAAGATCTGGTCGCCGCGCTGCAACTTGTCGCATGGGTTGGCGGCGGCGAGGAGATCGCTGATAGCAGCTCCGGCGATGGTCTGAGCTTGGCCGGGCTGGCCGCCTTGGACTTCGGAGATGGCCTGGATGGGAACCTGCTCTTGGCCGAAGCTGCGAGGGCCTTGTCAGTTTGGAGCTTGTGATATGCTGGAGCTGTATACTAACCGAGCCTCGACCAGGATGGCAAGGTAGGCAGTGAGTAGAGTCTTGGAGAGCATTTTTGCGGAGATGATAAGGTATAATAGGTAATAGGTAGGTTGTTTATAGAGTAATTTTGAGAAGTAACGACCGGCCGGCGGATTCGATGATGCAGAATGAAAGACAGAAAAAAGAGCGATGTGGCTGAGATCGGAGCCTGTTGATGGTGGAGTTGGTCATGGATTCTGGATTATCCAGCCATGATATATAGTATGCCAGCTGGCTAGGACTCTGCAATCTAACTGATCCAGTGCTGAGATGTTGCACGTCTACGGCGAGAACCGACGGCGGCCCCTGTCAGGACATTGTCCAGACTCGACGGCATAATAGTCTCATGTGTGGTTTCCCAGAGGACATTGGGAAATTGTCGCCGTGTCTACTGCTCTCAAGCGGGGCGCACGCGTTCAAAACGGAAAAGGGTTGGTTTTGGTGGTTGGGGTCGGGTTTTGCATGGAACCGGTGATGTCTGATTCGGGTTTCAGCGCCTTCACCATTCCCGCAAGAGGCAGTTTCGCAACCGCAGCCGAGCGCCTGATGAGGCACCGAGACATGACATTATGCCAAGCAGAAACCGATTTGCGACTTAGAGTTTTCAAGTTTTGCGATATCGTGACATGATTGATGGAAAAGGGCGGTGGTGGTGATGTTTTGTGGTGGCCGAGCGGCCGATCGTTGTTCCTACATCATGCCGGCAACCGAACAACCCACGCTAGCCCCCATCTTTACTACGACACCCGAACTGCTGCGACCGCTCTAATTTCCTCACGGGCCGTAGGAAAAAGCACCGCGGAAGAATCCTTTCGATGGTACTGCTAAGGCTCTGACGGGGCCTTCCGACAGCGTGGTTTGCGTGATCGTCAACCTCTCTTTATTTAGCCATCATTGCCCTCCCTTATGCGGTAACATCAGAGTTTGATGTGCCGACTTTGGCCCTTGACTTCTCCGCGCCGATTCGGCGATGGCTAAGCGCCTTCGTATGGCATTTTTTTTAAGCGAGCTTTTGATCCGCTGACTGCTGCGCATTCCTCTTTTTTGCCGACGTACAGGTCAAGCTTGGCTGCAAGCTTGGCCGTGAGCTTGGCAACGAACGCATTTCCTAGCCCCGGCAAGCGTGGCCCAATATTGAGAGAACGCTCGGAGTGCTTGAAGATCTGGAGCAAAGAGATCCTTTGATTGGTGCGTTGTTGCCTTAGCCTTGACTCCTACCATTAAAGTCGCCAAGACGTATTCTCAATGCGATTTGCCTTGGCATCGTCCTGATTATGGCAAACTAGACGGCACTATGAGGTCGCCGTCCGTGGCCTTTCGACAGAGGTCCACTGCGCGGTACGGTGTTGGAATAAAGTCCATGATAGACGGCCAGGAACACTCGGTTCCGTCTCAGCTGTCACAAGAAACTCCGATCCTCCGGTCTCTCCACCGTCCTTCAACCCTCTCTCCGCCTCCTCGGCCCAAACCCCGGGATCCCTGTCCTGCAAGAATTCTCAAACTTCCGGGACCCACCCCTGATAGACAGCTGTACACCCTGGCCCAAGCGCTCCTGGATGCTCTTCTTTTCTTCCTCATTCAGCGCCACGTGCGTCTCCCTCACCGCCCACGTATCATTCGTCATGCCACGCCCCGGATCCAGCACCTCAAACGACAGATGCGGGTTCTCCCACTGCGAGAAATCGGGCGGATTGAGACAGGCAAAACACCTGGTGAGCTCATGAAAACCGGCAAGCTCGACGCGCTCGAGTCGCGGCCACTCGGCTTGCTTGTCGGTGAGCACAGGCAGGATGTGCTCGTTGAACAGCGTCCACAAGGCGGGGCGGCCACGCTGGCCGAAGGGGTGCGAGCGGTTGGTGCGCCAGAGCCGCGACCTCTCGGCGCGGTGTTGTTCGAAGACGAGCGAGCGCAGCGTCGGCCGCACGGACCGGATAAAGGTGGCCCATTCCTCGTAGCGCGTGTCGTCGAGGGAGAGTCGTTCCCAGTGCTCCCATGGGGCGTAGGTGCGGATCTCGAGGTGCGACAGCTTGTGGCAACGGTTGGTGAGAGAGCGGAGGTGGTTGTGCATCGGACCGGCGAAGGTGGTGCTTCGGATATGATCCTGGGGTCCTTGGTCCGTGTGATGGATGATGTCGTATAGGCTCATATGGCTGGGGAAGGATGGGACGGGGTCGGCGAATTCTTGAAGGTTTATGGTGGACAGAGAGACAAGGTTTTCCGGGATGATATTCTCCAGGATGGCGGCAACGAAGCGGGTTGATGCTTGGCCGACAAGACGAACAGATGTGGCACTAGTAAACAAGGGCGGCGGAGGGCAGGTCTCGCGCAAAGACCTCAGCCATGCAATGTCGACCGAAGTGACTTTGTTAAAGGCCAGAAAAGTGTCCCAGAGGACTCGATCAAAACCGATCGAGTCGAGGCGCTGCAGACCCCTCTGTTCCCATATTTTCATGGCGACAGGCAGCTCAGCGGTAGTGCCTACCATCGGTCTGTGATCCTCGGATTGGCCGACGGGGGCATTGAGTACGGACCAGTGAAGTTGGCGGACATGGCTGCCATATTCAGGATGGTTCTTTATGGTATGGATCAGTTGCTGTTGGCGAAGCCAGATTTCGTCGTCGAGCGAGACCCGGGGACGTTCAGCAAAGTCGAGGGGGAGTTCGAGGACGATGGGCGAGTCGGGGCCGAGATCGCCATCAAAAGGACCGTTGCTTGCAAGCTGCGAGGAGTTGTGGACGCTCAGGTCGACTGTGCGGTAGATTTCTTCAATCTGCAACGGTGAGCACGGAAATGGTGCGCCGGGAAGATTGGAAGACTCACGCAGACACTGTGGAGCTGGCGTGTTGTTGCGCTCAGCGTGCAGCGTGAATGCTGGCCGCAGTGTTGGGCGATGAGGTGCAGCACCTCAACGGGAAGCTCGGTGAAGACGGCCATGGCGGGAGTGGCAGCGAGAGTAATAAGCAATGGCGGGGTTGGCATGACTGAGGACAGCGGTTTCGGCCGCAACTGCGCTAAGATAACCTTAGATAAGATCCGAACCTCGGCATGACGTAGTTACACAAGCTCTTCCACATTCGCCCTCAGCGTCTCCTCCAGTCCCGTGAACCCCGATCTCCCCAAATCCTTCAGCAACGCTTCCGATCTATCTCTCCCCTCAATACGGCTGAAGCTGCGATCCAAGCCAGGCATGTCGTCCGGGAATGTCTTGTCCGGAGCGAACTTTCTGAACAACCCTAGCCAGTCGTTGAAAGTGTATGTGCCAGCATACGCGAACATGCGCTCACCGTCGACGTCAGGATGGACCAGGCCTGCAACGTGGAGCAGACCGACGTCTTGAACGTTGACAAAGTAGACTAAAATACCCTTAGAAGCAAGCCTGCTACGATCCGAGACTGACTTACATTGAGACATGAACTCCAACCCGGCGAGCTTACCCAAGAAGACACTGACTGGAAGCCCTGAAGAACCCGGATGACCTTGCTTCTCTACGCTCAAGGAGCGACCCAGTATCATAGGAGGGATCACTGTAAGCTGCGTCAGTCTCTTTCCTTTTTGCGCCTATGATTGCCCATTACCCGTGTTCAAACCAAAGTGCGGCTTGTGCTCCTTCATCCATTCCCAAGCCTTCTTCTCACTGAGCACTTTCGAGGCCGTGTAGACAACATGGCCTTTCTGTCGATCCGTCCATGAAACCGGCATGTCTCGCACAAGCTCAAGAGCTCCATCGTTGTACTCGTTCACTGCCACCGGTCTTTCGGGGACGTACGAGCCCATGTCCCTGACAACCACAGAAGAAGACGTCAAGACAACCCGCTTTACGCTCGGCTCTTTTGCCGCAGATTTCAGCGCATTGAGCGTGCCAGTGACTGTGGTATTCATCACCGTCTCCACGTCGGCATCCATGGTCATAACAGCTGCCACATGAGCCACGCCAGAGACGCCTGTCATCATGTCAATATGCTTCTCGTCACAGCAGTCCAGTTGCTCACCTTTGACGGCCTCATCGAAAGCACCCTCCAGAACCATGTCCTTTACAGGAAATAGCTCAAATCTGCCCGAGCCGTATTTTTGTTCGAACAACTCTGCAAGCCAAGCTGCCTTCTGGACGTCTCTGACCGATCCGCGGACTCGGTAGCCGTAATCCAGAAGCTGGTCGGCGACATGGGAGCCGACGAAGCCGTTCACGCCAGTCACCAGGACGGTGGCGCCGGGAGAGATGATAGACTTGTCAAAGACTGGCATTTTCGATTCGAGGCGAGGGAAAGATTGTTTGAACCCCTTCATCCCGGGTAGCGGGTATTTATTTCCATTACTCACTCTAAGAAACGCACGTCCCTCGCGGATAGGGCTACTGAGCAGCCAATGAAGCTACTGCCTTCATCAAGCTCACAGACTCATGGATGCGCATCTTTAGAGTTTCGAGGATCCGAAATATTCGCAAACACTCAACTCAACCTACTCTCCATACACTTCATGGATGAAAGCCTGCATGGTGTTTCTTACTCACGGCAACCGGATTTCGTGCTTCCGAACAATCGAAAACGTAGAGGAAAGTGAACAGCCCCAAGGCCCGTGCCTCGGATAAGGTTACTTTTTTACCCGATGTCTATAAAGCTCACCTACAAGGGGCAGCCTGTACGAGCCAAATACGAGTCACGTGTCACGACAGGCTGCAGAATATTGAGCCTCCCAATCCCCAATGCTCTCCTTATGTGGGCAGTTGAAGCAAATTTCCTGACGTACAGGTGGGTTCTGACATCTAGACATCGGAATCGGCTGACCTTGGCTTTTACAGAACACGGGACAAAAGAGTAGACTCCTCGATCTCCTGCGATATCGCTTTGCTTATACAAAACCCTTTGATCTTAGAAATCCTCATATAATGGGCTCTCTTATTTCCTGTTTGAACTCCTCGTTTTTTGCTGCAACCCCCACCTTATTTTGCTACTTCCCCGCATGACGTAATAGGCCCAGCGGTAAGCGAAGGAGAGGAAGGTAGTTTGCCCCGCTCGGCATGATATGATTACCTCTGCTTGCGGCTGGGAATCCTCTTCATCACCCGACTTCTGCAGGCGCCCCTGCATCAAGATCTACTTCCATCTCGCCATGGTGTACGACTCGACCATTAGCTTTACGCTCGACACGATATGTCCATGGTAAGTTCTCCCTGGTGCCCGAGGCGCAGCCACGGTTTGAACGGGCCCACAGGACGTATCTCGCGCGCCGCCGGCTTCAGCGCGCTCTCGAGCAAGTGCGCGCCTCTCAATCAGATAGCGGCACCGCGTTTACTATCAAGTACTTGCCATACCAACTGTATCCCGAAGCCACCAAGGAAGGCGAGGATAAGTACGAGTGGTACAGGAAGTCGCGATATGGCGACAGCGAGGAGAAGATGAAGATGTACACGACGCTCATGAGCGCATATGGCGCCGATGCGGGCATCAACTTCAAGTATGTGCTCTTTCTGGTCGGACCCGGACATAGCTGACGCGAACACGATGGGTGCAGATTCGGCGGCACGGTGGCGAATACGCTGAACGCGCATCGCGTAATCCAACATTTCCAGGAGAAGAAGGGTCCAGAAGTGGCCGACAAAATTGTGGAATGTAAGCAGCAGCTCGGCTCGGCCCTCAACCCGAGTTTCTTCGCATTAATAACCCCATCCCGGCATTCCACGGCAACCCACGGCTTGGAGCTAACGGCGGGCCGGCCTGCTAACTTTTCTTAGCATTGTATAGCCAGTACTTCGAGAACGAGAAGCATCCGAGCGCAGCCGACACGCTGCTCCGAGCGACTGCCGATGCAGGCATTCCCGAATCCGAGGCGAAGCCCGTAATCGATGACGAATCCGAAGGCTTGATGGACGTCAAAATGCTGATCCGGGAGCAAAAAGGAAACGGCATTGATGCTGTTCCGCACGTCGTCATCGAGGGGCGCAGACGCGACGTGACGCTCGAGGGCGCACGCGAGGTGGACGAATATGTCAAGGCGCTGCAGCGCGTTATCAAGGAGAACGCATGATGCGTCGATCAATCAATGTCCATTTTCGCGCGGAATCGGTAAGGCGGCTGGTGGCGCGAAGGAGCAGCCAACAGCCAGCAGCCGCGTTCGTGCTCGCGTTGAGCGAAGAATGCGAGTTTAGAGTTCAACCATCGGCAGACACTAAGCGGTTCCCCACGTCTGGCTGAGGAACGCCTCTTTTTCGCGCCGCATCCCGAGCCCCACCGACTGCCAGGAATATATGTGCCAAGCGTGCGCCATCTTCTCTTGTTTGCTGATCCGCCCTCTCCCGCCGCCGAATATTTGAGTTCAGCCATGTATGATATTTACTGCACATAATCTTTGCTTGTCACCATCGTCAGCTTCACCTCTTCCTTCGCTTCTCCACTTCCTCACCTTCACTTCTATCCTGCGCTCCAACTGAGCCGTGACTCTTCATCGTCGTCAACTCAAGACCACGACAGATTCACATCACCATATCTTTTGCATTGGAAAAGCTACAATCAATCCTGACCAATCAGGTCTCCCCCCTCACTTGGTACACCCCAACCATGGAGTACGTACTGTCATGTTCCCCGCTCCATACTCCCAACCAAACCAGATGTGCGACCGCTCCTTCATTATACCTCATCCCGAAACCCTAACCCGGCTCCCCAAGGCCTGATCCCCGTCTGACCATCACGTGCCTGCTAACCAACCACTGCAGCGCATTACCACCAGCTCTCTCCTCATCATGCCCGACATCATACCTTTATACCGAAGAAACCGTAGCGACAATAACATCAACATTACAATCAATACCCTCGACATTTCAAGTCTCCTTGGCCCTTAATAACAACACCTACCTCGCCGCCACCAACTTCTCCTCTAACAGCACCACGCCATTATTATCACAACCGACAACAATACCGACAACAAACCCATGGCAACAATGGTCCTCGTCCTTACCTACGTCTCTCCTCTTCAACACCAACATCCTCACCCTCCTCCTTCTACCCCTGGTCATCCGCGAGATTCCGACCATCATGACGACAACGCTGGATCCACTACTCGACTACGTCTTCGATCCGTGGAGTTGGGGTTACTTTCCTGTCTGGTGCGCCGAGGTGTGGCGGTTGCTGAGGGATGAGAGGCAGGCGTTCGTGTCAGGGTTACACGCTGGTGTTGGGGAGGTAGAAAGAGTTTGGAGGGAGAAGGGCGTGGTGGAGGTGGTGGAGTTGAGGATGGGGGGAATGTGACTTGTCCAGCTGCGAGGATGCGATCGAGGACGAAAAGCCCTGCATTTTTTCTGGCGTCAAACTAAAAGTCATTTGGGAGGGATTGAGATTTTTCCAAAGCCGGCGTTCAAAAGCGGAAGGATGGTTTGGTTTGCAATACTCAGGAACCCGTCGTTCTATCTACCGGTAAATACCGGTCATATCCGAATTACTACTGAAATGCGCGCATTTCGATTCAGACCTGTACGTTTTCCGTCGGATACGCGGGACCTCGGATATATCCTCCCAGAACCCGATAGGCAAACATTGGAATGCTCGTACCACGAACCTGATTTGAGGTACATAATGTTAACCGTCATTACCGGACTCACGTGCTTCTACCCACTACTGGCGTAGTACTATCTGCTTGACAGACGCGGCGGAGCGTGGAACACCAAACTTGCGATACCCGAGCACGGTGCAAATCATACGTTACTAAGTAAGCTCCCGTCCGTCGTACATTGTGCTTCCGGGATTGAGCTACTTTTCTTAAAAAAGCAAACGGGGCCTGTACTACCCACATGTGAGAACAGAAAGCAAGTATCTAGTATATGAGGGCCAGAAAACTCCAGTGAACATAATCTTCAAGCTTGCAACTCCTTTGAAACTCTCTCTTGGATTTGCATACACTTTCTGAAGCGCCCAGCCATGCATTTGATCCCCCTCCTCCTCACCGCTCTCATTCATTCCACCTTGGGCGGGATAATCCCCGTGCAGACCGCACTGTGCCTGCGCCGCCAAGGTCCTTGCAGCAACGAATATCCCGACAAGTAAGCAAGCTAGGGCGCTCTGCAAGTAGACTTCAGACTAACCAGCTTAATCATAGCCCCAAACTTTTTCTCGACCGCTACGAATTAAACGCCATGGCCCACAACCGCAAGGTCGAATCCTTCTGTATGAGGCTTGAAAAGTGGGGAAAGCTCCAGAGAAGACCAAAAACTGAAAGGGTTGAGTTCTGGCGCTGCTACGATTACCTTTCTATCCCGGAGATCTATCCCGAAGACGAGGAGCCATAATATGGTAAGTTTCTGGTCTTTTCCTGGTTTATGCACTTTTCATCTTGTCTCATTCTATCGAAAGAATGAAGTGCTGCTTCGAATAGGGTGTACTAAGTAATGTAGGCTTGACAGTATTGGTGAGAAGATGGCGACATTTCAGATGCCGTTGATTGGTGGGATTCCTATGAAGAATGGGAAACGTGCCGCTGAAGAAAGCCCCGGGCAAAAAGCGGGGCTCTGGGTTGCAGAGTAAAGCAGCGGATTACTGGGGACAACAGGCGGATCGGACAGAGTTATTCGGAGCCCGTGAGCAGCTAGGAATCAAGGGAAAGAGTTTCAAGTGTATGAGCTGGAGTGTTCGCCCACGCATCTTAAAGAATTTTCAGAAATTTTCTCCTAGAGAGATTACAAAGACTTCATTTAAGAGAGAAATTGGGGAATTGTGAGTCTCGGTGCCAACATTACAAGCTTGCAGCTGCACCCAGACTGGTGGAAGGCAATAGGCTAGTTATCTTGAAGAGGCGGTGACACTTTTAAGCCTTTGGCGTGAATTAAGGTTAAGTTTAACTATGTTCGTATCAGTTGCTTGTCGAGAAATGTTCCCTGCTGTCTACTGTCTGGAACTTTGCTGCACTGGCTCTAATGCCTAAACTTTTTCTCTGTAGAGGGCTGGTTCCCAGCTCATAAAGCCTTATAAGACATCGTATACACATTTTCTCTTGTAGTAAATGCCAATTCTGGCAAGTAGTATAAAGTAAACGCTTGAGAATTAAACCATTTCATTATATTTCTATAAAAAGGATGTGTGTAAGATTTAATAGTTCTTGTTATAGTTCTCTACATAGTATTATAATTCTCTTAAACGACTGCTATATAAGCTCTATAAATTTGACCGCCGATATTCTTCTTCGAATAGTTCTGGTCTAGAATTACAACATAGATGCTTTTTATTTAGCCCAAATCTATTAATGAGCTTAGAGGCGGGTGGCCGCTCTGCTGGATATTCGTCTATTCTTTGTGCCGTAGCGGAGCCCTAGTGCATCTTAAGCGAATATCTGACTTCTTTCCTCTTTCTTTTTTGAGGAAGTATCGTACAGATGGAATGTTGGCGCAGAATGAATTTGTTTTAGTGAGCTCCTAGAGGTTTAAAAGATCCCCCATCTCTTACAGAAAAGTGGCTATAATTTCTGCAAATACATAACCAAGAGAGAATAAGCCAGCCTTGAAGCCGCGCATCTCCTGTAATGACACCTTCAGGGCACAGTATGTTGGTGAAAGGGCCTTAATGGAGTCTGATTTACTGTTCGCTTCGTATAACTTTCGTTTAGCAGTTGTAAAGTTCACATTCCGCATAGAGGATGCGAAGTGCCGAAAACAGCAACTGGAACCTCCATAAAAGCTCTCGAGCAGGGTAAGTGAGACTGACATCTTTGATTAAAGCAGAATATAATGTTCATCAGATATTTCAGGCTTCGAGTAACATTTTAAGTGGAGAGTAAGCAAGTGAACACAACTACAGAGAACCAACAAGGATGAAACGACAGCCAGTTCCATCCACTCGGCACCATCGAAACCCCGCTCACCTTCCTTTATGATACCAATACGGATACTCCTCCAGCCCATCAAATTGCCAATAGTTGTCCCCCTTATTCCTACAATACTCAATACCCACGACGCAATACGGGCGAACGTCCTCGTTCTTGTTCGGACTTTTGATGCGATAGCGTTCGGTGTCGGTCCCAAAAACGCTGCACGTATCGTATTCGATGTTGTGCACTTCATACTCGACATACGGTGTGCGGGCCCACAGGCAGACGGTGTCACCTGGTCCGCCCGAGCACTCGTGTGAAACGCCGGTGGACCAGCTCTTGGCGACGCTGAAGCCGGCATCGATCCTGGATTTGGCAATCGGGGGGTTTGTTAGCATGCCGCCCTTTTGTTCTGGTTCCGCTTTCGGAAAGGGTCGGGCTCGGTCAAATGGAAGTGGAGATAGGGAAGGAACAAGAAAAAGGAGCGCTGATAGGCGGCGGGGTACGTACCTCTGCGCGGGTATGATCGACGCGCTAAAGCTGACTTGGATCGTCTGCTCTTCTTCATTGGCTATGGAGCATTCGTTGAATGGGTCGCATTGAAGGGTATCCGTCACCTGCTCGTGGTAAACGACGTCGCGAGGGCTGCCGTTGCCGACTTTCGTTTTGGTTGTTGTCAGCAAAAGTAAACATTTCTGCAGCGTGATGAGATATTTTATTGTATTCTCAGGAAGGGGCGGAATAGTTGTCTACAAACTCTGTCTGCTTGTATGGCCAGCACTGACGCTTCGAGAGTGTATCATTGCCCATAGCTCCATCTTGTCTACCGATAGCCATGGCAGTGGCGGAGCCAATACGGAGTATCATGAGGATCAGTGTCCAATGCATGCTAGGTGGTAGCTTGAATGCACTCGATTTGTTGACTGATGAATAACACGTTGCCGAAGCGAGCAGCGTGAAAGCAAAGAAAAGAATATACTTGTTCTCCTTTTATAGGGGCATCTGCATGGTTTTTTCCAAGCACAGCAAGTGATTCTTTCCCGCTCGTGAGGTGATTTTGAGGAGACCAAGCAGCCGTAAACTTCCCGCGACGTAAACTCCGAGAGTGTGTTGCCTTTCACGAGTTTTGGTTGCGCATTGAAACTGGTTTGACGGAGATATCTTTTTTTGGCATGTTTTCTGTGGAGTTGAGGTGGCCTACGAGCGTATACTTCGGAGACAAACGCGGACGGGTTCCAATATTAGTAGGCTACTGGTCCATGATACCTTCAGTATCACTGACTAGCTGGCATTCTTGCCTTCTTTGCTGTTTCCTCTCTCCGAAAGGGTACGGGCATGTTCGTGTATCCGATATTTCAGCCTTAGTAGTAGCCGCATGTACGTGTTGCACAGTCAGATGCTTGACATCTCCCTACTAGTCTGTAAAGGGAAGTAGCTCCATCTCGTCATACTGGTGGGCATCAGAGCCGAAGGTTAGCTCGAAGAAACAACCGAGTCTTGGAACAGAGGGCAACTGTGGCCCTCTAGAAGAAATACCCATCTGATACACAGAAAGACAAACTTACGCTAGCTTTCGGCCTTTGTAAGTGGTCGCGTGGGATACTCCGTGGTGATCTCTGTTCAACATTGCTAACCTCCCACTTACCAAAGCTTTCTCATTCGAGATTCGTCCTTTCATGCTCCCGAAAGTTTGTTGGGAAGCCGACTTCAATCGACCTAGCTGGAGTTTTGTTAATCGCACGCACTAAGCGGCGCAATGACTTCTGCTCTCGGCCTCCCACATGGTTCAGGGAGACTGCCGACACCGACACCGACATCGAGACACTTGCGCTGATATTGTATTCGAACCGTTAACACTTAAAAGTACCAAGTCGTAAAAGCTCATTTAGAGCAAATCAGGGTATACATCACCGCTTCTCTTTCTCATATCTCCAACCAAAATTCCCAATCCTGATATCCAATCCTCATCCACCCCTTATTTACACCAAATCCCAAACCGCAATCCCCTGATAATTCCTAAACCCATACCGATCCGCCTCCCACATCTGCCTCGTCACGCCCCTGCCACTCCCCTCCGGACCACCGTGCCACTTATCACCCGCGCACGCCATTATCGTCTGGCCAGGAGCACCCAACTCGACCCTCTCGACATCCAGCCACCAGAACCGGCCGTCCGTGTTCATGGGCAAAAACTGCTTGTTCCTGCCATCCCTGCCCTCGATGGCCAGGAAGAACATGTACGGCCCACCCTCTCCCAGCGCCTCGCCATCGTAGTGCGGGCAGCGCTTCTCCCACTGGAACCGGATGACGGCAGGCGCGGCGGGGTCCGGGTCGTGGATGCGGATCTGGCGCACCGCGGGCGCGAAGCCCGTCTTGCTGAGGCCGGCCGACACGGCGAAGCCGTACACGTTGGCTTCGGGGGCCGCGGCGATGTACTCCTCCCAGGGGATGCTCGGGCGGCCGTCGTTGCGGAAAAAGTACGCCGGGTTCTCCGGGAAGTGGCGCAGGCCGAACTCGACGTTGTCGGCGTAGAAGCACTCGGGCGAGAACTTGCGCGTGTAGGCCTGCGTGCCGCCGTCGATGTGGCCCGCGCCCCAGCAGCAGTCGATCAGCTTCCACTCGCCGCCGTCGATGCGCACCGCGTTCCACGCGTGCCCACACGAGAAGGGCGGCACGGGGGCGCCTGGCGCCAGCGGCGAGTAGCCGAATCCCTTGCCGTGCCCGCCGACGACGACGGCCTCGAGCCCCACGGCCGCGGCGAGCGCGGCGAAGAGGCCGGCGTAGCCCTCGCAGACGGCAAGACCGGTAGCAATGGTCGAGGAGGGGGTGCTGGGCTGGACGTTGTGGTTGAAGAAGGCGGCGGCGTTGTAGTTGATGTTGTGGTGAAGCCATGTGAAGAGAGCGCGAGCTTTGTCAGTGGGAGATGGGAAAGGGTCAGTGAGCTGGTGGGCCAGCCAGGAAATGTCGTGGGAGGGAATGGCTTCGCGGGGGAAGCGCGCAGCATGCGCATCTACAGCACGGAAATCACGGCACTTGAGGCAGGAGTTCGTGGCGCCAGGTCTCGGCTTGCTGGCTTGGAGCGCAGCAAGGTCAGGACGAGAGCCAACCGGGACTGGAGGCGGCGGCGAGGCAGCAGACTGTTGGCCTGGGCGACTTGTAGGTAATGGCGGTGCCTGCTCCGTACTCTTGTTCATACCCCACTCGAGGGCTGATCGTCGGGGCTTGCGCTCCACTGCTGAACCATTTTGCGTTGTGCTAGGACGCGGCGGAAGACTTGGCCTGGACGGGAGCGCAGGCGGTTGCGCCTTGGCATTATTCGAGTGAGAGCTCGAAGTCCTGTTCAGGTACTTGGCGCGCACTGGATCGTGTCTAGCAAGCTCCGCATCCTTCTCCTCCTGTGTCTTCTTGGGCGGCAGCGGAGGCAGCTTGGAAGGATCGAACAGCGGCGCCTTGACGCGGTTCGACGACACAGCAGCTTCGCCGTGTATTGTGCCTGACGTCACGCTTGTGCGACCCGAGAGTGCCGACCCCGCAGAGCGCCATGAGGCGACGGTAGATATAGACTCTTGCGATTCTTTTCGTTGTACGCTCTGCTCAGACGGGCGGCGGGGAGGCAAAGACGGCGCGTTCTGCGAGGACCTCGATGGACGCGGTGGCAGCGACGGTCTGGCCTCGCTCGCGGTTCCTAGGGACGGAGGAGGCAAGACGTGCTTCTGCTGAGTGCTGGGCTCGGCAGGCAGGTTGCCAATGGGTCTGGCATTCGTCGGCGCATAGCTCTCGGTAGGCAGGGCCACGGACTGGCTGCGATCGTCTGCGGACAGGCGGGGCGGAGGGTTCGCGGGCGGTGGGGGTGGAGGGCGCTTCTTTGCAGGCACGGGCTGGCCATAAACGGGCGGGGGTCTTCCAGTTGTCTCGTTGAGATTCAGGGCGGCAATGCGGGCCTTGAGCGAGGGGATCGGAGCTGGATCGTCGGCCATGGTGGTGGTGGCGGGGCGCTACGAAGGCGCGGGCCGTTTCCGCTGCAGCGCTGCGTTTGCGAATGAACGAGGGACGCGCGCCTGGAGGAGGAACACAGCGGGCGCAGGAGACGGTGCTAGTATAGGTCGGTGGCAAAGGTTAGTGGTACGATTTGCTGCTCCGCGGACTCCAGGCGGCAAGGCTGCGCCGCAGGTGCCAGCGCGAAGGATTACGACCGCCTGTGGTAGCGCGCGAGGCTGAGGCCAGCCAGACCACGGTTCGCCAACACAGGCGCAACTGTAGTGCAACCGCGCGCAGGATGAGCTGCCAGGCAATCGAGCGGTGCTGTGTGCCTGCATCTGTCGCATTCGACGCCTGCTTGAGCCGCCCGCCGACGCGCTTCAGCAATCCATTTCAAGTGCGCAGGTGCCCAATGGCCCCCGGGCGTCGCAGGCGTCGCAGGCGCGCATCTCATTCGCGATGACGATGCGAGCGCGGGAACGTGCAGCTCGAGCCGCGCGAGTCAGCAGCCTGTCCGAGCGCTCGAGGCAAGACAGCGCAGCTTGAGAAAAAATTCGGGTACGGCGGCAGATCGTGAAACAGTCAACTCGGCCCCATTACTTCTCCTCATGACCGAAGGTCGAGGAATGTGTTGTCCGAGGAGGCAATATTCTAGACTCCGATCTCCAAACTTCTTCGGGAACGGGCCGTGGCTCCTGGCTTTTCCCACCCTGTCGCGGACGGAACGCCGCTGAAGGCTTGTGGAGCCGAATCGAGCCCTGCCCAACAACCATTCACGTGCCCGGTTGGCGCCTGCGTCCTGAATACACCCTCCTGAGAGTACTTCCCCAGGCGGCTAATCACAGGCCTGGGCTTGTTTGGGAGTGAGGTCCTGCAGCAATCTCACGGGGCCTGGATGCCGGCCCCGTTTCCCCGTCAAAGGTACGCGGCCTTTGTAACACCTCTGTTCTGCCGTCTCCAAGCCAACCATCGTTGCCGTTCTGAGCGTGCTTGTTGTGTCACAGCAGGCGAACCTTAATCTGCTTACTCACGCAATCCAAAAGAGGCATTTTGACCATATCGGATTTTTCTTGCTGATGAGAGTTACAACATTTGCCCCTCATCTCCAATGCCCAACACCTTTGAAAACCCATAGCCAGATATGAACCAACACACGGCGAGAAAAGAAACAAGAATAAGAAAACCGCCATCCGCCCGCCGACCACCCACCACCATCACGCCGTCATATGTAGCCCTCCAATCGTCATTGCCCGTCATCCTTTCAGCATCCCACCGTGCAATTTGTCCAAACCTCGTGCAAAAGTCTGGCTCGTCCGTCCTGCGACGGTGACCTGGCCCTTGGAATACCGAAGCCCGATTAAACTTTTTTCTTAAGTAAGGAATGTTGACGCGTGAAAAAATAACTCCGCCCCTAACACCGCCCAACCCATAACCACGCTCGAACGACCGTAACCACGGCTATAAATCACATGACAGAAGAAAGGTAGGGAACGGATCGTCGCTGAGAAAGGAGGTTTGGGGAGGCGACGCATCCATCCGGACGAGTAAGTGCGCTGAAAATCAAACCGCTAGCCGCCAACGCCGGTACTGTAGACATGTCGCTGAGGAAATATACAAGATGGATTTATCTCTTGCGCTTCTTGTTCTTGTCGGCGGCTGCGGTGAGAGCGCTGTAGCCGCCCGTGCTACCCATAGCGCTGGCTGTCTCGTGGAACGTAGGTGCATCAGGGATGATCTTCTTGACGGGGACACCCATGTGGCGACCGTAACGGCCCTTCCGGCCGTTGCCCTCATCTTCGCTGACACAGCCGTCAATGCCGATGCCCGCGTCTTTGCAGCGCTGGCAAGGCCGCTGGCGGTCGCATCCCTTCTTGCTCTTCCTGCAGCGCTGGCAGCGAGGCTTGGTAGACAAGTCTTCCTCATCAGGCGCGAACGTCGGCATCGAGAGCGACGCACTCGACGTCTTGCGCGATGCTGGGGGAAGAGAAGTAGGCGAGATGGGCGCCTTTGCGACCGTCGGCGTCTTCACCTTGCTCTTGAAGCCATGGGCACGAGACTTCACTGCCTTGGTGGACAGCTTGGTCACCAGGGATCCCGCGCGCTTCTTCATCGCCTTCGGCCTGCCCATGCCGTTGTCGTCGGGGACAATGTCGTCGCTGTCGCCTCTGAACGAGTCCCTGTCGTCGTACTCGTCACTCTCGTCCGCACTGTCGTAACGGTGCAGTCCATGGTCGTGCGTATGGATCGCAGAACCAAGCGATTCCGTGTAAGCAGGGAACTCGTCGACATCGCTTCCGTCGTCACTGCATTCGTCAGACGAAGCAAGCTCAGCTTTGCCGCTCAGCGCATCGTCAATGGTCGAGGTGGAGTGGCGACCGTGGGACGAGAAGTTCGAGGCGTCGCCAAGACGCATGAGTTGAAGAGCGACGTCCTCATCAGAGATAACACTTCCGCCGATCGTAGGGTCGGGCGTGGGAAGAACACCACCGTAGGAGTTTCGCGGGATGCCTTGACCGGTGCCACGTGTACGCGGTCGGTGTCCGTGCGGCTGGCCACTGGAGGTAGCGTATGGAGTTCCCATTGGGAACCCCTGCACGTATGAAACATCCCCGTGGCTTTGCGGTGAGGGCAGTGGGTGCGTGTAGGAAAACGTCTGCTGGTTGGAATACGAGTAAGGCGATACATCATTGTTGCTGCTAATGCGTCTCTGCGGGGAAACAGAAGAGATGGACGCAGTCACGGGCACCTGAGGCGGTGCGAAAAGCGGCAATTCCTGAATGAAACACTCTTTGTTAGAGCACAGAGAACGTGCAAAGTATGATGCGTCGGGAGGCTTACCGAGCTGTCGAATTTGGCGCGCTTTCGTCGACCGCCCTCGACAATATTATCCAAGCTGATCTCTGCACTCGCAACATTGTCCCTGCGCGAGCTTGTGACGGATCCTTCACCTGCCTCGCTGTCACTGTAGTCGCCATTGAGGTCGGCGAGGCTGCCGTGCGAGCTCGTTGCTCTGCTCTTGAAGCCTGGGCGAGAGCGGGACTTGCGGTTGGTGCTCCTGGACACGCTGCGGCGACCGCGCTGGTTATCCGGCGACATGCTGCGATTCCTGGCCGATCGGGAAGAGGGTCGAGAGAGGAGTTGAGGAGGGAGCATCTGGAAGGGCTCATCGAGGCGGGTCTTGCGAGGGGAGAGAGATTGGCGAGGGGTGGGGTTGAAGTCATCGATGTCTTGCGGTATCCGGCGAACGAAGACGGTCATGTTGTGCTCGAAGTTTTCGTATCTCGCGATAAGGGTGTTGCCGTGGCGGTCCTCGAAGCTCACACCGTAGCCCTGACCGTCGTAGATGCCGTGGAAGTTCTTAACGGTCGCAACGATCGATTCCGTGGTGTCGTGCGGCCAGATGTTCACCCTCATCGGCAGGCGCGCGCGAGAGTGTGGCCCCTCCAGCAGCAGCTCGAAGCTGACATGCTTCGGCTTCGCATTGATGGTCTGCGACGGCTGTGGCCACCCGCCGCCCATGGGAATGTCGATGGGAGAGTGAGTCTGATACACTGAGCCCATTTTGTTTCTCGTGTCGGTCGCAAACTGTATTCCGTCGGATTGATGGGGGATTGTGTGTTGGATTTCGATGGGTGTTTTGGCTTGGCGGGTCTGCTTGTGGGTGAAGTCGGTGAGCAGGCTCGACACTTCCATACCAAGTATATCAGAGTGATATATGCGGTATGGAGGCTTCCGTAGAGGTCTCCGGTATTCGAATCCGGATCGTGCCCGCCGAAGATATTCGGGCAGACACCGATCCTGCCGGTGTCGCGAGGTGAAGAGGGGGTCGGTGGAGAAGCGGTCAAAGGAGGAGGGCAGTGGCCTGGGCGAAGGATTTCGTTAGCAATCTATAGTCGAAGCCATCGCTCGGTATCAGGGAGCTGGCTGATGGTGCAGATGAGTTGCTGATCAGGGCTGCCGTCCCTGGGCTGATGGGAGGTGCCCCAGGGCGGAGCAGCAGCAGCGCCGGGCGAGGAAGCCCCTCAGCAGCGATGTGCAGAATACAGAGCGCTGAATGGCCGTGAACACGGTCGCATTCGGCGCATGAAAGTATGGACATACCCTAGAGGAGAGGATGAGGCGTGGGCGTGGGAGTTGAGGGCGTTCCGTGAAGCGCCGGGTCGTCGTCTGTGGCACACCGATACGTCAGTTCGGACGGCACGATGTGGGCGGGGCGGGCAGGGCGGGCGACGAGAGGATGAGGGCTGCACCGGACGGGCTCTGGCGAAAGCGGCTGGGCACTTACGGGAGGAGTTGAGGCTTGGGGTGGGTGGTGTTGGTACAGGCTGGGAGGTCAGTCGGAGAGGAGGATGTGTGACGGCCAGCGACGCTCGACTAGCGAGTGTCAGGCGGGCCGGATGCTCAACTTATGCGCTCAACACCGCACCCCGAACCCAAGAATGCGGGTTCAAATGGTAAAGTGGGCTGAATAGGGCAGAGGCGACTCAGACGGCCATCAATTGCGCTTCACATGCAAGCTTATTCGGGAGTTTCCCATATAACGTGATGCGCGCCGCATACGGGGCGCTGGCGACGCAGCGGACGGCGACCCGGGGGCAGGCGCAAGTGCCAAACACCAAGCCGCCAGCCGGCCGCGGTCGCAGGGTTCAGAGGCGCAATGCTGCTCAGTGCTGTGCTGCGCGGTGCCCATGACACGGCGGCGCAGGCGGATGCGCTTCCTGAGGCCTTCGCGCTGGCAGCCCTCACGGTGTCCAAAGTTGCGGCTAGCCCCTCAGCACAAGCACCGCAAGCTGGCTGGGTGACATGGACAGCACGGGCAGCGGTAGGGCAGCGCAGCCAGCACGCTCACAGCGGGCGCGGCGCATACCCGTGGTGCGCAGTCTTCGAAGCCAGACTTCCCGAGCTCAGCGCAGCGGGCCAATCCGCACCAGAGCTGCTAATGCATGCCAGACAAGCTCCGTCGCTACGAGAAACGCAGCTTGTGCTAGCGTGAGCTGCTCTTCTGCCCGCGTTGAAAATCACCTATTTGTGCGGGGAGCGGGCCTTCGTCTGGACCTGCGAATGCGCCCTGCCTCCCAGCAGCGCGAATGCGATGCGAACAGCATTCACGCCAGCGGTACCTGAGTTTGCCTGGATCTCGCGGCCTGGCGCGGCCGGGCGACGGCCAATGACAGCTGCTGCCGCAGATATGTTGCGGGCGCCGGGGCGGATCGCACAATCTGAGGCCGCGCTGCCATCGACCATGCGCGCGCTCAACGGCTCCGCGGCCACGCTGCAGGACATCGTTCTGGCCGTCGCATGCGAGCGCCGAAGGGGCGGAACTAGCCAGGGACAGGCCGGGTGCCGCGCTGCGCCTCTGAGGCGGTCTTGATGGGTCTCCAGGTGGCTGCTCCACACAAGGGACTGCACGGCATGGCCCTCCCCCCAACGGCCCCGGCGATTCGAGCAAACACAGCGCGCAACGACGGCCAGCGAGCGCGCCCGGGCGAGACCGCCGCCGAGCTCGCATTCTTGCAGCTGCACTTGGCAGATCGCAGCGGACGGCGCAAGACCGTCTCTCCGCGATTACGCCGGAAGGCCTGAGGGAACAGGCGATAGTGATGCGACACGGCCCTTCTCCACACCGTGCTGCGCAGAGCGCGGAAGCAGGCCACGCGCTCCGGGAGCTGCAGCGTCTGGACGCCTGTCTGCCGCTGCGCGCGGCCGGCGCAAGTGGAGTTGGCGGGTGCTCTTCAGCGACGGCGGCATCGCGGCAGATCTGCGCACCCTACCCGCACAGCAGAGCGCCAGAGGAACACCGGGCGCCCCCTCGTGGCCGCCTGCTGCCGCCGCCGACACGGCTGAGGTCGCAGGGCCTCACTAGACGTCGGCGCGAGCGGGAGCGCATCGCGCGAGGTTCGAATCGCTTGCAGGATGGTGAGTTTTGGGAAAGCGGGTGCCGATTGACTTGATAGGCTGGAGTGGGGCGCCCTGCTGGCACTCGACACAAGCCATCGAACGGCCCAACAGCCTGCCAGCACCCTGCGCGGCTGCGGAACAGACACAGAACAGGCGTAGGGCGCGCGCAAGACAGTCGCAGGACGGCGCGCTGGCGGAGCGGCGTGGTTGCGAATGTCGAGGGGGTGCGTGCTAGGTCACGTTCCCGCGCGCCGTTGACGCATCACCCGGCGCGCGCCCTGCGCCAGGCCGCCGCCAGCGCGGGGCTTGCACCGGCGGACGACGGCGGGCGGGGGCGGGCCAAAAATCCGGCGGGCGGCAGCGGGGAGGCATGCGACACATATAGAAGCGGCAGACTGTGCGCGCGACGAGCGTGGCGGCGAGCCCGGTTCGCCAAAAGAAAAGATCGCATCGTCTGGAGACGCGCGGTGGACAGTTGCGGGGTGACGACATGCTTGGCGACGCATGTGGGGACGTGCCGATGCCGCTAGCGACCCTTGGGTTCGTTGCGCGCTGACCGTCTTTCGGCGCTGCCGGGGCCGTTTCTCCGGGCCTGGGACGAGTGGCCCGTGCGAGCGCCGACGCTCATTGGGCAGGCAGCTGCAGGGATCTCAGGGCCGTTGCTGTGTTTACAAGTGCAGCGACGCAAAACAGTAGGCGCGCCTTTTACAGCGGTGCAAGCTCCAACGCACTCTCTCGTCAACCCTCCCCACCGCCTCACCGTCCCATTGTTCCGCAGCAGCGCCTTATCCGCAAGCACTGTTAGTAGTGCTCTAGCGGCCTGACTGTGCGCCCGGCCCAGCATCCTGCGAGATCCACCTGTGCGCGCGCGCCGCGGCACGCTGCTGGTCACCGGTTGTTTGTTGTGTCCGCGAGCTCACCGTTCCTTCGAGTGCTGAGGATCGCCGACCCGATTCCACTCCACCAGCACGCTCCACTCCATCCTCGCCACTGCTAACAACGCATCGCTGCACCCTGCCACCATGGATGCGAAGGTACGTATTCTCAATGCTTGCTCGCTGCCACCTGCGCACCCTCCCCCAAGCATCGGCCTCGAGCTCGAGAGCAACCTCACTCCGAGCTTCATGCACGCTGACTCGTCGGAACCTCTCCCCACTCCCGCGCCACTCCGCCCAATGGACTTTTGTCTCAGCGAAAAGCTAATCCGGTGTCGCGAGCAGCCTCAGCGCCCCTTGCGCTCTCTGCGCGTCCACAACGAGAACAGTGTGCCTGCTGCTCCCGCTGGCAAGACTATCCACCAGCGCAATAAGTCAACGCCCGCGCTCTCGTCGCTTGCCCAGAATGCTGGCATCAAGGCTGCTGCGAAGCGTACTGCCTTTGCCGACGTTAGCAACACCACGCGCAACACGCATTTAGCCAAGGACGAGCCCGTGGCTGCTAAGAAAGACGTGCTCGCTCCCATCCAGGAAGCGACCAAGCCTGCTGCGATTCTGCGTCCCGCTCAGCGACCGCTCTCATCGATTGCGCAGAAGCCCGCCGTCGCCGAGCCGGTCGCGCCCAAGACCAGTGTCGCCGAGATCGCACCTCAACCCCTCCACACCAAGAAGACTATCCCCAAGCGTAGCACGACCGTCTTCAAAGAGAACGCTGCTCCTGTTGATGCCGAACCGGTCCGTCGCCGTGAGAGGAGCAACACTGCGCCTCAGCTTTCGCCGCCCTCCGAAAAGCTTCACAAGGTTGAAAGCATCGTCGAGAAGACCGTTGAGGAGAGCGTTACGCTTTCGAGTGAGGAATCGACCACTAGTCTCGAAACAGCTATTGCTGCTGAGGAATGCCACCAAATCGCCGGCCTTGATGCCGACCTGCCCGAGGAAGACGACGCCCTTCCTGTCACCGAGGACGAACTTGCCGAGATTTCGGAAAAGGAAAACGATGACGCCGAACAGGAGGAGCAGGATGCGAAGGCAGAGGCCATTGCGCTTGCTGAGGCAGAGAGGTTTGAAGAGTATTGGGATGAGGAAGACGAGGAGTACTACGACGCCGATGGCTACACCGGATACACCACACGTTCCCTCAGGAACAGGACCGACAACACTACCGGTGGCGTTACTGTGGTCCTCGCCCCAAGAGTCACCGCGCGCACTCGCCGTGAGCTCGAGGAAGCCGCGATGTACGTGGACGCCACCAAGACCACCGAGGACATTGAGGATGAAGCCTGGGACACGTCTATGGTTGCCGAGTATGGCGACGAGATCTTCGACTACATGAGGAAACTTGAGGTAAGATGTAAAATGATCGTCTATTTCCGCCTGATGACTCACATACCTGCAGGATCGCATGAGGCCCAACCCGTTCTACATGGACAACCAATCTGAGATCCAATGGTCCATGCGTTCGGTCCTCATGGACTGGCTGGTCCAGGTACATCACCGGTTTACTCTTCTCCCAGAGACACTCTTCCTTGCCGTCAACTACGTCGACCGCTTCCTCTCCTGCAAGGTCGTGTCCCTTGGCAAGCTCCAGCTGGTCGGCGCCACTGCGATATTCGTCGCGGCGAAGTACGAGGAGATCAATTGTCCTTCTGTGTCTGAGATCGTGTACATGGTCGATGGCGGATACACCGTCGACGAGATCCTCAAGGCTGAGCGTTTCATGCTTAGCATGCTCCAATTCGAACTTGGCTGGCCTGGTCCGATGAGCTTCCTCCGCCGCATCAGCAAGGCCGATGACTACGACCTTGAGACTCGCACATTAGCCAAGTACTTCCTCGAGATCACCATTATGGATGAGCGCTTCGTCGGATGTGTCCCCAGCTTCCTGGCTGCCGGTGCTCATTGCCTTGCCCGCTTCATGCTCAAGAAGGGTGACTGGGTAAGCATTTCTGATTCAGCTTTCCCCTCGTTCATTCGCTAACTTCGCATAGAGCAAGGCCCACGTTCACTACTCGGGCTACACCTGGTCCCAACTTCGCTCGCTTGTATCGGTCATGCTCGAATGCAGCGAACACCCTCAAAAGCACCACGCCGCTGTCTTCGAGAAGTACGCCGATAAGCGCTACAAGCGTGCATCTCTGTTCGTGGAAGCCGAGATTCAGAAGGGCTTCCAGCTGCCTCAGCAGAATCATCGCGACAGCTTCGGCACCGGATCTTGGCTCCGTAAGTGATCGCAATGATCTCCAGCTGTTGCCCTGCCCAACAGCCGTTCGCTGCATCGCAACCTTCTGTGCTTCCGCTCCCAATATTTGGGTAGCTTTTCTTTGGCATTTTGTATTTGAAGTGGAGCCGAAGCGCTATCGATTTTGGGATTTGCTTCATTTGCTTTCTTGGAGACCAGCTGATTACACCATTCTTTTCCCCCAGGCTCCTCTGTCTCCGCGCTGGCGCCTTGGTATTATACCCCCAGTGGATGGGTCGCTCCCTCGATGCTTTGAGCTAAGATTGAGTTTGCTTCCTGAAACTGGACACCTTGGGCATTGTCTTATTGGACTCGTCAAGTCGGAGTTCGCCCCACCACACGCCTGTACTCAATTGCTGAGACTTTTGCGGAACGGTTGGATACTGTCCAATCGCCCTTTGACTCATCAGTTGAAGACTGGCTTCACCACCACATTTCCTTTGAGGTTTTGCTGTTTTCTGTTTGTTGCCCTCCACGGTTCTCGCGCGTCGAACGACAGGCACAGAAGTACAATCAACACCACACAACACACAGAAAGAGTACTTACGAAGTCACGACGAGACGAACTCTTAATTCCCCCTTTAGCTTACTCTTCCCCGAATTCCCCCTTTTCACGTCTTGCGTGTCCCCTGCGTCTTTTCACTTTTCTGTTTCTTGCATTTTCCTATGTATAAAGGGTTGCGTCGGACTGGCACTGGCGATGGATAGAAAAGGTTCATTTGATGCTGGTCAGGCGCTAATGGTGGGAGGAACTCTGCCGAGGACGATTCGATACGGATTCGAGAGGAATAGTTGCTGGTCTTTTGTTCTTTTTGATTCTCTATACTCAATATGGTACGGACGGACGATTGACAACGGAACGGTGGTTAGGTGGATGGGTGGATGGGTGGTTTTGGTGGGCTTAAAAAAACGACGGGCTACTATTCATGTTGCGGACATGGCTGACGGTATGCTGCACAATGTGCAGTCGTTGGCTGGGGCTCTTTTCAGTTGAGTTACACTGGAATAACTTTTACTCAAACTATACCCTCTTATGTTCTACAATTATCCAAGTTTAAATGCTGGTGAATAAAAGGGAGAACCATCAAGTCTGATGACTTTCCGTCGTTACTTTAACTGTATTCAATTCATTTATTCCTTTGAAAAGGATCAAATTGCCATATTCGATGCATCGGCTTTTTCTCAGGCAATAATCACTTATACCATAAACCACACAGACTTCAATTGAAAGCAAGACCCAGATATTGACATTGACCATGGTATTGTCCTGATGACTAGATGCCAGGAGGCATGTAAATCCGAACGAAACGATTCAATCAATCGTAAATCCAGCTTTTCATTTCCCTCTTTCCAATATTCGAGTATGCTAGCCGCTCGTAAAATGCTGCACACGTGCCCAGAGAAGGGTCAAGCACCCAAGATTCTCAATAGTCAAAGCGTTTTATTTTTCGGCAACGGCTGCACCTAGCCCGCTTTCCCTAGTAGAGGTATCTATCTGGTCCAATTCCAGTCAAGGCCTTACTCCTTGCGCTTCTCTTGGTGCTCCATTGAGGAATGTGTGGATTATTCGTGCGCTGACACCTCTTGCAGCTTCTCCGCATGGTCATCGCACGACGCGAGGTGTTTGTGGACCCATTTCGATTGGCGTATGCTCCTTGCTTGGTGCTTTGATCTTTCTCCAGCGTGACCAGCCTGGACTGCCAGGGGATGCGTTCAACGCCGAGTAAGGTCGTGTATGTTTATGCGGCTGCCTGCGGCGAGATGAGGACTACCGAGTCACCTGTTCATGGCGTAGAGTCAGCGCATGATCGTTCCATCAGTCAGTCCACATCCATGGCTCTGGCCTCATACCTCTTACGAACAGCATTTCTGACTGCTTCTTGACCGTCTATACCATCGTCAGCCATGCGCTGGCCCAACTCGTACGAGTCTGAGCTGGGGCCATACCCTCACGACCTCCTCCTCATTTGCATCTTCCTCAACCACATATATGATCTCCTCAACGTCACCAAGGACAAGGTTGCAATGGCTGTCATATGCCTGGGTGGAAGACATTAGCTCCAAGGTTGCAGGCTGGTGGGTGGCTTTTAGGAGTGAACGAGCCCCAGAAGCTAGAGCAAAGCTTGGCGACTCACATGCAGGCGACCCTTGAGCTCGCGATCGCCTCGTAGCTTCACAAACACAATCTCATCCAGGGAAAGGCGCACGAGATCGAGAGGTTCGTTCACGGGCGCACCGGCGCCGGATTCGTCGACGTCAGCCATGGTTTAGACGTGAATGGCGGAGGAATAGTTCGTCGGGCGAGGACGGGAGGGACCGGGGTGGTCGAGCGGAAAGGAGCGTCGAGCTGCGCGGAGTGTGGGACAGCAAGCTGTGATGACGGCGGCGGTTGGTGTCCGTCGGCGGCGGCAACAAGGTCGCGGTGATTCGCACCGGCGGCGGTGCCGAGGTTCTGCCGCACCGAGCTTGCTGGTCACGGTCACCTGCTTTCGCGCCACGGGTGGGCGGGAGCGGGCGGGCGCGTTGGAACGGGCTTCGACTGGCCGCGCGCGGATGAAACAACGCACTCTGCTCTGTTTCACTTGCCGCTACGACAGCACTTGGCTTGCCCGCGCGAGAGATGGTGGGCGGCGGGTGATTCGCGCGGCGCATGCGGCGCCACGTGATTCTGCAGCAAACTTACGCCGCGATGATGATGACGCTGCCGCGGTTTCACGGAACAACCAGGACGGCCGCTGCCTTCCTCGAACCCTGCCACAGATCATTGACATCGACATCTCCCTGCCCGCCTTGTCTCTCCACCCACACTTTCTCTGCACCCCACGCATTCATTCTTCCAGCATCCCCATCCCTTACTGTCTGCGCCGACGCCATCCCACTACCCCGCCATGAGCAGCGAAGACGAGCATCCCCTCATCGCGGGGCGCCCGCCCGTGATGGACCACTTGACGTACCTCACTCTCATCGAGCACAACCTCAGCCCTGAGCTATTGCCAATGTTACACCGAGTTCTGCAGGACCCGGAGCTCACGTCCAACATCGGCTGGGACCTGGTCCAGCTTCTGCTCCCACTGCTGCCCGCCTCAGAGGATTGCTTGCAGGACATCGCACGCCTTGGCAACCCACGTGAGGTTGTTCTCAAGGTCACCGAGGCGCTGCGGCTGATCGATTTCAGCACCATCGAGCAGGAGGAGGATGATGATGAGGCTCTTGCGCGCGCCGCTGACAACGCCATCATCTCTGACGACGAGAGCGTTGCAGGCGAGTCCAGCGCGGATCATGCGGCTCCATCCAAGGTTCCTCTCCAGGTAATGCAATTCGACGCACTGCTCTCCATGCTGTCTGTGCTGCATCCGCGCATCAAGACGAAATACCCCAGCCGCTTTCTGTCTACCTCACTGCAGGCGGTGTTGAGTGCGTACGGAGATTCGGGCCCTTACGCCGGCGAGCTCACTCCTGCTGTCACCAAATTTCTGAAGACTCTGTCCGGAACCAAGCGCCCACATCTTCCGCCCAGAACGAGCAGCTTCTCCCTTGCTGGTTCAAATCAAATCGCACCAGCGCCTGATCCGGAGGCCTCCAAGGAATCGCCAGCACCCGCGGAGGATGATATGCAGAAGGCATTGCTGCAGTCGTTCGTTACGCACATTCTGGAAGATTATATGAACTCTTTTCCGTCCCTTGGTGATGCTCCTGCACTTGCCTGGTCAAGCCGGGTCCATGAGAAGTTTCATCCTGAGCGTAATATCCCGAATAAGAAGACGTTCGCAGAACGCTTTAACTCTGAGGAACCGCTCGTGGCGAGAACCGGAATAGTCGGCCAACTGGCTGCACTGTCTATGGATCTTGATATCAAATCTGAGGATCTCCTGGCTGCCATTAAGGATACCAAGCCTGAGCCTACCGGGCTGCCCACGGAAGAAGAACCGCCTGCAGCAGCAGCAGATATTCCGTTGGCAAAGACTGGTGCACTATACCTTTTCACAGCACGAAAGATCGGAGATGTCATTTACGGGCTCCAAACACACACCAAGGATCTTCCCTTGTTCCCAGACCACGCAACGATTTTACACAACTTTGTCGGTCTTGACACGGCCATGGACACTGGCCTTCATGCGGATTCGCTGGTGGACAGTCTGCTAACACTAGGAATTCTGGCGGTCGAGAAGAATCTAATTGGTGAACCGGCAGAAGACGAGGACTTCATCAAGTATCTTCAAGTCACTTCTCTTCTGGCAGCGAACAACCCGTCACCAATTCTCCGCTACCACGCACACTACCTCACCACGTCTGTCTTACGCTCCCACCCATCTGACCTTGTTCGCCTCACCTTCATCCGCGATACGCTAGAACACTGCCCCTACGAAAATCTCAAAGCCACGGCCGTGGGCTGGATGAAGGGAGAGACGATCGAGGCAAATTTGGCAACTCTTCAAGCGGAACAACAAGCAGCATCGGCTTCCTCTTCAAAGAAGACTCCCGGGCATTCGCGCACGACTTCTTCCGCCACCGATACCGATCCCGAGTCTCCATCTATCTTCACGACGCCTGTAGCTCTAGCCACGATTGCTCCTTTCCTTTTCCCTGAAATCACCCACGACCTCTCCGGCCCGTCGATTTCCGAGGCGTGGCAAAAGTTCAAGCTCAACTTGTCGTTCTACCTGGCCACACTCAACTTCTACTACCTCCTTCTTTCAGCGAAGCCGCTGCACAAGGTCCTGGATATCCCGGGTCTGCACGAGGGCAACGACGTAGGTGGGAGCTACCTCTTTCCTCTGAGGCAAGCGGCTGGTTCATTCAGGAAATCCCTGGAGGAGGGTGAATTGAAGAACGAGGAGGGGGAGCAGGGTGTTGCAATGGGCTTAGGAGATTTGAATGTTTTGGAGGATGTGCTGGATCGGGTGGAAAGTGGGGTTAAGATGCTTAATGCTGCGTAAGGGGTAGCTCTTGAGTCACCTCGATATTCAAGAACGAAGATGTTGTATACAAGGGCGGGTCCCGGGCTGTTCCTATGCGATGACTTTGCAAATTACTTCAGAACTGATTCAGATTTCTTACGCTGATGCTGTTGTATAGTTTTTTTTTTTATATCCAGTCCAGCTATTGTGCATTGAAGATCTTCAATCCACAGCGCCCCCACGTTTGGGACCAATCATACGTCAGATTGAGGGGCGGGGCTTACGGGAGATGACGGCTACGAATCTCACTCAAACCTTACTCTATTACCCGTCGCCTATCTTCACGAAATGGACCACTTACCCAAAATAGAAGGGCCTACGCGTAGCCCATTACTTCGGGTGCCGCACTTGGCGCTGCAGGAGTACGACAGAGGCGATTTCTACCGCTATCCTTCCCGGAGGTACTTCGATCCCGACATAACGGAGACAGATACAGCTGGTTGGACAGACGAAAAGGGGTACGATTTACACCAACGCACCGGGATCTTCCAGGAGTGGCTTTTCTTTGGTGTCATAAACGAAGCTTTCGCGGCTGTCGGCGTGCCGGTGCTCCAGGCAGACTTTGTTGACGGCCCCCACGTCACGACGAAAAATCTGGTAGACTACTTCAGGAACTTTGCAGAAGGGCTCCTGAAACTTCCAAAAGAAGCGCAGAAGTCGGCGGTCCAGCGTATCGAGCGGTGTCTCACGATCGCAATCCGATATGCATGCTTTCGGCCGCCCGGCGCCATGGCCGTTTCACTAGCTGCCTGTCCTGACCGTTGGCCCATCGCCTTGTCCATCACGAGTCTTGTGGAAAGCATGATGATTCTGCCGTTCGTGCCCTGGAGCGAGGGATTTCTGAAGGCCATCAGTGACCAGCGGTTGTCGCATGCTTCTGGGCTCGTGACGCGGCGGCCGCCTGGAAGAATGGAGGAGATTCTGGTAAACGAAATGATCAACGTGGGCTGGTGTCGGAACCAGATCGCCGCTTTCCCATCCATGGATGCCAGTACGGCGTACTACTTTACCAGACTGCCGCCTGTCAGGAAGCGAGATCATTCCCGTTGCACTGCCCGCCTCTGCCTGTGCGACCAGCTCCAGGGTGACTACAAGCCCCAGCATACCCCACAGTGTACCGGAGATTCCTGCACGTTTCTCGGAGTCACGCTAGACGAACTCGACCATATCATCCAGAACAACCGTCTTCCGATAATCAAGTTGGAGGAACAGCCCGGAGGAGAGGTCAGTCTCAAGTTGGTTCCCCGAGAGCCGTCGGAACGCTACTTGGCACTATCGCACGTATGGAGCCACGGCCTGGGAAACCCGAAATCGAACGCTCTCCCGAAGTGCCAGGTCTTCCGCTTACTGAGCTTGCTCAGGCAATTCGACACGGAGTGGCAGATGGCCGGACTCTGGATGGACACCATCTGCGTCCCCGTGTCCGGCCCCTCGCGGACGCTCTCCATCCGGCGCATGGGCACCACCTACCGCGACGCCAGCGCCGTCCTCGTGCTGGACGAAGACCTGCAACGCGTCGGCAGCAGCGGTGGCGGCGTACCCGTCGTCGTCGACCCGGTAGAGCGGGCGGTCCGCCTCGGCAGCTCGACGTGGCAGCGGCGGCTGTGGACGCTGCAGGAAGCCAGCCTCAACGAACCCGAGCTCGTCATCTTCCAGTTCGGCGACGGGCCGCTCGCGCTCGACCGGCTCGTCCAGGACTGCCTCACGTGCGAGCCGGCCTGCCTCGTCAGCACGCTGCCCACCAAGGCGCACGACCCGCTCCTCCACCTCGGCATCCCGGCCCACTTCCGCGCTTATGCTCGCGACGGTCCGGCTGGGTTTGCCGATTTCGAGGGCGAGTCGCCCCTCTCAGCCATCTTTCTGATCCTCCTCGAGACGCTGGCGCGCCGCACGACCAGCCGCGCGGCTGACGAGCCCGTCTGCGTGGCGACGATCGTGGATGCGGATCCGGGGTTTTTGCTTGATGAATCGGATGCCGAGCGGCGGATGGAGGTGTTTCTCAAGCACCTTCCGCGCGTGCCGCAGGACTTGCTGTTCCTCGGCGGGCCCAAGTTCGCGGACACGCCTGGCATGGGCTGGGCGCCCACGTCCTTCTTGGGGAAGGCGGGCTTCGCGTTCGTGAGGTACAAGTGGTCGACGCTGACGCCGGAGGGTCTCCCGGTCGAGGCTGATGGCGTTGTTCTTGTGGTGAAGGGAGGGAGCACTACAGCAGCAGATGTGGGAGTGTCTTTGCGGGACACGGCGGTGGCTCTGAAGGTGGAGGGCCACCGCCCCTGGAGGAGCTATCGTCTGCGGAACTGCACCGTCGTTGACGAGCAGGATGAAGAGCCTATTGATTTGCTGGCCGTCCAATGCCCGGCTTTGATTTTCCGGGAAGATGTGGCGGCTGAGAAGGCTGATTTTATGGCTTGCTTGGTTGATATTGTTGATGGCGGGGTCAATGCTGAAGATCCGATCGTTGCCCGTTTCTGCGCGCTTGTCTCGCTGAACAGAGATGAAGAAATTGGTACAGAAAATCTTCACCACGGGATCTGCTTTGGGAGGGAACGCGCCTGGATTGTCGGATAGGTGGTGCCCCTTGATCCGAAGCTTTGACCTTTTTGCACTCCAGCAATCGAGAACCATCCATATGATTGCATTTCCCCAATCCTGTTTACGCTGGTATCCACTTTCCGTCTCAGGAATGAGACATTAAAGAACATACAGCAAGCCAATATCCACTTTTCGACTGCTATCCAGGTCGATTTGCCACGTCAAGGCAACTGCATCAAATACCAGCTCAGCCACATCGCTTTTCCAGGTTTATCATCCACAGAATTTACGCGCGCGCTTTCGCGCCAAGGCACAATTACATGTCCCTGGCGTCCATCTTTAAGCGAATGAGGAGAGCCTTGCCAGTATTGCGGCACAGACAGGATTGACCAATGAGATACCCCGGTCGTGTGGCGCATGCTGTGGCGCATGACTATCGTCGTCCCCACACTCCACTTCAGCTCCACGAACGCATGATGGAGCCGTGAGGCACGGTAAGGCAGCAGTGGTGCTGTGCGGCGGTAGATGCGGATCTAGGAAGAATTTAAAAGAAGGTGTTATGTTGGTCGATGGACTCCTGCTTCACCAACCACCCACTACAAGTCTACCTTGAGAATAGACCCCAACAAGATTGTAATCACTACCTCTAACTCCAAAGCATCCGACTTAATCTGTATGTCCCCATTATATGTCCATTTCACCACACGAATGCGAACTGATCCATCACCGCAGAATCGACCCGCAAACACACACCTCCTTCAAGAACGATGTCCCCATACTGCATCCTCTGCCAGAAAGTCTTCCGCACCGACGCAGCCCTGAACCAACACAAAGAGAACGCCCCAGCGCACAAGCAAACCCACTGCGTCCCCTGCGACAAGACCTTCTCCAGCGCCGAAGCCCTGGCGCAGCACGTCCGCGACTCGCCCGCGCACCAGCACAACAAGGCCGCGTCCTCGTACCCCAGCTGCACCCTGTGCAACCGCTCCTTCATCAACGATGACGCCTTCAACGCGCACGTCCGCGACTCCCCCAAGCACAAGAACGGCCTCGGCATCATCAGCCCGGCTGGCATCTACAACCAACAGCCGCAAACCACCACCTTGCTTCCCCCTGCTGCCACTACTACTGCTGCTGTTGTGCCACCACCAGCATCATCAACGACGACGACGACGACGGCGACGGGGATGGGCGGCCGGACCATCCCTTGCACCCGCTGCCCCCGCAAGTTCGCCACCCCAGACGCCCTCGCTCAGCACATGCGCGACACGCCCTTCCACGCTTACTACATGCACCTGCCACCCGGCCTCGCGTCCGGCGACGACAGCGGGTATTTTTCTGCCACTGCTGCCGTCGCCGCCGCCGGCACCGCTGCTGCTGCTGCTGTTGTTGCGACGCCGGCTGAGGATGCGGGGACGCGGTGTGACAGCGTGATGGGCGATGATGATGTTGACGATGATGATCTCGATCATGATGACGAGACGGATGGGGTTGTGGTTGAGATGCCGGCGGCGGGAGGAGCGGATCGGGAGGAAGAGAAGAGTGGGGTGGAGGAGGGGGGCGACGAGAAGCAGAAGCAGCAGCAGCAGAAGAGAGGGGGCAGTGTGGAGAAGGGGGTTGCGCGGTTGCTGCTTGAGGAGCTGGATGCGTTGGAGAAGGAGGATGAGGAGGATGTGAAGATGCTCGTTAGGCTGCTGTTGAGGAGGCTGCGCTTGGTTTAAGTACCAGTAAGATTTTGGTCTTGATTGGTGGGGTTTAATGAGTTACGATGGGTAGAGGTAGCGTCTTGATTTCTTTGTATATATTTTCTCATTACAGTATATAGACTTCTAGACTTTCTTGTTTCTTTTATATCTCCACTCTCTATTACTCTCACGGCTGAGTGGCTTGGGGACACGCCAAATCGTTATCACTGATCCCGTAGCAGAAATCTCAAACACTATTCAAAGCAAAAGTGGGAAGTACCACATTAAATTTAACTAAACAATGGAAGTGCGAACATCGTACTCAACGCTGGCCTTCGTGGTCCTCACGATTCCCCCTCCTTCACCTGCCGGACCAGATATACTCCTTCCACGACCTCCGATCTCCCTGTTCAGCCTTGCGATGCTACCATCATCGCTCACCCTTCCTAGCGCCGTCAACAACTCACCGCCGCCACCGCCACCACCACCCTCCACGACCGCAACCGTATCGGCCTCCACACCATTCCCTCCAAACCGCACCAAACCCGCCTCCCCACTACTTCCCCTCTTCTGCACCACCGGCGACTTCGCCAACGCCGGAAACACCAACGCCAACTCACTCCGCCTCCTCCCCGACCAACTGCTGCCCCTGCGATCCTCCTCCTCTGACGACCCGCAGTAATACTTTGTGAAGAAACCGCCACCACTCCGACCAGCACCACCACTCGTATTACTACTCGAACCCTTCCAGCACCGCGCCGCCACGAGCAGCGGCTTGGCGCACGGCAGGTTGCCGGCGACGACGCCGACCTGCGTCTCGACGACGTACCAGATGGTAATAGCGCTGCTGTCCCACAGGAAGTCGCCGCGCGTGCCGTACGCGCCCATGTGCACGGCGCGCATGATGCCCGCGGTGCTGGCCGCCACGCCCATGCCGAGGATGAGCAGGAGGGAGAGCTTCTTGCGGATGGACATTTGGAGGGGGATGATGAGGGGGATCTTTTGATTTATTTTTTTTTTAGTTGAGTGACTATTGTGTTGGAGGTGGGTGTTTCGGAGAGAAGGAAAGAAAAAGAGAGAGAGAAGGAAAGAAAAAGAGGGAGAGAAGGAAAAGAAAGATAGAGAAGGAGAAAGTACATACCGGGATGAGGACGGCAAAGGCAAAGTCGGTGACGATATTAACGACGCTGTTGGTGTAGCCCAGGCCGTGCATGACGTGGATGCTCCAACAAGTCGTCTCGACGGTCGGGTTCCAGATGATGCGCAGGTCTCTGCATTGCAGGACGATGGTAAAGAAGCAGGCGACGGTGTAGACGGCCAGGACGACCATGATGGATATGATCAGGATCCTGTACTTCACGCCTCCGGTGATGCGCAGCAGGAAGAAGCCGACCGACTCTTTGACGAACAAGGCGATGAACAGGTAGATTGGCTGCGTGAGGAAGTTGAGGTACATCCCTGTGCTGAAGACATTTGGTTCGACGTACTGCCGGTGTCTACGGGCTTGTCAGCATGCAGAAAAGTCATAGATGATTGCCGCTCACCTTCCCCCTCCGTTCTGCACTTCAAAGATCACGATGATCATCCCGATGATGCTCAGCAACGCAGCTATACACATCATGTAGTCCTGTTCCAAAGTCAGGCCATGGTGATTAATAAGAATGCCCTCTGCGAACTCACATCCCATCCGATCTTCCGAATCATGCGAATACGGACGTAGAGACGAAGCGCAAAAGAGATCACGCTGGCAAGCACAGTCATGCCAACGGTGACTCCCAAAATGGTGGGCCCGGCATTTTCGTTTGGCGGAGGGGGGCCTTCCTGCATGCTCGAGGAACCGTCGCCCTGCGTGCAGGCGAGTCGACATCGGGTGGAAGCGGCGATCAAGCCTCTGGAAAAGGCGCAGGGTACTTCTATCATAGGATGCGCACTAGGATGCACGCGGAATGCCGTCTTCCACTCGAGTCCGACAAGGGGTCGGTTCGGCTGTCAGTAAGCGCTCGGTTGAGGCATTACTACGCGATCCAGCTCGCTTGACGTCGAGGGTGTAAGAAGAAGAGGCTAACCAGGGTCCGGAGATGAAGCTAGCATCCAAAGAAGGGCGGGTCATCACGCTTTGCTTAGGAATCACCTATCCCTTGCTAAACATTTGCTGGCACAGCGACGCGTAATCGATTCAGACTGTTGGTCATCACTGTAATCCTTCTGTCTCTCCCCATTACCCGGGTTGTCAAGAACCCAATGGGCACGGTGGTGATAGATCAGACGCAGTGAGCACCCTAAAACCGCTAAGCCCTGATTTGGCACTTGGTCTCGCCCTTGCCCTTTTCTGGTCCTCTTTCTTCCAGAGTAAGGTTCGGCTTCTCCACAAACCGAGTCCCAACGACAAGCGCTGTCGATCTCTTTGACGAAGCGGCGGGAAGGATCGCGGCTGGCGGCTCGTCGGCAAGGTCCTCCAACCGGCCCGGTCATCGCCAACGAAGCTGAGGAGTGTTCCGCATTCAGCTTTTGCGCTGTGTGCTTCAGGAATGGTGTCTTCCACCACCCGCCGCAAAGGTTTTTGCGCCATAGCACATTCGGAATGGTAAGCGTGACACATTTTGCTAACCCTCGCCGGCCCCGCTCTGCCTTCAACATTCGAAACGGGTGTCCTGGTCGAAGAACGCGTTGACTGTGTATGGAGGCGAGAAGAAGGAGCGCAAACCTGAATAACGCGACTAGCTTTCCGAGATGAGGCTGCTGAAGTTGGCTGGCCGGATACCGCAGAGAACAGGACACGCTCAGATGTGGATGTCTCGTAAAGCGGATATTGATAGACCATGGTGTGCGGGAACGGTTGCGACGATTGACGTTCAAATTTTAGGAATTACACAGCACTGAATCGGCTGAGGATGGTCGAGGAGGACATTTGGAGCAAAAGAAAGGATGCTGCCAGAATTCCTGATCGAGTATTTTGAAATGCAGCATTACTTGGGTAAAGTTGCTATGATAGAACTGCTTGGAAGTTGGGTCATGATTGATGTGTCCAAATCTGTTCAGGTGGAGATGGAAATTCTTCTTCAAAAACAAATCCATTGGGACTGTGTCATCATAGTAGCATCCGAGGCAATGTGAGCCCCAATCGACCTCCTTGGAAACCGGGTCGAATGCGGGTATGCGAATAACCGCGAGGTTCATAGTCTTGAATTTTGGGAAGCCCTTCGGAGCCGTACATTCAGGGCAAATCAGTCCATCCGCCGCATCGGTTCCGTGGCGCCTGATAGCTGCATCTCGAATCGATGTGAAATCCAACAGGCTGGAGCGAGAGAACTCCCTCAAATATGGGACTGAGTAAAGGCCCGGTATAGTTCGCATCCTCGGAATACCAGCAACATCTTCCTGAGTGAGGCGAAGCTTGTCGTAAAGCGCTTGAGCTGAGCTTTCCCAAACCGGGTTGTAGTGGTGTGCTCTGCTTCGGCATTCAACACAAAGGCGTTTGCAAGTCAAGACGTACAAATCCCCGCCGAACTCTCCACAATTATCGCATTGTGGACTGCAAAGTTTGCCGTATAGTTCTTTGCAAGTTGTATACGAAGCCGCCTCCGTAGCGATGAGCGCTCTTAGCACGTTGGGTACGTGAATGATGATGGATCCGTACTCATGAATAGAGTCGACGACGTCCCGGGCACGTTGGTTGACCCGTCGAAACCCCGTAAGAGTTTCCAGGTCCACATGCGCAAGGGTGAATTGCAGAAGCTCTAAAGGTAAGGTGTCGAGCATGCCAAGGTCGTATTGAGCCGTCTTCGGGAAGTGACCATTGTCCAGAGGACAGCAGGCAGCAAGTCCGTTCTCATCAAGTGTGTATTCTGGGCGCATGGTACCAGGATACGTATGTTCGTGGAATTGAGCTTCGCTGACAGGTGAGTTCGACATATTGGTGGAGAATGCTTTTGTTGAAGTGGTGTCGGATTGAAGGAAGAGGATGTTGGGGACCGCTATTTATGGACGAACCCTGGAATCGCAGCCACACAAGCAATCTGGCCATAAATAATGCCGGTCCACCAGTGAAGGTAAAGATCGGACCTCTTGCCCTTAAATGTGTAAAGTCTGTGTTCAATTGTGAGAATACCAGAATCATCACAAAGAGGTGTCGTCTGCCTACCCTTCTACCTTCAAGCACTCCCGAATATATTTGGCTTCGTTCTTGTCAGAATTCTTTCCTTCGTTTAGCAGAATTCAATGCGAATTTTCCACTGTCGCAGTTGGATCATGGAACAACCTCGTGGTGAAAGTTCATATGTCCATGAGGACACTGTTGGCGATAAGAGTAGCGATAGACGAAAGGCAAGCTGCGTGAAACCTAAGTATGCTCGAATCTTTCACTTGCCATCCCTTGTTGAGGAACTTACTATTGGCATGACGCTTTTTGTGCCCCCTTTCATACTAGCATCAAGTCATTTCACTTCTACGCCTTTAGAACAAATATCTCTACCCAAGACATGGCCCGGGCACTCACGCCCACGCCACTCTGCGTATTTGTCTGTCAGCTACTCGCCAGGGCTTGATACTGCAGATCGACCAAGCTTTTACGAGCCGCAGTATTCCAAGGACGATCTTATGGCTCGTGTCTCGCTCGCTCGCGACTGGCAGAATGCCAACGCCCCCACTCGGTTTAGTTTCTCTCCATAAACCTACTCCGCATGCCACTCACATACTCTTCCGTGATCTCTTCGCCGGGCGCGGACTCTCATCCACCCGTTCTCCCCTCTCCCTAACCGCCTTCCTCCTATCCTTCCTCCCCCTCGCCCTCGATGTCGGACCCCCGTTCATCTGTTGCTGTTGCTGTTGCTGCTGCTTCGCCGCACCATCCTCAGCCTCCACCGCCATCCCCTCCCTCATCCTCTTCCGCGGTCTCCTATCCACCAGCACCATCCCCGCTATCCCCGCGATCGCCGCCTCGTCTTCCTCTTCCATTCCCACCTGCCTTGACGCATCCTCCACCGACCTCCTCCGCCTCTTCCCCGTCGTCGAGGCGGCGCCCATCTTCTGCCGCACCGCCGCGCGCCTGGCGGCCTGTTCCGCCAGCCTCGCCTCGACCTCGGCGCTGATATCCTCGAACTCCGGTTCCTGCTCGACCGCCGGCGGTGGCGGTGGCGGTGGTGGCGGCGCCTGCGTGAGAATAGCCGTGAAGGTGAATGGGAACGAGGGCGTGGCGGGGGCGTTGGCCGACGCGTTGTTGGCAGCGGCGGCAGCAGCAGCAGCAGCAGCTCCACTGCGCTCATCGCCGGCGTTGTCCATGCGCTGCCTCTTGCTGTCCCGTTGCTGCTGCTGCTGTGCCAGATGCTCTCCAGACGAGACGCGCCGCAAGCGCTTCTTGTTCTTCGTTCGGGCCCCTGCTACGTCGTCGTCGGTACCCGTCGTCGGTGCGGTGGCGCGGTAGCGGCGGATGATGAGGCCATGGTCGTTATTACTACTAAGATTGCGTTGGTTGTTGATGTGGTGTGCTCTTAAGCACGTTCCGTCGAGGTCGCGGACGGCGCGCGCGGCGGCGGCAGCGGAGCGGAGGGCGATCTTTGCGAAGCCGTTGGTGTGGGCGGGGCCGGCTGGGAGGGCGTAGACGTGGATTTCGGAGCGCTTGGGCGGGCGGATGGGGTTCTTGAATTTGATACTGAAAGGGTGGGCTTTTCGTCAGTTCTGCTTTTCGTTTTCCCCAGTTCTTCCTACACGATTCCGGCACAGAGATCCATCTTTCCGATGCCAAAATGGAGAGGGCGAGAGAGGAGGAAGTGAGAGACGTACGGATTGTACCCGCTCAGGTGCTGCCAGACGTCGCTCGCCGCCGCACCAGGCGGAATATTTGCCACGACGATGCGCTTGCTGCTGTCCACCCTGTTGTCCATATCCACGTCCGCCGCACCATCTTCCTCCAATTCCACCACCTCCTCGTCTTCCTCTTCCCCGTCAGCCACACCGCCATCCTCGTCTGCTTCCCTGCCGGCAGTTGGGCTTCCCGGCGCCGATATCTCCAACCCACTCGATATCCTCCTTGTCCGATCTTTCGACGAAGCCGGTGTCGGCATCTCAGCATCGCTTGTGACGCCCATTATGATCTCCCCGGCCCGCACAGCATCCTCCCATATGCGCTCGGCGCGCGCCCGCATCGCGTCGAGCTCCGGGTTGGCGTGAGCGCCACCATGAAGGCTGGCCAGGTGGTCGAGCAGCGCGCGGTGGCTGCGAAGGTTGGCTAGGTGCGTCTCGTGCAGCGAGCGCCAAGCGGAATCGGGCATTGTGCTTGCTGCCATGGGCGGGCTAACGTATATGTATATGTGTGCTGACGTGTGTAAGCTCTGTAGTGGAAGTTATGGTATCCAAAATGCATGCGAGTGAGTATCCAATTGGTCCGATGCGGGCGAATTGTCGTAGAAGGGATGTGTCGCGGTTTGCGGCCAGCGCGGAGGACGAGACGGTATGTCGGTTAAGCTTTTGTTCGGCAGGAAAGCAAGACTAGCGTGCTGCGCAGTCAATGCGAATGAAATGGATTGCAATGCCGTGTTAATTGTTTAGAATCGAACCGAACGGCAGAAGTTATGCAAGGTTGAGGCGGCTGGAAGAGGGAGGGGGATGGTTGAGACGCGGGGGGGAGACGCGCCGAGTTCTCGCGAGCCGGAAGCTTTCTCGCGTGCGTGGCGGATCGACAGCAGGGGGTGCGTGCGTTCATGCGGGGGAGACTATAGCAGCGCCACATATTCATACCTTACACATTACTTTGTTAGAAAAAAAGTTTTGGTTGGTCAATCATCTTCATAACTGCGGTTTCCTAACTTTATTTATGTACTCGCAAACTAGGTTTCAGGAACGTCGAGCCCTCGGACCTGGTTGACGTAACCATTCAAGCATATTTGTATGGTATCACGAACAAAGATGGATTTTGGGTATGTAAAAATGATTTGAACGTCAAAGGCGATAAGTGAAGATTCATCAGTCATTAAATCCACCGTGCTCGGTGTAAAATGGGCTCTTCTTTTTGCCCTTCCTCACTTCATCTCTCCCGTTTCTCTTCCGCTGCCTGGGGAACAAAGCGTGCAAAAAAATTACGAAGCGAATAATGGTGTACGGCCGTTCCCTCGCATCCCAAGATCATGATGGGACTCGGACTAAAAGAGCAATGCTCTGAGTGAATCGTCGCCGCTCCCGTTTCTTTGTCAAGACAAGTAAACTTATCATAAGATTATTGCTAGTGGCCATGACACTAGTTATAATGGCAGATTATAACTTTCTCACGTCCACTCCAGACCGTACGTAGTGCAGGTCTCAGCTCCTACGCCCTCGTACAAATCAACACCACATATAACTGCTTCTCCTGTTCCACTTTTTTCTCCTTCCCCTAAATTCCGCATAACGCCAACTCCCCGTCCATACCAATGCGCAATGGAATACTCCCATAACACCATCGCTTATTTGTGCTCATGATCCTCCGCAACCGCATTGCACGACAAGGTCGCTCCTCAGGGAAATAAGAACACGAAACAGAAAGGCCATGCCATGCCCGTGGCCCCTCAGAACCTGACCCCGCCGGTCCCCAAAAATGTCGCCAAATCTCCCAATCCCTTGAGATGCTCATCGAAAGCCTTCGAATCTCTCTCGCTTGCCGCTTCCTCACTCTCCTTGACTGGTGCAAGCTTGCTATCTTCTGCCTCCTGCTGCTGCTGCTGTTGCAGTTGCTGCAGCGGTGGTAGCGTCGGACCTACATTCTTCATGCCGTCGCCATTGATGACAGGCGGAAGCTGCTGCCTCTGCTGCTGCGGACTGCCGCCATTGACGGCCGCATTAGAGAGAGGCGGGTGATGGCTGTCGTGGCGCTCATGCGTCGCACTGGCGTCGCTGCCGCGCGTGTCCAGCCTCCCCGACAGCCGGCTTAGCTCCGAGTGCCAGCGCTCAGCAAGCGGCCAGACGGAAGCCGACTTCCGGATAATATCGAGGACGGGAGCAACGACGTTACGGGCGGCTGCGTTCGCCTCTTCCGCGCCGCCAGCGCCATTGAGAAGAGGAGCGGGTATGCCACCGTGATGCTGCGAATCGCCGGTAGGCATGGGTACGCCGTTGAGCGTCATGTTGGCGACGGTCGAGGCGGCGGTATAGGCAGCGAAGAGGACGACGATGGGATATGCCGGGGGCGGCACACCGGCGTCAGCACCGCCGTTGATGAAGCTCGCATCGGCGTCCAGTGTCGTGATCAGCGCCGTCACGCGCCGAGCAGCATGTGCAATTATATCGATGACAGCGGTGACATCGGCGTCGGTGTCGCGTCCTCCGGTGCGGCGGCCCATGCGGTGCAGCTGCTTGCGGGCAAGGAAGATGAGGGCGCAGTAGTGCACGCTATGCGTGAAAGCGAAGGAGTAGCCGTTTCCGACTTGGATGTGGAGGTCAATTTTGCCCGGCGTATCCTGTTGGCGTGATGGCAATGATTTCGCCCATTGGTGGAGAGCTGCCATAATTGCATGGTATTCGTTGTCATCTTGCTCGTCGGCGGGTGGATCCATCACCCAAGAGACGGCGCGATGCCAGAGAATTGACACGCGGATCATGTGGCCGAACTCTCCAACATCGGCTTTGGGGCAATTCAGCAAAGCGTAGCTTGGTATTTCACCACTGAGAGTAGGCGTTGTCACCGCACTCCCGAAGTGAAAGTCGTCCTCGCTGCATGGCAACTGGATTTGCAGCTCTTCAGCACGGATGGAGGCAGGACGTCCATTTCCACACGACAAAAATTGATCCATGATGAAGCAGGTCCAAATGGTACGGCGAGCAGTCTCAGCTGCGACGAAGTCTTCGTCGTGGGAGGTGGCTTGCGGCAGAAACATTTGGGCCATTCGGGCAGCCATGCCGAGATAAACGTAGGCTCGAATACCACGGCCGGAGCCCCAGTGGTGCATAGCAAGCAGGCAGAGTGATTGCACGTCGGGAACAGAAGGGCAATCCATGCTGGAGATGATGTTTGCCTGAGCCTTCTCGGCGAAGAATTCGGAGGCACCTCCAGGAGAGCCGAAATGGCGGATCAGGCCAGGCGACGCCCTGACGAGATGTGAGCTTCTTCCTGCACCAGAAGGGGATACGGGGCGTTACCTAGCACCTGAAGACAGCACGGCATAATTCAAAGTCTGCGGGAGATGGCCCTCCCGCAGCTGGCGCATGAAGCCGGGGCGGTGAAAGCAGGGAAAGGGCCACAGGGTGAGGGCGCGCTCGCAATCCTGGACGTGGCTCGGGTGCAGCTCAAGCTGATCCGAGCGGTCCGGGAGCGAGGCATCTTTGTGGGGTTGCTGGACCTGGGGATGCTGGGCGGTGGCAGCGGTTGGGGTGTTGGCGAGAGGCGGTAGGCCGGCTATGACGGGGGCCCTCGGGGCGCGCGGGACCTTGCCGGGGAAGACGCACTGCTGCTGGGCCTTGACGCAGCCTCGGCACGGCTGGCCGTTGTCATCGTGGAGGCATTTTGTCTTCTGACGGCGACAGCGAATGCAGGCGGTGGCCGAGCGCGTGGCGAGTGGCTGGGGCTGGGGAGGGGCCGCCTGCATTGGGTCGAGTTGGGGCATTTGGTGGTTTGAAGGGTGCTCGGAGTTGGGGTGGTCGGATGATGGAGGCGTAATACGGCCCGGCGCGTATGTCTTCTCCGGCGCTAGTTCTGCCGAGCTCGAGGGAGGTAAGGCAGCGACGTGGATCGAGTTCCGAGGGGCGCCGGCTCGAGCCTGCCCGCGCAACTTGAGTCTGCGTCATCCATCGCCTGCTCCCTCGCACCTGCTCCTCGCCCCAGCACCGATGCCTGCAATAGCCGGTCGCGGAAACCCCCAGCGGCCCGGCAACCGGCCAGCCTATAGGAAGCAGAAGCGCCCCCATCGCCGCCTGGGCGATCCCGGATTGTCGTCGTGCAGCCAATCCCGCTTGGCGCAAAATAATCAAAGAAATACATCCACTGCCCCGGCCTCCATGGTCCTCACCATCGAGGCATGAGAGCCTCTTCAGCCTGTATCCGCCTATACTCTGTGCTCGGACTCCGGCCGGCTGCGCACAGTAATCTCGCCCCCATTTGCAGCGCTCAGAGGTGCGCTACCCTTGCACACCGCCTGAGACTTCGAGGGTCCGATCGGCGGCCGAGGCGGGCCGGACACGGAATCGTCTTAGGCGCGATTTTGTACTCCAGGACATCCTCATAGGAAGCCAGCCGTCTTACAGTCGCTGGTTTGCGCACTTTCGGCGCCCAGGACATCCGTAGCGGACCGGATATGATGAGTCGGGTAGCTGTTTCATGGACGAGACTACGGAAGCGCTAGTTTTAGACCCGGTCGCTCCGATGGACATCGCCCTTGAACCAATCAGATTGCCGCTTGTACGGCATGCCGAAGACAGGGAGCTTGAACACTTGGTATTCGGTTACCACTATTCCTTGACCAGCTGCTCTGTAAAATGTCCATGAAACATTGGGACCGATATATCATCCTCCATCTGTCTCATGTTCGCCATCTCCCGCGTAACCTTCGCAGTCATCATCGAGTCTCACGCCCGTACCGCCTTTGTACACCACCGGCTCCAATATCAACGTCCAGGTGGGGTCCGACGCGTCAGAGTCCTACGTCCGCGCGTTTTGCGGCAATATACATCGCGTCAGCATTTTGTCGCCGTCTTATGCTGGCAGCACACCCTGCACCGTATCCCACAGGAACTCAGTTTACGAGGCATGTTCAGCTCCTGCCTGGAGAGCTGATGCCCGGCTCCCCCTCACTGATCACCTTAAATACATTGTGTCCAAGTTGGCCACAGCGCGTGTAGCTGTTTCTTTCTGGGTTGCCCATGTGTAAATGTAGTTGTAATGTTGGTGGCCGGCGTTCGATGACGATACGAGCGGGAAAGGTTGCCGGAAGCGTCGAGGGGAGACCGAAAACTCATAGCGGCGGGACAGACAGGCTACTATTCCACAGGACGACATCGTATGTACACTAATTTTTCCCTCGCACAATCCGGAAATAGATCCCGGACCGAGACAGTTTACTTGGCCCGCCGGAGTCTTCCTAGCCGTCGTCACTAGTGTTCCAAACTCGAAGCTCACTATTGAGGTCTGTAATTTGGCTGTAAGTAGAACTTCTGGGTGGTCGATGGTAGACGACATGCGTGAGGGTTGGAAGGTGACTGGTGGCTATCGAGCCCGTTCAACTCGTCAGTAAATACTCTGCATATTCTTTCGAAGTTTAGAGGGCATGCAGGGGTCTGAGTGCACTCATATGTCGCCAGGAAAATGCCATGATGTTTGATAAACAATCAATTGATGCTCTTCGACCGTGAACAGATGACCGCCATTATGTTGGGGTATCTTCCGCAAAACTCAATATTCTTTCTCTCTCTTTCCAACGCGAACATGCCAACATGCCAACATGCTTTCGAAAGTAAATCATTATAAAGTCGTCGTAGCGAAGCGAAGTAAAAGCGAATCACATCTCGTCCTCCAATTGTTGAATACGCTTATTGCGAGGAACCGCCGGAGACGGTAATGACTTGGCCTAAGTGATGACATCAGTTAGTTTATGCAGAAACCAACAACAACTTTCTCGGTGACTAACCATTGACCCATCCGCCGTCCTCACTAGCCAGGAAGCCGACCACCCTGGCGACGTCTTGTGGCACCGCACACCGACCAAGCGGGCAGTGGTCGGCCATAAGTCCCTCAATCCTCTCAGCAGACCAGTCGGGAGTGCCGCCGGGGATGTAGTGCCATGCGTTCTGGGTGAACATGTCGCTCTTGATTCCGCCAGGAGCCACACCGTTGACAGTGATGCCTCTCACACCGAAGTCGGTCGCGAACGACTTGATCATGCCGATCACAGCCATCTTGCTGGCGTTGTAAAGGACGTGGTCCTTGACACCGAGCAGACCAGCGGCAATGCTGGACATGAGAATGAGACGGCCGTTGTCCTCGAGGTGCCTGAAGGCAGCCTGACCGACAAAGAACTGCGCGCGGGTGTTGAGGTTGAAGACCTGGTCGTACTTCTCCTCGGTTATCTCCAATGTCTTGTCCCAGCTCTCGGTGCCAGAGTTGCTCATGACGATGTCGAGCTTGCCGAATGCCTGCTTGGCCTCTTCGAACAGGCGGTTGATCTCAGCAACCTTGGAGACGTCGGCCTGGATGGAAACGGCCTTGGCGCCATTGCCGTAGGACTCAATCTCCTTGACAACTTCTTCGGCAGGGCCCTTGGAGGAGACGTAGTTGACGATGACGGAGGCACCGCGCTTGCCGAGCTCAAGAGCAACGCCGCGGCCAATGCCACGGCCGGCACCAGTGACAAGAGCAACCTTGCCCTCAAGGCTGGCAGTAGGAACGGCGACGACCATATTTGCGAGATTCTGCAGTAGTGGGGTTAAAATAGCCAGAAAACTGGGCGCTGTTGGGACAACATACGGATATAAAGTGGTGAAATTGGTTGCAGAGCGAAGCAGGGAGGACGAGAGGGTTGCGAGACGGATCAAAGGATTAATAGACTCCGAGATGGAAAGCAGAATATTTTGCAAAGGCCATTGAAGGACTATATAAATTGCGACGATAAAAAAAAGTTCCCTGCGGACTCGGGAAGACGCGACGCGCGCGCAGTCGGATCCCCGCCATCGAGTCCGGAGCAGCATTCGCTAAGCCCCAGAGCCGGCCCCAAGACAATTCTGGAATCGTTCCAGTCGGCGTTTGCAGGCACCGAGAGTGCGATTGGCCGACTTGGTCAACAACGTCAGCGCTGGATGCTGAGACGTGGGGCGGAAGTGGGCTTGTGAGCATTTGCGACAGGCCAAGGCCTGTGCCATGGTGTTTTTAGCAATTCCGACGCTGATGTGAGTGCATGCGCCATCGGCAAAGAGCGGGGCAATGCAACAACGACTCCGAAGGGGGGTGAGGCTGGATCTAGTTTCCGACTGCAGGAACGATTGCGATGTGAAGACTGGTACCTACGGGAAGTGACACACAGCTGCCACGCGCTCGGGCCCGGGGGTTACTTTATCTTATCGCCTAGCGTTGCGCCCCTCGCCAGGCCAGCGCACCCAGCAGCAGCTCTGCGCAAGCTCGCCATCGCCAGCCAATGGCCACGGGAGCCTCAATTCCTCGTGCATCGCGGCCGGCCGTGTCGCCAGCACCTCCGCACATGCCCACCTAGGCCACGCAGCGCCTAGCACGCCGTTGGCACGCGCAGCTGAACGCGGCGGGACATCAAACGCCGAGATGGCGACGCCACGCCTTGACGTGATCCATTGCTCCCACCAACGCCATCCTCCAGGCCCAGCCCTCCGCCCATCTTTCATTCTGTGCCGCCTGCCTCCTGGTCTCCGCTTCTCACCGCCGTGTGGAGGCTGTGAACTTGCAACAAGGGGTGCTCCTTAGCTCTCCCCTCAGGCACCCGACGCCGTCCGCAATCGGCGACGTTCGCCCGCGCAAAAGCAACACCACCGCAGCCACCAATATGCACATTCTCGTAAGCCTTCCCGTCACCCCGCACAAGACACGCCGCAGACCTCATTGACAAGGGCATCCTCCCCAGGTCACCAACGACGACGGGCCGCCGTCAAATGACTCCTCGCCCTACGTGCACCCCTTCATCGCCGCCCTCCAAGCCCACGGCCACGTCGTCTCCGTCGTGCTGCCGCACGTCCAACGCTCATGGATCGGAAAGGCGCACATCGTCGGCCACAGCATCCGTCCGACCTACTTCCGCCCGGACCCCATCCCCGCCACTCTCCCTGTCTCTGAAGATGGCACCCCTCGCTACCCCAACACCGGAACGACGAGCTCGCGCCCGCTGCCTTCCTCATCGTCCGCCGAGGAGTGGGTGCTCGTCGACAGCACGCCTGCGTCATGCGTTCAGATCGGCCTGCACCACTACTTCCGCGACCGTGGTCCCATCGATCTGATCGTCTCGGGCCCGAACTATGGCAGAAATACCACGGCCGTGTTTGCGCTCAGCAGCGGAACCATTGGCGGCGCCATGGAGGGTGCTGTGTGCGGAAAGCGTTCGATTGCGCTGAGCTTTGCCTTCTTCGACCGCAACCACGACGCCACCATCATCACGGAAGCGTGCGAGCAGGCGGTCAAGGTGATTGAGCATCTGGCCGCGAACTGGAGCTCGGACGCCCATCTGTACACCGTCAACGTGCCGCTCCAGGCGGGCGTGACCAAGAAGAAGACCGTGTGGACGGATATGCTTCAGAATGCTTGGTCAAGTGGAAGCTGCTTCCAGGAGGTGCTTGTGCCAGAGAGCGAAGACGACGGCCCGGCCGAGGCTGAGAGAGAACTGCGGAAAGAGGAAGAGCGGGCAGAAAACGGCGGAAGCAGCTCTGCTGAGAGCGGAACGGTAACTCCGCATGCGAGATACAACCACATGCATTTCAAGTGGGCACCTAAATTTAAGGACGTCTACGACAGCGTGGAGAGGAGTGAGCCGGGCAATGACGGCTGGGCTGTGAAGAATGGATTCACCAGGTACGTTGCTCTTTCTCTAGATGTCGCTGTGTGAGTACTGACTCGAATAGTGTAACGCCACTGCGGGCCAACTTTATGCATGCTTCGGCGGACTACAAGGGTGAATTGCAGATATAGAAAACCGTGGCTAAGTAAGAAAAGCGTGATGCCATCATTTCACAGTTGCATCACTGCTTGTGGTTCAAATATACCCGCTGTAAAAAGTCACAAATCCCTGATTTTCTGCATTTCGTTATCTTGTTGGCTCGTACAAATTTAACTCCCCCAAATCTAGAATTTAAAAACCCCTCCCCTCCTCTCGGATCTTCACTTACCTATCCTTTCACGCCTGAATTATGGAGATCTTAAGTCCTATCTTAGAGCACCACTAACAAAATCACTAACCACTAATTGACAACGAATTTACCACCACTAATCACCACTACCACCCGCATTTATCACCATCAACGCATTTACCACTATCCACATATTTACCACCACCAACGCATTTACCACTACCAATAGTATTACCACTACTATTACTGCGCGCGCAGTTACCACCTATGACTAGTAGAATTACTTCTAGTAGCGTAAGCGTGAGCAAGCTAATAAACACGTTTACTATAAGTCATATTCCTAGGAGGGTCAAAATCTGGACTTAGGGGAGTCAAATCTGTGGAAGCCACGTTGTTATCCACTTCACGGGCCCTTAGCCTACCTTATGGTGGTGAAGTCCTCAGAGATATCAAGCATGAGGAGCGGTGATTGATGCGTCTGTGTGAGTCTCAGTCGTGTGGTCCCCATATACTTATCCTCATACCCACACGCATTCTCTCAAAGTACAACGGTTATACGACCATTCATGACATCTTCAGTGCTTTGAACTTCACCCTACTTGAGGATAGGGCGCGCCTCCCATAAAGGTGGCCGTTTCCATGGAGAAGTCACGTCATGGGTCATCGCCCTCCGCATTCATAGTGGCGCCTTTCGCTGTGATGCGGCACACTCATACCTTCCGCACAAGCGCTCGCTCACCGCGCCTTCGGTCGCGAACATGGGGTGCTGCCAGCTCCATGCCGACAGTTATTCTTCCTCTTCTCTGGAACACAATTTCCATCATCAACAACATTTTCATCCACCAGCCATCTCATAATCGTCTCCCATTGAATTTTCATGGCTTGTGCTTACCACGAAGCACCGCCACTAGCTCGTTTCTGATCACTACACAGCAACATTACTCCTTTCATCATGACACCTTGGCTCAAATGCTGTTGTCTACCACTCTTTCCCTGGCTTGCATCAAAGTCACAGGTCGATTCAGAGTTCAATGCAGAGATCGAGGCAGAGATCGAGGCACAGTTCGACACTCAGTCCGAGTCACAGTCCGAGTCACAGCCCGAGTCACAGCCCGAGTCACAGTCTGAGCAGCTGAAGTCCAGTCCTACACAGCCAATTACAACCACATCCCACTCGAACAACGCTGAGATTTCGATGCCGACCCCAAGTGCAGTCAAAAACTTGAAAAAGAATCTTCTTCAAGATCAGCTCCGACGCTATTCTATAGAGACTCAAGATTGGGCTGGGGAGGTACAAAGTGGCGTGTCGCAACACCAAAGCGCCCCGGTTTCACCCTGCAGCCCGGCTGAACGGCGGCGAACGCAGAGCAGACCATGAGTAACAGTGCTGCCGAGAGGTTGATTGGAGTCTATGACGATCCTCTCGGGGTGCACGCGGGCGAGCCAATCCAACTGACGACGAGGCACGAACGAGTTCGACGCGAGGTCTTGGGATGACCGGCCGAATGAGAAATGTGACGACTTGTGGAATTGGCTTGGGGATATCTGATCGGTCCCATTACTCGGGTTGGAGAGACGTTCTTTTGGATTCTTGTGTGAATTGTTTTATTGGTAACTGCATGGCTTTCTCGTACTTTGGAGGGGGCTCGTGCTGTTTCAATCGGTTTGTACTTCTGGTGGGTATCTCCCAATGTCGCATCGCTTTCTCGATAAATGCTCGCTCTGAGCTTACCCCGGATACATGAACAGTGCTTTGAGGGTCTATAGTACCGTGAGGGCAAGTGGCTGCCAAGTCAACCGTGAGCATCCTCTGATCGATCCACTGAGCGTCAACACCCGATGTCATAAGGTAGACAGATGCTGTCCGATCACGTTGCAAACTTTCTCCATGTCGAGGGTATATGTACAAGGCTTCTTATTACCAGGACTTCGTCATTAATTCATAAATTACAGCATCATCTCCTTTCACTCAGCATCATCATAGATGCTCAACACGTCCCCTCCGCTCGACTCCTCGCCGCTATCTCCACAAGCCTCCGTGAAGCCGCCGACCATCTGGCCGCGCTCCTGCACCCACTGGGCGAAGCTGCTCGCGGCGCAGCTCTCGCCGGGGCCGTCGACGCAGCCGGGCAGCGGCTGGGGGCTGCTGTTGACGAGAGCGCGGTAGTACTCGGCATCGCTCGAGTCCTCGTAGCCGTAGCTGTCGCACGACATCTTCTCGATGGCGATGTTGGTGAGGAAGGGCAGGATGTGCGAGCTCTTCCAGGCGCGGCGGTGGTTGACCGTGTCGGTGGGCATAGTAGCGTTGGGGTTGTTGGTGCCGGTGAAGGCGGAGCCGTTGAAGAGGCCCATGGCGACGAGGACCGTGGGCGGCAGCTCACGGTGCGTGAAGGAGACGTACAGGTCTTGGGCAGCGCCCGAGCTGTTGGTGGACGACGAGGCGAGAGCGGCGGCCGTCGCATTCAGCCACGGGTAGCCGATGGCCCCTGACACGGGGTTGCCGTAGCCCGTGTTGTGGTGGTACATCAGGTCGTTGGTGTACTCGAAGGCCAGCCACTCGTCCGGGCTAAAGAGCGACAGCGAGCAGAAGGGCGAGGTGCCGCGAATGACGGACTCGTAGCCGCAGAGCTGCTGCATGCCGTAGATGTCCGAGGCGGTCCAGTTGAAGCCAGGGACTTCGGCCTTGAAGCGGGCGATGATGGGAGCGGTGTACTTCTTCTGGAAGGCCTAGTTTGACATTTGTCAGCAAGCTGGGTGATGACTTGGGGGTGAGGTTGAGAGGAGAACTTACAGATGACTGCTCGCTACCGCGCGACGAGCTGTAGGCCGAGCAGGCCTTGTAGGGCGTCAGGCTGTTGGCACCGGTCGTCTTCTCCTCAGCAATCTGCGTAAGGGCGCTCATGTTGCTGGTCCGGTCCAAGCCGCTGATCAAGGCGCGCGCGCTCTTGACGGTACGCTCGGCCGTCGACGTCCACACCTTCTTGGGCGTGGCGAAGGTCGGATAGCGGCGCGCCAGCTCGACACCCAGCGACATGGCCTCCAGCGTACCAATCTTAGTCACCTGCTCCATGTCACGGTCCTCGTCGATGGGGTCGTGCCATGTCGAGAGGAAGGACAGGGTCTGGGAGGACGAGAAGTCGGCCGAGGTGTTGGCGAGCTTCTCGGTGAAGGGCTCGATGTACGACTCGTAGTCGAAGTCGTTGGCGTAGATGGCGGCGTGGCGCACCAGGTATGCGGCGCGTGTCACGTTGCAGCCTTGCGGAGGCGCGGGCGAGAGCGGCGGGTCCTGCGGCGAGAAGTAGGGCGCGATGCCGGCAAGGTGCTCGAGCGGGTCGAATTCGTAGTCGTCGGGCGAGTAAAGAATGTTCTGACCGCCACCACCGGCCTGGACGGCGCCCAAGAGGACGGAGAGGGCAAGGAGAGAGGTGTGCATTTCGAAGTCTTTCTCTTTCCCGTTCTAGAGATATTACGATCGATTTGTTGCAAACGGATGCGGATGGGTGAGCAATCGAAATGGCCCTTCTCCTTGCCGGCAGAAAGTCCTTCTTTCTCGACTTGCAGGAGGCAGTCGTGCTCTAGGACGCACCTGCGTTTTCATAAACATGGTGGACGCTGGGGCCGTAAGCTCGGAGCAGGGTGATGACGTACCAAGCTAAGCTTTTTTAGCATCCGCCTTGGCAGCTATCACCGAGTCGGCCGGAGCGTGGAGGAACAGGCAGCGATCGACATTGGATGACAGGTTTCTTAGTGTTGCCCGCACCCGCTACTCGGCTGTCTCGGATCGAATGATGGCATTCCCGCTGCCCCAGACCGGTTTTCTCGAAGCCAGATTGCGTCGGGTGAGGAGCACGGGCGATGCGTTGGCAATGTCTTGAATTAGAAACGGGACCACAACAAAGCGCAGGAACAAGATGACGATGACCATCTTCGAGATTTCCGATCTGACCTATCTGAAGCCTGATATGAGGAGGCCTCCGCTCACCGCGCGCAGCTGCGAGTCCAGAGAGGAATGATGCAACCGACCTGAAACATCCGCAAATCCTGCCATGTTGCTCTTCGACATTTCCCCCAAGATTAAAAGGGCTGACAACCAGCAAATCGGCATTTACAACGCCTAAAACACCTCGTGCACGGCCAAATCAACGCGTCTCCACTCTTCCAGGACCCTAGGTCTTAATTGGGTCCAAATCGTCAATCTCGTCCGGATTGTAATCTCCTGTCAGCCACTTGTACGGCGTGATGAAATCAACAAAACCCAGATTGGGGCTCGAAATGTCGTAACCCATCACTCGTTGCACTTCGCGCGACCACGAAGCCACTTCCTCCTTGGTGTGGATCAAGTACTGGTTTTCCTGTGATTCACGCGAAACAATCAGCATGAAGAAAAGTGCCAACGAAGACGTTGCCAAGGCCCAAGATGTGAAACACTTACCTCGGTGCGCAGATGACTCTGACAGAAAAACATAGAGTGCATTGGTCGCCGCCAGTCTGCCGTCTTGTTCGCGCCGCCTGCGTGGTAGAGCCCGCCTAGATGGCACCACGCATCGCCGGGCATCATGGTCGCTGGTACCGCTTCCTCCATCTTCGGGTGGCGCTCCATGCCCCAGAGGTGAGAGCCAGGAATAGCCTTGCATGAATTCACAGTCAGCTATATTTCATTCGTTCAACATTGACACCGCAGCTACGCAAGGAGAAAGTTTCCCATTTCGCAGTGTCACACTCTCCTCTCGATCGAGAAAAAAAGACTACAAGAGAGCTGAGGGGGGCAATGAAGCAGGAAAAAAGAATGCACAGTTCGGGTGGCACAAGACGAAAGAGGAAAATGGTAGTTGAGGAAGATAAATGTAAAAACTCACCACCGTCGCCCCGTTCTCCGGCGTCGTCTGCGTCCCAGGAATCAGGAAAGCCATCATCACGTCACTGCCCATGCGATAACCAGTGGCCGTTTGGTCGTCGCGCCACCCATGATGCACCTTCTCGTCGCGGTGCAACCGCTGACCTGCGCCACCCGGGTTGCACTCAAGCGTCATGCTGCTCGACAGAATGGGATAAAGCGTGTACTCGTGCCGGTCATCATTGTACCAGCAGTGCGTCGCCTTGGACAGGAAGTGCGACGTCAATCGCGAGACCAGCGGGTGCACCAGCCAGTGGTTGCGGACCGTCGGTGAGCGCGAGACCAGGCGTGTGCAGCGGCGGGTCTCTGGCGGGAAGAGCGCGCCCTATTCTGGCTGGTGAGTATGGTCTGAAAATTTGGATGTTTAGGGCATTCAAAATGTGCAGTGGTGGAATGAAAGAGGGATCAATTAACTGACCTTCCACGGCTTATCCTTGCGCAGGTACGGTTGCGTCTCAGCATTGACTTGGTCAACTAATTCTGGAGTAGTGAAGTTCTTGATGATGACGCCACCATCCTTCTTCAACGCCTCAATGATAGCCTCTGGTTCCGAGGCGTCAATGCGTTGGACGACAGGAACAGCTGACGGCATCCTTGCTGTATGGAGCTTGAAAAATTTCCAAGAAGAGTGCAAGGAAAGTGCTGGCAACGGTTGCTTTGAATCCAGCCATGCTATTCTCTCAGTGTTTATATGCACTGCTACAGCGCACCTATCTGTCCGACCGTTATCTGCGTATCGAGGTGAGTCAAGTCTGACTGGATTTCTAGGAAGCTATGGCCTTATCGGGATAAGGCCAAGAACCAGGAAGTCCCCACACTCTTGCTGCATGATCTGCATGCGCCCAGGATCCCCGCGATTATCCAGCAGATCCGAAAAGGAAGGCTCAAGCGACGGGGCTGATATGAACGCGATGGCGGGGGGAAGGCAATAGAGATGGCCAATTAACCATATACACGAAGTCCAACTTCAATAATCGAACAGCTGCGTGGCTCTGAAGACGGTATAGAAATGCGCAACAATAGCTAGCAAGGAGGTGGGAGGTGGGAGAATATTCCAGTCATAGCCGATTGACCGCTCTGCCGGACTACCCCACTCCTCACCATTGGATGCCTCGATATCTTATCTGAGAATCTGCAGAACTTCATAAATTGCTTCGGTTTGCGGACTCCGATGCCGTTTCCAGGTATGATCGCTTTGTTGAGCAGTGAAGATTCTATGAGTCACTCTGGCTGTTCGTTACAATGACAGAGATGCTCGATGCACCAGCGTCGCAGATACGAGATTTTTCGTATTCATCAAAGCCAACATTGAATTCTTTCACTCTAGATTTATGCGTCGTTATTCTATTTGTCTTATTGCTGAAAAACAGGACTATCATTTTGCGACGAAGTCTCCCTTCGGCGGAATCTTCACCAAACCTCGCGATTCCTTTGTCCGCCATTGAATGGCCTTGCACATCCCATACAGCACGTTCAATGTAGGCATCGGCACGCCCATAGCCTTGCCTTCTCGCAGAGGTTCACCAAGAATATTCTCGACCTCGATGAAATTGCCCTAATCATGTGTCAGCAAGAATGCCTTCCAGGAGTATCTCTCACTAGCAAATGCTTACCTTCCGCAAGTCGTTCAGCATGCTCGGCGGCAGATACATGGTCAACGGATCGACATTGATCATTGTATCTGCGACATCAGCAGGGAGCTCATGTCCTGCCGCCTTCGCCGCCGCCCGGATCTCCTCCATCGCCGGGCGGACCAGGTAATCGATGCCGCAGTCAGCCAGACGGATGCGGCCAGTGTCGAGGCCGGTGATAGCGCAGATGGAGTTCAGGCACGCGTTGTACACCAATTTGCGCCAGCGGCTGTAGCCGACGTTGGGAGTGTATTCGCACTCGGTCTTGCCGCCAGCGCTGTAGATGCGCACGAAGTCCTGGGCCGCCTTGTCTTCCAGCGCCGGATCGAGATTGGGGTTGCGGAAGGCGCCCAGGATGACCTGGTCGTTGTCGTCGTGCTCGATGATGCCGTGGCCGACCTCGTGCGAGCCGATCATGCTGACGCCCGACAGCACGGCGTTCTGCGGGAATGCTGCGAAGAGGGGCTTCTCGATGTTGAGTCCGTTTTGGATAAGCACGATGGTTGTGTGGCCCAGTGTGACGGCAGGGGTGATGAGATCGACGAGCGTCGGCGGCACGTCTGGGATGTTCTTCGTGGTGCAAACGATGTAGTCAAAAGGTTTGAGGCCTTCTTTCTGGACGTCGGGGACACTCTTGACGACTGCGGAACGGGTGAGTGAGTTATCAGGTCTACGGGGAAATGGAGCAATCGTACCCTTGGATGGCCGCCAGCCGGTGATTGTGCCGTGGTCGCAGGACTTGATGTGGAAGCCATTCTTCACGACGGCATCGTAATTTGACCGCAGGACGGCAGTGACACTTGCCAATCCACCGACTTCGAGGTTCAGGGCACCAATGGTGCCAACGCCGCCGCTACCGACCAGAAGAACGTTTGCCTTTGCTTCGGAACCCATTGCTGTTGTTGTGAGATGTGTGTTGAGGGACTGAAAGGGCGGCGCGTTGAGAGATAGAAATGCGAAGGGAGCTCTCAGGCGCCAGCGATTGTCGAGAAATTAATTGAGTAGGTCATGTCGGTGGAGCAAGTCATCGCGACCGGCTAGCGTCGGGAGAGCTCTGCCGGTGCCCTGCGTCGTGTGTGGATCTTTAGCCGCTTGAGACGGGATGGCGCACACACAGCCGTCGAGCTACAGGCCGATACCGATGCGGGCGAGACGTGTTCTGTCGTGTTGGGGAGGAAGGGGAGCTCCTTATCGTGCCTTATCGACTAGTGCGGGACAGCCCAAGTACCCCGCTCCCACTCTTGCTCCCCGTCCCTCTCATAACTCGGGGATTACATACCCGGCCAGCTATACCGACATTGACGCCGTCTTCATATCTAAGAGGAATTTGTATTTTCGACCCGGCCAGTCCTGGCAAATGCAGTGTCGGCTCCATACGTTGTCATCTGGCCAATCGCATTGCCCCGCTTCCTGGGATAATTCAGCGCCGATGTCGCCCCTTGCTTCGGCTTATTGCTCATCACCCGAACGGCCTTTCCGGGTTAGGATTTGGTGGTGCTCCTCGCAACACCTAGTTTATTTGACGACCATGGTTATGGGTTTCCCCGCAAGAGAGGCTTAAAGAATATACACTAGCTGTCTTGGCCAAGTCCTTTACCGCGCGAGAGAAACCGGTCACGAGGTACATTTCCGTATTGCCGCGATTGCGCGTTGCTTGGGACCATGCAGTCTTGGAGACGGTCAGATTATAGACAGTACCCCAGGTGCTTGCGAAGCCATAATTAGAAGAGCCTGCACCGTCTATGTAGTCTGGAGAAAAGGGAAAAGTAGAGTGACGTCATTCTCCTGCCGCAATCGGCCAGCTCGAGAGCTCACGCCAGGTCTCCACCCACATCGACAAACTCTGAGCTCCCTCTTCATCTCCTCACCATTCTCAATCACATTTCGCAACGCCGACTTTCAGCGGCCCTGATCGATGCATGCATGTTGCGACAGTGCAATCCACGTCTTCGAGGTGCAACAGTTGACAGATCACCACCAAGCGATCCACCTTCGCTAAAAGACGGCTGTGGCGCGCGCCACGTCAGGAGATCGCATGTTTCTGTCTTCATACCGTGTGCAAGCCACGAAATCCTTCTGGAGTACGGCAGAGCAGCCTGAGTCTAGGCTCTAATGGAGTACCGGATGCGAAGATGAGATACCGTCGCTACACTAGCGGACGGGAAGCTCGCCGTGGAAAACTGGGGGACAGGAATGAGGATCGAAACGAGGGCAAAAGCAAGAAGAACTTCGAAAAGAAATGCCTGAGAACGCAAGACGAATTGTGCCCGAGCCGACGTTCCGAGAAAGTATTCACGACAAGAGACGAAATGATTGGCCTTAGCAAGGCATCGATGGTTTTTGCAAAGCTTATTTTCTTTCTCCAAAATTTCCCAAAGTTACAAACGATGATAATACTGATGGATTCGATCCTTGTTACATCCATTGGACTTTGTCTCAAGGTTTGCTCTTCCCCGTTTCTCCATTTTTTCGTCAACTTCAGCCCTATGGCCGCCAAGCATTTTGAAAAAGCATTCTGCCAGAAGCTGTACGCCTTCAACCTAGTACCCGGTTCCCGGTGGATCTCCCACGTGCGTCAGCCGATCAGACGAACGGGCAGCGGCAGCGGCTGGCGACCGCGTCCATGGCAGCGGGACGGTTAAGCACCTCTTGCCTCAACCCCGCCATCTCCACATCTCCACAAACGCGGGCGCCTACAGCGGAGCTGGGGTAAACATACGGTTAAATCATTCACTTGGCGGACGCCACCAACTGCACTTCGCGCTTTGCTACCCCGAACTCCATGGTCGCCGAGACCAGCTCTCGAAGAACGGAAGACGAAACGCCTGCACGAATAACGGGTCTAAGAAGAAAGCAGGGATGATGTTGAGAACAAAGGATAATGTTGATCTGACATGGTTGACATAAGTCCCGTCCGTGGTGAGCCGGCTAGGCCTTGACCTTTTCGGCAGAAGGATTCCCGAAGCCAAGCTTTGGCTTTTCAGCACGGCAAGACTGCGTTGACTCGCAAGAACGCACAGGCACAAGCCTCTGAATGTGTGGAGGCAACAACGAAGATGATCTCTTCAGCCATTCCCGCACCAAGCTTTTCCTGCATTCTTGGAGGGCCGAGACTCGGCGCGCGGGCGGGAAATCGGTACGCGGGATCGTTCCAAGTGAGGTGCCCCCCGGTATACCGCAAGCCCTGCCCCGCTTTGCCGCGCGTTGTTTACCCTGCACTACCCCGGATTAGAGAAAGACGCTGCCCGTGATCGACTGATTGGAGCCGCAGCCGCGTCCATCGATTATCCTGTCTCGAACGCTCTGGATTCCGTGAACATTGCCGTTTCTGGGAGCGCGGGACAGGGATTCTGACATTTTCTTCGAGATATCGTTTTCGAGGAGCTACTTGATGAGAACAGTACGCTATTTTGGTCTACCCCGCACGCACTCGACACGGACCGGGAACGATCGCGACCGAGAAAAAGCTTCAAGCATCGGTGCAGCTGCTCTCCGGTCACCGACAGCCCGTTCTCAGCCAAGTGCAAGCTGTGCGCAAGCAGGCCAAAAGCAGGTGGCGAAGGCTGTCTCGGCCCAGTGCTTACCAGGATGATAGCGCACCGTGAAGCAAAGGAGCGGCTGACGGGCACACAGCATTCCTTCCCCGCAAACTCGTTGGGCGGGCGCCGCGGCTAGCCAAGGACCCTTGGACACGGCCCTGGGAGAGGCGCCAAACGCTAGCGATCCCTCGGGCACGATGTGGTCAGGGAAAGCGGGCGCGGATCGACGTCAGCCACGAAAGAAAGCTGGTTGGTGCGCGCGATGCTGTGACAGATGGCTGAAACCGTGTGCAAGGGCGAGGTGCCATTATGACTTACAACAATAGCTCGTGCTGACAGCTGGACAGGGCCTGATGGTGGGCAGCTGAGGTGTCGATGCAACGCTGGTTCTAGTCGGCTTCTCGAAGAACAGCGATGCCCGGTTCCTGGGGTCAGCATGCGTTGTTTTGCGCTGGCGCTGACTTTTGTTGGAGGTGTGCGGTCGCCCGTGTTTGGCGGGGCGCATTGACGGCTCTCCGGGGACCCCACGGAGACGCGGTGAGACCTGGGGAATCACGCGAGAAAACACCGACGGGCCTGTCGCGACCGGCGGCAAAAGCTGCAGTGTAACCCGACAGACAGCAGTATCCACCCGCCCACCCGCCTTCCACCAGGAATGCGGCCTCGACGCACCGCACCCGGACGCATGGTCGTGCTTGTGCCACGCCACGCCATCGCATGCGCCAAGGCAATGGCCAGGCAACTGCTAGAACGTACCGCAACCGGACGCCATCGAAGGAGTGAACTCGAGTCCTGCTGACACTCGCTCATCACCAGTTTCTCACGCACTTCAGCGTATCGAAGAGGTCGCTGCCGGGCGCGGCGCGGTGAAGGGATTTCTGTGGGCTGGGCTGGGCTGGACACGTCTCCGCTGGTCGCCTGGAGGTTCCGCTTCGCTTGCGGGCACCGATACGGGCATCCAAGATTCAGGAGAGATTGGAATGGGGAGATTGATGACGGAGGCAAAGGCAAGTGCCGCGACCACGACCCGGGATATCGGCTTTCGAGGACAGCCGTCCTCCGGGGACTCCACCGCCGGGAATCAACAGGGGCTCGTGTAATTGCCGCGGTGGGATTATCCACATGGCAGCAAAAAAAATTCGTCGGGCTTCTGTGAAGAAATTACGGGTTTGTTCCTGCGTTGGGAAGTCCGATGGTAGATTCGGGAAAATGCAGGCCGAGCTAGGCCGGAGCAATACGTCCAGCACTGACGTCTGACAGCGAAGAGCGTGGGAAAAAAGGCACACGGGGCAGGCAAAGGCAGACAATGGCCGCTAACGGCAATGTCGCGTGTCAGCAACCCGAAGGCGGATGGCACGACAGACAGGAGAGCGGTAGAGAGGCGTTCAGCCACTAAGCAGACGTGTCTGGAGACCGGGCTGAGAGGCACAGCGGTGATTCGTGTGCAGGTGACCGGTCGGCCGGCCGAGCAGACGACGCTGACGGTTATTCCTGTGCCCGCTCGCTTTGCGCACGGCAGCCTAGGCACGCGTGGGTGGCGTCCTCATGCGGCGATGCGGCGCGCGGGCTGGCGTTGCGCCATGAACACAAGCCGTTTCTTGCGCTCCGCTTGGCTGACCGCCCATGCGTCTTCTTTTTTATTTTTTCCTCGCTGACCCCGGCTCCGGAAGCGACGTTACATGCCGTGCTGCGGCGCCTCTTCGCCTTCCCGCGCTTGGCGGTGGAAGCTTGTCCGAGGGCGTGCGTGCAAGAGTCAGTCGGAGGCGCTAAATTCCGCCGAGTGTTGCGGATCATGCTCGTCTCGCAGACGAAGGGACGTGGCGCGGGCGGTGAGCGAGGGAGGAGAGGATCCGGTTGGGAACGACCAGACGGCGGGCTCGTCGACGCGATGCCTGGCCGGGTTTGGGGTCCGCCCCGCGGGGCAGAGTAGCGAGAGCGAGGGGCGCGGAGAAGGTTTGATGCGGCGAAACGAAGTCGAAGCAGCTGACATGCTTAGGTCTTTGTTCGAAGGATCGCAAGCCGCCGACGTGATTGGCCTTGGCCGCAAGCCACCGGCGAGCTTGCCAAAACTGCAGCACCGCGCTCCACCCGTCAGGCCAGCATCGCTCGCGGCTCGGCGGTGATTGGGCGCGTGCGGGGTGCGACGGTATGCGAGCTTTTTTGCGCCCGGGATTGCGCCGCTCCACTCTTTCTCCAGTGGAGGAAGCCTGCCGGCCGGGGGCACTGGGCCGATCGCCTGGGGCCTGGGGCACCGGGGTCCGCCTTGCCCGTCCCATTCCTTCGCATTTCCCAGGCCTTGTCATGTGCCGGCGAGCGTTACAGGTGCGCCGCTGCCGGGTTGCATGCTGATCGCGTCCAACGCGCTTTCACCCATGGCCACCTGCTCTTTATAAACCCGCGCCGCCCTCCCGCCGTCGTTTCCTTTCATCCCATCGTTGCACTGACCAGCGTGGAATCGCCAGAAAGAGGACCCAAACCTCGCGGGCGATTGTTTCCTCCCCCCAGACAGACCTCAACACCACATCTGGCCCACCATGGGATACCAGATCGGAAACATCTACTTCATCACGGCCATCGCCGTCATTGGCGGTGGCCTGTTCGGTTTCGATATCTCGTCCATGTCGGCCATCATCTCGACCCAGCAGTATCTCTGCTACTTCAACCAGGGCGGCATGAACTCCAACAACAAGTGTGCTGGCCCCAACTCTGATGTCCAGGGTGGCATCACCGCCGCCATGCCTGGTGGTTCGTACGTCGGCGCCATCGCTTCCGGTACGTTGGTCCACGCTCCGGTGGGCTGTCTCGCCGCCTTTCCGCATGCGGCCCGCCCACCAACCCGACAGTCGTGCTAACGCTCTTTTGCAGGTTTCCTCTCCGACATGCTGGGTCGCAAGCCCGCCATCATGATTGGATGCTGCATCTGGATCATTGGTTGCATCATCATGGCCGCATCGCAGAACATTGGCATGCTCGTTGCTAGCCGCTTCATCAACGGTCTCTGCGTCGGCATCTGCTCTGCTCAGGTGCCCGTCTACGTCTCGGAGCTGGCGCCTCCCACCAAGCGTGGTGCCGTCGTCGGCGCCCAGCAGTGGGCCATCACCTGGGGCATTCTGATCATGTTCTACATTTCCTACGGCACCTCCTTCATCAACGGCACCGCCGCCTTCCGCATTCCCTGGGGTCTGCAGGCCATCCCGGCCGTTCTGCTCCTGTTCGGAATGTTGTTCCTGCCCGAGTCGCCGCGTTGGCTCGCGCGCAAGGACCGCTGGGAGGAGTGCGAGAACGTGCTGACTCTCGTGCACGGCCACGGCGACCGCAACAGCCGCTTCGTGCAGACTGAGTTCCAGGAGATCAAGGCCATCGTCGAGTTCGAGCGCCAGAACGCCGATGTTAGCTACTTGGAGCTCATCAAGCCCAACATGATCAACCGCACCCACATTGCCATCATGACCCAGGTCTGGTCGCAGCTGACCGGAATGAACGTCATGATGTACTACAGTAAGTTGTCTTCAATAGGAATTGCGAACAAATGTCTGACTTTGCAACCATAGTCTCGTACGTCTTCACCATGGCCGGTCTCGAAGACACTCTGCTCGTCTCTTCGTCGATTCAATACGTCATCAACGTCGTCATGACCATTCCTGCTCTGCTGTACGTTGACCGCTGGGGTCGTCGCCCGACGCTCCTGATCGGCGCTTGCCTTATGATGACCTGGCTCTTCGCCAACGCCGGTATTCTCGCCTCGTACGGCCATTACGCCGGACCGGATGGTGTCAACGGCATCAAGGAGGCCTCTTGGGAGGTCCGCGGTCCCGCTTCCAAGGCTATCATCGCCTGCTCGTACCTCTTCGTCGCCTCGTACGCGCCGACGTGGGGTCCCGTCTCGTGGATCTACCCTCCCGAGATCCTGCCCCTCCGCGTCCGTGGCAAGGGTGTCGCGCTGGCGACGTCTGCCAACTGGATCTTCAACTTCGCGCTGGCCTACTTCGTGCCTCCGGCGTTCGTCAACATCAAGTGGAAGGTGTACATCGTCTTCGCCGTCTTCTGCGTTGCCATGTTTGTCCACGTCTTCTTCATGTTCCCCGAGACTGCGGGCAAGACGCTCGAGCAGGTCGAGGACATCTTCACCGACTACGACCGCGGCATCAAGTACATCGGCATCCCCGCGTGGAAGACGCACCAGGAGCTTGGCGGCGCCAAGGCGCTGGAGCGCGGCGATGTGGAGAAGGGCCCGCGGGGAGACGAGCACAGCCCCGAGCGGGTCGAGGAGGCGGCGAAGGTGTAAGAAAGAAACTTTCTTTAAAAAATGAATACGGGAGGGGGTGGAAAGGTTGTGATTGGACGGTATATTAAGCATGATCCAAAGTTCGAAAGAGATTGGATTTGGGGCTTGTGGATGACAGGATGATAAGATGAAGCTTTATTAGTTGTAATGATATGCCACATACAGCACGTGGCGCAATTCAAATCAATATCCTACTCCTACGAGATCCAATACCGCGTCTCTCAGTGACTTCCACGGCAGCCACTACAGTCGGCTCTGAGAAAGGTGGGAGGAGAAAGGGCGTTTGAATTTGCGTACGCGAGTGGTACTGACGCGTTTCTCACCGCACATTACCTTTGGCTTCAAATCACATGCGTTAAACTTGCCGGTCCAAGCCTCGGCGCCTAGTAGGCTACAGAAATTTAAGCCCTCTGAAGCCGTAGAAGACGCTATCCATGCCGTTCATCCGTGGGCAGTGGAAGCGAATGCCTAGACGCCCAGCCAGAGATTAAGTTTTCAAACTCGTGCACAGACATAACCGGGCATTGGACTCAGCTATCCCCTCAAGCAGGATAACAGATTTCTAACGACGAACTTTTTTTTTTCCTTGGGAAGGCTCAGATTCTTTGTCTCACCAGTCGCTCTGGCGCGCCGCCTCCGTTGGAACCTCGGCGTTACTCGCTGCTTGAAATTTCCCTTTTTGGATTAGCGTACCGTGCGAATCATCGACCTTGCTTCCCCGCACGTCAGGGTTCTCTTAGCGCCCGAAACTTTTTCTCGCGCGGCTCTCCACACTAGATGGCACCACCACAAATCTAGATCTTTGGATTGACACCACGCTACCATCTCGCACATCCACCGGCGAGATCTCCGTCGATCTTATGAGGTCGGTCCACTTTTTTGCGGATTGGTCCTTTTGGTTTACTTTTGAGGTGACCTTCGTTCACGCCACCACCGACGGGAAAGAGAGGGAGTGAAGTGGAGTGACGTTCTTGATGAGTGCGCGGACAGCTATGGGTGGTGGAGCGGAAGGGGACATACAGAAAGCAAGAGGAAGGGACACTGTGGGTTACAGAATATCGAGCCCGTTTGCCGTCTCTATCCGTCCTTCTACTCCACCCATTCTTTCATCACAAACATGCTCAACACGCAACACTCATCCCGCAAACGTCTTCGCCACCGCTTTCCCATCCACACCCGCAACAGCCCCCTTCTCCACATCTTCCCCCCTCCCACTCACACTCGCGCTCGCACTCTCAGTCTGCTCAACCCCTTCCACCACGACCATCTCCGCCACACCCTCCAACACAAACGGACTCGACCCCCTCTGCTTCGGCATCGGCCACACGGCGAACAGCGCCCAGTACGCAACAAACGTCGCGCCAAACCCATAAAAGTAGCTGATCTGGTAAATGCGGTCCCAGCCATTCCCATCGCTCGTGCCCTTGATGGCGCGCGCGAAGCCGGGGAGCAGGGGCGCCATGCCGGCGATCCAGGCGGCGAAGGCACGCGGGTTGAAGCCGGCGACGTACCAGTAGGCGGAGGTGCTGTTGCCGCGGTACAGGTCGCCGACGTGGTACTGGGCGCCGCGCCGCACGGCGAAGTAGTCGCACACGACGATGGCTGTCATGGGCGAGAGGAAGACGGACCAGCCCGAGAGGACGGTGATGAAGGTGCCGGGGTTGCTGAGAGATGGTGAGTTCATGTTTGTTGTTATTCCTTTCTCTCTGTCTCTCTCTCTCTCTCTTTTATTTTTTTTTGGTGGTGTTGATGTAGGGAAGTAAGAAGAAGAGAAGGGAGAAGGTGGACTTACGTGACGTAGTTCCATGGACAAATGGCTATGGCGATGACGGTGAGAATGTAGCAGCCGCGGCGGATGTTGATCCATCTGATCGGTTGTCAGTGAAACCCTACTTTCACCACCACTACGTTTGGGTGAAAAAGTGGCAGAAATCCACTCACTTAGGACACAACGCCGCCATATCCATACCAGTCGAAATCCCGTTCAACATCTGACACAGCGCCAGCTGGCTCACCAAGAACCCCAACCCGGCGAAAAACGTGCCCGCCCTCGCCGCCGGCGAGAGCGAGTGGTCCTGAATGGCGAGCAGCAGCTCGAACGGGTTCCAGATGTACTCGCCGTAGACGTCGGCGGCGGCGCTGGTGATGAGGATGCCGCACACGGCGGTGACGGTGATGAAGATGGGCGCGGTGACGAGCTGGCCGAACAGCGCGGCGTTGGGCGAGCGCGCGTAACGCGTCCAGTCACTCTGGCCCAAACACCCGGACGCCTGCGACCCGATGATCGACTGCAGCCCGTACACGGCGCCCCAGCTCAGCGCCGACCCGCGCTGCGTCGCGGGAGTGTGGATCAGCGCGCCCGCACCGTGCGCCGCGTGCACCGCCCAGCCCAGCATGCCGAACATGGTCGCTGTGATCATGACGAAGGTGATCTTGAAGGGCAGCTGCAGCTTCTCCGGCGGGATTAGGGGTAGTGGCAGGAAGATGGCGATGAAGACGAAGAAGCTGATGATGCTGGCCGTGTCCGTGTTGGCGGAGGCCGGGAGCGTGTTTTCGAGGTCGACGAAGCTGCGGCCGATGATGGCGCGGAGGATGATCTTGACGGCTGTGAGGGTGTGTGTGTGAGTTGATGTTTTCATCAGGCGCGATGTGGGTGTGGTGACATACCTTGTCCGCCCCAGTATGCCTGCGAGTTGTGAGCGAACATATCGTCATATCAGTTTGAAGACACTGACCTGAATACCCATCCAAACGCAGGCTGTCATGATTCTGTTCAGTACAGGCCAGAAGCCGCCTCTCATTCCCCAAGAGGCACGCGAAAGAACAGTGAATCCGAGATACAGATGGCTACCAGGCCAACCGGCAACAACCGCAATCAGTGCTGAGATTAGAGCAACGCCAACGACAACACCCATTGACTGAGGGACGCTCAAGCCGAGAGACAATAGTGATGATCCAGCTGTCCAGGCAGTGGTGTTGATACTGGATGCCAATTGATCAGACGTCTGCGCAACAATGGGGTTCAATCACTTACCCGCAGATGACCCAGTATCCAGCAAAACCTTGCCACGTCCATGTTCTCCTGTCTGGCGGAATGGGAATCAAATCTCTATTGCACCAGAAGGTGTTCTTGTAGTTGGCGTTCTCGTCGACCGGGCATTCGAGCCTCTTCGCCCAGTAGGCCAAACGGCCATTCGTCTTCTCCGAAGCCATTGCGCTCTGTACGCTTCCGACCAAAACTTTGGAACAGACAAAAGACGAACAAACAAAGCGAAACCTGGGGGATCTGTCACAGCATATACTTTTGCGCGCGCGGCAATCGCCCCTTGTCGTTCGAGTAAGGTCGCCGGACGTCCCGATAAGCGGGCAGCACCCCAGGTTGCACGGCAGGATAATGAGGGCGAGTCAGCTGTGATAAGCGCTTGTGTAGGGGAGCGTCATTGCAGATCACTCCCCCCGGCGAACTCAGATTGGTGTCTTGGGAGGCGGCAGCCCCGCCTCTAGACCAAGAGTGGGGTACAGCGGTGATGGTGCGAACTGCCGATCGGGAGTCCTCCGCGGCCTGGCAGATTATCTGCCGAATGTAACCTCGAACCGCATTAATAGCTATCGGCTGGCAGCTTCGTGAGAGTCCTCCGAGATATCGTGGCTCACCTGAATCTCGACGCGAAACCTTGGCGCGCGGCTTCACTCGGGGATCGTGTGTAACCTTCTTCGTCGTTGTGGCACGTCGGCGGCTGACTTCGTCCAGACTTGTTAATTCCGTGCAACCTTGGCTTAGACATAAGCATGAAAGTAGTCGCCGAGATGGGTGCTATTCCGATCGTGGACTTCGGCGCCTGGTCCGCGGGTTCGCCCGCGGAGAAGCAGAGAATTGCCAATGAGTTGACAGACGCTGCTCGCGGTGTGGGATTTGTCTACATCGTAAACCATGGCGTTCCGGATGACGTTCTTGAGCAAGCATTCGCATGGTCCAAGAAACTCTTTGATCTTCCGCATGAGAAGAAAATGCTGGCACCGCATCCTCCTGGTATTCATGCTAGCCCTTCTGTGCTGGAAGCAAGCGAGCTGATTTCCGGTTTCTTACAGGGCCAAACGTGCACAGGGGATACTCCTGGCCTGGTCTGGAGAAGGTTTCTCAGTACATCCATAAGGATGGTGAGGATTCGGACGCAGAAGATCAAGAGCTCCGCAAAGTGGAGGATTGCAAGGTAAATTGTGCTCATGACGTAAATAGTTATGGGAGCTCACACTAGCGTAGGAAAGCTATGAGGTCGGCAGTGAAAACTGTGAGAACATGCCGAACGTTTGGCTGCCAGACGAGGTTCTTCCGGGGTTCAGGGGCTTCATGACCGACTTTTACTGGAAGTGTTTTGGGACAGCGCAGGACATTCTCAGAGCGTTGGCCATAGGAATCGGCCTCGGTGATGAGGACTTCCTGTTGAGGTTTCACAACGGCCACAACAACCAGCTCCGGCTGCTGCACTACCCGCCTATTGAGAAAGATAAGCTCGAAACCAACGCCATGGCTAGAATGCCCGCACATACCGACTGGGGATCCATCACCATGCTTTTTCAAGATGACTGCGGCGGTCTGCAAGTGGAAGATCCTCACACCCCCGGGAAATTTGTAGAAGCGGTCCCCATCAAGAACGCCATCATCATGAACGTTGGTGATCTCCTGATGCGATGGAGTAACGGTATGTCGAAGCGAGGTGCATTTGGCTGCATGTTAAGTACTGACTGCACTCCAGACTACCTCAAGTCAACACTTCATCGGGTCACGCTCCCGCCACTCCAGTCAGAGCCTGTAAATGGAAAGGTCATGACACGTGCTCGTTATTCGATTCCATACTTTGTCAGCCCCGATCCCAGCGCGGTTATTGAGTGCCTGCCCGCATGCGCCGACGAGAAGAACCCGGTCAAGTATGAGCCTGTAGTGCAGGAGGACTACAGAAGGATGAGAGCTAAGCTTCAGTATCCGGAGAAGCCATCCACTCCTCTCGCGGTGGCATGATAAAAGATACCGCTGTAATTTCGGAGCATGAGACCTTTCCCAATTAGGCTATCTTGACGATACAGTAAACTCATGATGAAGTAACCGAGGTGTGAGGATGTGGAATGAGTCTGATGTACTTGGCTTGGGACTTTGAAGTTAAAGAGGTTTCATGGTCTTGTCATACCGTAAATTGAGGAAGTGATCCCCCATAGGAATAAACTCCGGCCTTCCAAACTCATAACACTCCCATGTCGCCTGGATGATCTTGTCTTGATGATTCATGATATTCTGACTTGAAGAGAGGCTTAAGAGAAACTGGAGCTACGCTTGAACAACTCGACGAACGCTTAAACCCTCGCTTCGAGGACATCTCAATTTCAACAAAGATTAAGTTGCTCTCAACTGTCACTGGCTTGACCAGATCAAGATGAATTTGGCTGGGGCTATTATCGCCTATGTTGTAGGGGTATCTCGAAGCTGATAAATTTAGGATCCTTTCCAAAAAAAAAAAAAAAAAAAAAAACTCCTCTTAAATGGATGACTGCACAGCATTCAGTTTGTGGATATATACAACTCCATATTTCAAGCTATTGCCCACCCATTCAGATGAGCGTGATGTGCTGATACCAATGCCTATTTCGCTTGAACAGTTCAGAAACAGCAGAACTATCATCAACGGTATTGGTTTCGTAAGAAAACATTCCAATCCGTTCGAAAGTGTCTCGATTGTTGCTTCTTTTGAGAAGAAGTCCTGTAGTCCACAGTCCTTTCACTTCGATTGGAACTAAAAACGAACAACATTCCTCAGCACCCTCGTAGTCCACTACTAATGAGACAGCACCCGCCAATGTTTTCTTACCATCGAAATCCCCATCGAGCTGGCCGTGCAATGGGAAAGCATGGGACCCGACCCATTCGATCTTCCTCCCTTCGGAAAGCTCTTCTAGAGTGCAGGGTATAAGAACACCGGAGAGTATCAAGCGTGCGGATTTGAGCGGCCCATACTTGTTGTTTTCATCGACGGGTTCAACTTCAGCGCCTACTACTTCTGCAAGATCGGTGATGTTACTGGATGGGTACCCTGTTCGGACCTGCCCATTAGTGATAGCCCAACTCCAACTCGGCGCGCGGTACGACATGTCATGTCTTTTCGTGCGCCTCTCAGGGGTTTTTGACACCAAGCTCCAGGTCAATGCCGCAGGTAGCTGTTGAAGGAAGAAACCGGCAACGTATTCGTCATCTAGCAGGACACCGAACCGTTGCGCAACTCCGGAGAAGGCGGCGAGCTTGTCCTGTGCTGGATAGGTGAGATCTCGACTGGTGTAGTCTGCGATAATATGCGGCCATACTTGGAGCGCATATTGCCTTTCAGCCTTCAGCTTCGATCTCGTAAGATGCTTTGCTGAAGGGGCCGGGACGGAGAATGGGAAGGGACGGTGCAATAAAGGCGCGTCCTTGTACGGATTTCGTTCGGTAAGAATATGGGCTTCTTTACACTCCCACATTATTTGCTCGGAGCAAAAGTGAAGGACCCTTGGGGAAAAGATTCGCTCCTGAAAAACCCAAGCTCGTTTTTGTAACGGGTTTGATTGAAGTTCCCGGGTTCGTTCGTCGAAGAACTTCCATACTTCTTCTCCTTCCCCAAATCTATTCCAGAGGAAATAGTAGGGCTGAACGCGGTCCGGCTGCCTTTGGGTAAATGCGCCTTGATCGGGGCTTTCTGCTCTGTCGAGAGAGATATTCAGAACAGAGTTGGCGTATATGGACTGCATCTCGGAAACTTGTTCATGCCAGTCGCCTTTACTGCCTGACCCAGACTGATATATGCACAGGCTGTCGATCCAAAGGTAACGGATGCGTAGCCTTGCACTTATTTCGATAGCATCTTGAAAGGATCGTGGAAGCACCCGCTTTGAGAATCCTCTCGCCAGATATCTCTCTGTGTTTCCTTCAAGTTTCAAGAAATGAGGATCCCGGCCCCAGCAATGGCTCAACGTAGCATACGGTCTTGTTACAGCGTCCTCGTTGGATCTGTTCATCAGAATACGCACTTTAGGGAGATTGATGAGATCCAAGAGCCGTTTAGGACGCCAACCAGCTTGTCGTGTGTCGTGCAGAGACACACACTTCTTGTGGTCTGACAAACATGTCTTGTACCAACTTGAAGCCTGCCCAAGCACTTTTGGATGCGCTGTACTGACTGGGATGTCTCTGTCAAAGCTGTTTTGCCTTACGTGCCAAGGAATATGAGTAAGATCATGTGCCGCAAGCCGGAAGGATTTGTCGTGTGGATTGACGGATGGTGGATGTTCGACGCGGAATATCAAGACGAGAGACCGGCATGGGGGAAATTCCTTGCTCTCTGATGCCAGCTCCTGATACCCAAATGAAAGTTGAGCTATATGACCAGGAGACCTTTCTTCGATGTGATAAAAAAGCTTCCCGATTACTGATGGTGTCCCAGAATAGTGTTGTGCCGTTATCAAGGCGCAAATTCTGCACCCGTTTTTGGCAGCCCTGACGGCGTGAGTCCAACAGGCATGGTGGCAACCACGACTGTCTGACCTCCGGAACATTGAGAGACACATAGCACAGAGCATCGTGGATGATGCAAAGGTGAGCGTATTTGTTGTAAGCCGTTTTGGTGAGCGCAGTGAAAGACTATCGGAGACGTGGACATTGATCGATCAACCTCGCCGAGTAGGAAGACCACGTCTGCTGGGAGCGAAGAAGGTCTTGTGTTCGAGGCTAAAAGGTTCGAACCTGTTAGCCTCGAACCTCGGGAGCCCGTTCTTCAATTTAGGTCGGTGAGATCGTTTGAAAGAGGTTAATGATTGTAGAATAAGTACGTATTTTTCAATCTCTTTCAGGTATTTTTTTTCCGTGTTGTTTGGTGGTGCATACGAGGTAATGATGATGATTGTGGAGGCGGGTGATCGGTGCTGTTGCAAGCCACGCGATGCGCTCGGCGGTCATCCGTCCAGCTCTTCTTAAAACTTCTCGGAGCAGCAAGGTATAAGGCGTAAGGTGGCCTCATATCTTGGCTTCTTGGCGTCAGCAGAGCTGCCTCATGCACAGCCTTGTTTTCAAGTAACTTTTTGTGCGTAAGACCATGCCGCTGGCTCCATTCTGCCGTCATCATCACCACGCGTCTAATGCAGCCAATCACCCAATGCCTGCCCGATCCTGCACTCACCTGTGACCCCACATAATCCTACCAGTCAATATTCGTCCCATGCAGAAAATCAGAAACGACAAATCTCCTTTAGCCTCGTTCAGCTCCATATTAGGCTGCAAAGTATTTGAGCTGCTATGGTCGACAAAGAGGATAGCTGGGGAGCTGCGATTAACCAAAATATCATGGTCAAAGAAGTTTAAATTTAGAGTGTCATACATACAGTAGCAACTCTCTGGAGGCTTCCTTTCGCGAGGTCAGCACAGTTATTGGGCGGATCGACACTCTAGCCTACGCTGCTGTGCAGCAGTCGAATGTTGCATCGAACGTACATATCTCTTGAATACATTCTCTCCGAGATGATTTCAGGGGCAATTACTAAACCCAACTATCACCGGCCAAACCCAACAATCGTCGGCCAAACCCAACTTCTTCACCAAAATCTACCATCTTTCAACCGCAGCAGAACTTCACGAAATGAAAATCTAAGTACTTTTCTTACTACTATAGTAATGGCTAAGCCCACAGACATCTATTATAAGTTTTTTTTTTTTTTAAAAAAAAGATAAGGTTAACCTACCCGATCTAAGATTTGGGTTTGGCCGGTGATGGTTGGGTCTGGGATTTTCGCGAAAAAAAGAGTTCGGTTTGGGAATCACCCCATGATTTTATTAATTCCGACATTAATTATCACCCATGTCATTTCTCCATCCATATCATGACCACTATACAGCATCGTGAACTCACCACATCTTCCCCCATCAGTAGAGCGACTTGCACTCCCAGCTTTCTGCCGCGTCCACATCGCCCTCACCCTTGTACACAGCCTGCTTCGGATACATGCACAACGGGCGCTGCCTCTCAACACCCTTGGTCACATCCTCATCTACAAACTTGGTCGCTATGATCTCATCGACAACCGTCCCATTCTCGACCCAATCCATCAGCGCCAGCAGCGCATCGTGCTTCCCATCCTCGAATCCCGGCACACCATGCACGCCGGTGCCAAAATCGCCAGCCTGGTTGCCACCGGCAAAATACCACGGCGCATCGACGCCAGACGGCGTGGCCGAGCAGTGCTGCATGCCGGGCACGAGGAAGAAGCGGTACCAGTCGTCGAGCGGGATGCCCATGGGCAGCAGGGCGCGGGCGACCTGCTGGTAGAAGTGCAGACTGCTGCCGGTGGCGATGAGGCCGTCGGACCAGCCGTGGTAGTGCAGCAGCTTGCCGCCGCGGGCGCGGTAGTCGGCCATGGCGGCGAAGGCGTCGGCGGTGGCGTTGCCCGGGTCGAGCTCGTCGGCACGCTCGACGACGGCGTAGGTGAAGTCCTCCCAGCGGAAGTCGGGCTGCGACAGGAAGTAGCGCACGTAGTCGATGCCGTACGACAGCGGCTCGCCGGTGGGGGTGCCCAGCAGCACCTGCCACTGCGACTCGGAGCTCAGCGCGAGGCCCGGGAAGACGAAGGTGTCATTGGTGTCGATGTAGGCGCCGTAGATCTTGGAGAGCGTGTCGAGCTGTGCGGGCGTCAGGCAGGCGCTGCTGTTGGACGTCGGTGTGCAGAGCAGCGCGTCGGCGTTGAAGTTGCAGGCGAGCGGGTCCGACACGATGTTGTCGGCCAGGCCGTCCTGCGGGTCGCACTGCTTGACGACCTCGGCCTCGATGACGGGGAAGAGGGCGGGATCGATGCGGTGGCTGCCGTTGAGCGGCAGGTTGAAGGTGCCCATCTTGGCCGTCCACGTCTGCATGTGCGTCGTCCACCAAGCCGGCGCACCGGCGAGCACACCATCGAAGTCTTCTGGGTAGAGCTGGATGTCGCGGATGCCTTGGCGGCCGCCGGTCGAGCAGCCGGTGTAGTACGAGTACTTGATTTCGGAGCTGTAGTAAGCTGTGGCCAGCTTCTTGCCAAGCTCAACTGAGCCGTGCATGGCGCGGTAGCCCCAGTCGTCGAGCACTTCAGGGGCGTCAAGCGCCCATTCAAGCTCTCCGGACGTGGAATTGTGGCCGGTGTCCGTGGAGACAACGGCGAAACCGTAGCCGACACCAGCGCCCTTATAACTTATCAGCGATGTTCTTTTGGGAGAGGAGAAGGAAGGAGTTCCATACCATATCCAACCAGTTGACACCACCAGCGAAGCCTCCATTGCCCACTGCTAGGAAGCGCTCATTCCATTCGGTGGGAAGGAACAGTCCGAACCTGAATGACGAACTGCTCGACGACGTCACGTTCACGTAGACGGCGCAGAGAGCCGGCAAGTTCGTGGGGTTTGTCGGGTAAGCAGGATCTGCAGCTCCCTGACCGTAAGTGCCATTGCCAGCGACAGGGACCGCGGAGAGGACAGTCGCATTGGAGGGAAGGGCACTCTGCAGTGCAGCGCTGGAGCAATTAAAAGCTTGCACTCCAAGGGCGGAGGCGGCAGCCAAGACAACAGAAGCAGCCCTCATGGTGGCGAAAATTGGCGGTCGAGGAGTAGCGAGCACTAACTGGTGGCAGGACAGCTTTTGTAGACGTTACATCGCGGCTACGGAAGCGGGAGGTAGCCGTGCGGAAGTCGGATTTATCTGGATTGTGGAGTGCATGAACGCGGGGAGAGTCATGTAAATTGGGATTGGAGCCTCAATGTAGCCCTGGCAGCCGAAGATGCTTGCCGTAAAGAGAGGCTAAATGCCGCGGGTGCTGATCTTGTGGCCAATTGGGAGCTTGCTGAGGTGGGGAACATCCCCATTGCCAGGTACTGCTAAGGGCAGGCCATTACATCTACTCCCGAGTGTTTCGAATGTTTCGATTGTGCCGCGTTCCTGCATGCATAACATCACATTGCCAGGATCTTCCCGTCAACTCTTTCTCAAATATGCAGCTCCAAACGGCAGCCATTGCGGCAGAGATCGAAAGGCTCAAGTCGGTGAGACGGTGGCTCGTTCGGGATTCCCGACGGCGCGACCCTGACTGCCGGCCCGACATTCGGCACGTCATCACAACTTCCCGCTTGCAGTATCGCGTTAGCGTTTGGCGGCGAGAGTCAGGCATGCCACAGGATCTTCCGAAGGTCGGCGTAGAGTCGTTTCATGTCGCACCAGGTAACGCTCACTATCGTGATGAGAGAACATGTTAGTCTCGACGTCGAAATACAAACATTCAGGGGTGAGCCCCATGTGGAGAACAGCGGATAAGCTTAAGTTGAGTGGATTTCATCCATGCAACAACCATTAATCTTTGCCCAGAGGAGTAAAACACGCTGTTCCACACGATGGATTGTCGAAGTCGAGGCCCTATGTAACCCGTTAAGGATACTGCAATTTTTCTCGGTGCACAGTTGAAGCCATCATCCAGACGGGTTTGTGAGGCTAGAGTTCAGACATTGGATTTGAGTACCGACGTAAGCAACGCGCTATCTCTAGTGAGAAAGGTTCGGCAAAGTCAAATTCTGTCGCCGTCTGTGGCTATGTCATATGTCAGGGGGATCTTCGTTGGAGAGAGCGCAGCGCAGGCCATGGGAAGGCACACCTTTCACATCGATCGAGTGCATGCGCCTTGCTCGACACAACGTCAACCGATCTGCAAGGACGTTGCGAAAGGGAGTGCCGTTAGATCGACCGTTAGCCGGGTCTGTGAGACGGAGATCTACCCGTATATCATGCAGAATCAGATAGCAGGTTACACAAGCTTTCGCGCTGCAAATCATGTCGGTTTGATGCGGTGGAGAGCGGGTCGTCCCGCAGTCCCACGCACCTCACATCGCACACTTCCGGTTCAGGAAGGACCGCGGGAGGTCAGTTGGTCCCGGCGAATGGTGTGGTTCGCGACGGGCTTGGAGGTGGCTTTGCCTTTTGTGCGCGGGCGCATGCGCCGCAGTGGTGGAACATGGGCCTCGGGCGGGGATGGTGATCGACGTCGCTGCGGCTTGACATTACGCATTCCAAGGCGTGCTGCGTCATCGCGTGCCGATTGTCCGGTCAGACAGGTGGGAAACATGTGTTGAGATGGTGTCAAGCGCGCGCTCGTTGGCTAGCGCGTTTAGCCAGGGAGCGAAACGCTGAGCGTTCGGCCAGCGGCTTCCGGTTGCAGCGAACGAGCGGTAGAATTTCGCGCCGTGGACGGGTAACGCGCAGTAGTGAGACGCGCCCAATAAGTCTCCGCGCGGCGCTACGGTGGCTGGCGACGACCGGCCTTGTGCGCGCCTCCGTCTCGCGATCAAAGAATCAGAAGATGCAAGTGACCTTTGTCGGGCGCAGCCTGCCTGGTGAGGCAGCCAGGCGCTGGCAGGCGGAGATTTGGCGCGTGTGTCAAGGCGATGGCGAGGCGTGGCTGCACACGTGTCGCAGCACAGCCCGGCGCCGTTGGCCCGCCTTTCAACCCGTAAATTCCTAAGGCGCCAAGCAGGCGGTGGACTCTCTGTGGGTGGGCGTCGTAAGTGCGCTGCTCGTTGATCTACTGCTATTAATACGCCCCAAAGACTGTGCACGCCCAAGCCCTACGGGGATACGTACTCTGTCGCCCGCCTCAGCCACACCCCAAGCACTTACTTCTGGCCGCCTCCGCGCCCTTACGCTGAAACACCCCGTCTCCTCCCACGCTCGCTCCAGCCTGCTTTAACAACCTCGACATCTCTCGCTGCTGCAACTGACTGCCTGCTCGCTACCCTCCGGCCCGCGCCCGGCACCCAACCTCCACCCAGCAGCTCGCCATGGCTGCCAACGACTACTACAGCTCTTTCAACCCAGGCAGGAGAGAAGACGCCCCTCTGCCTCCTGTGCCCCCTTCGTCGTCGCCCTCTCCGCTGCCATCGCCGCACCCGACCCGACCGCACATCGACACCCAAAACCTAGAGAGCTACGGCCACTCTCACCCGTCTGCTCACTCGCACCCTTCCGCCCACACCTACCACACCGGCCACTCGCCTGTCGGCTCTCCCTTCACCGACAATGCCTATCCTTCATACCCGCAAGACACACATCCGCCGCCTAACCCGTACGGGCCCGTGCACGGCGACGACGATACTGCCTACCATGGAGCCGGCGCATATGGACAACATGGCCGTGCGGACAACGACCCCTTCGGCGACAACCAGGCCATTCCGCTCCACGCCCAACAACCGAAGCTGGATGCAAGTCCCTCGCGATACAACGGCGATCCCGAGGGCCAGGCGCCTCTCGTTGGCGGTCCTGGCGGAATGAGGAGAGAACGTAGCATGCGCCAGAAGAAGAAGGGCGGCTGGTTTTCTGGCAAGATTACCTGGGTCGTTTTCACCTTGACAGTGGTTCAAATTGCTGTTTTCATCGGTGAAATCATTCGCAACGGTAGGTGAAACCGCCCTTGTGAGAGAAAAGGCATAGTGCTAATGCTATTATAGCTACCCTTACCGGTTCGCCCATCATGATCAAGCCCACGTTCAACCCGATGATCGGTCCCTCCGGCTACGTCTACATCAACATGGGTGCCCGTTTCATTCCGTGCATGCGCCACATGGGAGGAGGAGGTGAGGTCGAGATTACGCCTGACATTGCCTTTCCGTGCCCCAACTCCACAACCGGCGCTGCTGAATGCTCGCTGAACACGCTCTGCGGAATGAGCGGCATCCCTGAATCCGATGGCGAGCTGAAACCCAACCAATGGTATCGCTTTATCACGCCCATATTCCTTCACGGAGGCCTCATCCATATTATTTTCAACATGCTTGTGCAAATGACCATCGGACGCGATGTGGAACGGCTGATTGGCTCCATTCGCTTTTTCCTGGTCTATTTTGCATCTGGTATTTTTGGTAATGTCCTCGGTGCCAATTATGCGCCAAACGGCATGCCTTCGGTGTAAGTCTTCCCCGTCTATTCGTGGTTTTTCCTCGCTAAAAGATTCGGAACAGCGGTGCATCGGGCGCCCTTTTCGGTATCATCGCCATAACACTTCTAGATCTGCTCTACCACTGGAAGGAACGCGAACACCCCAAGAAAGAACTTCTCTTCATCATGCTCGACGTTGTTATCGCCTTCGTTCTGGGTCTCCTGCCTGGTCTGGACAACTTCGCGCATATTGGTGGATTTATTATGGGACTCGGCCTCGGTATTTCCATTCTCCACTCGCCTCAAGTCCTCCGCGAGCGCACCGGCATGGATGAACCTCCTTACTCGGCCGTTCCCAACTCCAAGCATGGCGGCGAATTCGAGACGATGAAGAACTTCACCAAACAGCCCGTGGGCTTTTTCAAGGGCAGGAAGCCGCTTTGGTGGGCGTGGTGGTTGATTCGTGCCGGATGCATTGTTGTCGTGTTTGTTGCGTTCATTGTGCTCCTGAACAACTTCTACTCGACTCACAGCACTTGCAGCTGGTGCAAGTATCTCAACTGCCTTGTAAGTTTCCGTCCTATTTGGTCCACTCGATTTAGATTCTAACCCCGTGTGCAGCCTGTCAGCGACTGGTGTGACTCAAACACGCTCACTATCACGCAAACGAACTCAACGAGCAAGCGTGACCTATTCGGGCTTGAGAAGTACATGCTACCGGATTTTGACTCGCCAATGTGATCGAGGCATCATCTCATTCCATAACTTTGGGCCTGGCGCGTTTTCTGCTTTTGTTTTTACTTTTGCACACAACCTATGGAAGCTCCTGAAAGCGGGTCTTTTACGACTGCATGACGAATCCCCATAATCTCGAGCATGGCGGGCGGCGTTCTCATTTCTTACTGCGTAATACCTCTGGCTGCGCGGCAATCGGTCGTAAGTCGACCTTCAATTTTCATGGTGGGAAGTTGCATCTTCTGTTCTTTTCTTGTTTAGCGGCATAGTGGCAAAGAGAGCACGGCCCTGTATCATCGAAAATTGGATTACTGGGGTTCCTGGTGGAAATGTTTCCTCCAACGCAACAAAAATTCCGTAACTGATGGTCTGAAAGGAGGCTAGATGGTATGCATTCTCATCTCCTCTAAGGTGATTTAAATCCTAGGGATCGTGAGCGAGCAGCTCTGCTAACCTTAAACTGTCTGTTTATTGTCTTGATATTGTTTGTTCGTCTTCAGAATCACACTACTGACTGTTCTATTTCTATCTTGTTCTTGCTCTTCTGATTTCGCACACTGCCGCATCGCCTATTCTATCGGCCGACTGCAAGTTCAATTCACACTGGCATGATACTCTCAGACCAACATCTTCAGACCCGCCAACTACATAGCGTGCCGAACATGCACAAGACTAAAGAATGAGATCAATAGAAGCCCCACCCCAGCCTTCGCCGCGCCTGTCCCGCCGCCGACCTCGGCCACGGCGTTTCCACTAGCGCAGGAGGCGGTGCCACAACGGCTCTCTCGACTTGGACGGCCACAAAGCCGGCTCGGCAAAGCATCGCACGAGTCCTGCAGTCAATAAGCTCGTCGAAGCTTTGAGCCCCTTGACGCCATGGTGCGTTTTCCCCGCCGTGCTGCCTGCTATCCACGCCATGTTTCCCTAAAGAGCGGCCGGTGCCTGGCGATCCTCGGCGCTAGCAGGGGGCAAGATCCCTCCAAAGGTCCTTTTCAATTCCCTGCACATTAACAGCCCGAGGCCTAGGCTCCTGACCCTTGCTTCCTGTTGGTTCCGCGGGGCAAAATGGCAATATCGTCCCGCTCAGTGGTGGAGCAGTACTACCGGTCACTGACTTCCAACGGCCGCCACCGCTAGGCAGAGCGGCCCTAAGGATACACCCATCCGAAATTGGAAGAATCCTACGGCTCGAAATGGACGACTCAGACGTCGCCGTCTGCAGTCTGCGATAGTTAGATGCACTATGACAAGCTTTCTATACCGCCTACGCAGGCTGCAGCGGCACTGGCCTCCAATTTGACTCAGTATAAAGAGAGACGGTACCGCTGTTCAGAGCTCATCGCCCAGCACTCGTTTCTACTCGCGGACCTGACGTTTACGACAACTACCACTCGTTCCCTAATATATTAATCCAAAATGACCAAGTTCACCACCCTCATTCTGGCCGCCGCCGCCACTGCCGCCGCCCTCCCCAACCCCTTCCCTGCCTACTCTCTCGAGGCCCGCCAGGACGGCAACAACTGCACGCAGTACTGCTCCGTCGCCGCCGGCTGCGCGTGTACCGTCCGCCCCTCCGACTGCACCGGCTTTTACACCGTCCAGCCCGACGATACGTGCACTAGCATTGCCGAGGCCTTCAACAACTTCACCGTCACCCAGTTCTACAAGTGGAACCCGAGCATTGGACGTTCGTGCTTCGGGTACGTTTCCCCATAACCCCTGTCCTGGCCCCCAAAAGGAAAGAAAAAGGAGTGGACGCCCGGATACGGAAAGATGAAGAGAGGAACAGCTCGCTAACGCCACCGTCTCTCTTATAAACAGCCTCCAAGCCTACGTCCCCGTCTGCGTCAGCGTGCCGTGGTACACGTACACGCCGCCCATCCAGCCGCCCGCGGGCACGAAGGAGGGCCCTGAGGACGTTCCCGTCCCGCTCATGCCCAGCACCGCCGCGGCATGCAAGACGTACGAACTCACCGGCTCCGGCACCCGCGTCGACCAGATCGCGGCCGACAACGGCATCACCGTCGAGCAGTGGAGCGCGTGGAACGGAAACGCCACGGGCGCGTGGGCCGGCTACTGGAGCTGCGTTGAGGCGTAAGAGGAAAGACTTTTGGTTGGATGAGAGTGTGATGTTGGTTAGAGGCAGGGGTTGGAGTCGACTGTTTTCTCTCCCTCATGCATCTCTTTCTGTCTTGCACCCCCCGAATAAAGAAGTAGTGGACATATGAGAAGCCTACATTAGGCAGTTGTACAAGTAACGCCTTTGCCTCACGCTTCAAAGTAGACCTCTCAATAGTGCGAATATGAGGAAGTGTTAGCGTTCAAGATGGTTTCTTCCGTGATTTGTGAAGTTAAAAGAGATTGGCATGTAAAAAGTTCTCCCAAAGTTGCAATACTCCATGTGATCCGGCTACTGCCGCGCATGACGTCCCGGAGGAAACTAGGGCGGTGCTTCTAGAAGGCTTCGACATTGTTGAGAGGAATGCAACACCTGGAATGGTGGACACAACCTGGGAGATGGATGGCTCATTCATTCTTGGCCTCAGCTAGTTTTTGATGGTAACACATTCGGGAGAAGGATTAGTAAAGACGGTCACGCGCAACCTGGCACAACGGATGCGCCGATGATGCTGGGCATCAAGTGTGATGTGCGAGCAGCGCGTCATGAATGATTGGCTCATGCAAGTGAAAGGGGCTGCTTAGTGAGTCGCTGTGGAAAGATTTAAGCGCGCTGCAGGTTCTCTGTGGATTTGCTGCTGCGTCGGCCCGAGACGAGCTGCGGCAGGGACATGCTTGGCGGATGATAGGGCAGAGGTGAAAAAGGCAGGAAACAGAGCGGTGGTGACGGAATGCGAAGGGGGAGAAAACTGGGAGCCCCGCTACCGCGTCGCGCTCAACACTGGGCCCCAAGCTTGACCTCACCCACGACCGCCCGACTCGACTCGACTCAAACCCCTCAGGCGCGACGCGCCCACCGAAAACACACACCTGCCCGCCATGGCTGCCCAGCTCATCGGCATCGCCGTCTTCGTCACCCTCAAGGACGCCCAGCACACGGTCGTCCAAGGACGCGTCGCCAATGTCGTCGAGCAGACTGCCACCCTCGTGCTGCAGGATGGTGCGTCCCGCCTCCGCCGCGCCCGCCGCCAAAAATAACAAAAAAATGCTGACGCTACAACACAGTCTTCTTCCCGGCCACCGGCCACCGCCTGCCCGGCTACACCATCGACGGCGCTCACATCGCCGACATCTCAGTCCAGCCGCTGCAATCCGCCGTCTCCACGCCCACCTACCCTCCGAGCCACCCGCCCGCCTTCCCGCCTCACCCGCAGCACATAGTCCCCACCCCTGTCCAATATGGAGCTCCCCCTCCTCCCGCCGCCCCACCTGTCGAAGCCCCCGCCGTGGCTCAAGCCCACCCCGCGCCCGCTGCGGAGCCCCCAAAGCCGAAGCCGAAGCAAACCTTCGTGGACCCCGCCATCCTGAGCTTTGGGAAGCGGCCTACCGCCGCCAGCCAGGCTGCTGAGGCGCCCACCACACCCATGAAACCCGCGCCCGCGGCGGCTGTGAAGAAGGCGTCTGTCGCCGGCAAGAACGCGCGGCCCAAGGAGGATCCGGCCACATTAACGAGGCCGTTCAACGCGCTGGGTCTGGAGGCCGGCGAGGATGGGGAGGAGTCAGACGATCCGACCGTCAACGAGGAGCGCATCCGGAGGGCGAGCATCAGCAAGACGCGCACGGGCAAGCCGCTGGAGACACCGGCCAAGGCTGCCGCCGCCGCCGAGGCTGCTGGAAAGAGGGCGAAGAAGGGCGGCACTAGGAGCAAGAAGCAGCAGAAGAAGGAGCAATTTCTTCCGGCCGCTGGAGAGGAGAACGCGCTGGATTCGTCACCCGAGGGCGCGCGCAAGACGCCGGCGAACTACAAGGGCAAGGGATGGAGGCAGACGCCTATCTTGCAAGACCCGCCGGCCACGCGGACGCCCGGCTTGATTGGCGGCAAGGTCGGCATGGAGGCAGTCAGGGTATCCAACCGCAAAACAAGGAGGCAGAAGGCTATGGAGGCTACGAATGGGTGGGCAACTGAGGATGCAACCGATGTCCAGGAGCTTCCCGATTTCGACTTCGCTGAGAACCTGTCAAAGTTCGACAAGCGTACCGTTTTCGAGCAGATCCGCAACGAGGACACGACAGCCGACGAGGACCGCCTGGTCAGCTTCAACCGCCTACCTCCCCGCGCTGGCACAGCCGGCGGCAAGAATCTTCATCCGACTGAGAACGTCCTTGAGCAGAGGAGATCACATCTACGGAGCAACTCGAATTCCTCGAGCGAAGATGACTTCTCCGACTTCGACAGCGGACGGAACTCCCGGCGAAACATGTCTCGGGCGTCTAACAGACGTGCCCCCTTCCGGTCAAACAGCGTTCTGCAGGATGACATCCACAATACGTCAGCGGCCAGTCTGAACAAGTCGGTGCGCAATCAGCAGCATCGTGGCTCAACCGTTGTGTATTCCTCGACAAACTCTCCCGTTCCAGGACGTCCTACCCCGCCCTCGTCTCCCTCAGTGAATCCCCTCCAACAGCCACATGCCAGCTTCCGCGTAGCCCACACCGGTACGACGTGCCACACCATCACGCCCGGGACAATGACGGCAGTGGAGGAGCTCGCAGAAGTGGAGTTTGGCTTGACGGAAGAGATCATGGCCGAGAACGCCGCCCGCGGCATCGCCCAAGTCGCCCTGCAAGCCGTCAACCCGGGCGGCCGTCGTCTCGCGCGCGAAAACCTCGCCGTGAACGCTCGCCCAGTGGTCGTGGTCCTCGCGGGCAACCACCGCACAGGCGCGCGCGCCATCGCGGCGGCCCGGCACCTGCACGCGCGCGGCCCGCGGGTCGTGGTGGCACTGCTGGGCTACGAGCGGCCGGCCGACTACGACAAGGACGTGCGGCGGCAGCTGGAGCTGTTGGTGCGGCTGGGCGGGTACGCGCGCAGCTGGACGGACGTGCAGCGCGGGCTGAAGCGGCTGGAAGCGCCGCCGGAGCTGATCGTCGACGCGCTGCTGGGCCGCAACCGCGAGTTCGACGCGCTGGGGGCCGGGGACCGCGCCACGGCCATGGCCGTCGTCGGCTGGGCCAACAAAAGCCGCGCGCAGGTACTGGCGGTCGAGGGGCCGTCGGGCGTGGGCGCGTCGACGGGCGAGGTCAGCATCATCGAGGGCGAGCCGCTCGAGGTGCGCGCCAAGTACGTCGTCTGCCTCGGCGCGCCGCGGTCCGGCCTGCTCAGGGCGCTGCAGTTGGGCCACGTGCACGATCCGGACTGGTTGATCTGGGTTGTGGATTTGGGGTTGAATAAGGCATGGAAGAGGGTTGGGGGTCTGGGCCGGAAGGGCGTGAGGTTCGGGAGTGAGTGGGCGGTGCAGGTTCGGTTCGATGCTGGGGAGGGAGAGACGGAGGGGTTGGAGGGGAGATGAGAGACGATGGATTTTTTTTTTCAACTGATGATGCGGGAAGGGGAGGGAAGGAATGGAAAGGAAAGAGGAAAAGTTGGTTGTATAAACATGGTGCGGCTTTCATGGCGTTTTCATCTCCTTTCGCCTTCTGGTCGATATTTCATGGTATGCGGTGCTGGCGCATGGAGTGGGTACGGGTACGACGAATGCGTAAGACGGGCAGGCGAGGAGAAGAATGAAGGAATGGAGGCGGAGAGCATCTGATGGTATAGAATATAAGATGCTTACTGCTTGCTCTCGGATAAATTGGTTTCGAGGTGCAGACCATATCGTTTGATGTTGTCGTTACGGTAGTAGCGCTTATCATCGTGACTTGGAACCTTATGGATTCGCGCCATTTCTCGACCGTCTTAGGTTAAGATTCTGAGAGGATCAGCCCCCAACCAGCAGACGAGCTTACGCAGGATCATAATTCCCCACTGCTGACGACGTTAAACTCCGTTACATAACTCCGTCAAGGGCCTAGAGCGTAGCGCGGGGTTTAAAAGGAAGGTTAAATGCTCCTCACCCCACCTCCATCGTTCCTTTTTACCTCCCTCCCTCCCAATCTTCCCCTACGTCGTTGGTGGCTGAGAATTTCTCGCTGCCATATATCCTTACCTCCTTCCTCTACGGAGACTCCTCGTCACTGAAAAAAAAAGGGACTATCGAAAGATAAAAAAAACAATTAACATGTCGTACCCTCAGCCGGAGAAGCACGGAGGCTTCACGCTCATCGTCACGGCGACCATCCAGCCCGACAAGGTCGACGAGTGGCTGAGCCATTTCTGGCCCGCGTTCGAAAGGGTCTCGAACGAGCCCGAGTGCCTGAGCTTCGAGCTGTTCCGCTACCCGGACGAGCCGAACAAGGTCAAGTGGGTGGAAAGCTGGAGTAAGAGTAAGGAGTGGTTTTTGGAGGTTAGTTCGTGCTGTTTTCTTTTTTTTTTTTTTGGTCGTCATTCGTCGAGAAAAGGAACTCTGCTAATCCTGAATGCGCTTGATCACAACAGAACCAATTTACGAAGCCGTACATGAAGCCGTACCTCGACGCCACGGACAAGCTGATGATCGGGGAGAAGCAATGGGAGGTGGTGGAGAGGTTTGGAGGGAAGTGGTCTGCCGCTCGCGAGGGAGCTTACGAAAAGCTCTGAAGCTCTGGATAAGATTCTGCAAATTCCAATGAATGATGCTAGGATGAACAATGCCTATCTCCTTATCAAGTTTCTTTGCACTGGACTGAGTGTTTGGAATAAAGCTTGAATTGGACATCTACAGTCTCTATCTAACATGCCATCCAGGAGAGGAAAACAAACACATCATCGGGGGCGGGGGGAAAGAAGAAAGAACAGCGGAGACGGTCATCTCGTCCTTACCCGCATCGAAAATTCTTCTCTGCCGCTATTCACCACCTCCTAGGTCCACCGTCGCCCGGCAGCTCTGGCAGCGCTGTTAACTCTTTGCCTCTCCCTCCTCCTGATCCTCCGCCATTCACATGATACATCTCCATTGCATGATGCCTCGTCCAATCCCCTTCTGTTGTTGCCCATTGTGGTCTCTGATACTTTCCATCGTCATTGCTGTCGTGTGTGTGCTGCTTCCGACGAGACCGGCGGCGGCGGCAGCAGCAGCAGAGCCAATAGAACAGACTCGCTAGCGCAACGACGATGGCTGCAATGCCCACACCGATGCCGATTTTGGCGCCCAGTGAGAGAGAGGACAAGGCGGTGGTGCTGGTGGGGAATGAAGACGTTGCTGTTGACGCTGATGCAGGAGTTGTTGATAGTGACGGGGATGGTGATGAGGATGGTGATGGGGATGGGGACGATGAAGGTGAAGGTGAAGGTGAAGGTGACGGGGATGTGGATGGGGATGATGATGGGGATGATGATGGGGATGATGATGGGGAAGGTGATGTTGATGAGACAGATGAGGTTGCTGCTGCTGCTGCTGTGCTACTTGCTGATTGCACTGAGGAGGACGACGTGCCTGCGGTCCGCGTGGGCGAAGAAGTTACGGCGGAAGACGGTGCGGCGGCCTCCCCGGCGAGGATGAGGAAGGCTGGAGAGGAGAGCTCGACGGTGGCGGCCTTGTAGACGGTGCCTGGCTTCTTAAAGCGTAGGACGTACTTGGCTGACTTGGAGAGCTGGGAAGATGGAATGCCGATGGTCCAGGCGTAGGAGCCGTCAACGGAGATGTCGATGTTTCCTGAACATGGAAAGATGAGCGACTATTTGCTGTGAATGCCTTTGACTTTTGAGGGGGGCTGCCTACGTGCTATCAAACTTGAGTATTGGACCTCGTTGTAGTTCCATGTCGTCACCCAGAGGTCGTTGGTAGACTCATTCATCGACTGCCATGAGACTGGAAGGGTCTGTCCGGATGTGAATGTTTGGGAGAGGTCGCTTTTGTATCCATCAGGGACTTTCCAGCGATTTTGAATGGTCTCTGCGAGGGCTGAAGTGGGTAATGAGAAGAATAAGAGTAACGATCGAACCATCTCTGCCTGCTGAGCTAGTATGCATAGTCCAAAAGAAAGTTGTCTGAGTTCAAAGTAATCAAGGTGGCACTCAACTACATAGATACCTTGCTTAGCGCTCATTGTACCACTGAGGCGAGGTACGGCCACGCCACAGTGTGCCGCAACTTATCTAATGTTACCCCCGCCGCCAACAGCGTATCGTTGGCGAGCGGCGTAAGGAGGTGTAGCTTGAGGCACATGATAGTCTTTATGATAGATTGGTATCTGGCTTGGGCTATAGCGGTTATGTTGAGATAGAAGGTTATTTATAGTCTTTCCTTTCAAAGCTAGGAGGAAAACTTTAGCTTTATTCTTATTTGAAAGCGGGTCTCTAGTGGACTCGTGAGCTGAAGTTCCAGCCAAAGCGGGATAGGAGTGGCGAATTGTAAGCGCTCGGAAGGGAGCCAAAGCGCTGGGGAGACCGTTCGCTTGCACAGCCCAATTCATTCCTCGGCAGTCCCCAAGCCGACCAATCAAAATGCTCGACGGGTCGATCGGACCCATCGCGCATGGGGCGAGGACTTACTGTGCCGCACTTCCGCGCGCTTAGCTATTGTTGTCAATTCCAAGACCTATTGTGAAATCAGCACTGATACACATATCCCGGTCTACGGTGATTGTGCACCCCCTGAAAACCGCATAGCTTGCCACTTAACACCGCGCCGTTCCCCAACTTTATGCGGCTCATCAGCGCTTCGACTACAAGACGAACCGCTGGTACGGTTTTCGCGCCATGTTGCCCTCGATGATGCTGTCGCCGCGAAAGATGCTGCTGGGGTGCACGGCATTCATTGCTGTATTCCTCATTTTCATCCACAGCCATACGGCATCGTACAAACTGCCAGTCAGCTCCTCGACGGGCGGTGAAGGCGGAAAGGAAAAGTCGACTCCTGTATTCCTCGAATCGGATGACGGAAGGTTCCATTGGAGCCAAGCTACAGTGCGATACCCGGTGGAGTCCCTGATCCCCATTCCCACGGACGTTACGGAGATCCCCCGGATACAGCACGACTTCCCGCCGGAGCCGGAAGAAGCCCGCAAAGTGCGCCAGGAGCGCCTCGAGCAGATCAAGGGAGAGTTCGTCCATGCGTGGACGGGATACAAAGAGCACGCATGGCTCAAGGACGAAGTGGCCCCCATCTCTGGCGAAACCCGCGACACCTTCGGTGGCTGGGCAGCAACCCTTGTCGACTCTCTCGGTGCGTTATTATTACCCGCCAAATCTTCTCTCTCTCATTAGCTATTAAGAGCTGATGCCCAAAACCACCAGACACTCTGTGGATTATGGACCTCAAGCCCGACTTCGAGGACGCCGTGGCGGGCGTCAACGCCATCGACTTCTCAACGTGCACACTAACCGAACTCAACGTCTTCGAGACGACGATCCGCTACCTGGGCGGCTTCCTCGCGGCGTACGACGTCAGTGGCGGCCAGTACCCGACGCTGCTGCAGAAGGCGTGGGAGCTGGGCCACATGCTGTACGCCGCCTTCGACACGCCCAACCGCATGCCCGTGACGCGCTGGAACTTCAAGGACGCGGCGGCCGGAGCGCCGCAGGAGGCGGCTGATATGGCGCTGTCGGCCGAGCTGGGCTCGCTGACGCTCGAGTTCACCCGCCTGTCGCAGCTGACGGGCGACGGCCGCTTCTTTGATGCTGCTCAGCGTATTATGAATGTGTTTGACGAGCAGCAGGGCCGCACGCGCCTGCCTGGCATGTGGCCCGTCGCCGTCAATGCCAAGGATCTCGATTTTGCCGGCTGGAACTCGTTCACCATCGGCGGCATGGCGGATTCGCTGTACGAATATCTGCCAAAGGTGAGTCAGATCATCCCTTCCCGTTCACGACGGTGCGTCAGGAAGGTGCGTAAACTGAAACTGACACAACGGCGGCATAGCAACACGCGCTCCTCGGCGGCGCGACCCCGCAGTACCGCAAGCTCTTCGAAGACGCGGCCCGGCCGATGAAAGAGCACATGTTCTACCGGCCCACCGTGCCCGCGGGCGGCGACCAGATGCTGATGCCCGGCGACGTGTCGACGGACGAGAACGGCGGCGTGCGCCTGGACCCGAAGAACCAGCACCTGAGCTGCTTCGCCGGCGGCATGTTCGGCATCGCGGGCAAGATGTTCGGTAGCGATGAGGACGTCGACGTCGGTCGCAAGCTTACTGAGGGCTGTCTGTGGGGCTACGAGAACAGCCCCAACGGCGTCATGCCCGAGATCTTGTACACGCTGCCTTGCGAAGACGAATCGTGCGCTTGGGACGAGGAGAAGTGGCTGCGTGCCGTCGAGCAGGCGCACGCTGATGGCGACGGTGGCGAAGCGGTTGACGCGCATGCGGTTGTTCAGGAGAAGCATCTGAGGGAGGGCGTCACGAAGATCGGGGACGCCCGGTACATTCTGCGGTGAGCCTGGCTGCCTCCTCCCAATCGAGCATGTTGAAAATAGTGACTGACGATTTCGAAACAGGCCGGAGGCTATAGAGTCCGTTTTCATCCTTTACCGCATCACTGGCGACGAGACCCTCCGCGAGCGCGCCTGGAAGATGTTCAACGACATCATACGCTTGACGAAGACGGATATCGCGCACGCGGGGCTGGACGACTGTCTCGCCGAAGATCCGCCCAAGTCCGACAGGATGGAGTCCTTTTGGACGGCCGAGACGCTCAAGTACTTCTACCTCCTTTTCTCCGATCCGAACGTCGTGAGCTTGGATGACTATGTTTTCAACACCGAAGCCCATCCGTTGAAGAGGCCGGCATCGCGTTGAAGACACAACTGGAAGAAGAAAAAAAAAAAGAACGGGATAGAGAGATGGAATGGGAAGGGAGAAAATGAACGTTCCCGAGAACGAGAACTCTTAACGAAAAGCCATGAACACATTTAATGCAGAAGAACGAATCAGCGCAAGCAAGCTATGAATCAGAATTCTGAGCTCATTCAAACGAGACTGAGTTGCCGAGTATTTCAACAGGTAGAGCAGCCACTGACGGACATTTGACATATTTGCAACAGTGAACCCCGATGTCATAAACAGGAGGTATCTTGCAAGAATCCCCCTACATCATCTGGACTTACATCTCAAGAAAGGCAAAGGCTGTCAAGACAACTGCTAAAACATACCACAGCACCAAAAATACAAGGCAGAACGACACACGATACGCAACATGATGCACGAGTATGGGCCGGGTTGAACCAAGAACGGACGCTTGGACAAGAAAAAAAAGAATATCTACATATACACATCTACAGCGGCGGCAGCGTCTCTCTACAAATCGGGCACTGCAACCTATACCGCATCCACCCTTCCAAGCACACGCTATGAAAGATGTGCCTGCACGGCGTGACCATGTACGCCCTCCTCGCCAACAACCCGCCCGAAAGCGCCGACGCACTGCTATTACCGTCCGCATCGCCGCCTGAACTGTTGCCCGGAACGACGGGAACCTCGAGGTCCTGCATGCAGATAGCGCAGTCGAAGACCTTCTTCCCCTTGTCCCTCGACTCTCCAGCTTTAGTAGCCGAGGAAGCCAGACCCGAGTCCTCGCCCGCGAGCACCTTGCCGCCCGAGGGCAGGCTGGCGCCCTCCTCGTCGGCGCGGAGCACGGGGTGGTAGTCGTACGCGGGCGGGACCCAACTCTCGCGGACGAAGAAGCGCGGGCCGAGGTGTTCCTGGCTGAAGAGCGCGCAGACCTGCAGCCACACCCATCCCGTGAGGACGAGGAGGAAAGTATAGTCGGGCTTTAGCAGGAGGATGTTGCCGCGGTAGGCGAACAGGTAGTAGAAGGGCAGCAGGCGGAGCACGCTCTGGCCCACGACGTAGTCCCAGCGGAGCGCGCGCCGGCAGTTGCGCATGATGTTGCGGTAGATCTGCGGCGTCCAGAAGGAGAAGTAGGTGAAGATGAGGACGGTGCTGTATATCGCTTGCAGGGACGATGGCCAGGTCGTTGCGTGGAGAGACAGGAAGACGAGGCCGAAGAGCAGGAGGTAGAAGCGGAAGTAGACTGTTCCGAAGCCGTAGCGCGCAGAGCGCTCGTTGTCGGTGGCGTTTGCATTATTTTCATTCTCGGCAATCTCTGCGTCGACGTCTTGGTCTGACGGGACGATGATTGGTGTGGCTCCACTGTTGATGGCTTGACGAGAGGTAACCGGAAGGGGAAGTGTATCAGCTCCAGCTGCAGAAATGACTGGAGCCGATGCTGGTGTCTCGCTTCTGCTGCCTGGTTGAGTGGCAGTTGGGGTTGGACGGGTAGAAGCTGCGTTGCTCCGCCTTTCTTCTCTGCCACGCTCGGCCGACTGGACGGTCCAGATTTCCTTGAGGAAGCCCATGCCGAAGAAGACGGCAGATAGAAAGGCAACGTAGGCTGTAGCAAGGAGGATAAGGGTGATTGCTTCGTACGACATACCAACAAAGGCAAATCCTAAAAGTGTGAAGCCATCGCCCAAGGCGAGAAGCGCAATGGTGTAGAAACTGATGCGACTCCTCGTAGAAGGAGTCGAGGCCTCCTTCATCTGTCTCACCAGAAGCACCAGTTGGGATCCAATCACTAAAGCAAAGAGGATAATGTGGCGACGTGCGACCATGGCGTATGCTTCGGTCTTTGGACCCACCAGGTGCTTTCCTTCTTGCGGCGGCACGTCTGGCGGGCCGCTGGACTCTATGATGAAGCCACAGTCGGGCGAGAATGCAACCATAGACATGACCATCTCTGGGGGCAGATTGGGAGAGATGCGGTATGGGTTACGCAGCTCGTCCTCGAAGAATTTCATGGCGAGTCCATTCCCATAGGCAGATGACTCTGGGAGATGAATGGGCAGCGGGTGCTGCTGTAGATACATGACATATTCACAGTGTGGCAAAGAGAACAGCTCTTGCTCGCCCTCGACAATCGACGACCACGGGCTGAAGTCTTCAAGCTCGCCAGACTTCTGCTTTTCGATGGTGGCATTCAGAGTGCGGTTGAGAAGCTCCTGGCCGAGGGTGAAGGCGTATTTGGAGAGGGTAAAGTGCGGAAGAGCGAAGATGCCGTCAAACTTCTCGCTCGTGGTAGTCAGCACGATGGTGCCGGTGTCCTCGAGGTGGAAGCCATGGAGGCGCATGTCCCACCAGTTGCCATAGGACGTGTCTTCGCCGATGGTGACCCTGGCAGCGACCCTTCTCGCCGTTGTATTCCAGGGCTCGCCGTGATCCCTCTCGCCAAAATGTATCCTGATGTCGCCGCCAGCAGCCGTCACGTTGCGAGTCCACTCTTCGGAGGAGTACGTGCCATGCGGGGTGACGGCCGACAGATTCAGGTGCGGGCCGGTGTAGGTCTTGATGGAGCGCCAAGTGCCCTGGACAAAGCCGGTGATGTTGTGGTATACGGGTGGAAAGCGGTCGCTACTCCCGTCTATCAGGCCAACGGTGTCCTCTCCCAGAACGTAGTGGGCCTGGTCGCGGACACGGTCGCGGACAGAATCCAGAAGTTCCCAGTGGAAGCCATGCTCCTTCTTGAGCCCCGTAAGGTTCAACCAGCGCTCTTCATCATCAACGCCAACTTGTAGGTCTCCAAAGGTCGAGTTGTTCAGGGTGGTGAGAGCAGCGCGCTCATGTTCGACGATGCGCTCGAGCTTGCGGGAGGCGACGGGAGCCTGGGGATCGGGACTCAGGTAGAGGAACAGGAAGATGACCAGGAGGAAAAGGAACGGCGGCGGGTTGTTAGCCATTTAAGGATGGGTGGAGCGCAGAGTGCTCCATGAGTAGACGTGGAGCGGAGGCGGAGGCGGAGGTGGATGTCGCGGTCGTCGGAGGTGGAGCGGCGGAAACAACGCTGACGCACCAAGCCCGAGCGCCTACTTAGCTCAACACCACGATGCGACTTCCAATCCCTTGCATCCGCACGCGACATGCACGTGGCTAAGCAAGGCACTCCTCCGCACAGCCAGCCATCACGTCGGCCACTTTGTCGTCTCTGAGTTTCAAAGGCATCCTTTCTTCTGCACGCAGTTCACCCAGAGCGGCAGGATCTAATCGTGGCTACGTAAACGTACGACGATAGCTGACCACGATAGCGTTCGACGCAAACTCGACTTGTCCGACCGGCAGTGGCTTCCTCGAAGCCTCTGTTTCTATTTCGGTTCGGATTGAGGCTATGAGGCTGCTCTCCTTGCGCCCGGAACGTGCATCGAGGACAATATGAAGAAAACCTTACTCGTGTTTCACTTGAGCCTCAGACAACCACCCGGAAAAATGTAGCTGTGGAAATGCCTCGCCCCGGCTGTGAAGCCTCCTATCTTGGTGCTGAGAGGAAGACCAAAGCGCCCGGTCCAGGCTACGCATTCCGCTTCCGCTACAACAGTTCAGAATCCTTTGGAAAGCTTTCTTCGTCATCGCTGCCTCAAGCTGTGTGTCCGTGCAAGAGTGCGCTAACCGGACGTGGGCCTTGATATTGTTGCTTGTCTCAAACAATCATTGCATTGTACCCTTAGTATTGTCCACTCCCCCATTTCTCTCTACGAGCAATGCCGCCCCTTTCAAAGATGCTCGCGACCTTTCCGGACTCCCTCTTGTTACGACTTCAAAGCCGACCGAGCCTTCAACTCCGAAACCGCCTCCGCCACGGCCAGGTCGACGACCATGAGTCCTATTCCATCGGCTGGTCCTGCCAGCAACGAGACTATTTACTACAAGCATGCCGCTAACGCGCCTCCCTTCGATCCATGGAACCAGACCATCGTCCTTTACGACGCTCAAGGCTACCGTGTGCCTCACGACCTCCGCTTGAATTACTTCAATGACTGGGCAAAATATGCAATCCACGCCTCCATCAACTGGGGCAGTCAGATCGGCGCTTCTATCATCATGGTCATCTTGCTCCTCGTTCTGACCAAGCACGACAAGCGTCGCTCCCCCATTTTCATTCTCAACATTCTTGCCCTGGTCTTGAGCGTCGTCCGTGCCATCACCAACGTCGCCTTCTACACGAGCGAGTTCTACAACTTCTACACCTTCATCACTGAGGACGTCTCCCGCGTCCCTACCTCCGACTATGCCACCTCCATTACCGCGGTCATCATGACTCTCCTCTTGCTTACCTGCATCGAGTTATCCCTCATCCTGCAGGCCTCCGTCGTCTGTGCGACTCTTGCTCGCCCTCGCCGCATCACTATCACGGTTCTGTCCATTGTTGTTGCCTTGATGGCTATCGGCGCTCGCATTGCCCTCACCGTCTGGAACATCCAATTCATCTTCGGCCTGACAGACGATCTGCGAGCTAATCTACCGGCAATCTCGAACATCACATCCAGCTTTAGCGTCTGCTTTTTCAGTTTGATCTTCTGTGGCAAGCTCGGTCTTGCCATCAGAAACCGCCGTAAACTGGGACTTAAGCAGTTCGGACCCATGCAGATTGTCTTCATCATGGCAGCGCAGACATTGATCATTCCGGGTAAGTCTGCACCCTCCAAGCACTGCATACTCAAGTCGCTGACCATTACAGGTATATGCTCGATGGTGCAGTTCTTCACCAACGACGAGATTGGAGCCCTGTCCCTGACCGTGGTCGCTATTTTCCTACCGCTCTCGTCTGTCTGGGCCGCCGCCAACACCGACAGTCTCAACCAAGCTTCACGCAGTCACGATGCGCATCACAAATTCCTCGGCGGTCTCAAGTGGAAGAAGGCTCCGGGTGAACGGAAGTCGATAGCTACCACGCTGGACTCCTCCATCCTTTCTTCGCGGGATCCCCTCTCTCCGTCTTCGAGGAAGACCACCTCGACGGACGATACGGAGAAGACACATGGAGATGTCGAGGATGATCGTGACGACCAAGTCTTCGGTATGAAAGCCCTTTGAGATGATTGCTGAAAAAAAATAAAATAACTGACAGCTCTCCGAATACCAGAAGCGGGCAAGGCCATCAATAGGATGTTCCCCTAGAAGGTCCTGAGTCATATCAACGGATTGTGGATCTTTTCCACCTCGTACATGTCAGTCTGTCCAGGGCTCCTGTCAGCCTCTGAATATGCTTCTTCAATTCTTTCATTTCATGCATAGCGGACGGGCCTCTTTCACAGGCAACCACTTCTCTCATCTCTAGTCTTAGCAATCAATTCTTTCCGGCATAACTTCTCGGAGAGAAGCAGCACTAGTTCACAAGCATTCCTTTACTTCTCATGACTAGATAGGCGGTCTCGGATTTCCCTCCGCGGGAATATCCGACCAAGGTGTGGGACGAGCGACGAGGCATGAAGTTGCATCATGACGTAGTTTGAATGTTCCTCCATTGCCCCATCTGGTATCCCGCGCACACCCCCGAGAGCTTGGGAAAGAGGAGCAAAAAACCACCAACACCGACGTTTTCCCTGGCTGGCTGGGAACTGCCCCGAAAAACCCACATGGGGTCGCTTACCCAGGCACGATGCTTTGTCCAATATTAGAATAGCGAACCGACCGAGGTCCGACCAACTCGACCCACATTGCTGCCTCTCTCTCTGCAATCCTTCTCGTTTCACCAGTCTCATGGAATGTCCACAACACGAAGCTTCAGATGACTCGGCGATCAGCATCGCACTGCCCACTTTCTCGCTTGCAAGGGCGTTTCTTGGCAGGGTGTGCGCAGCCGGTTGCTACCGCTGCATGTCGGGCTCCACGTGGTATTGCCTCTTCCTCCCATGCCTGTGTTCCGGTCGTTCCTGTGAAAATGCAACGCTATGTGTGTCTTGTGAGCAGCACGGATAGAAACAGGCGGAGGAGGGTATGACCACGTCAATTGCACCTCTGTCCCCCCCCTCCTTCTTCTCCACCTGCACCTTGTCTTCGCTCCTTGCAACCACACACGCCCCCAGTTCTGTGTGTGCTGACGAGACACCCTTTTTCGCCCTCTCTTCCCGCTCCCAGCAATGTGTGACGCTTGTTCCTTCTGTCCGTCCCTGCTTCGTCCCGTCATCCCTCCCTCCCTCCCCAGCAGCAGGGAAAACAAAACAAAAAAAAAGGCGCGGAGATGACGCACAGCGGAGGGAGCCGGCGATAGAACCACAAACGTGGGTTGTCGCCCGCGGCTTCTCCCTCCCGGACGAACGCCAAAAAAAAAAAAAGCCACCCCATGCATGAATTGCAATGCGTACATGCATATCATCAAAGCGACAGAACATGCGAAGCCCCTGCCCTGAGGGTTCCGGCCTGGGATCCAGCCTGGCCTGGCCCCCTGGGATGAGGGGGGGAAAAGGACGCGCATCGGACCAAACATCCGGTGCTGAACTGGCACTTTCCAGCCTTACGACGTCAACCCACCTCCTGTCTCCTTTTTCTTTTCGTTTTGCTCCTTCCGTTTCCAACTGCATGCGTCTGATGAGGAGAGCGAGGGAAAAAAGGAGCGGGGAGGAGGAGAAGAAGGGGCGTGCCGACGGATGGACGGCAGGGCGTGTGCAGGCAGCCAACCAACGTGGTGGATGGTAAGCAAGCCCGGAAGCATGACCGGAGAATTAATATATCGCTTGTTAATATCATCAGCATCATCATTCCTCCGTTAATGCCTCTTTTTCCTGTCCCACAACGGCCCCTCTAATCGAACCAACGGTCTTTGCGTTCTCCGTTGCCCTCGCGCCCTGCATTCTTTGCTTTTTTGCTTTTCTTCGATCCGTGCTGGTGTAAGCTAAAGCCGCGTTTGACCGTGTAGGCGGGTGAGGTGAGCGTTGCGGTGCACGTACGCCTTGCATGCATGATGGGGGCGGGGAATTGGAGCAGGAGACAGGTCATAAAAAGCGCGGACTGTAATAGAGTGTGGTGCTATAGGAAGGTTGCGTGACGGAGGGCGAGGCTGCCGCTTCTTTCGTTTTCGCGTTTGTTCGCGGTCTGGCCTTGTGGTTCAACCGATGCCAGCGCAGAGGGAGGGGAGGACAAAGGGAGGGAAAGAGAATGTGACCATCGGACGGACGGGTGGACGATTCGAAGATGATGCAGGAGTGGAACAGGAAAGGCAAGAGAAAAAGCAAAGAAAGTAGGTACGATGGTGTATCCATCTCTGTGCAATTCGTCCGCCATGGTGGTCGAGGAACAAGCAGCACTTTATTGGTTATGCTACACCCTGCCGTCTCCTTCTCTTCCTGTGTTCCCTCGTTCTCGTATGCTTCCCAGCCGGCATGTGTATGCTTCACGTGCGTCGACTTCGGGAGAGGCCATTGGATATCACCTGCATGCGGCGGCAATTGCGACGGGATGTGGGCGAATTGGTCCCCCACACGGGCCTGCGGGGAACGCCCGGGTTACTCGTAGCCATCTCCACAAAAGCGTGTGGGGGAATTCCGTGGGCTGTGGGTTCCTTCTCTCGCGATAAGACGGGGAAGGTCCAAAGAAAATGCGGAGTAACCCCCGGCGAACCCACACCAACAGCAAACACAGCCAACCGTACGGCGTGCATGCAGCTACGCCGCACGCCTGCGTTACCGAGCAAGCGAGACGATGCGGCCTTGCTTCCTACCTACCTTCCTATCCCTACCCCTGCAGCCTGGCCCCACCACCACTCTTCCTCCTCCTTCCTCTCCAATCCCCTTTTTGCGCGCCCTTGTTGAACACGTCGACGGGGCGAGGCAGCAATCGGGAAAGAGATTGGCACAGTGGGGCCATTTTAGCTGCCAGGAGGCGGACGCACCTCGGCGGCGCCCCGTACGTAGGTAGATGGAGGGAGGAAGCAAGCTTTGACTGGCGCCAGGACAGCCTTACGGAGACTGACCGACATCAGCGGCGTCGCGGCGCTGATCCTCGCCCAAGCCCGCCCGCTGCTCGGCCTTGACTGACGAAAAGGAAGATGAAGACCCGCGGGCCCGCTTCAGCCTGGTTGGTGGAAAGGAAGAGGACGGTGTATCTCGAAAGACTGGGAGCAAGGGAAAATGGCTGGACGATGGATGGCAATTGACGAGAGAGATGATCGCCGCTCGGCTCGCTCGGTGGGAGGCGGGGTAAAAAGTCGGACGTTGCACAAAGGGTTCAAGACCCTGATTTCTCGGATCGTCGCCATGTGAATGGCTTTCTTTTCTGCTGCTGTGTGATCAAACTGACGAAGTGCAGTCACACGGCCGAAGTGAAGAAAGCAGTAGCTCGTCTGCAGATTTCTGGGTAGGATGCAGTGACGTGTAACGAGAAAAGCAAGCCGACGGCACAAGGCGCCAGGACCAAGTCCGGCAAGACGGTGCGACCCTCTTCCTGCCACTGGGAAGCGCTGCTCGTAATACCCACGAATCGCTCGCCAATCGAAGCCGTTGCCTGTCTATGACGAAAAGCGCAGCTCATCATCTCCGCTTCGGGCTCGTCAGTGAATACCAACTGCCGGATCAGGAAAATACAGAGCAACATACCGGTCAGGACGGTGCGCTGGCAGAGCTCAATGAATCCTGCGTTCTTTTCTTCCCGTGCTTCGAGAAGTAGAGAGCGCGGACGTGACAATCCCCCATCCTTTGCCTGCCCAACCACAGTTCTCCCCGCATGCCGATCAACCCAAGCGAAAAAAGCACTCCCCCTTTCGACAACTGATGATGATTAGCAGCCCGACAACACCGACGGAGCCGGACCGGCCGGCGTCGACTCGATGCTCCGGCACCACTATCCCTTTTCTTCCCAGCTTCCTCACTCAAAACCACGATCAGCAGCAGCATCTGCCTAGCCTACCGCTCGTGCATACTGGTCCGCCTTTTTCGCCGAAAAGGTAAGGGGAAGGGCAAAGAGAACAAGCCGGGGGTTCGCTGAGAAACGGTTCGGCGGGCCTGACTTTAGGCAAGCTGCACCCCGCATTATCGCGCCGTCGGATCGCAGAAGGGAAAACTTTCGGTGCCCTTTTCCCAGCCATGACGATCGTCTGGTGCAGAACACCACGATTATCCTTCTTTTACATCTTCTCTCGCCTTCTCCATGACTAGATTCCTGTTCCAACCTACCTGCTTCGGTCCGTATGAAAATATTTTCAGGATAAACTCTCCGAGTAAACAGATCGTCCTTTTTCTTTGCCGTTTTGAAACGTCGGGACGCGGACCGTAGCTAAAAAATCCTTCGGACAACCTTGAACAGTAGTGAGGGGCACGGGAAGTGCTCACAGGGGAGAGACGAACACATTGGAGCTGCGGGAAAGAAGGTTTGTTTAAGTCGAGACGGCGTCGAGTATAAGAAACAGAGGGGAAACTCTAAACGGGACTAGGAGATCCAAGTACATTGCTTATCACGCCTTCTTTGATATCGTCACTCTGCCGGACTATACAGAATAGGGCTATCCTGCAATGGGCCGCCCTAGAACATTGGGTATCCCTTGAGAAGAACCTATTTTCCATCGTCTCCACTTGGTTGCTACGTTCTACGTTTGACCAAAAAGGCTCCACAATGTCGTGCATGCCCGAGCTTACCGTGAAACAAAACAAGCAAAACAAAATTCAGTGGAGAGGGGACTGCAAGAAAGAATTAGCGACTTCCGGAGAGGCCGTTCTGGAACCGCTGTTCGGCGCCCGGGTAGGCTAGCTGTTTGGCTTGCTTCAGGGAGAGCGGGAGGGAGGCCCCGAGCCACGCAACCCAGCACTTCTCATTGTATCTCTAGCTCAAGCCACAACAATCTTCTTTTTCCCCTCTCATCAGTGATTCTTTGCGAGTTGCCCGATCGCTGTAGAACTATCACCCGTCCGCCTGATGTACATGCGTTAGGTCTCTATACGCCCGGATGTATCTCCGTCCCCGCGGCCGGGAGGCACAATGGCGGTCGCGAACGCAAGCCGTGGTTCGTCGTCATCCTTCCCTTGCTGTAGTCCCGTTCAATCTCGGCCCGTCTGGGGGCGTAAAGGCGCTAAATGGTGAAGCAGAAGGCGTCCGCGTTGGAGACACTTACTTCTTCATCTACATCACGCCATGGCGAGGATACGCCCAATAGCATGTCCTGCTTCAGCCACGTTGGAAATCGTCCCCCGGACGACAACGTATATCCCTAAAGATAAGTGGCGAACGTGGATGTTGGTGGAAATGAAGTCTTCACTGCCCCCCGATAAAAGTCCCGCTGAGAGATAGCAAGGATCGATGACGACAGCACGCTACTGCAATTAGCTCGGCCGGGGGGAGTTTGTCGCAGACTTGAGGATGTTTTGCGCGCATGCAGGATGCACGATGCACACTCTGCATCATGCATGCTTGAAGGCGGCAGGAACCGCAGTGGATGAAGCGAGAAATCGAACGAGAGGAAAGAAAAAATCAAAAATCAAAAGTACAGAAACATGCCATGTTCAAGATCTCGATGCTTTAGAGTTGCTGCAGTATGGGATGTAGTTGAAAGCCGGTGCTGCAGCTTGTATGCTCGTATACCGCACCTTATCCCGGATAAGCAGTAGCCAAGCGCATGATGCATGCATGATGCCGCCACCGCCGCCGCCGCCGTTGCCCAGCTGTCATGTCCACTGCTGACTACACTTCGAACTCTGGTAGCTCATAGCCGTGCAGATACAGCCACACGAAAAAGCAATGAGAAACCATGGCTGAATTACGGATCCGCAGAAAGATTGACGACCATCATCCGATGCCCGTTTCAGAGACGAGGCCTATCAGTGCCATGGGGTGACAGCCAAACCCCTCAGTAGTCTTCTCATTTGCACTGACATGAACCACTGATTGAAACAGCCTCGGGATAAGGCTACCACAACAAGACAGTAATCCCATAGAATAAGCCGAAGCTTAGGAGAGACAAGGCTGGGCAACTAAATCATTAGACGTCTGCTACACACCGATATTCCGGCCTTACGTAGGACGCGCTCCGTTTCGGTGCCTTACTGGAGTGGCCCCTCCCTCTCACGCTCCTTTTACTGCAAAACGCAACTCGCTACAGTCTGAACCTTCCTCCCGTTGGCCCCTTCATCGTAGTTGTATCAAACTCACCCGGTACACTTCCCGCGACATGTTGGACTGCACGCCTTTGAGTTGTAGAATTGCCTGGCCCCCCCGCCGGGGCCACATGTTCGCAGGCCTTCCATCTCGATTGAAGTTAAGCCCAGCCTTCCGAGGGGCCTCGTCACCAAACGAAAGCCAACAAGTCCCTGGTGTTTTGCAATCTACATGAAGAAGAGAAGGTCCGTGTGCGGGTTTTTTCTTCGCTCCCTCGTGATCTTCGACTCGACGCACGTACGTGTTCGGCGCACGCGTGCGCGGCGGGCGTCTTAAGCCTGCGCCATGTAAATTGGAACCGCTGGTAAGTGCGAGTTAGCCCGAATGCGCCCCGGGAAGACCGAGCAGGGAGCGGGACGCAGCCAGACGAGATGCAAGCCCAGTACGCGGTTAGTGCGACGAAATACGGCCGTGGAAATGGGCCCGGTCCGGTCCGGGCGTAGCGATAGTGTGGGTTCTCGTGTACTTATTTTCGTCCGTGTGAGAGTAGTGGTGAGATGTCTGTGTCTTCGTGGGAAAAAACAGGAATCCCATCACCGACGCTGGTCGGGCGGTCATGGGAAACGCCCATGCCAATGACCAAGGGTTCCACAATCTTAAAATTATAAATAAATTGAAATTACGGTAAGGCTGGCCTGATGAGATAAGATGGGGCAAGGAGGAAGATAAGGATCAGGGCAAGGCGACGGGCAATGAAGGTGAGAAACGCCTTCAGGTGGCAGTGGCGTGGCTGTGGCACGGTATGTAAGCATAATAAGCCCGGTCGTGTTGTCGTTGTTGTTGCGGTTTCGCAGGCGTGTTTCGTTTCATGAAGTGAGATTCTTGTGCTGCGCCGCGCAGGAGCCCCGCGGTGTTCTATGGGCCAAAGGCCGGTCGTTTTAGATTCCTTCTCCTCCCCCTGCTGCCTGATGTGTCTCCTTCTTTGCCCGTTCTAAGGTTTTGATGCCTTTTTCATGAGAGACGGCGTGAAAGTGGTAGGACCGGCTGGTGGATTGTGTGCGTGCGTGCCCTTGTGTTCCCTCAGCCTTGCGCTATGGCTTCTTCTCATATCGCCATTGCCCTTCAGCTTCCAAGGCGACCAACTGCCGTAAGGCTCCGCGCGCAGACGGCACGCACCGGAAGTTCCCTCCTCTGCGAGTCGGTCGGGGGCTGAGAGAAGCAGGGCTGACCATCAATCATCGATCCTACATCATTATCATACGTTATCGGCAGCAATAATTGCAAGGCGACACAAAAGCAATCTGACGCCGCACGCTCTCGGGATGTCGGGACAGCCTGCCGTAAGCAAAAGGCAAAGAGGAGATGCGAACGATGCCGCACGTTCCCGAAGAGGAAAGGGGAGCGACTGCAGCAAGCATGCCAAGGCCGAGGCGAGGCTCATCGGCTGGCTGAGGTGTAGCCGACGATGATGCGAGAGTAGGCCGGATGAAGAACGGATGGAGGCGGCGGGCTACCTGTTCCTGTTCCTTTCGCACGTGCCCGAGTACGAGGTGTTGCCGCCAGGAACGACCGGCCATCAACCGCAAGTGGCAGAATAATACGGCGAAATGTTCGTTGCCGCTGTGGGCCGGCGAAAGTGAGATCGATTTGGCAAATCGATTCAGCACCCTTTTCGCCGACGGTGAAATAATGGTGATTGATGCCCATTCTCGTCCGCCAGTTGATCTTCAGATCGATCCCGCCATCCTAGCTCCGTGGCAAAACCACTTAGTAGAGATCTAGGAGACGGGTCCGTAGGAAAACCGGTGTTGCTCATCGACCGGGACGCGGGATCCGGCGCGATCGATGAGTGCAATGACTAAAAGCACATCAGAGTCGCCGTAAAGTACGAGAAGCAGGTGTCTTGGCTGGTGGCCATGACTTTTTCTAGCATATCACTTTCAGGTCAGACATGCGGCTGTGGCCCCATGGGGGTGCCGCATATTTTGGTAGTGGCGCGGATAAGAAAAAAAGGCGAAAAAACGCGCAAGGCAATATATCGCTGTGGTGGATGCGGGCTCGCATGCAAAGTGTCGTCTGTGGCGCCGCATGCTGCATAGTACGGCCATGTGGCGGTGATGAGGTACCCTTGCCATCACATTAATAATTGACCATCAGCAATAAGGGTCCGAGAGTAGACGAATCACGACGCAAAGCACCCACCCTCCAGTAGTATCAAGGCTTTGTGAAACAGCTGCAGTGGCAAGGGCGAAACAAGAAAGAAAGCTTGGGGGAGGGGAGAGGCTCTTCGGCATTTGCCCCCGTTCGCTCCTGCCGTAGCGGCGAAAATCACTGCGTAGTCAGCGGCGAACTCGCTTGGCAGATGCAATTCATGCCCAGCGGCGAAACTGAGCAACGGCAAGAGTGAAAATCGTACGACAAAGGGCGTACGCTCGGCGATGCCGGCGGCGGCCCTTGTCGTCCAATGGGCAATTGCAACTTTAAGATTGCGAGATTAGGAAAAGATGAACCTCAGCTCGCCGCGCTGAGTCGCATGTGCGCGCAACAGATCGAAAGACGCAAACGACAAGCTCCCTGACGCGATGCTCTGGTTGGCGGGTGACGCCTTCCTCGGTTCATTATTCTTGGGAGGGGGCGGTCGCCCATTGTTTCACACCGTTTCGCTGAGGTGGTGGGCAGTCCAGGGTGCATCCTGGGGAGCGCACGTCGCAGATGGTGGCGTGTCAATCATCTTCGATCTATCGATAAGGTAGAGCCCTGGAGAGGGCTCAATCGGATGATGGACCTCCATCCTGAGGGCTGTCGGTTGAAACACCGGCTGCACTGATGACTCGAGCAGGGCGTGTATACGTGGGGGAAGAGGGTCGGTAAGGCATCCGATCTAGGATTCTGCATGCGGCAGTCGACCGTCGGGGTCTAGCGTTGCGTGGACTGGGTACGCGTTTGCTGATTCTCGCGTGTGAATAGAGAACTGAATGGTTGTGATGTAGCGCATATTGGATGTGCGGCGTTTTCTCTGCTCGATGTAAGCGCGCAAAGGCGGTGGCCGAGCGGCCCGGCTACCTGCATGGATGCTCGCAATAGGTATGTGATGGATGGGTTTGCCGCGCGCAATGTGAGATATGCCAAGCTGAGTCGCTTCGGAAAGGACCGGTTCGCGTGTGCCGTCCCCGGGCGAGTCATGCAGCAAGGCCGGGGGTTCATCAGCCAAGCCCGCGCCGCTGCTGACTGCTGACACCCTATGCCTGCGTGAACGAGTGGAGACAACACCTCCTCCACCGCCAGGAACGGCATGTCCGCACCGGCGAGTGGTACCGCGGCGTCGCAATCACCACTGCGGTATCCACTATCGGGGCGCAGCACCATTGCTGCTTGCGAAGAGCCGTCTTGGAAGGCGGCGGGCTCCGCGTGCGAATCTAGTTAGCTACAGCTTCTGCTCGGGGGCCTTGCATCATTCTCTAAAACCCCGCATTCACAGCAATAGTACCGCAGTCATTGTCCGAAAAGCAAATTCCCAATTCATTCCGATCTACGTGGTTTTTTTATCTGCTGTTTTACCTGGATGATTCTGCCGAAACCATTCTATCTATGGTTTTTTGGTTGTGTTGTCTCAATGACTGTAGCCGGTCTGACTGGGTAAAGGGGGACTGTGAATGAAAAAAACTGATGCTCCTTGTCTACGCGGACTCGAGGGTAGCTGCTCGTTGGTGCAAGCTATGGTGGGCTTTGCCGCGTACTGCGTCCTATGGCCGGGGACGCTGTGGTCGGGATATCTTTCGTAAATCCATAACACCGTAAAAGAAAAAAGAGAAATTAGAACCAACGCCGAACCCATCAAACGCCTCATGGGTCGATGGATATGCACTTCATCCGATAACCATGTTGTCGTGAGGGAATTACTCGTTGGCAGGGCCAGCCTGCTCCATGGCAGCCTTCAGCATGCGCTTGTACTCGCGCTCCATGCCGTGCTTGACGGCCTCGAGAACGTCGTCGGTGATGGCCTTGGGCGTGTAACGAGGGGTGGTGCCGTCCTGGTACACACCAGTGCGGACAAGGATCGAGTACCAAGTGTTCTCGGCGTGCTTGTTGAACTCGTTGGTGCCGCGCACGTCAGACTCAGGAGTGTCTCCAACAAAGTAGACAGTGTCCGGAGGCGAGTCGATGCCGTGCGTGTCCTTGCGCCACTGTTGGAGGAGGCGAGTGGCGAACTGGAAGGTGCCGACCTGCGGCTTGCCGAAGGCGTGCGTGTTGATCTCCTTGCCGGTAACGGCCTTGAACATGGCCTCGAGAGACACGCGGAGAGCACCCATCCCGATGCGGGTGAGATCGTGCGAGGTGCTCCAGACAACGTCGTTGTGCGAGAAGTAGACGGGCGGGCCCTCCTCGAAAGTCTCCGAGCGGGTGCCAAGACGTCCGTTCTTGGACATGAGCAGATCGAGGATGATCTGCTGGTCCGAAGCCCAGTCACGGCTGTCAGCGAAGACGAAGATGGCCTCGATGTTCATGTTGTCGAAATCACGGACGCGCGAGTTGTTCCACTCGTCCTCGGTCAACTTCCTGAATGGGGTAGTGTCTTCCTTAGTCTTGATGATGTCGCCGGGGGTGACGACATCCTTGAAACCGTAGCCCTCGGCCACAATGCGGCACTTCTCACCCTCACCACCGACGACGAGAACGGTTCCGTACTTGGACGCCATTTCCCTCATCGGAGTGTGGCCGCAAATGAACTGGCCAGGCGAAACCTCAATCTCGAGCTGCTGGCTGAGCTGGATGCAGCGCTCTTCCTCGGTCTTGCCACCACCGTTGGTGACGAAAATGTACGGCCTGAACCGAGTCAGTCACTGAAACGAGTCATGTGCGGGAGCTAACCACTTACACTTTGATGCCGTACTCGTTCTCGCCATTCAGCATCTTCATGGCCTCAACGGCCTCCGGAATGACCTGGCCGCCGCGGATGAGGACACCATCGATATCGAAAGCATAGGCGAACTTGTCGGTGACGACGGTCTCGGGAGGAGTCTCGGGAGTCGAGGTAGAAGAGCGGTCAATCCCTTGCCTAGCATGGTCCATGGCAGCGGCAACCTCGTGAGACGAAGACGAGGCCATGAGATGGGCGGGAGGCACAACCACGGTAGGCCCTTGCCTATCGTGGAGATCCTGCCTTGTGGCATCCTCATGACTGATGCGGCGCGTGATACGCGGTCTCGGAGGTTGGAGAGTTTGTGCGGACATGATGATGGAGTGGTGAAAAAAGGGAGACCAAGTGGAAAAGCTCAGCAAGCGGCTGGTACTCGAAATTTGTGCTTTCCCGTCGAGGGAGTTAAGTTGGAAGGGAACGAGCTATTCAACAACGGGAACAGCCGTTTATATAGACGACGTGGTGGAAGGAGTCCGGGCACGTGTCTGGAGTGCGGAGAGAAAAGTGGATCGAGTGGAGTAAGGATGGGATAGCCAAAGACTGGAATAGATGATGCCGACCTGGAGGAAGTGGGATTTTATGGTGCCAATGCACCGCCCGCTAGGGCCATTAAAGGAGCAACCCTGACGCATGGCTTGACGCCTCCAGCTGCGTGATTAATCCAAACCTGAATCTGGCGCTAGCAACGCAGGGCTTATCGGCAGCAGGCCTCGATTCATCACGGCGGCGCGCACCGCTCATGATCTCATGGACCCTGAGCCCTTGGACCGTGGCGGCCGTGACGCAGCAAGCGGTCTCACTCCTGTCTCGCCGCGGCTTTGAGCGGCGCCGGGCTTTGGAGCTTCGCGGGACCGGGGCCCCTGCGATGAGGTGTTTCTGGGACGGGGAAGCTGCAGTCGGCACAGCGCTGACACAGACGAAAGGCAGGCCGTCCGTCCAGCGTTGCATGCGCGGCGTCAACACGCAGCTCAAGCGGCCGATGACGAGAACAACGCGGGCTCCAGACCGGTGGGAACGCGGTATCAGAGCCCTGGCTTTGCCGCCGTCGCCTCTTCTGGTGTTGTGGGCCCCACTATGACGTCGGGCAAGCTCGCCTAACTCACCGCATGCGGTGCGCTGATTGACCCGGGGTATTCTCCGCCGCACCCTCGCTGAGCCCTTTGAACCGAAAGATCAAGGGCTATGCAGGGACTCGAGAGGCATCCGCCTGCTGTCTGCTGCCACGCGGAGGGGCGGCCGCTGTGTCTTCCGCGCGATGCGGCGACGGCGTGGTCGATCTGATGCTCCTCGAGAATCCGTCGCCCAGCCGTGTCCGGGACGTTCTCGTCCGCCGTTTTAATTTTTTATGGGGGCCGAGGGGCTCCGCCACGCCCTCCAGAAGTGCGCGCGTTAGCCTCCGCCGCGCTGCCCCTCTGCCGATCCGGTCGGCTCCTGGAGACGACGGCTGGGTGGCTGTGAGCCTCCAACACCACGCACAATGTTCCTGTCTGCCTGCACGGCCCTCCCAAAGTTGACGCCGTCGCCTGGGGTGCATTTATCCTTGCGCGCCGCTGATTCGCCGTCTTGGCAGCCTCCCGCGTCGTTAGGTGGCCAGGAACTCAGGTTTGCTGCCTCGATTTCACATGTCATTCAGCAGCGCTGGGCTGGATGGGGGCGGCCTGTGCCATCTGTAGTCAGCCTTCACACCACGTTGTGCGTGTTGTCGCAGTTGTTTCGAGCATTCCAGCCGCCCCGCCAGACCCCTCGCCAGCCGCGTTGACATCATCGTGCAGTGCGCTCGCGGGCAAGCGCCGGTTTTCAACCCCAGGTTGCCTTAGCCCAGCACTTATCGGCAAGCGCGACTATATGCACCGGACACCAGGCGGCGTTGCGCTCAAAAGTGAAGTTGCGTTAGGCCTCATGTCGGGTGTGCGTCTGTCGATGCGAACCAGACCACAGGATCGAAATGTTCCTTGCTCATCAGCCTGTCGACGCGGTGTCGGCCCCATAAGAGACCCCGGCCCGAGTCACAGTGGAGCTCCGTCCCCACCACCGTGAACACGCGTTGGGTGCTGGTGCAGTTATAATGGGCCGTGACGCTCCGCTAGATTGGTCCGCAAGACGTGAGTGTGACGCTACGGGATCGAGATGGGATCGATCGAAATGGTAGGCCGCTGGTGTTGAACCTTGCTGACTGTCGCCGGCGGTGGGAGGCCTCGTAATTGCGTGCAGTTGACGCTGTAGGCTTGCTCATCTCTTCACAGACTACTTCCTCAACGTCATGCTTTCAACACCTTTGCACCCGTCTTATTTCTGATACCTGTGGTGGGTGGTGATTCAACATCCCGTCTGAGGGTGTTGGTCAGAGTGATGTAGCTGACTGCAGGTCATGGTTCTGCGGAGAAAAGCGGAGTAGCTGCAGATGTGAGCCTGCCACTCAGGAGACCACTTCGCTCCAGCTGTCGAGCTTGGGTTGTCGCACGCCGGCTACTCTTGGTCCCCGTACAAGCGGCAGTGTTCCCTCCGATCGCCTTCAGCCGTTGTGCCAAAAACTATATCTCTCATGTGCGTACAGGTGTGCTTTCCGTTGGACCGAACCCGTCACCGATATGTCTCATGCGCGGTGGAAGAGATTGAAGGTTGAAGGAGGCAGAACCGTGGAACGAATCGCAGCGATCAGCGAACGCACGCGCAGCTGACCTCATAGTTTCGGAATCAGGCAAGCAGTGGCTTGGATTGGCGGTCGGATGGGATGTGACAGATGCGGTGCAGGCGCTGCTCGCGTCGCCCAGGCTTGGCCGAGGAAAGTCGTAGGAAAATGGAAGAAAGAGTGTAGAAGCAAGTTGCAAAACCGTCAGCGACAACTGAAAGAAAAAAGGAGGGCAATAGCGGGGAGGCGGGGAAGCGTTGGCAGGCAGCCAAATCAGGAAAGAGCATGAGGTCACGGGGACGGGCGGCGGCCCAACATCTCAAGACGCGTCTGCCTCCACGCTCCACTCGCGTGCGTCTTCTGATCTCCGCCGATCAAGCTTCCGGATCCGGTAGCCCTCGCTCGCCTTCAACCCCCGCAATGAACTGGACCGGCGGCCGGCTGCAACGACACTCGAACAGCAATACTCTAACGCATCGCCAGAAACAACATTTCGCTCAAGTCCGCACCCATTCTCGCAACGCCCATGGAAATGGTTCGCCCCCATTTAGACCCCAATATCTTCCACCAGGTGAAACAGAGGGCGGAGCGTTTGAGAGACGTTCGTCGATCAAGCGCAAGGCAGCTTTCGATCAACATGAGACACCGGCTCAGCTAGTGCAACGGCTCCCCTCGACGAAGCCGCAACAAGCCGCGCGACCATCGCCAATACACAGCCACATTTCGCCATGGACCGTCCATGATCCCCCGACAACTCCCGAGCGCCCGTCGTTGGCGTTGCATGAAGGAGGTTCAAATTCGACACCACGAGTCTTAGCGCCGCCCACAAAGGCTCGAAAGGACAGTGAACTGCTAACTCGGAGGGCATATGATGGACAAAAAGGTCAAAGGAAGAAGAAGCGCGTGCTGCATGGTGCTCTGAAGGACGATTTGGTTGAGCGCGAGCGTAATAGGCTTTTGGCCCGTCACGATTGGGCTGGTCTTTTGCCCTCTCGGCCATTAAAAATGCATTTTCCGTCCACAAAAGAAAGAGATGGCATCGGGAAGAGACAAAGAACGTGCAGCAGCGGGGTTCGCAGGGTTGACAAAGACGGAGCGAGACAAGCGCCTATTCAGAACGGAATGCGGGAAAATTTTGGTGGTCCATGGATGAGTGGAGCTCTGGTGAACCACGGTGAGGATAATATTGTCGTCAAAATAGGCCCAGCCGCGCTTGCGACTCAGCCGCCTGCACGGTGTAATGACCCGCATGAGGTCGAAGCTCATCTCACCCCATCGGATCCAATGCTATTCGATCTGGAAGACGCAGTAGAAGAGCTGCAGCCAATCCCTGCGCAGCATCTTCCAATTGCAGGGTCTCATGCCCTTAAGGAAAATTTGTCTGACACGGAAAGGGGATCAGAGGAAGTTCGAACCTACGCCCAGGCCGAGCCTGTTGTAGATGTCGAAAGGCTGTTGCAGGAACTTGATGAATGTTCATGTCCAGCCCCTGCAGCCCCTGCGTCAAAGGAGGCTTCCCTCCTTGCATCCGGTTATGACTATGATGCATACTCTGGCAACGATCAACAAGGGAGAATTCGAGCCTCGGATACGCACGAAGAAGAGATGATGCAGCGCCCAACATTGCTAGAAAAATTGGAATCGGGTGGAAAAAGCGACAGTCTGGATCGGCCTGAGACGCGTGTCCAGACCGTGGGGCAGCCAGAGCTGCAGAGCTCCCCGCCGAAGCCGTCCCGGCTTCTTCTCAAGTCTTCCCGGAATGAGCCAAGCGCTCAAGAGTTTCATTACCATTTTGCACGGGCACCGAATCGATCGCAGTCGCGGGGCTCGTTGGAACTAAGAAGTCGTCCAAGCTTGCTGGAAGAAGGGTTCCATGATATTCGACGGCTGGAAGTCAGAGATCGCGCATTGGATAGCACCGACCAATGCCCTGGCGCGCGACGGACCGGTTCCGAGCGGCAGACGCCCTGTCGTGTCATTGGAGAGGGCGGCGCACCATCGACAGCTTCCGCAGATCGTGCTGTGAGCCCGTGCCTCTCGGCAGAGCTACCGATCAGCATCGCCACAGGAAGATGTGCGAATGCACGGAGTCGATGGGTGAAGAGGAGTCAGCCCACCAACAGATCATCCAACTCCGCATTCTCGTCTGAGCGCAAGGCTGCAAACACCTTCAGGCCTTCATGCAGCGACGCCCTGCATTCGCAAGCATCGGACAGCGTTCCCGATATCCGCCGCCTAGGATCTCCGTTTGGGTCTCGCCGTCAAATCACCGCTCAGGCTGAGAAGCTTCCAGCTGCGCCCACGCAAGGCTGGATCGGCGATGCTGTAGAAACACAAGACGAGGAGGTAGTGTGGAAGAGGTTTGTTTTCGGTGAAGGCGACAGGACAGCTATCGACAGCGCTGAGGAGGAGCGCGAGTCGCCTGAACCAGTCGTGAGATCGGCAATGATGCCCGGAAGGAGCATCACTTCCTCTCTTTTTGTCGAGGCGTCCAGCAATTCCGCTGCAGCAGGAACGAGGGCTATTTCGCCTGCATGCGCGCACCTGCATTCTGTGGGTTTCCGCACCGGGGACAATGACACGGCAGCTGCAAGTGCGGGAGGAGTAGTGCCCAGCGGTGAAGAGCAGGCATCCAACCCGATGGAATTTGTTGAGGCCGGGAACACAACCACCGTATCCTCATCGACGGAGAGTAGGTGTTTGCCTGCCCCCATTCATGACGCTGATGCTCAGGCGAACCAAGCGTCAGACGACGCAAACACGGTGGCGGCCACGGCAGGTGAGTCACCTGGTGAGCTGGCTGGTCTAGACCGACGAGAGCAATAATTTTCACGAAACCGGGGGGCCTTCGTGGAATCAATGGCAGCCGCTGGCTTCGCGGCTGGCGGAGCTGCGGTGGAGGGCAGCAATGCGCTCAAGGGCACGTTGCACACTTGGCCGACGGGCACTGCCAGCAAGATATCGAATTCGAGGCAACGTTGACGGGGGCAGTGGACAACAAGGTTTTCGCCGTTAATCTACGGGATTCCGAGCCGTGGGAGCACGGGATGCGCTCCAGACCTGGTTGAGCGTACGGAGGAAGAGCGACAGGGCCATGGCGAAACAGGACCGCGATTTTGGAACCTTTGACGGCTCACACGGCTGAGGGGGGGAATTGGAGCTGAAAAAGTCTTTCTCTGCGGTTCCAACCGTGCACGCCGGGACGACTCATCATTGCTGTACGTATGTCTTGAGATGCGACGGCATGCAACGCCGGACGCGGGCGGACCTTGTTGCACTTTCTGGATGAGGTTCGGCATGCATTCCTGCGTGGTATGTTTTCTGCCTGACGGACAGGCGATCTTTTTTCTGCGTGTCTCCTTGCGCACACATTGTTTCCAATCCATGTACAAGGCCCGTTCGCTTAATATTACCTACAGCAGGGAGGGCTGTCGTCGAAGCGCCCATTCGGACGTGGATGCACGATAGATCTATGAACAATACTAGCATGCGGCAAAGCGCCCCAGCTCCCGCAAACCTTGTTGCAGGTGCAAGTGGGCCGACCTTGTATCAGGATGCTCCCATTACGTTTGCCCTACGGCATTCATTCGCGTGACAGGCCTGCGAGCTGAAGTGACGGCACTAGCAGTCCCAGGTAACAAGGCCGACAGCTCTCGTGCCGCCCGACGACTGGGAGAACAGGCATCTACGATACTATTTTGCTTCGTTCGCGTGCCATCGGTGCGACGCTGCCGTGTGTTGCTCAGCCGCTAGCTGCCGGCCTGCCGGCCTGCCGTCCTAATCCAATAGGCTCCTGGACCAGGCGCATGCTGATTGCGCACCGCAAGTTGCAAGTATTGCGTGCGCCGTTACTAGCGCTTGTCAGCTCCGGAGGGGCTGTCATGTTGTCATTGTTCAAGCTTATCTCCAAGGCAGAGAAGGTGGTCATGCGGAGCATTTCTCGATAGCCTCTTTTCTGCGGGCGGTGTCGGCCAGCCTCTTGCCAATCACTGCGGACGTGAGTCGAACGTGTGCAGCAGTGTGCGTCTAACCATTATGCGCAAGGGGACGTTCGCGGCCTAGTGCTGAGGAGAGAGAGGAGGTGGAGTAGGAGAGAACCTTAACGCGGGCGTGCCCTCGTGCTGCCGGTGCTGGCTGCGCGCGCCGCAGCGGCCGGACGTTCCTGCAGGCCGCTGTCCACTTTTCTGCCATCAATCGCGGGCGTGAGGCTCTTGAGAAGGCCTGTTCGTGCGACGCAGACGCAGGCAATCGCCTGACATCCGTGCGGTGCGACGATGCTGTTGCCGGCCCCCGACTGAGGGGAAATTGGAGCAGGGCTGGCGCCTCGCAGGATGCCCGTGCCGTTTCTGATGCCCGTCCTCCCGCCCGCCAGCCAGCCGCAGCAAGATTTGAACCGGCCCGCTGGAAAATCGCGAGATGATGATAATGATGATGATGAGATGTTGGCGATGAGCGGTGCAGGGCGCCCGAGGCTGCAATTGCTTTTTTGTGCAAGGCGCCGCGAAGATCAAACTGCACATCAGCCCCTGCAAGTCAATGACGAAGATTTTTCATGACTGTGTGTGAAGAATCGTGCGCGTGCTGTGCCCGCGCGGCCGACAGGCTAGGAAACTTTCCATTTTCCTTTCTTTTTTTCCTTGCCTTGCCGCACCCCGTCGCCGTTGGCGGAGCTGCGTGCCACACACCCCCCAGTCCGGCATGAGACAGGCCCTCTGCTGCAAGTCATTAAGATGCGCCGTGCCCTTGTCCGGAGCTCGTGCGACTGCCCTCCCAGGTTTCCTTGCGAGCCCCTCCCCAGGGATGACGAGGCGTGCCGCGCGCAAACGCGGCCAAGACACACGCAAGCTAGCAGTTGGTGAGCTAGCTGGAATGCGCGGTGGTCCGATGCGCTGCTTCGAATTGATCGAATTGACGGAACCCCTTTCGGGGCGGGTGGTGCTGGTGTCGGGCGGCCGCTTGGCCTAGCGCGCGCGGCCCGCGGCGGCGGATCAAGGAGCTCTCGCGCGCGCGTGGTGGTGATGGCCCCGGTTGACTCTGGTGACGGCGTCGCATTCAAGGGCGATTGGACGGCCGGGGGGCATGGCATCACGAGACGGTAACAGCGCAGCGCGCACACCGCTCGCAGGCCTCTGTTCAATCGCTTGATGGAGATTATTGAGAGTCAGCTGATGGGGAGGCTGCGAAACGAGCGACGAATCTCCAGCGGGCCAGTGCGCGCAGGGCGGCTTTTGGGATTGTGGGGAACGCGCCCTGCTTGGCCTCGCGGCTCAGGGGTCGCGGTCTTCTCGAAGCAGTCGAAGGCGAGCTCGAGCTGCTGGCGGCGATCCTCCGGTGCGGACGCTTCGCTGCGAGTCGCATGCAGATTGCGAGGCGTTGCGCAAAGCCAAGGCGCACGGCTGCGCCGGATACGACACACGAGCGCGACGGAGGCCGGCAGTCGGCATGGCCGCACCCGTACGGGCGCGCAGCGGCTCATGTCGAAGGAGCACTGGCTGTTGGGTTGGAGCGGGCAGGGCAGCGCACCCCGGCTCGGATCAGCGACGAGTTTAACCACAGCTTGGATAGCTTAACCACAGAGCTGGTCCGCACAGTTGCGAAGGCTGCTTAGGGCGCGCCACGTTGCCGCTGTGCCTGACGAGGAGGGCAGGCTCGATAAGCGCTAGCTCGCTCGCTATTCTTGTCGCAGCTCCGCAGCAGGGCTGAAGCGGATTCCTGGCCCCGGATGCGTCGGCGCGCGGGACAGCAGCGTAATGACCTGTCTGCCGTGCCAGCGCACGATGATTTGCGTCGGCGGCGAGGCGCCCCAGGGCAGCGCAGCGCGGCCGGGGCCCAGGGGGCGCGCCGCGGGCGGGCGGGCGTGAAATGAAGTGGAACGGGCGCGCAGACCATGACGTCTGGCGCAAATAATCTGGCGTTTGAAACGAATCCTGCCCTGGGCGTGGGCCGTTTTTTTCGCACCCATGCCGCGCGCGCGCGCTGGCCACCCGGGCCTGCGACGCACCGTCGGCTGCGGAGAGGCATGCCTTGCGAGCCTGCGCCCAACGCCAGGGCAGGGATGGCCATCGTGGCCCGTCGCCGTTGCGCCTCGGGCCCGTCCTCTTTAATAACGAACTAGTTGCCATCGTCAGATTTGCGAGCATCCGCCGCACCACAAGCCCGCACAGCGCCCTCCTTTTCCAAGCCTCCTCGCAACTCCCACGACCGCATTCCGCAGCCTGCGTCAGCACGCAGCCTCGCCCTCAGTACGTACCACCGCCCCGGCCCCCGCCGCACTTTCGGTGCCCGCGAGCGCGCGTGGAGAAGCATGCTTACCTGTTAGGATAAGCTGCAGGCCCAGCCTCACTGCGCTGCAAGCCCTCTTCTGGAGCAAGACCGCACTCCGCGCCATTCGACCCCATCGCTCTTCAGCTGACCTGCCGCATCATTGCCTGTCCTGCGCTTGATGCGCGATGCTCAATATGCGGTAAACACGACAGCCCCAAGCGCCCACAACGACTCCGGCTGGCTCGGTCGCACGACCATCTCTCATTCTTGCCCACTCCTAATATGCCGTCCCGTCCTCGACGATAGTAGGGCCACCGCTTCCCGCTCGAACCATGACCTCCTCCGCGGCATACTCGGCGCACGACTCTCCAGACCACAATGGAGCGCCTCGCCCCCGTATGCCCACCCCCAAAAGCTCCGTCTACCGCTTCAATTCCCACCATGCCACCATGCCGCTCGCCATCCAGCCCACCTCCGGCGCCGCCAACTACTCGCGCAACAGCCCGACCTCCGCGCCCTCGCTGCTGGACTCGGCCGTCTCTCTCCAGACCACTCCCGAAAGCATGCACCCTACCCGCATAACGACCTCCTTCCCCGCGTCCTTCTCCCTGCCCGAGTCCTTCATGTCCACCTCCGCCCCGGGGCCGACCTCCTCCCCGGGCTCCAACGCCATGACCGACGCCATGGCCCTCACCAAATCTCCCAACCTGATCCGACGTATATCCCGCGGCGCCCACAGCCGCCTCACTCGCCAGCGCGGCTCCGGCGCAAGCGCGCGCCGCGACCACAGCGCCGGTCCCGTTATCATGCGTAGGAGGAGCGACAGCCGGACCGCCTCGGATCCGCGAGACGCTGCGTGGGATGTGTCGGACTACGATCTGGAGGGCCCGGACGAGGAGGCGATTGAGGATTCGGGCGAGGCAATGGCTTCCCAGGAGAACATGGTCAACGGCCTTGGTATCACCGCCGGTCGGTCAGCTGGGGGCACAATGACGGAAGGCGCGCCTACCCGCTCTCCCGTCCTCGAGCAGGGCACCTGGCTCACCAAGGTCACCAAGAAGAAAATCCAGAGCATGAGATTTCGTCTGGACCTTGGCTCCGCGAAGGTTACGTGGGACCCATCCCGACCCTCCAAGTCGTTTTACATCGATGACGTCCGCGAAATCCGAATTGGCAAGGAGGCCAGGAACTACCGTGAGGAATTTCAGGTTTCCGCCGATCACGAAGAGCGGTGGTTCACCATCATCTACTCGGACCCTTCAATGTCCAAGGGGAGGTCCATCAAGACCATGCACCTCATCGCACCTAATAACTTCCTTTTCCAGCTCTGGACTGGTACCCTCGAAGAAGTCTCTCGTAGCCGCATAGAGATGATGGCCGGTCTGGCGGGTACCGGCGAGAAGACAGCAAAAGCGTTGTGGAAGCGGACCTTTGATCACGCCAGAGGGCACGAAATTCCCGAGGAAGACCAGAAACTCGACTTTCCTAGTACGGTCAAGCTCTGCCGAAGCCTCCAGATCAACAGCACGGAAGATGCGCTGCGTGCCCAGTTCAACAAGGCTGGCGAACAGTCGGGCTACTTGCGTTACGGCCAGTTCTTGACTTTCGTCCGTAAGCTGAAAGAGAGGCGTGACCTGAAACCGATTTACGACTCAGTCAAAGGCGACCATGCTGAGTTGTACTGGGCCGAGTTCGAACGATTCCTGCAGGAGAAGCAGGGTGTTGACGTGGCTGCCGATCAGGACTATTGGCAGAACGTTTTCAAGAAGTTCTCCGGAAAGCCGAGGAACAGCTCCGCATCCTCGCTCAGCGGCGATGCATGCATAGGAAGCATGAATTTTCAGGCATTCCAGGCATTCATGACGTCCTCAGCAAACCACGTCCTTGCCGCGCCGAGATCGGAGCCAAGGCTCGATCAGCCACTCAACGAGTACTTTATCTCGAGTTCGCACAACACCTACCTCCTTGGACGCCAGGTTGCAGGCCATTCCAGCACTGAAGCCTACATTGTCGCGCTGCAGAAAGGATGCCGGTGCATAGAGATCGATTGCTGGGATGGCAGCGATGGTCGCCCGATCGTTGTCCATGGTCGGACCCTGACCACCCATGTTCTGTTCTCCGATTGCATCTCGGTTATCCAAAAGTACGCCTTCGTATCTTCACCGTACCCGCTCATCATCTCTTTGGAAGTTCACTGCAACCCCGATCAGCAAGCCGCTATGACCGAGATCATGAAGAAAACATTTGGCGACCAGCTTCTTCTGGAGCCTCTTGACGATTCGCAAATTCTTCCGTCGCCGGAGGAGCTCAAGCACAAGATCTTGATCAAAGTCAAAGCCTCGGAAGACGCTGACGATAAGGCCGGCACGAGCGATGCGCCGAGCTCACGCAGCAGAACGCGCAGCTTCAGCTCTCCATTCTCTAAGCCCATCAGCATCGACAACAGTCCTATTCCCGACTCTCCTCTGCTCTCTAGTCCTCCCTCCATTAGCCCCCCGGAACGCGCTACCCCCTTTTGGCAAACGCCGCGTACTTCTGTAACGTCAGCGGGAGCTAGCCTGCATAGCTCGGCAGAGGACAGTGACAGTCCGCCTGCGACCTTTGCGGACAAGAAGAGGAAGAAGAAGACCAGCAAGATTGTCAAGGTTCTCGGCGACCTCGGCGTGTACACACGGGGTATCAAGTATTCCGACTTCAGATCCGCGGAAGCTAGGACGTACAACCACATCTACTCGTTTGCCGAGCGCACCTTCGACAACCTTTGCAACAAGGAATCTGCGTCTAAGTTGCTGCTCGAGGAACACAACCTGCACCACCTTATGCGCGTCTACCCGTCAGGCTATCGGATCAATTCGTCCAACTTTGACCCGATCAAGTTTTGGCGTCGAGGAGTGCAGATGGCGGCATTGAACTGGCAGACGTACGACCTGGGTCAGCAAATCAACGATGCCATGTTTGCCGCCGGCCACGACAGAACTGGATATGTCCTCAAGCCACAAGAGCTCCGTGAGCCAAGGAAACGTGAGCTTGTCAACGGCGACTACAAACGCGCCAAGCAGCAGAAGAAGCTCGTCAAGTTCTCGGTCCATATCATCTCTGCGCAACAGCTGCCACGTCCCAGCGGCATGAAGTCGGACGCCTCGATCAACCCGTATGTTGAGTTCGAGATGTACAGCGCCAACGACAAGTCTCGGGGGGCCGCAATAGGCGAAGGTGGAATGGACGCGTCAGCGCGGAATGGCGTCTCCGGTATTGGCGTCCCACTTCGCAAGCGCACACCTATCATCGAGGGCAACGGCTACGACCCGAATTTTAATGCCCTGCTGTCCATGAGTCTTGAAACACGCTTCCCGGACCTTGTATTCGTGCGTTGGACCGTTTGGAACTCGGCCGATAACAAGACTGTCAGCTCGAGCAACGTGCCTCTCGCTACTTTCACCGCCAAGCTCAGCAGCTTGCAGCAGGGCTACCGGCATCTTCCTTTGTACAACGCCAACGGCGACCAGTTCATGTTTTCAACTCTTTTCTGCAACATCGAGAAGGCTGAAAACGTGGACATCGAGCAGAACATGCAGATGCAGCACCATTTCGCCACTGCCGCTGCAAACGCGTGCCAATCGGAACCGTCGAGCCCTCCACTGGAGGCCACACGGACCAGCAAAAGGGATTTGTTCCAACGCGTTTTCTCTCGCACGCCGTCCAATAAACGCAAAGACAAAGAATTCCGCGAGCGCGACAACGAGCGCGACACGATCAGCACGATCAGCCGCAGCTCAACCATGGATTCGCTGAAGTAATCTCAGCGTCATAACACCATCACCCTGTACTACCACCTATCAACGACCCACGACCACGAAACAGTAAAAAAGTCAACAACAATGATGTCCCATTCGCACTTTTTGCATCATCGAATATTCATGGCGTTCAACGGCTGCATAAGCGATCATTGTCTTCCTCAACAAACTCTCCCGTAATGACACCGGGAGGGCCTGCAAAGCATGGGAAAGGGGTTACTACGGGGTACCATCTTTATCCTTTCCATCATCATCGACGACAGCACGGTTCGACCTCAACCTACTCGGTTATTGGATCCCTGTCGCTGTTGCAAATTTCGGCTTCGTTATCGCGAGAGCAAGAGGAGAAGATCCCCGCTCGCTTGTACTACCTTTTTTTTAACTTTCGATTATACCCTCTTCACCCCACAATTGTCCTGTCTTCCACTGTTTTATGGGTTCTCTCATCGGCGTACTTTGGAGAAGGAGATCGGCGCTCGACTCAATCCGCCTTGAGTTCTGCGTCATCGTGTTTGCGCTATAGACTGGGCTGATGTGTGTTTTCATTTGAACTTTGGGGGCCTGGACAATGGCCACCCTGCATCATCATTCGCTTTTCCAACTGCGCGGCCATGCCCGAAAAAAGAACTCTCGCTATATTTCGATTCTTCTGACGAACTTTCTCCATTTTCAAGTTAGGGCTCACGAGCTCAACATTTCCTTTGTCACTGCATCTTCTCGGTTGTCTTATCTCTTATCCGGTTGTCGCGACTTTTCTTCATGTCTTGATTTACCATCCCAGGAGAAGGCCAGGCGCCTGCATAGCCTTGGGAGCATCTCGGTATTGTCGTCATACGCGTGTACTTGTTTTGCATTGGGTGGAGCAAAGTCTTGTTTTTTTCCGACGTTTTTTGTCTCGCAGGTTAGCCAGTATACCCCTTAGTGCTTCTGTATTCTTTGCAGCGTACGCTTGATTACGCATGGAGGAGTAGCGGCTTTCGCTATAGCACATGGACAGATTGGTCGGGTGGAAAAGTACGGAAAGGAAAGGAAAGCTAGAGGCAAGTTTGCAATGACGGGTTGGCTGCGCAACGCAAAAAGAGTGCAAGGGGGTTGTGGATTTCCCACAACCAAGGGGTACTACTTCAGGGGTTCTGTTTGGTTGGAGAAAGGATAGGCAGCTGAGTTGAAATGATAAACACGACGGGTTGTAGCGGTGGCCGGCCTGATGAGACAAACACAACGACCTCTTCATCATCTTCATCATCTTCACGTGCGCTTTGTCACTCGTGCTTGTGAGTACCTAACACAGTATGACTCTCAACTTGCGTGCTCGGTACCCGTGCGTTTCGGTCACTGATTTTTTCTGTTCTCTTTGTTGAACCGTGCTGTGAGGAGGGTCCCACGTCCCTTTGGTCCGCAACCGGCCGTCGGTAGTTTGCGGATTTGCAACGCTCTCTTTCATCCGCCCACCGCCTACTGCCGAAGCGTCATCGCCTCTTGTCAGCAGAAACGGGGCCCGCCGACGGAGGGGCTGTGCAAGCCCTCTTTTTTTTTTTTTGTCTCAACTTCGCTAAAGATGAGCGGTGGAAATTCCTGCAGAAAATCAGAAAGGCAAAACGCTGCTGCCTGGATGCCATGCAGAAAAACGGGATGTTGAACGAGAAGGAATCCCTTGGTGGGAAAACTGGGCACGGTGTGGCGTGTGGGCGCAAGCAAGATGACGGAAGGGAAGGTGTTCGTTGAACGCAGTGCGCCAAAAAAAAAAAAAAAAACCTTGGCTGCCTTCCATTCTGCTGTGCATGCTCGTTTTCACCTTACCGATTGTTCCGTCTTGGTTTTCGCTGTTGCCGGTATCCACCAACGAACCCCACACACGAGACGCACACACGAATGCAGAAGTTAACAGGCGTCGCCCTATCGTATCTTGCTCGTATCGTTTTTCCTCTCTTTCTCGCTTGGCCCTTGCTCTGAATCATGAGTCCTTGCCCTTTACCCTTTTCTCTTCCTCGCCTCCTTGCTGCTCCCGCTCGTTGCCCTCAGCCCATCTCTTCATTGCCCTTTCGTCTGTTATCTTGGCGGACGGGTAAGGCAGTCACATCTGCCGTGAAGAGAGCAGACCCACTGCGCTCGCCTATTTCCATCCCACTTTGTACTAACTGTCTGCGCGAACGCACCTACCTTCAGAGGAGGGGCTCTGTCTTCTCTTCGCAGCACGAAGCCTCAGCAGGCACGCAAGCTTCAGCCATGGTCCACCGCTCTTCCCCTTCTCCCTCAAGCCGCCCACAGGTGATGACTACTGCCACACCATTCCTCAAAGGGCCTCTACTCTTCGCAGCGGGACTCCAAGCATTCAAAAGCCCGTTCTACAGGCATATGGAGCATAAATGCAGACAATAGGCGTAGGCTTAAAGACTATACATAAATGTCCGGGGGTCGACTCCAACTACTTACGTAAGTCAAATCCGATATGTATCGCGACCACATGACTGCGGAAAGAGTGAGGAGTACAGACTACTGCAACCCACTTAGCCTACAGCACATCAATCTTGCTCACCGCCATGATGCATCTTTTTCTGTTGGAGACGAACAAGGAAAGCCGGCTGCTGCACACCCGGCCGCCTGACCGTTGCTGCTACCTCTTGTGTTCATTCCGAGTGTCAGGCTACATACTTTGCTTGGCTTGTCTTCTGTGTGTGGGGCCAAGAGCTCTGATTCTCTGGTCGTAGCAGCACAGCAGTATCCGTCCCACTTCCTATCTCACTCTCATGGCCCGAGAAGGGGCCGTGGGGCATTCGGGTTGGATCCGCCCGATAAGTGTATCGAATTCAATATTGATCCTCCGTGACTGCTAGCTACACTAGCAACCGTACCATCGGCTGATTCCTCTTCGTTCTTACAATAGCAAAACCTTGCGAGAAGGCAACAAAGTAACCTCAGGAGGCAGACCGCTTCGCCGTGGCTATTTTTGCATACTTTTTTTTCGCTCCTGTTCCTGATTCCACTCCTTGCGCTTCGCCACGCATGCGTGCCGTCTCTCGCTTTCGTGTATGCAAGCCACACCCTCCGAGGTAGAAAATGCTGATCCTGATTTCGCCTTTTCTGATCTGAGTTCTCTGTACATAGGCCTCAGCCAGCCTCTCTCCCCACCCTCTACGTCATGTGTGCGTGGTAGCCAGAGGGTGGTCAGGCGTGGTGATGGGGAGGGGGAGGGGAAGGGGAGAGAAAGGGAGCGGTGTGTAGCGGGAAATGGGAACGCAAGTATCAGGCCCGCAGTTTTGCGGGGGAGACAGAGGAAGAGGGTCTGGTGTGGTGATGATGGTCAAAACCAACCATCGGCCCTCTCTCCCCGAGCGCGATGGCCCCGCCGGCCCCTCCGTCCCTCCCTCTCTCTCTGTCCTTCTCTTGGGCCCTTCTGTTTCCCTTTTCGCGCTGTCTTCTCGCTATTTTCTCCTAGCTCAGCCGGAGGAGAGGGGCGAGGATGGACTAGCAGGGGAAGGGAAGGGCAGTGGAACAGAACGAGCGCTTTTTGCTGTGGGGAGGGAGCATTGATGGCGGACGGATGTCTGTGTGCGTGTGTGAGGGGCATACAAGCGTTCGGAGGGCATGCGAGCGATCGTAAGGGCAGACGCGGCACTGAGCTGAAATGGATATGAGGGCAGTCGGGAAAAGGGAAATCTACAGTGCGCAATGCATATTGCATGCATGCCCGTTGGATGTACATACGTACATGTGCATGAACGGTAGGACAAAGGCAAAAGCGGCGGACCGGGGGCGGACGCTGTGGCACCGAACGGCTGATTCCGCTGTGAGATCTGTGCGAGAAAAGGGCATTTCCCGAGTGGATCGAGGGCATTTTGAAAAGAGCGGGAAAAGTAGGGGGATAAGGGTGTGCGCCGCGGTGCGTGCTATGAGGTTTGTGCGTCATGCAGGTAGACAGGCACGGACGAGGGGTTTGGGGACTTGGGGGCGTGATGCATGTCTCTCGTTGCTTTTTCCTTCTTTCCCTTAGTCGTCGCTTCTGGAATCAGGAGTATGAGGCGAGAAGGCCAGAGCACAACGGGGGGGGGGGTGGAGGTTTGGTGGGCCATGGCAAGAATCATCGGCTGAGTGGTGTGCTCTTGCGTAGATTGACAGTGCGACGAGATAGAAGGGTGAGATAGGCACTCCTGACTCTCTGCGTCTTTTACTGCTATTGGGGGCTGCGACTGCTCATCATTATCATCATGACAAGTCGGACAGCATCTTCTTTGCTCACTCTGTCTCGTGTTGCGTCACAACTGATGACAAACGGCGTGAGTGACCTGATGAGAAGGTGCAAATCGTGGTGTGGGATGAAGCACGAGGGCACACGGCTCAACCGTCATGCATGCATGCGCATGCAGGCAGCGTGTTTGGTGTCTGTAGCAGTCGCTCTCCAGAATCGACGATGAGCATAAAGCTGATGTTAGACGTGGCTTGCGCTTCGGAATTTTCCTTCGGGATTAGCTGCGCCTTTTTCCCTAGCTGAACGTCTGTCTGCCTGCCCGGGCTGTCTATCTCCATCTCGTCCTCGATAATCCGATAGGGTGTGGAGGTCCATGCACATGACCAGGAAAAGACAAGGCTGACCTGAGCTATCTCGGCCTTTCTTTAGAATGAAACATGGTCTGAGGAACATGATGGAATGGCAACGACATCTGTCGGTGTGATGATGAATGTACGTGCATTGTGTTCGATTTATCATGCCAGGTCCAATGGCGGTGCTCGATTCAGTGAGGCTGGAGGTGTCTCCGAGATCTGCCCACAATTGATCTACCCTAAGTGCCGACACGCAGGCGCAACACCCGCCGATATAATACGGAATAGCCGCTTAGACGAGCGGATAAGAAGGAGTAAAGTCCGGCAAAGCAGACGGCGCGGTTCTCGCGGTTAAGGAATCGGATTTTACTGGTGATTGCGGGGTCAGAAAGTCCATGTGGTGGTCTGGCGCGCCACGCGGGTGGTCGGGAGCAACCGCTGGTGGCATCACGAGGAAAAGAGACGTGCTGGCCGTTGATCGGGTAGCGCACGACTTGGCAGAGAGCGGGGAGCATGTGAATGCATTCGTCACGGAGGGGAGAATAAAATGCGTTCAGCAATGATGGTTAGCCGCGTCTCTGCCGCGCGCAGCCTCATTACTGCTTCCCAACTGCTCGATCTCGCCTAGGGGATGCGTAGAGGCGCCCTAATGCATGTGCGTGCCATGTGTGCAAGTCGCTGACGGGGGTGGTACAACGTGGCATAGCAGCAAGGCGGAAGCTTGTTGTATGTGGGTAATGCATTGTTCGCTGTTGGCCTGCTTTGCTGTATCTTGCAGATAGCCTCGACTCGTCGCGGTGCTCCATCATGCGCATCATCCCGCGCGCTGTCTTTCTCCATTCGTGCCCAAATAACGCCATAGATGCCGCTCCATCCCTGGAAATCCCCGAAGTATAGCCCAAGTGCCGTGATATGCGCCGCCCAGATGCCCATTCCCCTCTTTTTGGTGTCTGCCCCTGCACGTCTCCGAGAAACACTCCACTGCCCGTCCATGCTGCTTGCGGGCATTACAAGTAGTCCTTCTTCTTGGCGGTACGTGTGTACTGGTTCATGTGCCACTCGACATCGCCATCCTTGTTCTCCAGAGTGCCCCCGCGGATCTCGAACAAGCGCATCGTCATCCGCGGGCCGACCTCCGCCAGCTCGACGCTCTGATAGCCCGTGCGCACGAAGACATGGTGACGGACCTCGATGCTATCCTCGCGGTTGACGAAAGTAACAACACGGTTGCCGACGTCCTTGGGGGTCGCGGCGGCGGGGCGCGGAGGGAAAAGATGCTTCAGAATCTTGACAACACGCTTGCCGAGGTTGGTGGTGAAACCCTCGAAGATCAGGTGCGGGTAGGACTCAGAGACGGTGCCGCGGGCGGAGTTGGGGATATCATGGCGCAAGACGACGTTGTGAAGCGAGAAAGAGGCGGTGGGACCGTGGGGGAAGTGCGAGATGGTCATGGCCGTGGGCGTACCACGGTGCTCATGGAGCAAAACCACGTCGCTCAGCCCGGCGGACTTCGCGCTCGACACAATGTTGGGCAAGATAAGGTTTCCTCTGTTGACGCGGATACTCGTGGGCAGCAACAGGCGGATTTCTTTGGCAAAAACACCCAGACGAGTGCTGGGATCGCGCGACGTTGTCACGAGCACGCGCGGGTCCACGACACCCGAGAGTTGTGCATACTCGTCGTCCAGATCCAGCGCCTCCTGGGTGGTGCGTTCCTGTTGCGATTCGTCATACTTGTAGTTTGCGCGCAGGTCCTTGTCGTTTGCGATGGACGGGTCCAGCGGCTTGCCGGTGGCGAGAGAGGCTCGCAGAGCTGCGCGTTTCGAGGCGATCTCGGCGTCGCGGAGGGTCAGGGCACGGCGATAGAGGTAGTCGCGCCTCTCGCGGGCTTGCCGGCGCTGCAAACGAGTCAGTATGCGGTGCGGAGGAGCAGATGCGGGTGCGGCAGACGAACAATCATGGCGGGCTGCGTGGGTGATGTGGCGTCCGAACAGCCGTGAAAATCTTCTCAATGCTCAGGAAGCGGTGCTCGCACAGCTGCAGGTGGATTGCGGGCGTCGGTCGGGGTCGTGGTAGCGGCTTGGAGCGGCAGAGCTAGTGGTGTTGAACTTTTTGGTCCCAGGATTTCTCAATTTCTCTCTGGGCGGATCGACACATGCGCCTCGAGCCCGCCCGCCGCACAGCCAGAGCCTAACCACCTCTCCCATCCAAGCCGCGTCCGCCGCGCCCAAGGCAATCGCTCGCACCGGTACAGGCTTCTTTGCGCGAGCAACACCAACCCGCAGCCGCGCTCGCCTGCTACGCGCATCCAGAAGCCGCAGCGCGCGCATCATCCAGGAAAGCGTCCTCGCGGGCCTGCGCGTCCGTGCCCGACTGCTCTGCCCACCACCGCCCGCACCGCAGCTTTGATTTTGCCTCCTCCGCAACCGCCAGAAGCTACCCAGCACCGAAACCCAGCATCCCCCCACAGCCCGCCCGGGCCCACGACCATCATGGAGGGCGCCTTTACTCATCTGGGCAACCACCTGGTCTCCGACTCGGCCTCGACCATCAACGCCGGCGACGATGAGAGCATTCTAGACGGAGATCTTGGCCGCTCCAACCTCAACGGCCGCCGCCGCCGCCTGGACGATGACGAGGACGGCGACACCTACGACGAGGATGACATGGAGAGCATGGCCAGCATGCAGATTGACGGCAAGCAGCAGAAGCCCGACGAGGATGTCGAGCTGCCGCCTCATGCTTGCGCGTGAGCATCCCCTCAACCAACTTGAAGCTTTGCGCCACCGCGCTAACCTTGCCTTTAGCTACTGCGGCATCCACAATCCCAGCAGCGTCGTCAAGTGCCTTAGCTGCAGCAAGTGGTTCTGCAGCGCCCGTGGCAACACGTCTTCTTCCCACATCATCAACCACCTTGTCCGCGCCCGCCACAAGGAGGTCCAGCTCCACCCCTCGTCCTCGCTTGGCGATACTGTACTGGAGTGTTATAACTGTGGAACTAAGAATGTCTTCCTGCTTGGTTTCATTCCCGCCAAGTCCGACACGGTCGTCGTCCTTCTGTGCCGTCAACCGTGCGCCGCCATGCCTTCTTCCAAGGATATGAACTGGGATACTTCGCGTTGGCAGCCTCTGATCGAGGATCGTTCGTTCCTACCCTGGCTTGTTTCCCAGCCCTCGGACCAGGAGCAGCTCCGCGCCCGCCACCTGAGCCCTCAGATGATTGCCAAACTGGAGGAAATGTGGAAGGACAACAGCAATGCCACCATCGCCGATTTGGAAAAGGGAGCTGGAGTCGACGATGAACCCGCGCCGGTTTTGCTCCGCTACGACGATGCCTACCAGTACCAGAATGTCTTCGGTCCGCTGGTTAAGATCGAAGCCGATTACGACCGCAAGCTGAAGGAGTCGCAGTCTCAGGATGGTCTTATTGTGCGCTGGGACTTTGGTTTGAACAACAAGCACTTGGCTAGTTTCGTGCTGCCCAAACTGGAATTGGGAGACGTAAAGCTTGCCGTGGGAGACGAGATGCGGCTGCGCTACACTGGCGAACTTAGACCTCATTGGGAGGGCGTGGGATACGTCATCAAGATCCCCAACAACCAGTCCGATGAGGTTACGATTGAGTTGCGCACCAAGGGAGACCACAAATCGGTCCCTACGGAGTGCACGCATAACTTCACCGCCGACTACGTTTGGAAGGCCACTTCTTTCGACCGCATGCAGCATGCTATGAAGACCTTTGCGATCGACGAGATGAGCGTTTCTGGTTACATCTTCCACCGTCTTCTAGGTCACGAGGTCGCCGCTGCTCCTATGAAGACTCAGCTTCCACGCAAATTCAGTGTTCCCGGACTTCCAGAGCTCAACGGTTCGCAGATCAACGCCGTGAAGAGCGTTCTGCAGAAACCTTTGAGCTTGATCCAGGGCCCCCCTGGTACGGGTAAAACAGTCACTTCAGCCACCATCATCTACCACTTGGCCAAGATCAACGGTGGCCAGGTCCTGGTTTGTGCCCCGTCCAACGTCGCTGTGGATCAACTTTGCGAACGTATCCATCGTACTGGGCTCAAGACTGTCCGAGTTACGGCAAAGTCCAGGGAAGATGTCGAGTCTCCTGTTGGCTTCCTTTCCCTTCACGAGCAGGTCCGCATGAACGACACCAATGTCGAACTCAACAAGTTGAACCAGCTTAAGAGCGAACTTGGCGAACTGTCTAGCCAGGACGAAAAGAAGTTCAAGCAGCTGACCCGCGCCGCCGAGCGCGAAATTCTGACCAACGCAGATGTCATTTGCTGCACCTGTGTCGGCGCTGGCGATCCCCGTCTGGCAAAATTCAAGTTCCGCACTGTCCTCATTGACGAGTCAACCCAGTCTGCTGAACCTGAGTGTATGATCCCGCTCGTCTTGGGCTGCAAGCAGGTTGTCTTGGTTGGTGATCACCAGCAGCTTGGACCCGTCATTATGAACAAGAAGGCCGCCAAGGCTGGTCTGAACCAGTCCCTGTTTGAGCGTCTTGTCATTCTGGGCTGCGCTCCTATTCGCCTGCAGGTCCAGTACCGTATGCATCCCTGCTTGTCTGAATTCCCCTCGAACATGTTCTATGAGGGCTCCCTGCAGAATGGTGTGACGCGGGAGTCTCGGATGCGCAAGGAGGTCGACTTCCCCTGGCCGGTGGTCGATAGCCCTATGATGTTCTGGTCCAACTTGGGCAACGAAGAAATCTCCGCCTCTGGTACCTCTTACCTTAACCGCACGGAAGCAGCAAATGTCGAGAAGATTGTCACCCGCTTTTTCAAGGCTGGTGTCAAGCCCCAGGACATCGGTATCATTACTCCTTACGAGGGTCAGCGCAGCTATGTCGTGCAGTCCATGCAGGCGAATGGCACCTTCAAGAAGGAGAACTACAAGGAGATTGAGGTTGCTTCCGTCGATGCGTTCCAGGGCCGTGAGAAGGACTTCATCGTTCTCTCCTGCGTGCGCTCGAACGATCACCAAGGAATCGGTTTCTTGAGCGACCCGCGCCGTCTTAACGTGGCTCTCACTCGTGCCAAGTATGGTCTTGTCATTCTGGGCAACCCGAAGGTGCTGTCGAAGCACCCACTGTGGCACTACCTCCTTTTGCACTTCAAGGAGCGCAACTGCTTGGTCGAGGGCCCTCTCAACAACCTCCAGACTTCTCTCTTGCAGTTCACCCGCCCTAAGACTACCTACCGTGGCCCTCAGCGTTACCAGATGGCGTTCCAGCATGCATCGAACATGACCTCTGGCCGTAACATAAATGGCAACAAGGCTCGCCAGGAGTACACCGACAATGGCTCAATTGTTGGCTACATTCCCGACGACGTCTCTTCTGTTCACTCCTCTGCGCTTGGCGGTGTGGGGGTCAGCTCAAACTACCCTCCTATGTTCTCTGGATTCTCGGAAGCCTGGCCGTCGCTGCCGGGCGCACGCAACACTCCTGGTCCAGGTGGAAGGCCTAACGGCAAGAGCCCGGGCGTTGCCAGCAGCGTTGCTGGTGAATCGATTGCGGCATCAGAACTGACCGACACTAACGGCAGCGTCGTCGACGGCAAGGGCGGGGTTGGCCAGGGTGGCGTCAGCCTTGCGGGTCTCAGCCTCAATGACATCGGAAAACCGACTTCGCTCTCTCAGTCGGATCGTCTCAAGCGCTACGTTGAATCGAGCGGACAGCCTGGCCCGGTTGGCTACGGCCGTGGAGCTGGTGGTCGCGGCTTCCCTGAGGATGATGACGCTCGCAGCGTGTCGACCGCTTTCGCCAGTCAGATCGGCTTGGGGAGCTACGACTGATCTGCACGATGCCACAGACTAAAGTCCTCGACATTTTCCAGGCTAGTGTTGATCTGCAACTTGCAGATGCGCGACCAAGCAGTTTACAACCAAGAATTCGAACTCTCAGCGCGAAATCAGCAGCGGCAGGTTTAGGAAAGAAGAATGACGGTGGACAGCTGGGTTCACGTCACTCGGACGCTCAGTACTACTTTGCTGCCTGCGGCTCAAATCAGCGGCTGTATGTAGAGCGCTGGAGCAAACGCAAGCGAAGGAAACAGCAGCAGCTCCGGTAGTCGGATGATGGAGCGAACTCTTCGACTATTCGTCAATCGTTCCATGCCGAGGGTACAGAAGTAAAGATTGAAGGGTGTTGGATGGGTTGGACGGTCAGTTTCCACAACGGACTCATCTACTCCATCTGGCAGCCTTTCTTTCGTTACGCCTCATCTCTTGACGTGCGCACGGCCTGTCTGCACGTCTCGTGTCCTTGTTTAGCTTTAGCCCGTTCCTAGCAAACGACGCGGTCTTCTCCACATGCAAGAAGCTGGGAACTTATCGGAGCATAGCGCCTCCCTGATGCTCTTAGCGGAAAAGCAATTCTTCTTTCTTTCATGCGGGCTTGAACAGCGTTATTGGGCTTTCCATGCATGACTATGTGGGTTGAAATGAGGAGGATCCATGAGGGTTTTGGTGATCGGAGGTTAGAGTAAGCTGGCAAGGAAAAAGATACGGACGCTTTGACGAGCGAGAAGTTGTTCTGGTTCTCCTTCGTAGATAGCGCAACAGCTTGCTGCTGGTAGTAGTTTACAAATTTGATTTAGATTTGATTTTGCTTCATGATTTGCGCTTGCAGTACAATGAGAATTGGCTTGTGGTGGGAACTTCCATAAAGAGCGTATTATGTAATAATCACGTGGACTCGCGATGTGGCGCAACGCGCCCGCGCCCGCGCACCTACCTTCTTCTTCGGCCTTGCTATCTTTGTCTTGACTCTCTCCACTAATCCTCCACCTTGTGATGCGCTCAATCCCGCTCCACCATGTCGGGTGCCTCAGTCTTCCTGGAATCACACGGGGGCATCTCTCGAGACATAACACGCAGCACCACACGCATCATACGCGACGGGCGCGGCGATATCACGGTTGAGCCTCACCCGCCTTTGCGTGCGTACACAACGCCCGACCCTTGCATACGGAACACGTGCTGACATAATAGACAGAGAGCCTGCAGAACCTCACTTGTCTGGCGCTTATTAGTATGTGGCGACCTGGCTTGCCTGTATCTATATTATACTTATATGGTCACAGCTGTCGACGACTGGCGCGTTTCATTTGAAGCTCAAGTCGACGGTTTCACCATTGTGCCCCCCGGTGCTGAGTCTTTGCCTGGCTACTACACGATCAAACTGCCTGCATCGACCAGCGAGCACCGCCAGAGCACAATCCTGCGACCCGGCGATTGCATCCGCCTCCATGATGAATTCGAGTCCACCTTGAGAGTTGAGGACGTGAAGGTGGATTCGTCCATCCCACCCACTAACAATGAAACGCACGAGGTTGCCGAGACGCAGCAGCAGCCATCGGATGGCACCATCCGGAGGACTCGAAAGCCAATCACGAAGCGGACAGCTGTTCAAGTTGAACAGTCTATGCAAGGATCCAACACTTTGCGTTCGTCTACGCCGGCTCAGACCACCCAACAGTCTATGATGGTAGCAGAGACGCCGGCTACATATCGCAAAGCGCCGTTCACAGCCATAAATGCTAAGGACAACGAGCTGCAGAAGCCAACAGATCCACAAGACATTGTGAGCACTAATGTGAGCACGCCGACGGCTGTTAAGGACTCCTTTGCGGAAAGACCCAAGAACAGGACGCCGCGTGAGCAAAGCGTGCCTTCTTTGGAGCTTGGCTCTTTCACGCCTGGTGACCACACTTCTATCCAAGTCAATGATGTTGAGGGGGAAGATGAGACAACAGCATCAGAACGAGAATCCGATGCTGTCGAAGAACAGGAGAGGGAGAATGCCAAGTTCTCTCCCGCTCCCAAAAGTGTGAGCACAAATCAGAGTCTTCGCGCCACAACACCACCTGACGGGTCGAATGCCCTTGAGGAATCCTCCTCGGATCCTCTGCAAGCAGCGGATGTAACGATGGCCGAACCCTCCTCCAACGCTGAAGAGGAAGTACCAAACGTCAGACCGACAAGGACACGGCGAGTAAAACCTGAGCCGCAGGTGCGGATCCCCGTGTCACGCAACAGTAAGAAGAGGGCTTCTCCACAACATTCCGAACAGGATCGGCCAACAAAAAAGAAGAAAAAGGCCCAGGAGATCGATGAGTCTGAAGAGTCGCTCGCGTCAAGCATTAGGATTCGCATTGATGGCACTCCCAGTCAGCCTATTGAGCCTTTCAGGGAAGAGAGTACCGCAGCTCGATCACAGAGCTTGCAAAGGTCCATGAGCTCTTCGATCAATGTCATGTCGCCATATATTGCCAAGGCCGCACGCGTCGCATTCAGCAACACGAAGGTAACGGAGCGTGAAGGATCGTTGACCTTCTTGAGGAAGTCGGGGGTCAAAATCGTTGAGAAGGTCACGGAAAAAGGCTGCGATATTGTTTGCATCGGGTCGATCAACGGCACGTATGTGAAAAGCGCTAAACTACTACTTGGCTTGGCGTTGGGGAAGACGATTGCGTCAGACAGCTGGGTTCTCAACAGTCGAAAGGCAGGCAAACTTCTGGATCCCTCTCAGTACCCTCCGCTGAATGCCCCCAGTGAGTGGGGCTGGGGTGATGACGAAACCCAAGCCAGCAACATCCTCAACGTGGACAGATCCGAGCTGTTCAAAGGAAAATGCTTCTTCTTCACGTCTGCCACGAGAAAGGAGTATGGCAGCGGATTTAGCGACATTGAGAAGATCGTCCAAGCATGTGGTGCGAAGGTCATGGCTAAGTCGGCACGGGAATACAAACATGGCGATAACAACATCATTGTCGCTACTGATCACGACCTAGAGGCAATGTCGTTGACTGGTGCAGATAAGGACGGAGAGTACCGTCAGTGCTACAGCAAGGAACTAATCTCAATGTCGGTGCTCCGCGGCTCACTTGACCTTGAGAATGAAGATTTCTTGATCCAACCCAGCAGCAGCCAATCGAAGAAGAGTAAGAAGCCGGCTGCGAGGAAGGGGAGGAGTGGATAAGGGGTTCTACGGCACAGCATCTTGTGAGGTCTGCTTTCAATGTTTCTTGTTTTGAAACTCACCGGAGGGGTTGCATCTGTAAAACGCTAGCATTGCTCGGCAACGACAACGGAGATACCACATGGGCGGCCGGTCTGGTTGTTTTGTTCTCTGACATACACTAATTGCGCGAAACATGAGATCTGGGAACATGATGCACACAGGGCTTTTCTGTGAGCTTACAGTATAATGAAATTGCTAATTCAAGTTCAAAATGTGAGTAGGCTTTGGCATTCATGTGTTGACAGTGCCATTGTCTCGGACCCTGTCACTCCGCTCCGATTTCAATGCGCTGCGGTAGGAAGGAGCTGTTTCTGGATTGCCCGATATTCTGCCTTCACAACCGTCTGGCTCTTTGAATTGTATTGACTTTGCTGAATGGCCAAACTACGCTAAAGATGAGTAAATGATACGGGTGCATGCGGCACACCCATCAATGGTTATCCCATGGCCAGGATACAATCGAGATTTCCAATAGCCACAAACACTTCGGTTTCCCTTGTGCGCTTCACCTCCTTACAAATTCTTCGCATACGCGTCTCCAGAAACATTTTCTCTTCAAGCTCAGAGTACCCTACCATTTACCATCAAAGACAACCATGACGCATCGTCCCCGACAAGACAGCGTGTGCGACACCATGGCTGAGAACGACGACCCTCAAGACTGGCCACCACTGACGGCCTTCTACCACTACGCCGGGCCTTCTTCTTCTTCTTCTTCTCAATCCAACGCACCATCATCCACCGCCGCCGTCGCCGAGGCTACCACCACAAACGCGTCACCTCCCCCCATAGCCGTCACCACCACCTACAACAACAGCGCCACCTCCACCACCAATCACACCGCCCCCGTAACAATCCTCATCTTCCAAAACCCCATCCATCCGAGCTTCGTCGACAACGATGACGACGACAAAAACGGCAACAAAAACGAGAGCGATCCGCCGCTCGATCTATCCCGGTCCCCGCCCCAGCCGCGTCGCTGCGCCGGCTGCCACAAAGACTTCGCCAGCACCACCACCACCACCGCCGACGCCGACGATGCCGACGCCGACGCCGACGACGACGACATCGCCACCTTCCCCGTCCTCGCTGGGCCGCACTGCGACTGCACTTTCCACGCCGGCTGCCTCGCGCAGCCGTACTTCGACCGCGCGACGCTCTTGCCGGTGCGCAGGCGGAACGTGGCTTGTCCGGCGTGCGGGGGCGAGGGGTTCGCGGGGCGGGAGGCGGAGATGGGGTGTTGGGAGGATGAGGATGATGGGTGGGAGGGGGAGGGGATTGTGAGTGAGAGGGATGGTGGGGGCTGTGATGGTGATGATGATGATGATATTGTTCAGTTTGAGATGGTGCTGAGGGAGGAGGCGGCGGCGGCGGTGGTGGTGACGGAGGGGATGGTGGTGGTTCGCTTGGAGTCTGAATGGGAGGAGGAGGAGGAGCAGGAGCAGGAGCAGGAGCAGGAGCAGGAGCAGGAGCAGGAGGTGGTGGAGGTGGCGGAGGTGGCGGAGGGTAAGGTGGTTAGGCGGGCTGTGGCGTTTGCGGTCATAGTGAAGTGGGCGAGTGGAGATGATGGGGAAGGAGGGAAGGAAGGGGAAGAGGGGAAGCAAGCGCAGCAGGACGCGAAGATGCCAGGTGATTCGGTTTTACCGGGTTGTGAGCGGCAATTGGCTTCGCTGGATCTTGATCAGCCCCAGAAGCAGCAGCAGATTCAGGAGAAGACGGTGACGTCTGCGGAGAAGAGGACGTAGGGTTGGCATGATCTGACTACGGTGTTTGAATACCCGCTGAGTTTCTCCGGCAGTTCTTTGAATGGTGGTGGGCTCTTTGAATGGTGGTGGGCCATTGTGAGACATTGTTCAACTCTTAGACTGCCTCAATCCTGTCTGTTTCATATATCACAATTCATTGTTCAGTGGCAAACATGTTCGGTAATTCTTATAAAAAAACATGCTCTGGGTGATGCATTGTACGCATACAATTCGAAAGCTTCAGCTTCACTTCGATCTCGAATTACCCTACGATATCGGCAAATCGAAGTATCGAAACTCATCAAGCTCACAAGCAACAAGCCTACGATGGACGGCGAGAACGATACGACATGCAAAAATAAAGGCAAGGGGAAGGCTACCGCACAAGAGGTGGGAGAGGACCCTGTAATCCTGGAAGAGGACAGGTTGTTCGAGATGGAGCTGCAACGGATGCGCGAGGAAGACTCCATGCAGTTAGCCATGGCAGAGTCTCGCTTGCAGACGTACTACCATCACAAACAAGGCGAGCCCTCTGGGGCTTTGTTGACCTACGTTCCCTTATCCACCAACACAAAAAATGTTCCCGAAACATTTTCCGAGACTTTCGAAGACCAGCTCGCAATCGATCTTCCCGTTGAACAGGTGCGAGTACTGCCGGCTCCACGAACAAAGAAACGCAAGGAGAATAGGGAGCAGCTTGAGGACCAGGCACTGCAGAGTTCACGTGGAAGGAAACGCGCACGGGTGGAGGAAAAGCGAGTGAAGAAGCTCCGCTGTGTTTTCCATTAACAGTGCGAGACAAATGGAGATAAGAGAAGGAAAAGAGACAACTCTACTTGTTGAGAATGCAGCAACAAATGAAATGGGGATATGGAAACTGTAGGAGGAGGGATGACGCATGAACTTCACTGGAAATGTCAAAATCAACGCATCCTATCTAGAACGGTATTAGAGCTCGAGACATTGCTTGAATGGAGTTTGGGATCTCTGAAAGATGTTGAAAGATGAAAAAAGATCATGTGGAACGTGGCGATCGGGATGATAGCTTGCTGAGACACAAGAAAACGGCGTTGCGTTACACACGGGAAGATACATACGGGTGCTCATGCTCCGTGCGGTGAGACCAGTTGGCTTGGCCCGATGGAAACTCGTGGATAAACCGCACAATTGGACATCGGCGTTAAATTCGAGCTGCTGCCCGCCCGAGTGAAACGAAAAATGGAAGGCACGGGGCTGGTCTGCATAAACCGACAGCTCAACGACAGATTCCCTTCTTTACTGATCGCTGCACATACATTTAAAGACTCTTCCTATATATATATCAATTTTGAACGATTCAACTGCCAAGTCGTTTGTCATTTGAATCTTCTCCCATTGCTTGCTCAGTCCATTCACCAAACCCAGACCGCGACAATCATTGCATCTACAACTCCGTCCTACAATTGCCTAGTGAAAGCTCTCATGACAATTCAACTATGCCACTGGTTCAGAATTAATTGTGGCGGCCACCCTCTCTTACCTCCATGCGACCTTGAAACATTGTTCAAGTACGGAGAAGTGTCCAAGGACTACAATGCATAGTTCGAGTACAACTCATACACTCTATAACCATAATAGTACTCCGTATATCGCTTTAAGAGCTTCTCCGCACACCTCTCCACCATTCCACCTTCACTTCGACGAACAACGGCCGACAGCAAACACAAACCGTTGACCCCACATCCCACCACTTCCATCACAACAATGTCTACGCCCAACGACGTAACCTCTGGAACCCGTGCCACTCGGGCTCGGCTTTTTGCGGAGCGGCAGACTGTATACCGCCAAATGCGCTTCTTGAGGTACATCGATGAGGTCAATCGCAGTGCGATGGTCTTCGAAGAAGAGATGTATGACCTTCTCGGAGACGAAACGTATTACTCTCAACCGGAACAGCAGCAGCAGCAGCAGCAGCAGCAGGAGCAGGAGCAGGAGGATGAGGGCGACCGGGATGGGGATGATGAGGAGGGCGACGATGATGATGATGATGACGAGCCAACCGAGTACCTGGGCGATCGCCGCGAGATTCTTCGGCAGCAGATCAACCGGCACAGGGACGAACTTCGGAACCGAAGGGATCGATGGCATGCGGAATCAGAAGCGTTCATTGAAGCAAGGGGAAGAGAGCTCGCAGCCAGGCTACTCCCGCTCGTGGTACGTGAGTCAGCGGTAAGAGACGAACCGCTCGAGGATCGGTAGCAGGATGAGCAGCAGCAGGAGGAACAACAGTAAGCCGATAGCTTACACACCTCTTTCTGATGTAACGGTTCAGTTCAGCTTTACCAGTGTCTTCTTTCCTTTTTCCTTTTCCTTCTCAGTTGAGCCCGGAGCAGCGGCGTTAAGATCCATGAAGAGGTACGAGAGTTTCTTTTCTACGGACGTCCTTTATCTCATTCTTGCTATTTGTTTTAGTTTCTGAAACTTTCAGAGTGCCGGTTCACTTTGAATCCAAAATAAAAATAAAAATAAAAATGAAAAAGCCCTTTTGATGGGGCCGTACAAACCTTCTTCCTATCCATATCAAAGATGAGTGAAACATAATGATTTCCTAGTGACTTTTCAAAAATCCACAACTAAGAGATTCAATGATATTTCGGAACATCCCTTTTTTCATAACCCCGCTGTTGTCCTTATCTACTTATAGAATATAGAACTACGCTATCTACTATGGTAGATTCGTCGAACCGTCGTTGGAATCCTTTCAGTGACACAAAGATTCCCGGGGACCCCGAAACTTACACCAGATTGAACCCGCTCTCTGCGTTCGGATTTCCTATGACATCGTCCCAGATCCCCCAGGGAACCGAAGACGGGGTGAGCCAATACTGCGGCTGTAGATTGTCCATAAGAGCGTTCACCAGCGGGGGCGCCACACCAGACCAATTCCTGTTGTCGTGGCCACCACAACTACCGCCCACCAGCTCGACGGAAACGTGCTGGGCTTGTACTGAGCTGCTATTTCCGTCCGTATGTTAGTATCAACTATGAGAGTGCCTGGAGAGGAAAGTAAAAGAGAAGAGGGTTGGAGAAAGGAAAGAAAGACTTACACAAGGTTACTCAACGCCGGCGCCGCTTTGGCACAGAAACGGCTCTGCGGTGCCATTTCCTCGAATCTTTGAACAGCCGATGTTATAAGCTGCAGCAGCTCTTGGTATTGTTGCTGCGAGCCAGCCCTGATTCCAGGCGTACCGTTACTGATAGTAGAAGAAGCGGAAGAGGCCATGATCGTAACGAGGACAACAGCAGCATGGAAAGCATGAAAGCTGGCTATGCCCCTGCTGTACCATTTATACGGCGCGAAGGTCGGGGACTGATGCAGCGTCCTGTGCAGCTCCAGCTCCGCGCGAGCGGCTTCGATGCACTTCTTCCGCGATGCATCCACTTGCTCCCCCGAGAGGCAAGCAGTGGCGGCGGCATTTGCGGCGACGAAGAACGGACGGTGTAGTAGGAGCATGAGCTGGTGGCTGTAGCCGTCGAGTATGTGCAGTTGCAACTGCTGGAGCACCGGAAGGTCTTCCGGTCGATGGCGATCACGGGCGTAGCGTCTACTCCATATCTCGCGCTCGTGCTGGATGTCTGTCTCCAGGCTGGCGATGACGTCCGGTGATAGGCCGGTGGTAGCATCCATGACGGCCTCGCAGATGCGCGAGCAGACCTCGTACAGGCGGTACTTGAAGAGCATGTACGTCATCTCAGTCGCTCTGGGGGACTCGAGGGGCGGTGCGATCATGTCGGCAGTGAGTTCTTCATCGTTGACGTTGGCGGGCAAGCGCACGGTTGAAGTGATCTGGCGCCGGTGGATGTTTCCACAAGATATGCCTTGGATGGTGTATAGCATCATGAGGCCCACCCAGCACCGGCGTCGGTTTTCGCATTCCAGGGCGTCGAGACCGAAGTGGTCAGGGTCAACATGGCACCCGAGCCCGAGAGCCATGTGGTAGGCCGTTCCCAGGAGAGACCAGACGTCGCCGTGGGTGTGGCTGATGCCGTAACTCATGAGTATCAGTGCTTGGAGCGTGTAGAGCGTCTGCCGGAAGAGATACTGGTCTGTCTGCAGACATCTGAAGGCTGCAGCTCTGTATCGGGTTGAGAGGGTGGTGATATTCTTCGAAACGTCGTTACGGCGGCCCAAATCTTTCAGAAGCGGACTGTCTTCATTCAGGCTTGTGACGGAAACGCTTAGCACGGCATAGAGTAGGGCTAGCCAAGAAAGCGGTACCGAGTCGGGGTCCAATTGGAATGCTTTATACATGGTCCTGAAGGATGGAAGATGCAAGATGTGAAATAGCTGCGTAATTTGATAAGTGCACAAGTTTCTGAAATACGCATTCGAGGAGACGAACAGGAGAGAATATTGTAAAGAAGTTCTCAACAAGCGTATTACATTGAGAGACAGGTGGTAGCGGCGAAATGAGGTCTTCCATGGGCTGGTTGAAAGCTTGACCAAGGGGGTCATCGATACCGTCCTCGTTGGAGGTCATGGCACCACCACCAGATCCAACGATAGCCGAATCCCAGGTAGAGTGAAAGGGTTGATATCGCGTGTGTCCAGAGCCAGTCGTGAGAAGACGACCGACGGGAGGATAATCTGCTTGAACACCATCACTAGGTGGGGTGTGAAGGGCAGAAGAAGGGTCGGCGGACATAGGTAGTGGTGGGGCGTCGTCTGGAGGCGGTAATTCCCAGTGGGCGATGTGGTCCCTGAGCAGATTTTCCAACACTCCAATCCGCTCCACAAGCTCCTCGGTGGGCGTTGTGGTTACAGCCATGTCACTGTTGCGACGATAGCGCGGATCGGGGCGAGGCGAACGCAGGGCAGCATAGATACACTCAGACGACGGAATATTTCTGCGGACGCAGGTCGAACACGGTCCAGGCTTGGTGCGCGGGCAGCGGATCTTCCGTTGTCGGCATGGCTCACAGCTGATGGGCATTCGCTTCCGGGAGGACATGGCGGACATGGCGGACTTTGAGGAGATGGCGGCGCATGTTGTTACAGCAGATGGGAAGTGCATGTTTATACGAGAGGACTAAGTGCGGGGTTTCGGCCATCGGATCACCGATGCTTCCATGTGGAGTGCATATTACTCATCTGATTCTTCTAACGGAAGGTACTATGCAAGGAACTGGCTAACCGCAGCGGCCACTCCTTCCACGTCTTCGAATACGTGCCAATGCCCGGCCTTCTCCAACACAATGACCTGACTTTCCGGGATCCTTTCTCCGTAGCTCTTGCATAGTGACGGCGGCGACACTTTGTCCTCCGCCCCGGTAATTATCAGTGTCGGCTGCGTCAACTTCTCGACGCTAATGGCATCGGTGGCACCTGCAAGCGCAGTGCACGCCTTCGCGTATCCCTCCGGCTCCTGGCCCAAGAGAGACAATCTCACAGCAGCAACCGCCAACGGATTCTGCTTCTTCGTCCACTCCGACGTGCCAGCCTCGACAACGGCATCAACCACAGCCCGCATCCCTCCGGCCCTCACCGCAGCAGCGCGCGCGTACGAGCCCTTCGATGCCGCTTCCGGCAACGGCGACGGCGGAGGCCCGATCAACACGAGCTTCCCGACGAGCTCGGGATGGGCGTTCGCAAACTCCAGCGCGACGAGGCAGCCCATCGAGTGCGCGACCAAGGTAGCACCTGAAATGGCGGCGTGCTTGAAGACGTGTAGGAGGTCCGCCGCGAACGAGGCGATGGAAAGAGCGCTGAGCGGGGACGTGGGCGAGAGGCCGTGGCCCTCGAGATCGAAGAGGTGCAGAGCGTGCTTGTCGCCCAGGGAAGCCGCTGTGATCAGTGGCTGCCAGTATTCGAGCGTGCCGCCGAGGCCATGCACGAAGACAATTGGCGCGCCGTCGGCCGCTCCGAGGCGCTTGTAGTGCAGTGGCTTCCCGCCGAAGTTGGTCAATCCGGCGCCGTGGATGGCTTTGGTAGCGTTGCTCTGGGCGAGAGGAGAGGGTTGCGTGATGGGGGCAGGTGGAACGTCGGTAACTTTGTTGCGGAGAGAACCTAGGCCCGTGATTGACACAACGACCTCATCCCCTGGACTCAAGAAAACAGGTGGGTTCTTGCCTATTCCCACGCCAGCGGGAGTACCGGTCGCCAGCACATCGCCAGGCTGAAGCGTCTGGCCCTCAGACAGGGTCTCGATGAGCTGAGGGATGGAGAAGATCAGCTCTTCGGTGGTGGACTTCTGCCTGAGTTCCCCATTGACGTGTGTTGACACCTGAAGGACTTGAGGAAGATTCTCTTTTGCAACAGCCACCGGTCCCTTCACAGGTGTTAGCTGTCATCCAAGAAGTCGACGGTTGAAAGACGTACCATAGGACAAAAGGTGTCACCAGACTTGCCGATGTAGAACTGCTTATGGTCTCTTTGCCTTTCGCGCGCAGTCACATCGTTGATGATGGTGTATCCCCACACATGGTCCATGGCAGCATCCTTTGCAATCCGGAAACCCGGTTTTCCCACAATGACGCCGAGCTCGCCTTCGTAGTCGAGCGTTTGGGTAAAGTGGGGGTGAACGTAGATGTCGTCTCCATGGGCAACGATGGAGGTGTGGCGCTTGGTGAAAATGACGGGATGCGAGGGCTGGTCGACCTTGTCGGAGCTGTCGAAGCCGGACTGGTTGAACTCTTTGGCGTGCTCGCTGTAGTTCTTGCCGACTGCCAGCACGTCTCGGCCGCTGATAGGAGCCAAGAGTTTGACTGATGACACCGGAATCGCCTCTTCGCTGCGTATCACAGAATCTTGGCCTGCGGAAATAACCTGGTACAGATCCGTGACGGGCGTTCCGGAGACGAATGAGATTGGCTGAATGGTATCGTGCTCGAAATCATAATGGCCCAGTCGGGGCTGAGACGAGCACGGCTCAACGAATGCGGCGAAATTGAATGCGGCCATGGTGTATTTCCGCTGCGACAAGACGATTTGTCGGTCGATACTGGAGCTTTCCTTATGAATGTCGCCTTTCTGACATTTAGTTGTAGTGTTTGGGCATGTCGCAACCCCCACGTTTTTTTCCGCCGTCCCCGCCCCGCTCCGCGGTCACGCAATCGGCCGCCTGCCTGCGCTCTATTCTCCGCCATGTCCGCCTTCTCCGCGCGTCCCACACCCGTATTTCTACAACCCACCGATCTCACCAATCCTGCGCCGAATCCAAGCCCCTCAACCCAACATACCTCGGCCGCTTCTCCCCAAACTTGTTGCGCACGCCCGCCGTCCTGGCCACGCGCAACCCCCAGCCGTAGTCGCGCAGATGCTCGGCCGCATGGAAGCGCCAGAACTGCCAGGAGCAGTCGCCGCCCGCGAGCTGCTCGATGGGGGCAGCGCCACCTGGGTGGTGCTGTGAGCGGGCGAAGTCGGTGCAATCGTAGACGATGGCGTCGATGACGATCCAGAGACGTCTTCTGTTGTTGTTTTCTCCTCTTTCGTCGGGTTGGCTGTTGGTGTTGGTCCTGCTGCTCTCAGCGGCGACCCGTGATGCCGAGATGAAAGGGAGTTGGTCGTTCGGGGTTGCTGCGTCTGCGAATGGAAGAGGAGGCTGGCTGGGACGAAGCGTCTCGTCTTTGGGTGTGGGCGGAGGGATAGGTGATTCAGTGCCTGGCTCGTCTATGGCCTCGATGTGAACTGCGTCGGATTTGGAACCTGACGTCTTTGCTGGCGTAGCATCGGTGTCTTGTGTAGGCCCGGAAAGCTGGTTGTGCTGCAGCTTTAGCCAACCCATGGTGGTGACAATGGCTGAATCTTGAACAATAGGATCCTTGAGCAAAGGGAGGTGGTATTGTGAAAAGGTTGTTTTGATTTATTTTATGATGGCATGGAGAGCAGAGGTCTTGCCCTATATACCTAAACCTGGTGAGGCTTACTATACCGCGCCGATGCATCTGCATCTCGGCGACCGCGGCATCGGGATGCGCTGTCTCTCTCTCGAGAAGAAGAACCGCGCGTCGCCCGGAGAAAGGGAGTTATTACTATTATACACTTGAATATATACAGGTGCCTTGTATCTTCCGTAGGCCATCTTACTTATCTTCTTCTGTGCTCGTCATTGGCGGTAGGTGCCATCGATAAGGAGGTGGTGGGTAGTAAGAGAGATGCCGTCGCAAACCTTTGTTGCGCGGTCTTGAGAGAGTATGAGGGCGAAAAAGGAAAAGGAACTCAGTGGGAATCAAAAAATCATCAAGGAAAAAGGAGAAGACATCGAGACGCCCGAGGAAATGCTCGCAATGGTGCCGCTCAGAAAAGAAAAAAAAACGCCAGGAGAATCACCGGTGCTATGCATCAACGACTTGGCTTGCTCACTCCACGTTAAAATGCCACCCCGGTCTCAGTGGTCTGTACGTTCAGATGCTTCCTGTCAGGCATCGGTGATGCCAGCGGCGTCGGCACCTCAACGATGGTCGAGTGCCTCGGGACTGCCAGTGTTTCCACTCGCGCCATCTCGAAACTCGGCTCCGATTCGACCATCGACTGAGAGTTCCGGTAATAGGCATCGAAAAACTCGCTGAACCGGTCTTTACTGCTCGGGTTTGGCGAGGGTGGTGGCATCAGTGAGTTGTTGCCGATGCTATTTCTCCGGCTGTCCATGCTGTCAGTGCGCGCAAGGTCGATCTTGGTGGCCGGCAACGTCTCTTCCGTGACCGTCTCAACGCTGGACACCGACGAGCGACGATGCAGAGAGTGCGTGCTGTAAGCACTTTCCGATGCACTGACGTCACGCTTATGTTGCGGTGTGTAAACGGTGGGTTGGAGGATGTAGAACTCGGACTCGATTGATAGAGAAGGAACGGCGGGAATTTCTTCCTCCTCATCCTCAGCTTCTACAGCAATGTTAGTATTAAGTGATTGTGTTGAAGAGGAATGCTTACTGGTGCGGCGGCTCCTGACTGACGAGAAGGAGCTCTTCCTGGACCGTGGCTCGCGAGGCTCAGCTGGGAAAATCGAGCGGCACTCATCTCTTGAACGACGGGGAATGTAAGCCTGCGGGTACACCCTGACAGGTGATGGCAGTGGAGATTGGTTGCGCGCCGGCGACGAAGCGTTGCTCGCTGTCGAAGGGGCGCCCATCGTGTAATCCAACGAGGCTGCCATCGAGTACGCATTTGCAGCCGCATCGTCTGCACCCGAAGGCCTCCAAGAGATGCGTGATACAGCCTCGACCACGGGAAGCTGTGGTGCGTCTGGATTGTAAACGGTAGGGCGAAGGAGTTCCGGCGACATCGGCGTCTCTTCGTGATCATCAGAGACAGCGGATACGCTGATGGCAGGAGACCTGAGGCCGTCATCGTGGCGAGATGTTGATTTGGGGGAGAGGGGCGACGTGGGCGTCGTGGGAGACACCGGCGACATGGGCTCCTCGGGAGAAGTAGGCCTGTGGACGAAGACTTCGACAACACCGTGATTCTTCCTGCCGGTAAGCTCTGCTTGTGAGGGCTCCAGCCTCAAGGTGGGGGGCGGGTTCCTGCGCGGCGGTGATGAAGGTGTCCTCGGAGTAGCGACCTCGGAAATGTTCCTGCTGTGGGGCAGAGTCGTGACGCTGGTGGAGGGGGAAATAAGTTTTGGTGTCTGAGAAGCGGCGCTGCCGATCAAAGTGTTGGTACTGCTGGAAGGATGCCTGGAAGAGGAGCCCATGGAAGATGGGGAGGGAGAGGACGGGCGAGATTGGGCGACGCCGCCATAGTATCCAGCCTCCAATGCCCTGACTCCAAAAAGATCGCCTTCATCCTTCGCTCTGTCATTCAAGGCTAGATTGTCCGTTTCTGCTACATTCTGCTCTTCCTTGAGCGCAAGGTGCTTCTTCAGTCTGGAGCGGTTGTAAGCAATGCGGCCGAGGCTGAAGTGGACGAGCGGGGCCTACTGTTTCCTGGAGTATAGCAGCTTGCAGAGCCCGGCAAGAATTGTAACGACCAATAGGCAGCCAAAAACGATACTGCAAGCCACGTCAGCTGGGGTATGTACGAGAGGGGCAGCAGCAGCTTCACTCACGAGTACTTCCAGGCCAAGCCCAGGCTTCCAAACCAACCCATGATTAGAATTAAGTATAAAGCGTAGAGTTGCAAAAAGATCGTCGTGCTGCTTGGCAGCTAGATGTTGGGACAAAAGTCCGGTGAAAAGAGTGATTCTTGGGGGAGAAAGAACGACAACGAGCAGAGACAGTCAAGCTCTGCTCGACAAGGGAGAAAAGATAGCGGCAGGTGGGAACGAACGGGAGGGGCGAACCAGGGCCTTGACAGGCGGGTAATGCCTTCTATAGTAGGGTGACCAGGGCGACCCTCGCGAAGGGTTCCGCAAAGGGTTATCGGGAGATCAACTAAGACGTTTCGGAGGCTTGGCTATAGCTGAAACGTTTTAAGAGTCCTGACAGGTGTGCAGGTGTACGCGCAGACCCCGGCATGCGGCGGCATACGAAAGGAGGAATGCCTCCGCATTATTGGATCGAGAAGACAAAAAACATGCGAGCTCCGAGTCGTAGACACAATCGTCGCGTCTCCAAAAGAAACGGCACATCGCAAGTCTACCGAGACAGAGGGCGACGATCCGGAAGAGGCCAGAACGGATGAGCGGCATCCATCGCTCGCGCCATGATTAACGTGGTAGGTGTGGAAGAAGCGACTATTGTACAGCACTTGGGTCGCAGGTAGGTAGGAGGCTCGCAGGCCGGGAGAGGGCGGCACAGGGCACAGTTCGATCGAACCGATGCCAAGCGGCGTAGCTGCATGACAGCGGGCCATTTCGAGGACTCACGAAGCGACGATTTCCCGAAGAAGCATGGGGTTGGCGTAATGGGGCAGTCGGACAAGGACCGGGGCGGCTCATTCCAGCGACCAGGCGGCGCAGCATCCGCGGGCAGGCCTGGCACGTCGGTCACAAGAGCTGCAGGTCCACATGGCGAGGTGCTAAGGCAAAGGCTGACAGATCCCGAAACGATAGAAGCTGGCTAGCTTTTGGACGGCGGGCGATCAGACGTTCGAGTTGGCGGCAGGGATGCGCAAGCGAGGGCCAGAAGTGGGTGTGGTGGAGTGGGCGACAGTTGAGATGGCAGGGGAGCCCCTCGCCAGGAACAGGCTTAGCGCCACCTGGAAATAGCAACACCTCTCCATAGCGCTCCCGCAAGATTCGCGAGATCACCCAGCGCTCGTTCTTGCAGCGCGATATCATGTTTCAAGTCGCGCCAGCGCAGATTCTGAGACGCTCGCTGCAGCGCCCGGCGAGGCTGTGCAGTCGCGCTCTCTCGCTCGATGCAGCAGGCGCTTGCGCATGCTACACCGGCAGCGACGCAAGCTCGCCCGGACTTAAGTGCCGCGTATGGTCGGCAACCGAGACGCTCGACCGGCAATCGCGTCACCTCGTCCCGCTCGCGAGAGGCACTGCGCTCCCGTCAGGAGATCCGCGATTCTGCCATGGTGATCTTGCAGTACGAGGCCAAGACGACCGCCTTAAGCGACTAAGCTTGCATCGCGCACTTAGCGGCGCAGAGCGGTGCTGAGTGTTGAGGCTATTCTTCCTCCGCAATTGATGACGCCGGTGGCATTGTTCCTTCGTTCGATGCCAGCTCACACTGCGGCTCCGCGTCATGTGCTGCTTTGCATGCATGCGCCGCGAGCGCTCTCCCTTTCCCCGGCCATATAACACCCGTCTCGATACTTCCCGTATGTTCAATTTGCCTGTCGTCACTCCTTTTCGCAAGGTCATGCGCACGCCGTAGTCGCATTCGGCTACCACCGGCCATTCGGTCGTTTCCGTGCTAGCGCTGCCGAGACCCTGCCGGGCCCGGCCCTCGCTTCTCCCGACCCCCGCAAAAATTTTCTGGCCGCTCTACGCAGCAGCCAGCCGCACAAAATCAACGCGTCCCATGCTTTTTTAGACTCGCCCATTTGTCCTTTTAAACTCTTGCTCCTGCTGCACCCAGGCACGCAAAAAATGGCCCCAAAAAATGCTTGGCACGCCCCCTGTTGCGAACTGAACCCCCTGATTCCTCAACACCATCTCCGCGTCCCCCCATCCAGCAAAAAAGAAGGTATAACCCTGGAGTCTAACCAGGACTACTGGATCCGCCGGGAATCGAACCCGGGACCACTCCCAGATTACGTAATGCTAAGGGAGTATTATACCACTAAACCACAGACCCCGCCTGTTGACCCTGATCGGATCAACTTGCTGATGGAAAACCGTTTTGCTGCTGTGTACTATGTATCTACAGTTTAACTTACGTCTTACGTGGAGGGGGGAGCAGGAGCAAACTTTGCCTGCGTTGTGGGTCCGGTGCTGGCTTCGTACTTCGGACCGAGATACCTCTGACACCTCTTACCCATCACTGACCCATCACTGGCTGCTCTGGCCTTTTCAATGAGCCCAAGACAGTTCACAGCGGTGCTGGAGAGGAAGAGGGGCCTTGATAATAGGCCGTGAAGGCAAGTCCGAGCATCAGTATAGGTGTTGGATCCTCACAGCTGCGCTTTATGCTTGGGATAATTACTAGATAGGGCTTATTGTATGGAACACGGATGATGAAAAACAGACACTTTTAAGATAGAAGGACTGTTGTTCTTCTCATTTCATCTACGCAGTAAAATTTTAACCATATTATATCTTTACTTAGAGTATTCATTTGCTCCTACTATCAAAGTGCGCTATCTCTCCACCTTTCTTAGTACTCGGCAAGAAATGTTTATGCATCTCTCCTCTATAGAGTACGATAGATTGGCCGTGTTCATTAAGAAGCACATTTAATCCTGCTACCGTGTCTTCTTTCTAAAACTGTGTTTGAAAATGAAGGCTTCACCTGAAGAAAAAATAGAGTGAAGAAAACAGGATCACATATCAGTAAACAGCAAAGGTTTTAGAAAACACACGCAGGTTTTCAAGAAGTTTTTCCATTAATATCAAGTTTGCCGATCAAAATACCGCCACTAATTTTCACTCAATCCGAGACCAAACGTACTCTTGCAAATTCTTCAATAAAGGGGAGCTTTGCGGGTGTACAGAATAGGCCGCATGTGACCCCGCCATGAGGTTCATCCATTTCCCTCTCATCACGCCGCTGAATATTCTTCGCCGTAGCTGTCCTAGTGTTCTGCAGGAATTCTTTGAGGCTTACCGCCAGGGAGGCCAAGGGAGGATATCGGATGCGTTGCTCCCGGCTTACTAATGTGGTCTTTGAGCGCTTCAAAGCGGCGGTTGTAGTAGTAATGACCATGTTGACAATGTCGAAGTTGTGTTGGCTAGTTAAATCAAGCCGTGTAATAGGGAAATTCTTTTTTCTTTTGCTGATTTTTTGCCTGTTTTATTGAATGTCGTCGATGTTAAAGCAATTCCAAAGCTGTTGCTGCACAATTTTTTTTTAAGCGGTAGATCTGCACGCAGCTTTTTCTGTGCAGAGAATTGTGGTTGATCAAGTGCCCAGTACCGTGGTTACCAGTTTTGGCGCATTCCCTGTAGTCTGTGGCTTCGATTTGATCAAGTGCCCACATTTGACCGCATTGGCTGAACCAGAGGCTGCGTATGTAAGAGGCATAATTGTGATTGCAGCCATTCATAGTTCATTCACGGTTGGATGGTTTCTATTGTTGGCGCTTTGTTTGAACAAAAATGTCCTGGGAAAATGTGGAATAGCCTATCTCGGCAATAGAGGCACCAGAACCAGTCGCAGCTGAGACGTAGCCATAGAACTGTGTGTCTTCGGTTTCATGGATAGGTTAGAGCCATGTATCCAGTCTTGCATGGTTGGCCTTGGAAAGTGATTGGCCGTGTGATGTAGGTTTGCCTGATGGGAGGTACCGACTGCCTCACCTGGTCAGAACTGCAACTGCCGCTTTTCATATAACATCGACCTTGCCCAGTTCCTCTCAGCTAGACGCCAACCTTGATCTCGAACTTCTCACAAGTACACCCACGACTTTCCTCAACACAGCAACCCATCACGATGGTCTTCGATATGGAATGCTTCGAATGCTTCGGATGCACTTCAGCAGCCGGCGAGAGCGACTCAAGCTCGATCGCCTCAAGCTGGAACAGTTTAATCTGGACCGCTTCAAATGAAAAGCTCTCAGACGTCGACTCAAACCCGCCACCCACTTCCGCATCAGCTTCTGCTGATACCCTTGGCTCTGCGGTCAAAGAAGAACATTGTTCCACCACCGCCTACGCCAAACCCCGCAGCCTCCGTCGCCTCGCAAATTTCGTGAGGCTGTGTTGTGTCTGGAGTAACTCCAAGATGCGTCAAAAGGAAAAGACATCTTGAGCGTGCGATCACGCCCCATGTTTCCACCAAGGCGTAAAATCTATGGTGTAAGACGGTGGAACTTCTCACGCAGGGGAACGAAAGAAAAGGATGACGTGGAGAATTGGTTCCTGGATGCGGAGCAAGGTCATCTCGGCGAAGCAGATAACTCTCAGCCCATTTGCCCGGAGAGGCGCTCAAGGAAGGCCGAGTGGTATCTGATACCGGGGGGATTGATGCGGGCCCGCTGTTGCCGCCACGCCCGTCTGGTTTTGGCTCTGGCGTCGGCCCCCTGTGGAGTGGAGGATGGGGCTTGGGGGAGGGATTTGGCCGGCGATGAGTTGGTGGGGTGTTCCTGTTTTTTTTTTTTTTTTCGGTTGTGTGTTTATTGCAGTCTGATGACTGCTGACTCACTACTTGTTATTTGTGTGTTGTAGATGCTTGTATTTCTTAGGCATTGGGACTGCTTTTGCGTCTGTGGTTTTATGTTTTTGCTGTCTTTTTTTTGGCGCCCACAAATTTGACTCCCCTAAATCTAGATTTTGACTCCTCCACTCGTAATGTTACCTATAAACAGCATTTTCGCGCTGCTATGAGTGTGCTTACGCTCACTTACGCCACCAGTAGTAACTACGCTTATCGCGGGTAGTTGTTACGCAAGCAGTAATGGCGTAGGAAGTAATGACGCGGGTAGTAGTAGCGTTGGTGGTAATGGCGTAGGTAGTAATAGTAGTGGTGATGAATACGTTGGTAGTGATGGTGGCGGTAAATACGTTGTTGGTTAGTAATTTCGGTAGTAGTAGTGATTTTATAGTGGTGGCAAGATAGATAAGTGGGTTTTTAACGGGGAGTCAAATTTGTAGCGGCCTTTTTTTGGCCTCGCCATAATATACATTATTCCTGTTGAATGGTGAGTTAACTTGTCTACTCCTCTCATGTTCTCTTCTTGCTTTACTTGTTCTTCACTCTTAATTCTCTATGCCTTAGTCGAGGTAAAGTTTGCAAAGTAAATATAGAGCTCATAGTACCTAGGTGAAAAGCGTGAGAACATTCAACGGAGTTGCTGAAATAGGGTCTTATTTTCTTTCTATATCGAAAGCATGTTTTCATGTGATCATCATCTCCGGACCACTTCCATAGAATTCTTGCATCATCATCACCAATGTCGTCTCCCAATTCGCTTTCGGAATATCATTTCTCCATCACTCATTGCTAGGTAAACATCCTACCATCCAACCCCCCTCTGAACACTTGAACACTTTCACCTCTTGCCCTTCTTCTTTTTCTTATTAGCACCGCCACCGCCACCTCCTCCACCAGTCTGCTGGGCGCCACTGTTACCGCCCTGCTGCTGCTTCTCGTCCACAATGCCACCCTGTGTCAAGCCCGCCTGCCGCAACTTGCCCTTGCGGCCCTTGGGCTTGTAGTAGCTGCGGTCACGCATGGGAAACCATCTCTCAGCATCGACCTTCTTGTTGGGATCAAAGTCCTTAGGCAGCCTGCTCTTCCGGATCTTCTTGCTCTTGCGCTCGTCCTCAGGCTTCTTGTCCTTCGGCGCAGCCCTCTTTGCGCTGGTCTGCGGCTGCTGTGACGGGGCGGTGGTGGCCACGCCAGCGCTCTCAAGCGCGTCGATGTCGACGTCGGCGACGAGGCGGGCTACGGGCGTCAGGGCTTCAAGCTGCGCGGCCTCAATCTTCTCCGGGTGCGTTGACGCGTACGAGGCGACCAGGCCTGCGGCGGCGCCGCGGTCGGATTGGTCGGCCGCGAGGAGTGCGGAGAAGATTTTGCCAGCCTGCTCGAGGTCGGCCGGCCTGGAGGACTCAAGTAGGGAAGCTCCTGCGGCGCGGAGGAGCGAGGCGGGAGGCGGTTTGGTGGCGCTGTTGTCCATCCAGTAGTTCGCAGCCTTGGTCAGTTCGTTGCGGACAGAGCCGCGGCGACCGGCGTGCGCGTAGAGGGCCACCAGGGTGCCGACGATGCCCGGGGCGAAGCGGGTGGGCAGAACATCCGGGTTGCCGCTGTTCTCGAGCCGGACCAGGAAGTTTTCGAGAAGGGGCGTGGCTGCGCCGTAGTTACCCTCGTTGACGTAGATTTGTACGATAGTGAGAGCGAGGCCGACATCGTAAGGGCGCTTGTTGATGAGCGGGAGAAGCTCCTTGATACCGGCTTTACCACGTGCACCCTTTGCGTGTGCTGCAGCGTTCACGACCGAGAGGTTGGTGATAAGCGGAGAGGTTGAGGCGACCGGGTCGGCAGAGATCTTGTTCAGAGTAGTGCTGGCAACTCCCCTGTGCTTGTTGGATGAAAGGCCCATAACATGGCAGTTGTGGTCCAGAATGTTGGACTGGAAAGAGAACGGCTTGTCGTTGACCGGAAGCTTCGCCGACTGCTGCATGTTGCGCCAGCTCAGGTAAGGATTAGGGTCCTCGGTGACGTTGGCCATACCGTTGATTCGGGCGATGTGTCTCGTCGAGAGGTCTGGAATACTTTAAATCAATCAGCCGAAACAGTCCTGCACCAGTCTTCACTGACCATACTCTTGTAATGAGACCTCTTCTCCAAGCTTGGCCGCCTCGTCAAACTTGCGCAGCTTGTGTAGTACGTAGATCTGTTGGATGATGATGGGCATGATCTCGGCCTTCTTGTCCTCCTCGGACAGGTCCTCGGACGCCAGACACAGGGCCTTTGCGCGCTTCAGCAGCACGTCGGCCTGCCCGAACTCGCCGCACGCGATGCTGCTGCACGCCGCATTGTACGCCGTCTCGAACGCCTCCAGGTCTTCCCGGTTGACTTTGCCTCTGCTCCACTTCTCCGCCAGCTGCTGGCCATGGCCTGACTGCCATTGCAACTGCGCGTCGACGGCCAGGCTGTTGATGCGCAGGTCGTTGTAGTGCTCGAAGCCCTCGCCGTCCTGCGGCCGCGCCGCCAGCTCCTTGTACACGTCGGCGGCGCGCACGAAGTTCTCACCGCGGTACGTCGCCTGCGCGAGGACATGCCGGGCGCCGCGTCCGTCATTGCTGCTGGCCACGGCATCGGCGGCGACCTTCTCGGCCTCGGCGAGCTTGCCCGTCTTGTACAACGCGTAGGCATGTTCCAATGGCACCCGCTTCTTCAGCGCATCGCCGCCCTGTTCGATCTGGCGCAGCGCATCGTCGAAGCGGTCGAGCTTGACTAGGGCAACGGTGCGGACGTGCTGCGCGTCGAGGTCGCTTTTTGACTTGGCGAGCTGGGCATTCGCTGCTTTGAGGATTTCGTCGTGGTCGTCGAGGTGCGTCTGGGATAGCAGCGCGGCAAGCGAGTTGCCGGTGCTGGCGGCCATTGTCGGGGTTGGGGAGAGCGAAGGGTTGAACGAGGTTCAGCGGTCGGCCATGTGCGGCGTTGAAGTTGGTGATGCAGCAGCTGTCGATGGTCGGGAGATCACCGGCGACTTGGGCGGTGGTGGGGTCCACTTGGCTGTGTGGGGGGCGAGGGAAGCTTCGCTAAATTTCATGGAGCAGACGTCACTGGTACAATTACTTTGAATTCTTCTATGGCATTGTGGCACCAATTCAGTTCAAATCTGAGGGCAAGAGACGCTCCAGCTAAAGTCCCCATTTTCTGGATGCAAATCAGTGCACCGTAAATCCAAATTCGTCCAACGCCTGCAAATGCTGTGATTCCCGTCTTAGCCTACGCAAGCCTCATAACTCCACTTCTATGAATAAAATCAATCAAAGAGCGTCTTCAAACTCGTCTGCATCCGACTCCTCACCCCCGGATGGCTGAGCAGACGACGCCGCGGGGACAGACGATATGGGAGGCGTAGGAGCTGCTGAGTCGTCCAGCTTCACCCTCTTCGCCTCCGGAGCACTATCACCGGCAGTAGTGGCCGCAGGTGTACCCATGACGTCCTCAAACTCATCGTCGTCCTCGTCATCTTCGTCATCTTCCTCCTCCTCCTTCGCCTTCCTCTCCTGTTCCTCCCTTAGTGCAGCAAAGTAGGCATCAAGCTCTGCTGTGTTGGTCTTCTTCTCCTCCGCCGTCTCAAGCCCATTGCCCAAATCTATCGAGGCCCCAGCATCTCCATTCGCTTTAGGCCCGGCTGCCTCGCTACCAACAGTCGAGTGCGTGGCCCACACGGGCAGCTCATTCGATGCCGCAATCTTGGCCTTGTGAGCCGCGACCCTTGCCTGCTCTGCCGCCGTGTTCTCCTCCTCGGTAGAAATGGTGATTTCAACCTTCTCCGGTCCAGTTGTGAGGCCCTTAACAGCGGTTGGACGGAGCTTCTCGTCGACTACTACCTCGGTCTTCTGCGCCGGGTTGATGTGTTCATCGCGTGGCACGGGCTTCGCGTTGGCGACGGCTTCCTCGCCGGTGACGGCAGGTACAGTAGTCGAATCGATCTGCTGCAGGATGTCCAGCAGAGGCTTGAATTGCTTGTTGAACTTTGCGGGCGTATCGTCGGCCTCTGGCTCAGCGTCCTCAGCGGTGTTGCGCGACTTCAGGGGGGCGTCGCAGCGCTTGCACAGGAAGCCACCGCGGCGCATGTCGACATGGTCCAGGGCCTCCATTGTGGTCCATTGTGAGTTGCACCGCGGGCAGAGGTAGTCCTTCTTCTCCTGAGTAGGCTTCGAGATGGCCTTGATCTTCTCATCTAGCATATGAATGCGGTATTTGGTGCAGTCGACAGCGCGACGGTAGTCAATGTAGTAATATTCCTTGTTCGTCGGCTTCTGGGCGCCTTCGCGCGTCTCGGAGCGAACGTAACTAGTGTGTTATAAGCCCGAGGCCGAGGCGCAATGGGTAACAAAGCGCAAAGACGTACACTGAGACAAGGCCGCCCTCCCTCAACTTGGCGCAGTACTTCTGGACCTTCTTGTGGTTCTTGCCCTCGTCCATGACGAGCGACAGGTCGGCGGCGGAGATGCTGCGCGCTTGTCAGCGGGACCGCGACATGGCAGGCAAGGGAGGGCGAGGCACGTACGCGCCATGGTTGACAAGAGCATCGATGACGATGATCTGCTCGGTGTCGTAGAAGACGCGGGTGACAGTGCGGACGAGGACTTTGGCGATCTCCATGGCCACTGGTTCAGCGCGACGTTGAGGGAGTGAGCATCGGGCGGAGGAGATGCGCGACGCAGGCGGTAGGCAGAAGAGCAGAAGGGGTTGCTATTGTGCAAGTGAGTGAGCGGCGCAGACAATAGGCAGCATGGAAGCTGGCAATAGCTTGCCCGGCCGCGCCGTGGTTTTGCCGGCGCGCGATCTGCGCGAAATTCACGGCCGGCGTTGTTTGCCCGCTGCGACCCTTCACTTTTTATGTCAACACCCCGCCTCATGCTCCACCGGCCCTCAACATGGATCCGGAATCCGCAAAGCCTGAGGCTCAGTCCTCCGAGTCCGCAATGGACCCCAAACCCACCGACAGCGAGACCACCGATGCTCCGTCGGGCAATGGAGACAAGAAGCAATGGCGCGACAAAGGCGTCCGCGGCAACAAGCGTAAATGGCAGCAGGGCGGCAATATCCAGCATGGTTCGCGCGGTAAGAGAAAGGATATTGGCAGAGGAGAGTATATGTATGGTCCTGCTTCCCATCGCTCTACGGCGCAGCTAATTAATTCAAAGCCGCCATCAACCAGACAAGCGCGCCCGCAATGAGGACGAAAAGGCCAAGCGCCGCCGCCTAGAAGCCGAGGGCATCGAGTCTGTCCTCCCCAAGGCCTTCTCCAAGGAAGAGGTTGAAGCAGAGGAGCGTCGTCCTAAACGCAAGGTCGTCGTCATGATCGGATACTCGGGCAGTGGCTACAAGGGCATGCAGATGTGAGTACGCGTGCTGTGCTCAGAAAGTGCACATTCTAAGACTGCAACAGTATGCCGAACCACCGGACCATCGAGGGTGATCTTTTCACTGCATTCGTCAAGGCTGGTGCCATCTCGAAGGCCAACGCCGACGACCCCAAGAAATCTGCCCTCGTCCGCTGCGCAAGGACCGACAAGGGCGTGCATGCTGCTGGAAACGTCATCTCACTCAAGCTCATCATTGAAGACCCGGACATTGTCGAGAAAATCAACAGCCACCTCTCCCCTCAGATCAGAGTGTGGGGAATTGAACGGACTACCGGTAGTTTCAGCGCCTACCAGGCTGTCGACTCGCGTTGGTACGAGTACTTGATTCCGACCTACTCCTTCCTCCCACCCCACCCCAACAGCTATCTCGGAAAGAAGCTCGTCGAGCTGGCGGATGAGGCGGGTGATCGCGAGGGGTACGAGTCAAGGCAAGAGGAAGTTGCCGATTTCTGGAGGGACGTGGATGAGAAGCATATCAAACCTGCTTTGGAACAGTTGAAGCCATGGGTTAGAGAGCTTGTCGAGAAGGCCCTCTGGGAATCGGAGACCGACCCTGAAGCTCCTAACGAAAAGACCAATGAGGCTGCTGCCGAGGAAGCTGCTGACATGGCCCAGCCAGTTCGTGTTGGTGGTGAAAATGCTTCCGACCCCATGAATGTTGATGTTAGCGAGAAGACCGAGGAAGCTGCCATCATCATAAACGAGCCAGGGATTACCAAGGCATCGGAGCCGATGGATACTGATACGACAAAGCCTGAGTCGGCACCAGCCGCGGACGACTCAGTTCAGACCACCGACGACGACCCGAACGCATCTGCCGAAGACGACATGCCCCCCACCGATCCTGAAAAGCTTACTTTGGGCCAGAAGCGCGCGATAGAATCTGCGATTAAGAAAATCAAGGCCATCTACATGGACGCCAAGAAGGCTTACCGTGTGCCCGCGAAGCGCATCGATCGCCTCCGTGACGCTCTCAATGCCTACGTTGGTACGAAGAACTACCACAACTACACGGTGAACAAGAAGTTCAAGGACCCTTCGGCCAAGCGTCTGATCAAGAGCTTCAAGGCTGCCGAAGAGCCCATCATTATCAACGGCACCGAGTGGATCAGTCTCAAGGTCCATGGGCAAAGTTTCATGATGCATCAGATCCGGAAAATGGTTGGTATGGCAGCGCTGGTTGTCCGCTGCGGCTGTCCTGTGGATCGTATTGCCGAGACGTTTGGCGACGTGGATGTCGCGATCCCGAAGGTGCCTGGCCTTGGCCTGCTGCTTGAGCGGCCGGTTTTCGACTCGTATAACGCAAAGGCTGCCGATAAGTTCAACCGCGAAAAGGTTGAATTCACCAAATACGAGAAGGTTATGGAGGAGTTCAAACAGAGGGAGATTTACGAAAGGATCTTCCGCGAGGAAGAGGAGAGCAATCAGTTCAACCAATTTTTCGCGCACATTGACGGTTACAAAGAACCGTTCTTCCTTTACCTCAGCTCCAAGGGCATCAAGGCGTCCACAGGGCCGGAAGCTGAAAAGGCAAAGGACAAGAGCAGGACCACTAAACCCAAGGAGTTCAATGGCGACTCCGAGAGCGATGCCGAAGCTGGTGATGGTTGAACGGGATGGGTCTCATAGTAAGCTTTAGTCTCGATCCCAGCTGTGACACCTGCATTAAGCCGCGGTTCGTATCCGGGCTATATTTATTTTCAATGGTATAGGCTTTTCGGTCAACCGGCTCGTGCCGAGTGAAAAAGTTTCGCGAAGCTCTCGCTGTTTGCATTAAGGGCATATCGAGGCGTGAGCAACTCCAGTAAATGCGATCTGTGCATACCTGTTTTCTCGATTCCAGTCAGGCTTCGGGAGTGCAACTCAATCTCAAGTGTAGACCGCTGCATACAACGCATCGTGGTAGAAGTGTGACCGTACCTACATACTAGACTCCAGGACAGAATCTCGCGACTTTTGTGGAATTACCTCCAGCCATTATTGATCAGCCGATTGCGAACGCGAAGATGTGCAAGACAGCAGCGGAGGCCAGCCATACAATAAAGCCAAGGAATTGCGGCCGGATCACCTGCACCATCGTCTTCCGATCACAGTGGTGACCACTACACGTCACCTATCCGATAGTCCTTGTTCCGATAACTGTTGCCGACGAGCACATATTTCCGTTGTCATGCCATCCGTACCCGATGCAACGGTAAGTAAAGAACGTGCGCTGTACGTACGAAGTACGAGTCAGTATTCAGTGACTAGGGAAAAGGGAGGACCGGCACGTACACCCGATACCATGGAGCATCTGCTGGGACAACTTTACCGGTCTGTCGGAAGTGACAGCAAAGCGGTGATGAGACAAAATCCTGCAGTACCCCGTATGTCGGGTAGGCCTCATCTGAGATGGCTGACAGAAGCTACCGGCGGCAACTCCGACCCCGGTGGGTTTCATTCGCGCATTAGGTAATGGGACGCTGACGGCGGTGACTTTTGCTTTGCGCCGGCTCCATGCACGCTCGTGGATAAGCTTCTTGAACGCACAATGCGCTCTCCGTACGCTAGGTACCATCTGGGTTTGCTGGTACGTGTGTTGGGTCAACTTCTAGGTTCTACCCTGCGGGATCTCTTTTGACACATGTCGCAACGGAGACGGCCTTTGAATGATTGGGAAATGTGCGCTTGTAATGGATAATCGCTGGCACGGGTTAAATGCTTGTTAACGGGTAATGCCTGAGCCTTTCTGAATCCCCGTCGTCTCGTACTCTCTTTTTGTTTTTCTCCATTTCTGTCCTTGGACCTTGGTGCTGTCATTCGTTATCTACACAAGCAGTTGATGGACGTGAGAGAGCAAAGCTTAGAGCCAAGTGATTAGTGCACAGCCATTCACAAATGCTGGAGATACTCTTACGTGAAACTTGATGTCAATGAGGATTGAGGTATCTCCTTTGTGCACGAGATACGTGCACAGTTGCGTAAGATGAGAGGAGTCCTATGGGTAATATTTGGGCTAGATAATGGACAAAGGCACAAGCCGTTCCAGAGATAGGAATAAGCTTCCGAAAAGGTTTAAGCAAAAAGCAAAAAGTGAGGAGCAGGGAGGAAACCGTTCCGCTTAATTCAGCCGCGTCAGCCCCTCACCCGAGAGGAAAAAAAAAGAGAAAAAAGAAAAACAGAGGGTCTTGTACCGAGAACGATCCTGACGGAGCATCCTCCCGAAGTTTCCGACCAACAGGTTGCCTCTGTATCCTTGCGCTCTCCGTCTTGAATCAGACCCCCCTGCCTCGGCGCACGCAACAACCATCTCCACCATCCCCACCCGATCCCACGTCCGGTGCTCCTTTCTGTCTCAAACAGATGGCAGGGAAGTGAACCGACATCCCCTTCCAGCCGCGTTTGCTGCAATTCCAAATGACAAAACACCAACAATGTGCATACAATTACATCATCAGCTCCACAAGTCCACGCAAGAAAAAAAAAGCCGCCCTGTCCGCCGCCTTTGCCCGCCCACGCGTCACCTGCCCGACTGACTCTTATCCCCGCCCCCCACACACGCACTGCACCGCGAACCGCACCACCAACGGCCGGGCGGCGCGTGCCCGGCCAACGGTAGAAGGATCGATAAGCTTCCCGCACCCGCCTGGCCTAAACGCGCCCCACCTGTTTCCCAGGTCTGGCTTTCCCTCCCGCTCGGGTTCCAGAACCCACAACTCGCCCCCTTTTCTGTCACCTATCGCATTGTATAGCTATATTATGACTGCCCGCTCCCGCACGGTCGAAAGCCCAGCAGAGCGGACATACGCGACTGGATTATTCTCGTGGGCGTTCGGCCCCAATCGTACGGTTACATTTGTCAATGGAGTAGCATCCTTATGTGAACGTTTATGCGTGTAGCCACCGACGCCTCTCATTTGCGGCTTCTTTATTTTTTTTTCTCTTCCTTCTCTCGTCGGACTTTCACATGGCAACCAGAGGGGCGGCACGATCCACGCGTGCCCCTCACTTCAGTCCTCAAATTTCCATTTGCAGCTGTCCTTTTTTCGCCCCCATCATGCAAACCAGACCGTCTGACCCTCTCCCCCTGTACACTCTCTGCAAAAGCTGCCAAGGGGGCTGGTGACATTCATCACCGGACTTGCCACCCTCTTCTCTCTCTCTCAAGCGTGACGTGCCGTGACCCGACGTTTGAAGCGAGCGAGGAGGGGGGGCTCGGGAGGAGAGGGGTGAGGGCTTTTGCCTCAAGGTGGGTGTGTCCCGTGTGCCCCCTCGGCATGAAATTTTCTACATGGGTGTGGATACGGGGACAAGGGTACAGGTAACCGGTGATCGGGGAGAAGTGGTAGCAGCCATGCATGCTTTTTCGGCAGGCGTGTGGATGGCTGGGAGGAAATGAGCGAGCAGGGGGTAGCATACCCTGGCGTCACTGGGCGCCGGGGTATGTACATACGCGGAGAAGGGGAGAGGGAGGGATGGCGGGCAAAATTGAAGGGTCGCTGGGCACGGTTTCTGATGGGAATAATTTTACGGTTTAGTGTACACAGACGGTAACAGGGGGAATACTCCGCGGTGTTATTTGTGGCTGGCGGTAAAGTGGTGGGTGGTCGTGATGGAGGCCGATTTCGCCGCCGACGGGGAAACCGAGGCTGAGGGTAGGGGTGAGGTAGTAGATGAGACATGCAGTCGACGACCGAAGCACGGAATGAAGCATACAATTTGGGAGGGGAAGCGGACCGTGCAAGAATCTGGCCAGAGGGACGAACTCGGCAAATGCTGGTCCGGTGCGTACCGTTTCTGAAACGGGTGGCAGAACTGACTGCAGAGGAGTCACGAATGGGGAGACTTTGATGACCTTTTGCAGAAGTGATGGCCAAAATAAGACTCGAGCTCTGAGCCAGTGATGAGCGGGTGCGAGCTGGTTGGTTCGGAGGCGGTCTTGGTAAGCAAGGTGAGGAGGGGGAGCTATGCAGGCGCTCGCCGTGACCCACCGTTCGTCTGGAGAAGCCCGTCGGCCAATCGATCAATCGGATATATCCCTTCGACAATGTGAGTGATATGGTGCTGCAGCAGCCGCCGAGCCTTTCATGTGGGCCCACAGCATGGCGCGTCTGTCCCAGCCAAGCAACTATAGAGGCCATCTTTTTCTCATTCTGGGTGGGATCTCGCCACGATCACTGACCAAGTGCGGGAAGAAGTTTCCGGAAAAGGTGCTCAACATGCAGGGTGTACCCGTAGTGGGATACGGAGCAGGCATGGTGCAGCGGGAGAATCGATCCGAACGAGATAAATATGCGAGTTTACTCGGGTATCTGATTTGGCTCCGACTACCGTGGGATCATAAAGCTGTTGCGTCAGCATTATTCGAGAGGAGCGAGCGTCGTAGTGGAAATCCAGCAAATATTCGAACACAGACGGGTCCAAATTTTTGTTTGGCCCGTCCCCATTCCTGGGCCTTCCTTGCTTAATGTTAAGCCTGCTGTAAGCGGATGAAGCTGTACAATCACCGCCGTATTCCGTACGGCCTGCATAACCACGCATTTGAGCTAAGTCATGCATGGGACTGCTCACAATAAGCTAGGTGGCCTACGTGTATGACGGAAGTCGTTGCGGTTATCATGCCAGCGTTACAGAACCAGAGCTAAAGGTCCTGTCACTGAGCGAATGAGCTGCAGGATTCTGTTGCCGTACCCAATGTCATGAGTCGAAAAGCTGGCGGCAATATCCGCTGCAGGCTGTGGCAAGTCGTTGGCTTGAATTCGAAGAGGCAGGATATAGCGAAACCCACAAACGACCATCAATGTGGCCCACGGGTACTGGAAAGAGATGTGGCTGCCGACTGACGTGAAGGTGCAGGGCAAGCATGAATGTCGCCGCAAGGAGCCCAATATTCTGTGCATATGATCGCTTGGCACCGATCGTCAAGCGCATGAACACTTGAGCTTGCTATAGCCTGAATTGTTCGCAGCAAGAGTTACAGCGACCCGCTTGGCCATCCATTCCCGTGGGAAAAACATGTAAGTTACCTTCCACATCAGGACGTGGCCCGCCACAGCCGTGGTCCAAGTCAGGCAAGCTTTACGGCTACGAGAGCGAATGATCCAAGAATGGTGCTGCTTCTCGGTTCGCTGACGATTCATTCTGGACGCTAACGCCCACGTCCCCTGTTCTCCTTTGAGCCCTGTCGCCGGGTATTCGGGTGTGCGAGGCGTGCGCATGTCCGTGTGGAGTGCTACTGGTGTGCTCGGGTCTCCACCATGCTTGTTGATCCGTCAAATGAGAAGTGCTCGGGTAACGAGACCCGCTCTGGCGGGTAGGCTGATCCTCCGTCTGCGCAGCGCTGCCGCTCCGCAAGTGGCTTAATCCCCTCTGTGCCGAACCATCACTGACAAGGATGGCGTGGATGATGCTATTGGTCTCCATGCCTCTCCCAAATGTTCTGGCCCAATTAACGTCTCCACTTGGTTCGTCCGGTAAAGGAGGCTTGAGTCGAGACGTGGCCAGAGCGACTGCGACAACTTTGCGTCAGGGACAAGGACAGCGTGGATGAGGAGTACCGGGTCATAGGTAAAACGCTAGCGATGGCACTTCTGCAATGCCGGGAAAAAGCGGTCACAAATGGGCGCGACGGTGCAAAGTTTCCATGCCATGTCTGACGTGAGGTTGGTACTGGGTACTGCCGAAAGTTTTTCGCACAGACGCAGTGCAACAGTGCTCGAGGCCTTGACGGTGACGAGCGACTAATTTACATGCAGCCTCTAGCGCTTTTCGTGAACGGGACGTAGCAGGATCAACCGTAAGAGGAAAGATTAAGCTTCTGGAGAGTTGAGTAAATAGCGCACGGCGAGCAAGGCGAAGCGGGCTACAGAGGAGGCATGTCGTGAATGTGCATGGTTGAACTGGTTTGTGGTAGATGAGATAATTGACGAGGCAGTTGGCTTGAAAATTCGAGCGGAGTAGCCTCCGACAACTCAGCGTTTGGCCCTCCAGCGGTAGAGAAGAGATTGGAAATCATCCTGCACTTTGACTACTTACGGTCTGTCGATTCTGTGATGCATAGGTTCGATTGGAAAAGGCTCTCTTGGACGGGAGTTTGCGGACAGGCGGCATTGATCCGAATGCTAGACGAGCGTGCAGTTCGTCAAATAGCGTTAGTTAAGCCGCGGAAATATTCGCTTGCATGTCCGTCTAGAAGAGCCGGGGCGACCACGCCCCACGGATGATCCGCTGGCGAAGCGTCAGGGTGTGTTTGGAAAGACCGGTCGTCTTCGAAACCACCTGTGCAGATTTGCATCCGCCCCATCCAAGTAGCCTGGAACATGGGGTTTTGATAAAAAAAGAAAAAAGGGCGTTTCTTGGGTTCCATTCGCTTGCTCATCCATCGATCGTCTCGTAAAGTAGCTGTCGGAGCCGCAGAAGGCCCGCGGGAAAGGTTGCGTTGTAGGCGCATATGATCTCATTGCACCGATCCATTGTCGCACTCGGAGTTCGTGTTAATACCGGGGATAATAGGGGACAAGTTGCGTATGAGGATTATACATGCTACACGACAGTAGCGATCAGGTCAGAAATGCGTCCGGTCTCCATGGACGTGATCGGCCGGAAGGTGCTAACGAGGAACCAGGTTGTGGAGATCGAATAATCTTGAAAGGATCGCCAGTTCCGACCAGAACCTTTTTTCGACCATCCGTTGCCACATGGGACAATGGTGAGGCATCTCCCCGGAAACTTGCACGCGTGGTGGTTGGTAGCCGAAAATGACTGCTCGCGTAAAGCGGGAGGCGAAAAAAGAAAAAGACGCCCACACTGAGAGCCGCGGCAAGAGAACGACTACAATATGGGCTTAGCCTGTACAATCAACTCATCCTTCGCTGACCACATCAGTTCATGTTGGGGGCCTGATTACTTTTCTACTATGGTAGCCTCAGTCTCAGAATGTCCGGCCCGAGTCCATGCGGACATGCGAACCCTGATCTGCTTGGCGAGGTGGCGGCGCTCAGGATTTCGCCGTTAGGTTCTCACTGTAAAAGTAGTATCGGTACCGGCACAAGCCGGCCCACAAGTCACAACCATCTGGTCGTCTGAAGCGAGCAGACGGTTTAACTCGTCGGTTAGGTCTTCACGTTGTGCGGACGATCTCCGTTGGTAGTATTTGAACATTTCCCTTTGCGGTAAGCACTCCGAGACAATGTTCAATCAGGCTCGGGTGGGTATCGCGCGGGGCGCCTTGAACCGGCGCCGAAGTGGAGGCCGTTGAACGGGGGGTGTTGCCAATAGTGCCGTGGGTCCATGGCAGAGTGCATTCAAGAACGTGGGAAACTGGGAATATCCTCACGGGGGCATGGTTAGTACCGGCACAATTGCCGCAGTGGGTGCGTGAGTACAACGGCAGAGCGGCTGACGTGCGTTTTGACACAGCGCCACAAAGACTGCCATTCTCCGACACGCTGAGTTAAGAAAAGCCAAGCATGGAGATGTGGCCGCAGATCCTGAAGCGGCAACGAGGGCGCGCTGAGGGCGGGTAGTGCGTGCCAAGTCGTCTCCAGTGCTTTGATGTCAGCTTGCGTGCATTAGCAGAAGTCTAAAGCATGTTCGGCCTCATTATTACGTCCACGATCGCCATTTTCGCGGGCGGACGAAGGGTACAGACGCCTTCTCAGTCGGGCGATCGGGTCAACGGCGAGCAGCGCCGGCTTCACATGGACCCGTTCGATGCTGGAGATCTGCGCGCGTTCAGGAAGTCGGCCCGCGTTGGTGTGAGTGCGCAGCGTGGGCGCCGTGTTGCCCGAGAAGGCAGGGTGATATTCCTGGGATGCGGCATAGGTGGTGATTGGCTGGGGGGGAGCGACGAAGCTGCCAACTGCTGACTAGCCGGCCAGGACCAGGCGTGCGAGATTGCGATGGTGTGGCTCGAAAACCAGGTCAACCCGTGCTCGAAGCAGTGGCCTGATGGTTGCATTGGCTGCAGCCATCTGTAGCAACCTTCTCGAGCGCTGCAGGGACTCGGCGATGGCAGTCGACGGCTCGCTTGCTGCAAGCAGCCAGCAGTCATCGGCGGTCAGTCAGCAGCCGTCAACCAGCAGCCAGGGGCACGGGGACAGGAGGCGGTTTTCGCCATCCGATGGGCGGCCGAGGTGCCGAGACAGCTGCACGACCAGATTGGTGCACGAGTGATCGTTGCCCTTATCTGATCGGAGCCCTGGAGGCATCGGGTGTCGATGAAGCCTGGTTCCTGGTCCTCGTGCTGCCTGATGAGCGACTCATGGCAATAAGCTCGCGCCAGTGCTGAAATGGCCCGAACGCCTCGCCACGTCCCGCGCGAGCGTCCCCGCATCGTCACGCTGCTGTGGCTTGTGCCTGGCCGTCGATCGCATGGCGGTTGTGATTCGCTCGGCCCATCTAATCAGCGTCATACAAGCTTCGTCGCTGCCTCGGCGGCTGTTCGGCGGGAGGATGGGCTCTAGAACGTGGGGAGCGGGCCTGCTGATCCACCAAGCAGATTCAGGCTGCAAATGAGCTGATGCTACGGTTACGCGCCTTCTCCTGGCGGCGAGCACGCCAATGGGCGGGCGTCAGGGCAGCATTTAGCCGGCGACGGGCGGGTAGCAGCAGCGGGCAGGCGAGAGAAAAGGGGAGGCCAAAACGCCAGAGCAAAAGAAATGGAACCAGCGACCCGGTACAGCTATGAACGGACCTGTCTGATATAAACATGGTCAGCGGCCGGTTACGAGGAGCTACGCAAGCGGAGAGAATTCGACTCATTCCCGGGTCGCGTCCTGGTCGCCGGCAACAGCTGCACGGCCTAGGCCCAGAGCGGCAGCGCAGCCAGAGGGCAAGACATGGGAGCCTGGCGCGCGCGGGCCACGGATCCAGGCTGGCGAGATGTGCGTCGCCTTGCAGGCGGCGGGGCCAGGGCGCCGATCAGGGAGCAAGCGCAGGGAGCGGCCGCCGTTCACGGGCTCATGCGACCGCGGCGGAGCGAGCGTGGTGTGGAGGGGTGAGGTTGGCGAGATGGCGCGCCGCGGGCCTTAGCGGCGACGGGCGGTAGCGAGCAAGCGCACCGAAATGCGACTGCTGCTGGCGGCCATCTCGTCTCGCGGCAGAGGCGTTGATCGCCGCCGGGCTAAAGCGTCGCGCGGCCGCGGTATCCCTGCACGGGCCCAGCGGCGGCATCACGACGACGCCGCGGGTGGGTGCGGCGGGCGGAGCGGGTGTGTCTTGAGCACGTCTCAGCGCCAAGCCGGTGGCCCTGGCGGATGAGACTACATCACCGCCACAGGCGACCCGTCGCACAGCGCTATCGAAAAGCGCTCGCTGGCGCGGTGGAGCGCTGGAAGCGAGGTGACCAGCCCTGCGCCGGCCATCCCTTTTCAATCAGCGACGCGCCCCAAAGCGGCAGGGCGGGCCACGCGAAAGCAGCAGGCCGTCGCCCAGAACGGACGGGGGCCGCGGCTCCAGTTGCAGCGGCCGCGATTAAGCATTCTGCCGGCCGGGCGGCGTGTTATATACGCGCAGGCCGAGGCGTCGCACGGCGCGACGCAGCGCTGTCCGAATGGGAGGCGGCCGGCATTGGGGCTGCAAGCGGCGGCGAAAGCAGCTACGGCGTGGGGCAGATCTGCCCGTCAGTCAACGGCAGCTAACTAGGAGCGCCGCCGTTGACAGATCGATTCCTGGTTGCCAGACCCCCGGCCTGCAGCGCCCGGCAAGCGGCGTCGCACGAGGGCGCACGGCGGCACCGTGTTGACCATTCCGCATTCCAGTTTCTGGCCGCCCGCCATGCCTCCTTGCGGGCTGGGGGCCCTCGCAGGCCGGCTGGCATGTAACTGCGCGCTCACAAATTGCTGGGGCGTGACACCTGCAGCGCCCACCGATGCGAAACAGTCGCGCCGCAAAACCTGGGGCCGCCTGTTTGTGTTTGACCCGGGAAAGGGCCTTATTTGACGATGCGCGACGAAAATGCGCATCTGCGCCTGCATCACCACCATCAGCTGCACCTCTCCTTGCGCATCAGGCTAGCCCGTGTGCCGCGCAGATAAAACCCGGCATATCCTGACCTGCCGCCGGAACGCCCGCCTGCCGCCCACCGTCCCATCCCAAGCCTTTCCCCACGGCCTGCAGGAAGGGCCCATTGGCCGCGCCGCGCCCCCGCCAATCCTGAGTCAAGCCCACGCTGCCATCCCAGGTTGTCGCAAATGTCTGGCGTGAGGCTTTGGCATCCCTGGAACAAATCCCAGCAGCCCTCGACTCCAGCATAGCCGAAGCTTCCTGCCTGCCCATGTCGATCCAGATACAACCTTGACACCGCGGCCCGCTCGTGCCTTTTAACCTCCGTATCCGCCACATTGGACCGTTTGGGTCGCCTGCTGTTTCGACTGTCTCGCTGCTCACCGACTCTGGTCTGCGGGTCACGGCCAACGACGAGCGGAGCTCCCAATGCGGCTTCGTGCATCCAGTCCTGCTGCGGACAACTAATAACACGCATGTCCCGACCTCCAGCGCCGTCGCCGATACATCCTCCAAACCTCTCCCAGACCACCACCCAAATGGCCATGACCGAGACGCAGAACCTCCCGCACTTTCCTCCGCCGCCCTACCTCCTTGACCCCTACCGCCGCCTGCCCCAGCCCGTCCAGCTTCCTCCCCTCTCCGTGCCTCGGGATCCCGTGCGACCTGACTTCCCGCCCTTCTTCTCGCCCTCTCAGCGCTCACTGCCTTCCATCTCCTCTCTCTCCACCGCCTCTGCTCCCGCCCAGTCCCGGCCTGAGCACCACCGGCCCCACGTCCGCGCTGCTCCCGTCGACAAGCTCCTCTCCTCGAATCCCTACACGCCGCCTCGCTCGGATCCTCCCTACTCTCCTCCCCTGCAGTATGGTCGCACAGTTTCTCCGAGGTCACAGGTAGATGCCAGGCCCCCTCCTCCACGCCCCGTGGCGCGCTATCCCGAGGAACCGCGTCCCATCCACCACCCGGAGCCCGTGTACCCGCCTCAAGCAAATCCCCCACCGCCCCCTCCGCAGAGACAGCCCTCGTACCAGCCGCTACCGTCCCCCAGCTACACCTCCAGCTACCCGCCCAGCAACGCCTCGTACCGCGGCTCAATTGACTCGCACCGAGGATCCGCCTCGACCTATGGATCGGCCTACGCTGAACCCGTAGCTCCTCCGCCCGCGGCACAAAGACCTCCGCCTCCGCCTCCGCCCCAAGTAACCGCCGCCAGCGCTGGGCCCAGCATCGTCCCGAATGCACCCTACCGCGGGCCACAGCCGGACAAGACGTACGCCCCGCCATCCAGCCCAGTACTGCACAACTGCTAATCGCTCTAAAGGCAATATGAGTATAAGCTCGTGGTGCGGCAGCAACCGGTTGCTGCTCGTGCGTGCGGATTTGGAGAGCGTGACCGGAGGGTGATCGACCCTCCACCCATCATTCAGCTCCTGGTGACGGACCCCAAGACTGGGCAGTCGGACCCGGACGAGCTGCGATATTCGTTGAACGTTGTGCACTGCACACTATGGAATGCCGACGGGACCAACGAGGAAACCGCACTGATCCAGCCTGACCGAAGAACGACCCGGCGTCTCATGGGCCAACTGGTTGCGTCCCCCTCGGTTGCCAAGGACGAGCACGATGTCGAAGGCTGTTTCTTTTGCTTCCCCGACCTGTCGTGCCGCACGCACGGCAGATACCGGCTTCGGTTCGTCCTGATGCGGATCGACCCGATGAATCTGCACGTCGGCGGGCTGATGCCGATCCTAACAGAAGTCTTGAGCGATGTCTTCACAGTCTACACTGCCAAGGACTTCCCGGGAATGCGGCCCAGCAGTGCCCTGACGCGAGCGCTAAAGTTACAAGGATGCAACATCCAGGTCAAGAAGGGGAATGAGAAGGCTTTGGCCCGGCGGCGAGCCAGCCACATCAGCGACGAGGATGACCATGGGGACAACGATTCGCATTCGGGGCGCAAACGGCGCAGGGAGTAAATCGGGTCGTTCTTGGTATCTAAAATCGGGAGTACTGTTACAGGGGAATACTTGGTGATAAACGGGCATACTGTGGGTCATATTAAAGCTGGCATGGAATACCCTTCTATTATCTCCCATTTGGCGTGCAGCGCGGGTTCGAAGATTTCCAGCTGTTTTCCTGACGAGTGCGCGTCTTTCGGCAAAGGCATCGGTACGTAGCATTCTGGCAGCTACATATGCGGCACCTACTTTTGTTTTTTCCGCATCCTGTTCAGGTATTGTGACGATATGCCACTGGCGGAGACGAAGAGACGATTGGATGACGGACATGAATGGCATGAATCATGAAGACTGTCGCAGGCGGCCAGAGCTTGTATATGACGATATAGCAAATGGGGCGGTTTGCGTGCGGGTGTTTACTACATGGAGGGTTGCGCTCTTAATTGTTTTCACTATCGCCTTTCCAGTTTGCTCGGACTGACTATCCGGACCGTGGTCAGCCATGTGAAGCACATTGCAATCAAGCTTGGGCAACGTAAATACGCTTGGATGCTCCCGAGAGTCCCCGCCGCTCCTTCTCTGGCGCAAGGTGGGAGCTCTCCGAAGAGCTCGGCAAGCAGTGCAGACGCATCGTACAGAGATGAAGCACACCGGTTCTTCAACGTGGACGTGAAGGACGCCAAAGCTGCGTTGGGGACCGTGCAGACAAATTAGACTCAACGACCGCGCGTGCATGTATAATCCTACCGTTCCTTCGCGTCGTTTATTACAGCGGAACCGCACCTGACGGCTTTGCAGCGCATCGCATCCGACGGCTTATAGTGGCTGCTGCTATATAATCGCCAATCTACTTGTCGCATTTGAAGTGCGAAAGAGCGGAAGAGGAGAGCGAGGTGTGAGCTGGACGCGCATATGCTGCTGTGCAGCTATCACATCGAGGATCGCCTGCATCGGGAGCTGTCACCGTCCTAGCCGACCAGACTGATGGGAGCCGGGCAGGCAGGCGCGTCATCACCGCAGGTTGGGCTCTCGTGCCGCTGCGAGAAATAGCTCGCATGCCTGCAGGCTGGACGGAGCGGGCGAACGAAAAAGCAGCGCGGCGAAAGGTCCGGTTGGTGCCTTAAGGTTTTTCTGACTGGTGGCGTAGGTCCAAGCTCCACCGGCGCGGCAGGCCCCACCAATATTTTTTCGCGACGGTTGCCGTCACCTCGACCTTTCTTTCTTTCCCCCTGGCAACAGCCAGGAAAGGCACCACTTGGTTTCACAGCAACTCACAATGAAGTACGTTCTGGTGTCTGGAGGTATGCGACCTGTACCCTGCCGTTTTTTTCGGGCGCGCGCGCTGACAGCTGCGCGCAGGTGTGATTAGCGGCGTCGGCAAGGGCATCATCGGTATGACAGCTCTCATGGAACCGTTTCGCGCCCGACTGACGCGTCTGCAGCCTCGTCGACCGGCCTGCTGCTGAAGACGATTGGATTGAAGATACGTTGCCTGCCATAACGCGTCGTTTGCACGCGCTTGCTTGGTCTTGTGGAAATGCTGACGGGCTGTGCACGTCTCGTCGATCAAGATCGACCCGTACCTCAATGTCGACGCCGGGACTATGAACCCAAAGGAGTATGTCGCATCTTGCATCCCCGACATGCGGCTGTCCAGTAACCCAGTCCTAGGCATGGCGAGGTGTTTGTGCTCTCCGACGGCGGCGAGGTCGACCTCGACCTGGGCAACTACGAGCGTTACCTGAACATCACCCTGACACGCGAGAACAACATCACCACCGGCAAGATCTACCAGCATGTCATCGAGAAGGAGCGTCGTGGCGACTACCTGGGCAAGACGGTGCAGGTGGTGCCGCACATCACCGACGCCATCCAGGCGTGGATCGAGCGCGTCTCCAGGATCCCCGTCGATGACACAAACGAGGAGCCGGATGTCTGCATTGTGGAGCTGGGTGGCACCGTCGGTGACATTGAAAGCATGCCCTTCGTCGAGGCCCTGACCCAGCTGCGGCATCGCGCTGGCAAGAACAACTTCCTCAACATCCATGTCTCGTACGTTCCGACGATCAATGGCGAGCAGAAGACCAAGCCCACCCAGCACGCCGTGAAGAGCGTGCGCAGTGCTGGTTTGATCCCTGATTTGGTACGCGGTCACCCGCCCACCTGTAGGCGCCGTTTTATTGACGTTTCAATTTAGATTGCGTGCCGCTGCGAACGGCCGCTGGAGCGTTCCACGATTGAGAAGATCGCGCACCACTGCCAAGTCGATATTGAGCAGGTCGTCGCGGTTCGCGACATGCCCACAATCTACCAGGTACCCGTGCTTCTGGAAGACCAAGGCCTGGTCCACCTTCTGCACAAGGCTCTTGACCTCGGTGCTCTCAGCATCCCTGCGCCCATGGTGAAGAAGGGCAGGAAGATTTGGAACACCTGGAAGGACTTGACCGTTACCCAGGACCACTACTTCGAAACTGTTAACATCGCCCTTGTCGGAAAGTACATCGAGCTTCACGACTCGTATCTCTCCGTCATCAAGTCCTTGGAGCACTCTGCCATGCGTTGCAGGCGGAAGCTCAACCTGATTTGGGTTGATGCAGAGCACCTTGAGCAATCCTGGAGGGAGAAGGATCCGGCCAAGTTCCACAAGGCTTGGCACGAGGTGTGCACTGCAGCTGGAGTCCTCGTGCCCGGCGGCTTCGGGCAGCGCGGAACTGAGGGCATGATGGCCGCTGCAAAGTGGGCTCGCGAGCACAACACCCCCTACCTTGGTGTCTGCCTGGGCATGCAGATAGCCGTGATTGAGTACGCGCGCGAGATTTGCGGAATTGCGGGCGCGACCTCCGAGGAGTTTGACGCGAAAGCGGACAACCGTGTCATCATCTTCATGCCTGAAATCGACAAGGAGACGATGGGCGGCACCATGAGGCTTGGTCTGCGCCCGACCATCTTCCAGCCCGGCTCCGAGTGGAGCAGGCTGCGCGCTCTCTACGGAGAGGCCCCGCAGATCATGGAGCGCCACCGCCACCGCTACGAGGTTAACCCGGAATACATCGAGCGCCTCGAGAAGGGCGGCCTCAACTTCGTCGGCAAGGACGAGAAGGGCGAGCGCATGGAGATCATCGAGCTCAAGGACCACCGCTTCTTCGTCGGCGTCCAGTACCATCCCGAGTACCTCAGCAGGGTGCTCGAACCCAGCCGGCCGTACCTGGGTTTCGTCGCGGCCAGTGCCGACTGCCTCAAGGAGGTCACAGAGGAGATCTTGGGCGAGCAGGCAGTCCTCGCAAACGGGGTCAACGGCGCCGCCGAGGCCAAGGAGTTCTGATTTGTTTCATTTTTGAGGACCATCATCGCTTTTGGGCAAGTTATGGTAAACTTCGGATGAGGTTTCGTATTTGGGTTGGAAAGATCACAGAAACTGGAACTGCGAAAACAAAAACTATCATTTGGCTCAAATGGTTGGCGTTGGTGGAGACTAGGTTTTTTGGCTCTACATATATTTTGTCTAGAGGCTCGAGGTACTTTCTCATAAACTGGTCTTGGGTATCCTCTTGTTTAAGGATAGCAAAATGCCCGCTCAAGCAGGGCCACGCTGCCACGCAGCATAAAAGTAGAAAAATGTAAAGATATAGAGAGGTCATCTCAAAATACCACAAGGTCTTGTCCCATGCATGCATTATGTTGCCCGCCTGAGCATCGTGCCTGCTGCCCGAGGGCCGTATCTGTCTAATCACGACAGTCTTTGGCTTTGTTTGTTTCTTTGTTCTTTTTTTCTCGACGACTTAGGTCTTACCATTTTACAGCTTCCACCTCTTTGCGATCTCGATGCCCTCTGCGAGAGTGCCGACGCGGGCGTCGATGGCGTAGCCCTGCTGTTCAAGAGCGCGGCACTGGGCATAGAGATCGGCGAGCGGGACGGTGAAGCACTCGATGAACTCGTTGTCCTCAAGCTCAGGCTTGGGATTCTTGTTCTCGGGCTTGGTCAAGTCGACGGTGACGTGGACCATGTTGAGGTTTGTGTTGCAGAAACCGGGGTCTGGTTGGTACAAGTGGTCGTTAGTGAGCTCTTCTTTCTGTTCTCCACTCCCCCCTCCCCCTTGGCAATCTCCTCTCTTCCTCTCTTACCCGCCTCTGACAGATGGGGGCAGAGAAGGCCAATCGATCAAACTCACCATTCCACATTACCGGACTCACGCCGAAGCCTTCCTTGATAACCTCGCCCACGTAGCCCGTCTCCTCCTTGAGCTCGCGCACGGCACACACCTCAGGCGTCTCACCAGCGTCGATCAGGCCGGCGGGAACCTCAATGCAGATGGCGTTGACGGGCGGGCGGAACTGCTTCTGCAGCAGCAGCGACGGCGGCGCGTCGGGGGCCTGCAGGATGGCGACGATGCCGACGCCGTCGATAAGCGAGCCGGCAGGGCGCGTTTGCCGCTCAGCGGACTCCCAATCGCGCGTAGTGGAGAGCGGGTCGGTGTAGGTTGTTCTAGGTGGATGTGAGAAAAAGAAAAGGGAAGCAAGGGCTGTAGTTTGTGGGGATCAATCGGTGGTGGAAGAGCTAGTGGGGCCGGAGGGCGATGGGGGGGAGCAGTGGGCGGGATGGGGGGAGCGGTACTTCACCAGGCGCACCCAGCGGGCATCCTTGGGGTCCTGTGTACGAGAGCAATCGGTGGTTAGCGCGCGTGTCAGATAGGCGCCCAAGGGAAGTGGTTTGGCTGCTTGGTGTTTTTGGTGATGACGTACCAGCGGTTCGGTCTTGACCACCTTGGCGTCGGCGGCGGACATTTTGGGCGATTGTGCGACGGTGTTTGAGGAAGGAAAGGTTCTGGGCAGGACGGTGGAGGGTTGCGGCAGGCTGAGGCGTGAGGGATCGAGAGAATTGGTGTTGTGCCCCGCGGGCGAGTCAAGAGGGATCAACCGATGACGCACTCTCGTTTCAGGGTCCAACCGCGGGACTGCCGCCGCCAAGAGCCGACTACTAATCTGATCCCACACCGTTTTCGTCCTGCGAGGACCACATTCTCAACGTCGTGCGGTTTCGTCTGACCGCGTCTGTCTTGCAAGGTCGCGGTGAGGGCCGAGCGAGCGGTGAGTGAGCCAGAACTTAACCGTAGCATCCTTCTCGCCGCCATTATGCTGTGTCGAGCGAGCCAAAGCAACCCAACTCTCTTTCTCCACCATTCACAGCGCCTCGTTCACCAGACCGCCGTTCCGCCTTTTCACTCAATCAAATCGGGTCGCGTCCTTGCTTAACCGCTGTCCGCCGGCCACGTCGTACCGACTCATCTTGCAGTGTGCAGAACCGTCCTTTGCTGCGCCTGTCCGATCGATCTGACCTGCGCGGCCAAAACGCAGAATCTATTGATTCCGTGGTTGCAGACGCCTAGCACCTACGCTCGCCTGCCGCCGACTGGATCGCGGGCTTCGGAGAGTGTGCATGGCCTGCGCATACGCACATGCAAAACATACAGACTGCTTCACATCAAAAGAAAAAAGGACAAGACAACATGTATGTACAGTCCATGCGTGACTTCTGCCCGCTACCGACGCCCCCTGTTCCTCTCCGATGTGTATTGAATCGCAGCAGCAGCTACCCGAGCCTGTCTGCTCTTAAGCCGTGGGATTCGGGGCAAGTGAAAATGGAAAAGGAAGGAGGAATGGGCCCACCACCCGCCGGCGTCCAATGATTGCATGCCACGGTCCTTTGCGGCTCAACCTGTGCAACGTTTCTCCAGCATCACCAGCCACCAGGCAGGGTGGACTCGCGGACGCGGCACGTATTCCTTCCCTTTTCAGGCCGCCTTTGCCGCTTTCCCGCCCACTCGCGGCCGGGATGAGCGCTGGAAATGAGAGTGGTTGATGTCTGATGTGGCTGCAAGAAACCTAGGAGACATTGATCGGAATCCATGCTGGATCGGAGACGCACAGCAGTAGTGATGCCTCCACTCGAGTGATCGAGGATGCGGAGGAATAAGGAAAGGGGGTAACTTCAAGTGGTGACCTACCAGAGGCGATTCTTTTTTTTCCTCTTTTCCCCTAAAAGTCTTGCACATTAACTGGCGCACGAAGATTTCTTTCGCTGTGTTCGTGGCACCGGTGTGCCTGTGTGAGAGCGCGTGTGCGAGAGGGCGCGAGTGTGTGTGTGAGTGAGACAAGCAGCATCTTTTCTTAATTTTCTTTTTATTTCTCCCACCTACCACACACTGTGTTGCTCGCCCTCCCACAGAACGCTTTTTTCTTTTTCGTTGAAACCAATCCTTGGGCGTTCCTCCCATCGGCTCGACGGCCCACCCTAGGCGCATCCTGGCTTCCGGATATGCATGTTGCACGATGAGGTCGCACAGATCGATAAGCGTGTTTGACCCTCGGCGCCAGGGATGTGGTGGAAGGGGGAAGGGAGGAGAGGTGTGAGAGTGAGACTTCTGATGACTTTCCGGGTGTGGCTGACAGGGTGTGCATGTGTAGGTGTGGATGGACTGTGGTCAGTATGCAGGTGTGGGTGCGTGTATGTGTCTGCCGTGTGCCATGTATGCGCGTGATGAGCAACACGTCTGGCGTGGTGTGTGTCTGCCATCCCGGGTTTTGCCCTTTTTTTTTGCGGAGGGGGGGCCGGCGGAGAGGGAGGGGGGGAGCGGAGGGGTGGAGGCGTGTGGCATGCGGACCGGGAATTCCGTGTCGCCCCGATCGAGCCTGTGTAGCCGTGGCGGTGGCGGCGGGTCGGTGGCTTTCGCGGAGCACGCCGAGCATGCGGCACTCAGCAACGTGATCTCTCTCTCTCGGGTTGGCGGGAAAAAGCAATTATGGACTGCGGCCTGGATGGGGCTACGTACCTGGCGGCTGGAAGGCATTCAAGGGGGCGCTTAAGGCTGAAATGACGTGTATACCTCAAGTGAGAATTTTTCGAGATTGGTCACATCAAGCAATAAACACTTCGTCAGCAGCAGTTAATGCTGCTCAAAGCAACAGCAAAACCTTTTTGGAGAAAGGAAACTATTCCGAAACGTTTTTGATGATAGTATCTAAAAATAACAAAAGCATGCAAGCCGAGCACCGTAGAGAGCCTAACGCGCCCACTAGGAGTGGTGGTGGTGGCAACGGCAACGGCGACGGTAGAGTGGACTCGAAGGGTGGGTGGTATGGTGGTTGTTTGTTCTCTGCTAAATTCTTCACATATATTTAGCCCGAATTCTCTAGTATGATAGACCTTGATAGGGTAGTATGGCGGTAGAAAAAGTCAATGTAATGTCGGGGAATGAGATGAAAGTTCAATCAAGCTTACATACGTACTGTCGTCGTGGTTGTGGTGATGGCAGCGGCGACGGCTGTGGTGTTGCGGCAAAAAAGAAAGTTAAATAAATCGCTGGAAGAGATCTGGGAACGGCATTCGTTGTATAGAGAGCCTTTACTGCTATTATACAACAATAAGAGACTGGTATGCCCCCAAAGACGGGAAATAGTGTAATGTCAATGTTGACCGTGGCGTCTTCCCAAATTGGCAAGTGCTCGTTACGGAGGATTGATACCGGAAACGGTGCAGCCACATCACATGGCGCCTATGCTTTAACTGTCCACCGAACCAGAGAACATACAAGCCTTGAGTTTACTTCTTGGTGTGCCGTCCCTTCGAAGGAGTGCGCTCAGCATTGTGATGACTGGAGCGGGAGCGCGCGATACGACGTTTTGAGCGTTTCCAAGCTCTTTAAGAATGACCTTTGCCCACAGTTTACCCAACATCGGGAGCCTCTTAGTGATATCAACTTGTTCTGGCCATCTAGCCGGCGATGCTCATGCGGCACTTCCCCGAGGCGCAGCAGCAGCAGTAGTATTCGGTAGCATTCTCCATATACGCAATACCAGGGTCCAGTACGACTTCGAAGCTTACTCGGTCAATTTGAGCTCTAATTACATCGTTTGAACTAATTACTCGACTTGACACCATGTCCACAATCTTAGAGCTGCTGCAATCTACTCTATCCTAAACAATCGTGGTCTCGACCCGTAGCCTTCAATCCACCATTCCGGATCGACAAGACTTCAAAGGCACTAGCACCTCCGTGCGTAGTCCAAAAGATAGGCATATGACATCCTCGTTGCCTGCTGCGAATATCTTCCGTACTTGTACATCCGGGCTCTCTCCTTAGGGTCGCTAATACTGACGAAGGCCATAACCCTGAGCCTCTTTTGAGCCTTCCAAAGCAGATTACTCATGCGCAAACGGGCCAGAGCATTCCAGAGATGATCCCAGGTCGGTTTGTAGTAGTCCGGGGTGGCAAAGGTCACCCTTTTCAAGTTCACCAAAGGCTTTGACGGGTCCTGGTTGGCAGCAGCAAGCGAGAGGAAGAAGTTGGCCAGGAGACGCGGCTCGGGCGCGGAGCCCGGGTTGAAGCCGTCCAACCAGACACTCAGAACTTGGAGCTTGGGCAAGTGCCTCAGGAGGCTGATCAAGATGGCCTCGCCGTCGTTGTCCTCGAGGCCGGCGTGCAGCTCGCTCTCGATGTCTCCCACTTCAGCCGCAAGGGCCGTCGCACGCGCAATGTCCACACGCGGCGGCGAAGGGTGGTACCAATAGGTCATGCCGCAGATGATGTCCCCTTCATCGCAGTCAAAGCAGCCGGGATTCGGGTCTTGTCTCTTGAACAGCCAGAAGTGGAGCTCCTTGACATGGGCACCGAGGGAGGGCCGCATGGTGATGGTCTTGAGGAAAGAGGTGTAGTAGGCCTGACGCTGGATGTGGATAGGAAAACGCTTGAACAGCTCCGGCTGGGCGGCACTGGAGAGGCGGCGAGAGGTGCGGCAGAGGCTCATGATGCCTTTCTTGTCGGTGACCGCCTCTGCGATTTGGAGAAGCAGTTCGGTCGGCATACCCATCAAGCTGGCCCGAGGAGCGTGGCCGAGACCCATGGCAGCAGTGGGCCCGACAGTGAGTCCGTCGGAGTCGGAAGCCATTCGAAGTGAGGTGAGTTCACTGTGTCGAGCAAAGACTGGATCGCCGAGTGAAGTTGGGTTTAAGTGTCCCGGGAAGAGAAGCAAAGATATGCTTCGAAAGAGAGGTGCAGTTGGCAGGCAGCGGCAAGGCCATCGACTTTGTCCAAGTACAAATGGGCAGCAGAGGTGAGTGAATGAAGAAGCAGATCAAAACACCAAATGGCACATAACACAATGCTGCATATATTGTATCAAAACAATGTTATATCACTAGTGCCAGAACCTCAGGGGCAGGGTCCGGGTCTTCTCCCAACCAGCATCCAGCGCCTGAACAATTTCTTCCGGCAATGGGCCCTGTTCTAGCGCCGCCAGATTGTCCTCCAAGTGGTGCGGGCCGCTCGCACCCACGATAACAGCATCGCCAAGCTCCTTCTTCAACGCCGAATGGTGCGCCAGCCACCTCAAGGCGCACTGCACCTCTGTAATGCCATACTTCTTCGCCACCGGCCTCAGTCCCTCCAACGCCTCCCACATCGGATCGTTCCAGTAACGGCCACGCGTCAGCTTCCCTTGCCACTTCTTCGGATCGAAGCGTTCACCATCCTCAAACTCGGTCTGGTCCTTCTGGTACCTGCTGGTCAGGAAGCCGCCGGCGAGCGGGTTGAAGACGTAGAGGGCGACGCCGTAGTAGCGCAGGCACGGCACGAGCTCCTCCTCGATCTTGCGGTGGAAAGCGTTGTACAGCGCCTGGTACACGCTCGGCATGATCCAGCCGTTTTGCTTGCACGTCTCGCAGATGCGCGCCACCTCCCACGCCTGGTAGTTGGAGATGCCGAAGCGGGCGAAGTAGCCCTCCTTGTGCAGCTCGTTGACCTCGCGCAGCGTGTCCTCGAACGGCACGCTGCGGTCCGGCCCGTGCAGGTACCACATGTCGATCTTGTCGGCCTTGAGCGCCTTCAGGCTGTCCAGCAGCCCCCGCCGCAGGTCGCCCGGCGCGTGCGTGTACTCCGCCTTCGACATGCCTCTGCCCTTGTTCGGGTAGAGCTTGGTCTCCATCACGATGCCGCGCTCTTGCCACGACGGCGTTACCGAACCCAGGTACGATTCGGATGTGCCCTCTCCGTAGACGCGAGCGCTGTCGACTTCGTTGTGGCCGTGGGCTTGGAGGATGTCAAGGAGTTTCGAGGTGCCCTCGAGGGTGTGGACGCGCGTCATCTCAATGCCTGGAGACTGAAGTGTAAGATATTGTACTATTCTCCTTCAGTGATTCTCGTACCTGGAATGCCAATGGTCATGGCACCGAAGACGGCCTTCATGGCGGGCTTTCCTGCGCTCATTTTGGTGGCACTGGAGGATTGCTAACTTTCTGGTAGAGAAACGTAAAGGAATTGAAAGAGAATTGGTCAGGTCGGGCTGTCCTGCTCCCCCAAAGGAGGGGAGGCGCCTTAAATACCCCGAAGAGCAGCATTGCACGCAGACACTTAGCTGTTAAGTCCTTTATCACCGCAATGGAGGCCTCAGATTGGCTTCGCCCCACATTATTGCCGCAGTTCGGCTTTAAGAAGGATGTAAGGATGCTCCGAACACACTCGGTTACTCTTTTGGGCAAGAACAGTTTCCCCGAAGATAACCCTCGGCCGACGAAGGCCACTCAACACCGCTGGGCCTCGTATTTCGTGTTGTGCAGAGTCTAAATGTTCAGCTCTAATGTATCTCGTAGTTCGGCACTCAGTAAAATGTCCTCGACGCACTATTCAATGATTGGAATGGAACAGTTGAAGAGGCTGCCGCGGACACTTCGCTGTGGTGACTTAGAAAAAAGGCAGATTTTTCAGCTAGTTAAATATATCATTAGGCTATTGGCTAACAAAGCTTATCTGGGTATAATTAGGTTCGCCATCGTAGCATTGGGTTGGTAAGTGATGAAGACTTTCAGTTTCAGCAGTCGAGGTAACAGTTAAAGGCCGATGACGTTGTGTTAAGGAACATCCGTGCTGCAGCCTAAATACAGTCAAGCACTGGATGCTTCTTGGCTACAGCTTCTAGTCAGGAGAAGTTCAAACAAGAGATCCAAAATGTTCCACATAGACACCCCACCTTCCTTATCGATACGATAGGGCTGAAGCGGAGATACGCCCGGCTGGCCAATATCTTTCAGCCGCTTGTGACGTCACCTTCCAGGGCCAAACCAAGCTCTAGCTCCCAATCCTGGCAGCCGTGCAGAAAAAGTTTCCAGGGTCAAGGACAAGCTGGAAGCTGGCCTGAACGCCCAGGCACCATCTCTCTCCTCAACCCACTTTCAATGTCCGTATGGACCTGCTAGGTCTCGACCTCTCTCTCGCTCCACCGACAGCAGCACACCGATACGAACCCCCGTTACCCCGCTAAAAGATCCGTGATCATCAATCGCGAACGGTCGCTCGTATCGCAGATCCATCTCAATCCACGGGCCCCCATCAACGATCACCATGGCGATCTGCTACCGCCTCTTCATCACCATCACAAACATCTTCTTCCCGCCGTTAGCCGTCATCTTCCTGACAGGTTTCGGCATGGACACGTTAATAAACGCGTAAGTGTCAAATCTGTCCCCTCTCCAACCAAGGGACTCGCAACCCCGCCGCCCCTTCGCTCATCCCCACTCAACGCAACCAATCCCCACACCCACACCCACAAAAGCAATTGCGAGCTAACATCAAAAACAAGCCTCCTCTTCCTCGCCGCCATCCTCCCCTCGCACATCCACGCCTTCTACCTCAGCTGCACCTACTTCGCCCGCCGCCACCGCGTGCGCCGCGGCCGCGCCCCCGGCGGGCCCAAGCCCTTCATCTACTCGGAAAACATCCTCTACGGCGGCGCCCGCTGGGATGAGGTCCAGGAGCTGCAGCGCCAGCAATCCCCCTCCACTTCCTCTTCTTCCAACAAAAAGAAGAGCCGACACCAACAATCACCGTACGTGACGCCTTCCGGATTCGTCGTCGATGATAGGAGTGTGAGTAGTCGGAGGGATCGGGGTGGTAGTGGTGGTGGTGGTGTCGGTGGTGCGCAAGGTGCTGCGGCAGGGGGCTACGCGGGGTTGAGGTACGGGTTGGGCGATGCTGACGCGGCGGGGTGGAACGCGAGTAATGGCGTTGTCGTGGGGTCCGGGTACGGCCAAGGGTATGGGCCGACCGAGGCGTATAGGGGAGGGGCGAGGAGGGCGAGGTCGGCGTATTGAAGAGGGGGAGGAGTGGCTGGTGAGAGATGACGGCAGGGGTTGGTTGGTTGGTTGGTTGCGGTGGTCGTGTTAACTGTGCTGGTGGTAATGGTGATAGTGTCGGATAAAATATTCATGATGGGAAATACATTGCGGCGAGCGCGTCTTTGGTCGTTAGAGAGACAGTTTAGCAAGGCGTTTTCGGGAGTTTTGCTTTCAACTTGGAACGGGATTCATACAGGGTTGGATGGCCATTGGTCGTCGCAAGAGACATTCACAATACTCCTGACTGAAAATTTTCGGATTGTTCGATCTCTACTCTCAACATTCAAGAGGGTTATAGAAACACAAACGTCATAAGTCTACACAGAATCAAAATTTTACATTTTGGTACTCAAGCATTGAATACTTCGATCCACATCATGTTCCTTTTTCGTGTTGTCCTTCTATCAACACCACCACCTCTCGCACCCATTATCACCATCCACTAATTTTTTCCACACCTCGTCACGCTCCAAGCAATGACTTGCCCCACTCTTCTTCTTGCGTGACAAACGTCGCCTTGCACATAAGCAGACTCCTCCTCCTAATCTCCTCGCCCTTCCACAAAATGACCAACGGCGCCGCACTCAACGCCAGCCTGACGAATCCGAGCAATCTGTCAGCCCACTGGAACCCCAAATCGCGAAACAAGCTCTGGATGGCCAGGGGCAGGAAGGCGCCGAACGTGTTGCGGCCTAGGCTGGTGGCGCTGAGGGCCGAGGCGGCGTGCTTTTCGTACGCGTCTTGGCCAGGTAGTTGACGACGACGAGGTAGATGCTGTAAATTCCCAGGCCCGACGATGGCGACACCCACCATATCAGAACAACCCCCGCCGTGAAGAACAGCGAGCCCGGCACCGACGAGGACAGGCGCGCTTCCAGGATAGACAGGCCTGGATCATGCCTGCTGCGCTTGGAGGAGCGGAGGTAGAGCGTGTCTTGCACCGGGTTGACGGTGGTGCCGATGAGGGTGCCGACGGAGAGCGCGAGTTGGATGAGGCCGGTTGCTATGACGCCAAAGCTGTAGTTGGTCTGGAACGACTGGACGATGAACGACTGGAAGAGGAAGAGGAAGACCATCCAAATCGAAAATACGATATGGGAGCTCTGAGGTCTGTATGTGAAATGCTGGAGTTAGGGTGGATGTTGAGTTACGCACGAAGTTGGGGAAAGGGTTCAGTTTCCCTAAGGATGTCCATATCTCCAGAGAAAATAAACATGAAAAATCTGTGGAGTCGTCATATGGTTATGCTTGCGAATGATGTTTGTTGTTTTGGAAAGTCTCGTAAAAGTTGCATCATTCCGTGTGCTGCCGGGGCCAAGTCTAAGATAGGCAGCGTAGCATGTTGAACAGCACTTCAAAGTACAAGCAGTTGCTCGCGGTTGGTAAGGAGATACGGTAAGTATATCCGGGTGTTTCATCTGCCATGCACTGGTTTCCACCCTTTGTTTTGGTCGTAATTGGTAAGGTGTGGTGTTCGTTTTGAGATTGACATTAGCGTCGTGGGGCCGGAGCGAAGATTAGCACCACTACCGGGGCGGTTATCTCGGGCCGGTATTCAGTAGATGTTGATTCGTAGCCTTGTGGGCATTGAAGCGGAGATAAAACGGACTTTTGTCTCATCCAAAATGGCATCTTGGAGGAATCAAGCTTCGAAGCCATGCACGTGGAGTCAACTGTCGCCTTTCTTTCTTTACATTTCTGGAGAGAATGTGTTCATTGCATTGTTCTTGGTGAGAGTCACGTTGTCTTCCTTCCAAGTCTCTCTGTTTAGTATTAGCTAAGCCACAGAATTGACGTCGCCTTCAATCTGAGATATGGGAATGGACTTCATACCTGAAAGGGATAGAGCGGTCATGCAAGGCCATTCCGTCTGATTGGCCGTTGAGTCCACAACAGAGTCCTGGTCTGATCCCTTAACAGCAGCTCAATATACCCCACATGTCGTGTCTGAGCCATCGCCCCGAATCATCCCACCTTCGCTTGTATTCTTTGCGGGGATCTTCTTCGGCAAATCGAGACGTTATTGGTAACTGAAGTCCGAGCAACTAGAGAACCTTGCTGGAGATCTGGCGGTGACAAGTTGCGGGTGGGGCATCTGCGGCTACTAGCTCCATACTCTGCATTGAATCGATGAGATGGCGGCAATAACGATTCCCTTTGCTTTGTCTCTTCTGAAGACGTGTCCATCCCAGCTATCCCGACCAAACGCATGAAGAGCAGCCTCAAAGGGTGGCGCGGCGGCGGCCTTAGCGCTCGGGATTATTTGCACTGTGTATAGAGAAGTGTTAGGCTTTTAACCCGGTCTTGCATACTTGAGCAAGCAATTGACGAGGAGAAAAGTGTCCTCTTCGAGTGGTCGTGCCACTACTTCCATGTGAACTCCTTCAGTTCGCGGTTTTAACACCCATAATTGACGTTGATCGGCACATGCTGATGGGTGTTCTTGTGACATTTAGAAGCGTCCATCCATCTAGTGTTGTTGCATTCCTTCAAAGCTTCCGAGCATCTTTCTGCCCCAGTTTGTTGCGGCTAAGGCTCGAAAGGAGTCTTTCGTGGAAGGCGAGATGGTGTGGTGCGGACATGGTGCAGAACGAGGTCGGGAGACGCTTCCATCTTCTCGGGGGCGGAAGGAAACGGCTCTCTCAAGGCGATATTCGGAGAATGGCGTTGCGAAGTGCGGCGAAGAGCGGAATCAAAACGGTGCTCGAACATCTGAAGCGGTGCCGCAAATTCCAGGCCGCGCTTGACGTCATCAGGCCCAATCCTCAGTCCTCGCTCTCCCCTTCCCTTCCACTGCTGGAAGTTAGCTCTCGGAAGTTAGTCTGCGTTCTGATACTCAGAGGAGAAAGCTTTTCCCCCGCTGGTACCCGCAGCGCGAAAACACAATTCCGCGTCTTGTGTGCAACTGCGTAAAGATCACGTCGTGGTCTCGCCATCAGGGTTGTCTAATTGCCGGTATCGCTCGGTATCGCTCGGGAGTTCCGCCGGCTCATTGTCCACGGTTCCGCACCGCGCTCCGTAGCCGCGTGCTCTCCGGTTCCGCTGTCTGCGAGCTTCGGGTTCCGCTTCGCGGTTCTTGTCTCGGCACCGCCCTGTCAGGCCATGGCACCACCAGGCTGCAGGCCGGCAGTTCGCCAGCCAACCACGCGACCAACTTCTCCGCACTTCACGACGAGCGTTTCCGATCTCTCACACCACATCTCGCGACCTCACGCGAGTACGGGCCGGGCCGGCAGAGCACATCGTCGCAGAGCCGCATCTTGCCTTCTGCCTTCGCCACCTCATTGGCCCGCTCTTGCTCGGCCAGAGGCGGAAGAACAATCTGACGGTCGCGTTTCCGCGTCCGCTTCCCCAATGCCGTCTCCAGTGCCGTCGATAATGCCCCGGGTTTCTTTGCCCACGAGGGGGGAGCCGCCCGTCCGATTGTCGTCGCACGGAGGCGGCCGCGAGCTTGCCGGAACCGGCGCGCCTCACTTCTCGGTACTGTGTATGGAATATTTTTCCGCAACTTCGAACGAAGGAAACAAAACATTTCCCGTTCTTGAGGGGCTCCGGGAAGAGGCTACGGCTGCGGCTCTCCCACCTTGGCGCGCCACTGAAGCCACTGTGGCATGAGATGGTCGGGAACGCCCTCCACGGCAAATTCTCTTGAGATGGCGGTTCTCGGGCAGAGGGGAACTGCCTTCCCGGCCTGCCGCGGTTGAATCCCGACTACGTTCGATGTTGTAGGAGCCGGCCGAGGATTCGCTGCTGGCCAGTCGCTTGTTTGGGTGACACGCAGCCATCTGGGCTTGCCATGCTGCCTTACGTCGAACATAGTTCGGCCGCAGCCACTGCCCGCCGCACCGAGGTGGTGAGAGATGGAGCCGCTGTTCGTCTCGCCGCTTGCCGTCGCTCTCTCCACCTCGTGTGTACTCTCGGATAAGCGCGGGTGTGCGATGCGGGGCCGAGGAATGCCTTTCCCTTTGAGACTTGAGTTGTGTCTGCAGGATGTGGGTGGTGAGGGATGAGGCTGCGATGGGGAAGGAACGACCGCTTTCACCACCAAACCAGTCATGCAACCACTCTCCGACCTCTGCAATGACTTGCCTCACTATCTACACTAGACAACGAGCAAAGCTCGCTCCGCTTCATCGCCACTCGCATTTGACGATGCGGCTTGCTCCTCATACCCACGCTGACTGAAACAGCTTGCGACCTGCGGAGCACTTGCACGAGACTCAATGCAACTACTCGATGCATACTTTTGGCGGCCACGCGACAGCCTCGCCGAATTTACCTTTTCCAACCTAAGTAAGGCATCTCTTCACGAGCCTCCCATGGAACGTTTAGAATTTCCGTCGTACATGTGCAAGCAAGGGGTAGAAGCAATCAAGTGGGGCCGAGGCCTTCGAGAAAATCTCCACTCGCTTCGGGACGGACGCCTCGTCGATCCCGTCCCATGAGTCGGGCCCAGATGCCAAAGTGCATGGCGTTCTGGCTCATATCTCCGAGATTATCAGAATGCGACGCCAACTCAACGTCTAAACGTCTAGCCGGCTCGACCTGCATCGCCGGCTCGTCAGCACTTGCTCAAAGTTCAGCCTCGAATTTCTACGTTCGGGCTCTAGTGCCATATTCATCTACCATCTACTGCTGCCTATGGTGAGCAATTTTGCCTAGCCGATAATCATATATACCAATCATTCCTGACGACCCGGGACTTGTCGTTTTCTAGCAAACGAAAACGCCCCCTATCATAACTCAACAACTACAGTCGAACTTTTAACACTGTTAATCTGGCCAATATGTGCAATGCTCTACTTTGCCTAGAGTGCCCAGCTCACGACATTGTACTAATTCCTTTCATGCAGCATACTGAGGCCGGATGTATGTTTTGCAGGTATCACCTCGTGACCCTCCTCCTACGTAGCAGTAGCAAAAGAAGCGGACACGCGCACTTGCCTCTAGCGGACAGCAGCAGATGCACATGACACCGCTTGCGCGACGATGACAATGACGACACTGGGAAATGGCGTATAAAAGGTTCGTAGAATCTCGCTTTCTGATTCCAACCAGCTGCAGTCGTTGGCTACATCGGGGACCTTCCTTTGCCCAGCTGTACGCGGACACTGGTTGTTTTGGCTTATGGTCATATATGTGTTCTTCCCCTTTAGCGGGTAGGCGACCACTGGCAATCGCAATCCGGCAATAAGAAATAACGATGAGGCAATTATTGAGGATGCTGATAATGGTCGCCCAGCGTCAGCAATGGTATTCATTAAGAAGCCGTGATGATGAGATGCATCATGCCTGGTTCGTCGATCTTTTGGCCTTTTACTCCGAGACTATCCCTCCGTGCGTACCAAGATGCGTCTCCCTACGGCAAGTTTCGCGCTGAACAGCCTGCACAAAGCTAGCTAAGACGAAATGCCGGGATATACGCTGGTGAGTCGCCGGTTAACGGCGGTTAAAGTACCATGATCAGGTGGGGAGGACTGAGACTATTGACAATACAAAGTTCATGCTAAAGCTCACCGCCATGACCAGAACTTTCAAGAGCACAGCCAAGATCCCTTAGCCGAAGTCTTAAACGTCAACACCAGAGTCATTCTTATCTCAGAAGGTTAAGAGGAAGAGGTACCAGAAAGTCTGTGAAGGATACCGTGAAGAGAAGTTGAAGTCTAATCACAATCATCCGAACTTACGTCAGAGGCAGGTGTGAGTATCAACTGCATCTATTCAAACAACTCAGACGTTTGTATTCAAGTACTACACTGATTGAGCAAAGACGCAAGTCACTCAGTAGTGTACCGAACAGCATCGACGTTTTATGAAAAAGAAGACCAATCGCCCTTGAGGGTTGACTGATCTCACCTCTCAATCCAACACAGCTTTTCATCAAACAATACACTCTTTCCCAACGACCGCTTCCAAGACACCATTCACATCCACCAACTTCGCCACAACACTCTCACTCAGCACGTCCTCCACCTCACCCAACCACAACCCGTGCAGTTCCGCCTCAACCCACGCATCTGCCGTCTCCCTCAACGCCCTCCTAATCTCCGAGGCCCTGTACCTGCCCACCCTCTTCTTCCTCTCCAACGCACCCCGCCGCTCCACCACAACCCCCCTCCTCTTCCACCCCAACACGACCCTCACCGCGCCCACGACCCTCCACCCCAGCAAAAACACCTCTCCCCTGCCCGACCAACCCATCGCACCATCCCTCTCCCTCTCCGCCAACAGCCGCAACTCCCTCAAACCAGCCACACACCACTCCTCCAACGCCCTCACCACCCGCACACTCACCGCACCAGCACCATCACCGCCACACAAACTCAACCCCCCAAGCACCTCCCCCCAAACCCCCACCTCCCTCACCGGATCCAAAAACAAATTCTGCTTCTCCCTCGCGAAAAGCACCGCATTCTCCGTCCGCGCCTCCCGTAACTGCGCCGCAAAACCGCCTTCTGCTTCGCCCACCCACTCCAACGCGCCCCGCGCCCTGGCGGCATCCCTCCCGCTCTCGTGATCGAGCAGCCGGTGCAGCGCCGCCGCACACAACAGGGGCGAGTCAGCGTACGTGTGCCGCAGGTACGCGGCCAGCTTGCGGGCGGCGGTGAGAGGAAGGACGGTCGGCATGTTGGCGTGAGCGTTGTTGTCATAAGCGGGACCGACGATGATGCGCGTAGCGATGCGGGCAGCGGCGTCGCGGATCTCGTCGTCGTCGTCGTTGAGGGCGTCGTAGGCGATGAGGGCGAGGGCTAGATGGTGTTCGTCATCGTTATCTCCTTGTTGGCGCTGCTGCCAGAAGCCGCGTAGAGTGTCGAGTGCGGCGATGGCGGCCCAGCGCGTGGGGAAGGGCTGGGTTTCCTCGAGGTCGGCGCGGAGGGTGCGGGTGAAGAGGGTGAGTAGCTGCTCCTTCTCTTCCGCCGATACTGCTGCTACGCCGTTCTCCGTAGCCGTGCCGTTGGGGGTGCAGGACGCGGAGACGCGCGCGTCGATGTACCGGCCCAGCAGCGGCAGCGCGCCTTCGTGCAGCGAGGGCGAGCCCAGGCCGGCGATCATCTGCTGCTGCTTCTCGCTGCCCAGCATGATCGGGGCGAGGCGCGCGGCGGGCAGGTCGAGGCCGCGGTCGAGCAGCGAGGCGAAGGCGTGCCGGACCGTGGCGGCGACTTCGAGGTCCGTGGACGTCGCAGCGGTCGACAGGATTTCGGCGATGCAGGTTTGCACGGCGGCTCCGGCGTGGAGGACGGATGCGGAGATGGTCGACATGAGGGACTCGAGCGTGGTCCGGCAGGTGTCGCTGTCTTGGTCGGTGATGTGTTTGAAAAGGTCGGTGACGAGAGCTTGGAGTGATGGCTGCTCGCCGGCAGCGCAGGTAAGGAGTAGCAAGTGCTGGACGGTGGCGAGAGAAAGTGCTCTGCGTAGAAGAGCATCGCCGGCGGACTTTCCGCTATTGCCAAGCTTCTGATCTCTTTGGAAGCGGTTGAACACATGGAGTGCCCCCTTGGCGAGGTGGTAGAAGAGATCTTCACCATCACCGAAAGCCTCACAGATAAGAGGCGATGAGGCTGGAACTGTCAGAACGACTTGAAAAGACAAGATATGGCGTGGAGACTTACACTTCCAGTGACCCTTGACAATGTGATGTCTCTGGATCATAGTGACGATATCGAGGTAAGCGGATTTGGTCAGTGGGCAGATGTTTTTCTCGTAAAGGCGTTCAAATTGCTCAAAGAGCGCAAATGCCAGCAGATCAAGATCATCTACATCATCATCAGCACGTAGCTCCGACCAGGAGAGAAGCAGACACTTACCATGGAGTCCCTTGTCGTCTGCTTCACACATCTCCTTGACAAGATATTTCACAGACGATAGCACACCATGCAACGCGTTCTGCTTCTGGAATGGCATCTCAAGCAACGCGAGCACCCACTCGACTCTCTCCTCCGGCCCCAGCAGTGCAGCCAGAGTCCTGGCAGCCATGTCTCGCACATGCCAATGGGAGCTTGCAGTCAGTGCAAACACCAGCTGTTGAATCTCGGCCCTTCTCTCCGCCGGCGGCCTTGCTCTTTGCAGGATCTGGAAAGCAGGGAAGACGCCTTCAAGTGCGGTATTCGTCAGCTCTGTCGCACCACCTTGGCGTTTAGGCGTGAGCAGCTGGACGATAATGTCGAGGAGGTTCGGATATTTCTTGTACGAGAGGCGCGTAATCTTGAGGCGGTCGGTCTCCTTCCAGTTCTGCGTGGTACCGCTGCCGAGGAGGCGGTCGATGAGGGCACGGAAAAGCATCAGACCGCAATTGCGGATGGCCCAACTGTACCAACATGTATCAGCTCCGTTGCATTAAACCGAACGTCGTAAGTACTTACACCTTAGACTCAAGCCTACCTCCAGCGAGGGATAGACCTTCAGCTACGTATGGTTCAGAGGCCAATGCGAGCTTAGTGTTCGTAAAGACATCCTTCAAGCAGTTCAAAGCATGGACTTGAGGAAGGTGGCTGCCTTCAATGTTCTTGTCTTGTCCTTCCTGGACTGCTTCTGCTTGAAGATCGCTGATGACGCGCGCAAAGAGCGTGCTTTCGGGAGCTGCAGACAAGATGCCAGTGATGAGAGATGGCAACCCAGCTGATCGACGGGTGATCATGGAGCCCTTATCACGAATGCAACGAAGCGTTTCCTGCAACATTTTCAGCATCGAAAATATAGGGAGTATATGAGAGGATGCCCCTTACCTCGTACCACACATCGAGTAGCCTCTTGATCTCAGGATCTGAAGACCGGCTACAGCGAAGGCAGAAAGTAGCAAATGTCTGGGCGACGGTCGAGAAGGCACCGCGGTGTCGCAATTCAGCCAGCTGCAGAAAACAGAGCTTGCCCAGGCCTTCAAACTCCGTAGTCTTTAAGATAGAGGTCCCGTTGGGCATTTGGAAGGGCGCCTTGGCGACGATTACACGCAATAGAGTGCTGTTTAGGGTCAGTGTGAGGTTTTGCCACTTTTATTATGCAAACATGCTTACCTTGCTTCCTTCAGGCCTCTCCATGAATAGCTCAGAATGTCCTTCGTCGTCAGGTCGGGCTCTTCCTCCATATCATCGGGGACGTGGCCTTCGGGAGCGTCAACACAAAGAACACCCCTAACGCAGTCCCAAATTGAGCGCAGGCTATCCAGGATATGGTTGTGTAACTGCTTCCAATGCTCCAGCTCTTTGTCTTCCATAGTTGCCATGGAAGCGTAGAATGCAGGCTGATCAAAGATATACCTAAGAGCAGAGAGCGTACCATGCATGGGATACGCGTTCACAGCTACAGAAAGATTGCTGCTCGCAGCGGCGATCGTCTCATCCAACAAGGAAATGAGATGCTCCACTATACCCTGACGACTCTTCATCCAGCCCGCCAGGACATTGTTGGCGGGAGACTCAGGACTTAAAGTCTCGGCTCGTCTCTCAAAGAGCAAGTCGTAGGCGCGAGCAACACCGTCGGCGTGATCGGCTCTGCCGCTGCGGAGCATGGTTTTCTCCGCTCGGTCGAGGAACGAAGCAAAGCCATGCTCGACGAGAGCAGTGGAGTCAACCGGCTTGCCGATGAGAACAGGTACAATCTTCGGACCCTTCGGTAGTTTCTTAGGAGGTTCGGAGGTCGTGTTTGTTCCCAGTTTGAGCAAAAATGTAGCCGCATGCCGGACATCATCAAAGGGGTCCATGATGAGGTCAAAAAGCTCTCGTACCAGCAAAGGCGTGAGGACGTTCATTTGGAAAGGAAATCTAATCTCGCCCTGTGCGGTCCTTGACAGTGCTTGGCGGGGTACCGATGGATCCAATCCGGACTTCATGACGATGATCAAGGCCTTAAGCGCGGAAATGTGTCTCTGATATGCCGCTGTGGGGTGAAGCTCGGATGATATGAACCGCAGGTACCAGTGGATAAATTCGACGTGGGCGTGGTATAGCTGGAAGGTGCTGCTCTGGTCTTGAGTCTTCGGTTCCTTGGCCAAGTTTCTACTCATCACGCCGGTCGAGCCTCGAAGACGTTCGAATAGCGACAGAGTCAGGCTCATCACCTCTCCACGGAAGTTTGCATCGGTGTCGGCATGCAGATATGACAAGTTACGCTTCAGCGCGGCAAAAGTGCCAAGAGTCAAAGGCCTGGTTACGGCAGCCGAAGTTGTGAGCAAAGCGAATGCGGCGAGTCTGGTCTCTGCCCGCTCGTGTGCAAGAAGCCTTCCAAGAAGCCTGTCAGGAATCAGAACAATTCCGTCGCGAATCTCGATTTTCTTGGAAATGCGATGATCTGTTTGCATTAGTAAAGTTCCAAGATTAAGCTGCAAGAGGAGGAACGACGCACCAACTTCCTGGACAAAGCCCATATCCTTCCCAACCTGCAGAGAGGTGAAAAGTAACGACGCCTCAAAGTCATCTGACGGCTTTGAGCCGCCATCGGTGCTGGGCCTCAACCGAATGTGGTCATCAAGATGCAGGTGCTCCAAAAATCGGAGGTAATCAGTCAGTATAGGCTTGAACAAGTCAGGGAAGACGTGACTTTTAAAGTTCTGCATTGCATCTGGATTCCTCCGGATGGTGCTCTCCAGAGGTTCCACCCAGATTGGGCGTGAGTTTGCATTGTCCTTGGCCAGGTGCACCGCCTGCTGACGACGGCCATGGTCCAGGATGATGCAAATTGCGTTGCCAGCTGCAGGTGTGGTATCTTGGTGATTCGCCCAGTTCATAATACCGTGAAGGAAAGTTTTGGAGACGCTTCCGGGCGCGGGAAACAGTTGCAGCGATTTGCCTTTGGAAGTAGCCCACTGCTCGAATGTGGTGATGGTGTAGTCAACTGTGACCACATCTTTCTGGACAAAATGCGAGAGGGCAATGAGGGCAGGCTTGACCTTGGACGTGTCATCCTCTTGGAATAGGACGTCGAATAGGCGGACAACAGACTCATCCCTAACAGCTTGTGCAGTGGTGCTCTTATCCTTGTGGAGAATGGTGCACAGGAGCAGCAAGACCTGCCTCATGGATTTGGGCTTTGCATTGTCGTATCTCTCGAGGAAGATGTCGAAGAGATCGGTCCAAATGTGTTTAGTCCAAACCAGCGAGCGGATCCTTTCGTCCGGCGAAGCTTGACACTTTTCGAGAAGAGAACATAGTGGATTGCAAGCACCTGCCCTTTGGGAAGCGGGGATGTAGGGTATGGATGCAGTTCCAACAAGAGCATCCAGTAGGTTAGACAATTTGCTTTTAGCAAGTCAGCATTTCTGTAAGCTATCATGAGGCTGGCAAGCAGTGGACGCGGACCGTGCGCCAGGTGTTCAATTTCTTACTTTATGCTGTCTTCGGAGATAGCACCATCGACAGGAATGTAACTGTGCAGGTTTTTGCTCAGTTTGCGCAGGAAATCCACGGAGACGGGAGCCTGCAGAGGCGCATCTTGCGCCATATCGGGCAATCCCGGGGGCAGGATTTTTTTTTTCTTGTCCTCCTCAAGTACAGCTGAGCCTCAACCCCACGTCCTGTCGCGAGGAATTGGTCGTTTTCCGAGACTGGTGGTGCTCGCGCGTGAAGCCAGCGGCAGGACCTCCCGAAAGCGAAATGCAACGGCGAGGTTGTGGAGTCGTGCGCAAGGACGGAAATTTTGGAAGTCACGGGATTGGAGCGGCGGCGGGAAGCGGATCCCTGTCGTCAGGGCTACTAATCCGGCCTTGGCGCCGTGATGAAGTAAATTTTGGGGCCCCGACGGCCGACCGCGACATTCTGCAGCTTGCGACAGCAGCCCACGACCATCTCTCTATCCAGAGGTTCTCCTCTCTCCTCAACCCCGCCTCCCTCCATCTCGCCGCGCCATTGCCTCGCCTCGCGCTCTCTCTACCCTCCGTAGCCTCGTCACCCGTGCGCGTCATACATCACCACCACCTTCGCCGCCGCAATGACCATCTGGGACTCTCTGACCGGCCGCAAGTCGGCATCCACCACCACATCCGGATCTACCGCTCCGCCCACAGACACCCAGACCGACTCCTTCCAGCCCGCGCCATTCGACCCTTCGACCGCCACCGATGTGTCGTCCTTCCTTAACCCGTCGACCGCTTTCGACGCCTCGCAGCTGCACCCGCTGGCCGGCCTGGACAAGGACACGCTGGACTACCTGACGCTCGAGGAGGGCGCTCTGTCAGACCTTCCTGGCGCCCGCTCCGCCCTGCCGTCGCGCGGCTGGTCCGACGACCTGTGCTACGGCACTGGCACCACCTACCTGACTGCCCTGACACTCGGTGGCGCCTGGGGTCTGGCTGAAGGTCTGAACAAGACCACCCCGCAGATGGCTCCGCGCCTGCGTCTCAATGCTGTCCTTAATTCCGTCACCCGTCGCGGTCCCTTCTTGGGCAACTCCGCCGGCATCGTCGCCATGGTCTACAACATCTTCAACTCCACCATCGGCTACTACCGCGGCAAGCACGACGCGACCAACAGCATCGTCGCTGGCGCTCTGAGCGGCGCGCTCTTCAAGAGCACGCGCGGTTTGAAGCCCATGGCCATCTCCAGCGGGCTGGTCGCCGGTGCCGCCGGCACCTGGGCGGTATGTTTACTTCCCCATCTCCGAAATCGCAATAGCGTCACTTGCTAACCAAATGCGCCACAGCTCGTCCGTAAGGTCGTGTTCGAGTAAAAAAAGAGCGATTTATCTCCCCCGAAACGCGCCGATGGCCACCAACAAGATCTCCAGTAATACCTCCCTCCCTCCGAATCCCCCCATCCGAGGACGACAAGACACGCCCGGTGGCCAGGCCGTGAATAAAATGTGTGTATGTTATGGCATCAGGAGACGAACGCGACGACAGGCGCGTGAAGCAGGGGTATATTTTACAGTTTTGATGGTCACCAAGCGGTTTTTTCCCTCATCGTCTTTAGGGTCTCTGGATGCATTCCGATGGAGTCAACGAACCGGCGACAAAAAACTCCCCTCTCGAAAGCGGTTGAGCGTGTCATGATTTACGTGGTTGGATTGACACGCGTTGCTTATTTGTGTACAAATATTGTTCCTTTTCTTTCTCCGTTATCTGGGATGGGTTGTCTTCTTTTTCTCATGATAGGCAAAGCGGCGCTCTTCGAGGTAGATATAGAGGTCTCGCTTCGAAAAAAGATTTTACCATTACCCAATTTAAGGTCGCTTGTTTACACCGTGTGAATGCATGATGTACTCAAAACTAGTCCACAGCAGGAATGGCATTCAGGAAGTATTTGGAATATGTAACGGTCCGATATCGCTGACATTCACTGTTCTGGATGTAGCCACAGAGTTCAGCTCGCCAGAAATGGACAGACACCGACTTCAGCAGATGCATAGCCACACACTATATACCCATGTTGAACTTCAGTCAATTGTTCAATACTGATACGAACCGCGTGATTGGATTCTGGTAAAGGAGCTGGCCAGTCCACCATAGAGAAGACGCAAACAGAGAGGCTGTTATAGCAAAACATCTTTTTCATACTCATCTGGGACTGGAGTAATCGTCAGGTTATGGCTGTCACACTTTGGTGTTGGCGCATTCATATCTGGAGTATGCTGCAACATTTCACGGAGGAGCTTTTCACGGTCTCTGTGCAGTACTTCATAGCTACCTATGGCGTTTGGCACGGCCACTGGTATTGTGAATAATAGCCCTTAAGAAGAACTCCACTCTCCTCCTCTCAGGATCCGACTAGAAGAACTTAAACACGATGAATCGACTGTGGTTACCTCTGCAGGTTACCGCTGACTTCTGGATGTTTTGGTCTTCAGCATTTACTCACGATGGTGCATTTGAGTCTGTCGAATTAACAAAATGTTTGCTGGTGAACTTATGCAAGAAACAGACGACACAAAGCCAGGAAGTGAATATCTAAGTCCGTTCTTTTGCTTGGGTGGTAGATATTGTAGTGGTTGGAAGCCAACCAAGCACCCTTGTGGATTCCTCGCCTCAAGGCGTACAGGTGATATATAATGGTTCAGGGAGAGATTCTGCGCAGGACGAAGCAGCTGGCAAGGCTGCGGATTCAAGCCTAGTGATCATCCACCAGTAACTTGTGATACAGTCAGTGTGACCATCATTTGATGCATAGCACCCACCACCATGTTAGAACAGCACTAGAGCAGCCCGAGACTCATGACCTTCCCTACACATCTGAGCAGAGCGTTAGTCATATTGTGTATCATCATTGAAGGCTTCACGATTGATGAGAAGGCGACTCTGAGCGCGCACCTTACAAACGATTAATGTACTCTCTTCTGGGCGGCTTTGTTTCTTGAAGTGGATGTCTCCGGATTCGCTTCGCCCTTCCCAAGACTTTGGCAAGGTGCAAGAAGCCAGCATCTCTTAAAAATAATGATGCTCACATCATTTAGAAGAGCACTCTGCATTATGAATAGTGAATTAAGAGGGAGATTGACTGAGAACAATAGCCTCGAGGATTAAAAACATACTTAATAATTGAAGATCCAGCCTCAGGGCGAATCCACCCCAGGCAAGAGTAGCAACTGGTTGTGATTGCAGAATCTCCCAGTGCTCCTAAGTCACTTCCTTGTTGCAATCGACCGAAAGTAAGACCTGTCCGCGGCTAATTTAAATAAGAGAAGACGAGCGAACAGCGCGAGTCTTTTAGCTGCTGCTGCTACACTCTCGGCAGCAATCACAAGCTTGTTAGCTGCATGGCGTCGGCTTCCTCTGCACAGTGTAACATGTGGATATGCGTAAAGACTCACGCGCCCCCTGCAACAGCTGACTCCTGTCCAATGTAAATAGAGTTCCCTCGTGATCAGTCTCGCCATTCCGATGCCCAATATAAATTCTGTTTTCGATTTCTGTGCAATCGGACTTCCCTGTATGCACTGCTTTAATGACGCTTATTGACAACTCTAAGTCGACAAAGTCACTGCTCGCCGTGGTCCTGATGTAGACTAATCGATCCTGGAGCCAGCTCATTGACACACTCATCGTATGAAGATGATGGTGACGTTAACTTGAAAAGCTTCGTGATTCTCAGCATCCTCGTTATCCAACGTTGGTGGTCTGCACTAAGAAATTGCAGAGTACGCCGTGATTTCCATTGTCTTGGAGATAGGAGATGATAGTATAAGAGATAGCGACGAAAATAAGCATCTCCTTGAGAGGACGCAGGCAGTCCGGAGAGTATCTTTTGTTCTTACTCTCAACCCGCCAACAGTAACCTGGTTTTTTATACCGGTCGAAAAGGTCGACGGGCACATACAGATCTTTAATCCGAAAGCGATGAGACAGGGGGATCTTTATATGCATCCACACCATGCATTCTGTCATTGGCCCCGTGAGCCGCCCGTATCATGAGAATCTAAAGGAGAAGCCCCGAGACGCCGTCTTCCTGCCCTCTTCTCACTCTTTCACCCATGAGACTCACGATTCTCGCTCGTTTCTCGTCAAAGTCCAGCTTCGCTGAACACTCAGCATGAAAGCTGTGTCCCTCATTCTCATATAGCCATCATTCCGAATTCGTTGAGGAAAAAGAAAAGAAAAGAAAAACGCCCGTCGATGCATTGCAAAAGAAAGGGAAACAGAAGATATCCCACCTTATAAAAACCTATCCGACTACCTAGCAAAGAAACCCGCAATCCCTAGCTTCCTTCCCGACAAATGCCCACAGTGGTATCCGCGTCCGTTTCGTGGCTCGCTCGTTTGGATATCGTCGTCGATCGTATACGCGTGTGTGCTTGAGCTGATGAGACAGTTCATCACACCCTCACGAAAGCTGCCCATCGCAAAGAAATAGCCGCCGTTGTAAGCCTCTTTCCAGTAAAACAAAACAGAAGAATGAGAATGACAGCAACAGCAGCAGACAGAGCATTGGCATCACAAGAATGCCAGACTCCTCACGCCAGCCTGCTCCCTCATCCAAGTCGTGGCGGAAGACTTACTCGCATCGATCTGCTTGACCTGCGGCAACGCAAGCCGCACCTTGTTCCTGTACAGCGCCGGCTGCCTCGTCTGCAGCGGTGAGCCCTCAAAGTACACCGTCTCCAGATTCTCCTTGTCGCGCAGTTCGCGCTCGACCTCTGCAAAGTCCGACACTTGGCAGTAGCTGGCCCAGAATTCCTCAAGTTTGGTCAGCGACGCCAGGTTCGTCAAGTGTTCGATCGGGTTGCCTGTGATGTCGATGACGCGCAAGTTCGTGTTGTTCTGAAGCCCATCCGTCGACGTGAGGGCGTTGTGCGAGATGTGGAGCTCCTCGAGGTTGGTGAGCTGCTCAAGGCCGGTGATGGAAGTAAGGCGGTTGGATTGGATGGAGAGAATCTTGAGGTTCGACAGCGTATCAAGGCCCTGGAAGGGGCGAAAGCACATTAGGCATATTCAAATAGAGAGGAACAGCTCGATCGGAGCAAACCTTAATCTCGGTGATCTTGTTCTTCCCCAGCCACAGCTCCTCGAGACTGGTGAGCGTCTCCAGATTCTCAATGCTCTGCGCGCGCGCCTTATTAGCTGAACTTCTAGGCACGACTAGAAGTCCTCTCTTACCCTTATCCTGTTTGCACCGAGCTCCAGGTTCTTCAACTCCGTCAAACCCTCCAAATTCTCAATAGCCGAAATCTTATTCTGCACAAAGTACAGATCCTTCAACTTCTTCATATGGTTCACCCTCTTGATATGCTTGATCTTGTTGAAGCTCAGATCCAAATTCTCCATGCCCACAAACTGGTCGAGGCCCTTAATATGCGCGATCAAGTTGTCGTAGAGATCCAGCTCCGTCAGCTTCTCGCCCAGCTCCTCGGGGAACTCGATGGTCGAGATCTGGTTCTGGCGCAGCGACAGGCGCTCCAGCTGCTTGAAGCGCTCCAGCCGCAGCGCGGGTATGGACGAGATGCGGCAGTGGATCAGGTCGATCTGGTCCACGTCCTCCTCGTAGTCCTCCAGCAGGTCCTCGTCCGCCTCGATCTCCTCCGGCGGCGGGCCGGCGGCGTCGTCGTCCGACAGCTCCGGGTCGCTCAGCACGTGCGGGTTGACGATGACGGGCGTGGGCTTCGCCGCCTTGTTCACGCGCAGCTTGCCGTCCCAGCCGCTCCTGCTGCTGCGCGCCGGGCTGCCGGGCTCGTGCGCGCCTTCGCGCTCCGAGTTGTTGTCGATGATCATGGCGTGTGGCGCGTCGTTTGCCGGGTTGGGCGGCGTGTCGTCGGTCATGGTCGTGGCTGGCGGGCTGGGTCTCGTCTCGTGCAGGTATTTGGGCTGCAGCTGCAGGCTCGGGGGAAGGGGGGCAGCGACGTGGGTGTGGAGTTGTGGGCAAGATCTATGCTGTGCGAGGGTACGCGACGGCGGCGGGGTGCAGGTGCGGTGACCGGTGACGTGTGGAGGAGATCGTCGGGTACGCGACGTGTGATCGCCGGCGGTGGCAACGACAGCGTAAACCGGCTTGCTTTCGCGCACAAGCAAGAAACGACACGAGAAAAAAGGGAAAGCGGCGGAGATGCGTCGTGTCAGTAAGGCAGCTCAAGAGCCGCGAACCAGGCAGAGACGGGAGGCAAGGCACGCGTAGGGCTGGCTCAAGAGGAAAGTGACCAGTAACTTTTGCTGTCAACCACCAACACTCACCCCGGCAGCGGGAGATGACGTTGGCCGCATCCCCTCCCCCAGAACAAGCTAGAACAACGTCTCTGCCAATCCATTGCCAGCAAAGCGTCAGGAGGCTGTTTCCAAATCCCCACACCCCACACATGCGTCTAGGTTGCGGGCCGCCCCCTGCACACCATGCTATTCCGCATCATACGAATGCATGCATAGTTTTGAGCCTGTTTCAGAAGCGCGTTCCTACCCATTGATCGCTGTCAGCTCTACCGTCCCTCAATTTCGAGAAGCATGTGCCTGCATATGCGCTTAAACCTTGTAGGAGGCCAAGAAAAGCGCGTCTAATACTCCAATCGGGTCATCAGGCACGTGTTTGCAGCCAGGAATAATATTGTTTCTATGATTGCCGCACTGAGCGAACCTGAAAACAAATGCGATGATGGCCCAGCCACTTAGGTATTGCCGCTGTTGTTGCCCACTCCCACAATCAGCGAAATGCGTGGACATCTTTGTATACAGTCCCCTCTCGCAGTACATTAAAATTCGACATTCTCGTCCAGACGATAGCTTCAGCTACCCATGAAATGAGCAAAAAACAAATCCACGCTAGCCATCAGCTGCGAGAGGGGACTGTACGTCTGCCTACGTCATACTATCACTGAAGAACGCAAAAACGCCAGACATGATGGACCGGCCCCGCTAGATGCGCGTGATTGTTCTCAGCTTCTGTATTTGGGTATGTGCGTGCGTATACGCGTGCTGGCGCCCAGTGACATGCATGTGCATTACTACAACTTCATTTTCCTCTTGTTGTCTGCTTGCTCTTACTCCGCTTGCACACGATAAGGGAAAAAACGTCTCTTCTGCTAGGGTTGAAACGACAACGGAAAAACCAGGGAATGAAGCTTTTTTATAATTTGGGATGGATGTGGTGGTTTCGCAGCACTCAAATAAGCCAACACAGCCTGTGGTATCAAAAGTTCAAGGAAACAACAGCAGCAGGGAATAAAAAATGAAAAAGCAAAGAACGAAGGCAGGGCCGAGAAAAGCAGGAAAGGAAAGCGATCTGGTGTCGAGAAAGTATTGCAAGGGTGCAGGAAAGAGAGTGAGCAACAAAGGAAAGTGGTGTTGGTCGGATGGTGATAGCTATCTCTTTCTCTCGCTTGGAGGAATCAAGAAAAGGTGGATTGAAGCAAAGACAAACTGCGCGTCCTTCCGTAGAAGGCGCCGTGAGGGAAGAAGAGTGGGGAAGAAATGGGATATGAGAACTGTGAGTCTGCCAAGGTCAATGCTCCGCAATGCTAGCCAAAAAGAAAAAGAAAATCGGTGTATGCAAGGTCCGTTTCCAGGACAGCGAAACGCGCGAAAAGGCAACGCGGAAAGAAAGAAACAGTAACGCCCGTTTTGCTCAGTGCCGCCCTCCAAAACTTTTGTGTCCGGTCTCAAATGGCCATTCTGTATCGACAGGTGTCCGCGGAGCTGGTTGCTGGGCAGGCCGTCAATCATGTCGGACCGCAGTTTTGAAGGCGTAGAAATCGTTCTCCAGGAACCAATACCCTTCTCCTGTCATGCCGATTACAAGGGATTAAACAGTACAGGTCTAAGCGCCGATGCGTCCGCATAAGGTGCACCAGAGGGTGTATCAAGGGGGGTCGTGGGAAGGATGGACACCAGAGCGACGCTGAGTTCACTGCCGAGAACGCACGGAGCGACACTGGCCATGGGGCCAAGGGACGCTCTTCTAGAGTGGGCTGGTCCTCGAGAGGTGTGTCTTGAACCTAGCGCGCCGCATTTCTTGCGCGCTGGGCCATCACCCAGGCCTTGTGAAACTCGCCTGCTTGGGAAAACCTATGCCACTCTCAGTAGCATCTGATGCTAACAATTTTGTACAACTCACAAGGCCACATCCAGCACTAAGCTGACATCGCTAACTTGTTGACCAGCGAGGTCCTCCAGTACAGGAATGAGATCCAAGAGTTCATTGTCATGTGCATCAGAGAACCAACTGCTAATCGGCACGGCGTGTTGGGGGTGGAAGATGTACGAAGTCGGCGAGTTGTCGATGATGATCGTCTCCTTGAGGTCACGTCCCACTTGAGAAAGGTCCTGCCGAACGGGTTAGTCCGAAGCCGTATCCACATGGCGCGTGGTACTTGCCTTGACATAGTTGCCTTGGTGGTTATAGCAACTCTCTCTGAACAGGCGGTGGTGGACTACGCCGTGGATATCAAGTTGATCAAGGAGCGGATCGCCATACTAGACTGCGTCAGGACGGTGGGACTCGAGGGGGATTTGCGCACAGACTTACCTTTGATACTGAAGCTGTGAAAACGACGACCTCGTATAGCTCACCGACACGTTTCATAAAGGCATCAACACCGGGGCGCTTAATGACGTAAACGTTGTGGTACTGTCCCTCAATCTCCACGGGAATCGTGAAGTCGGCCTGGTGTAAGATCTGTACCGAGTCAGCGTTTGCGGCGCAGCGAAAAGGAGAAGCCAGCTTACCTTAAAGCTGCTGTGGACGAGAGTCTCGTCCAAGTCGAGGACCAGACACTTCTTTCCCTTGAATTCGGGCCTGATAGGCGGCAGGAGCCACTTCTGCTGCGGCTCCGCAGGAGTAACGGCAAGAGAGCTATCTTGACTCTGAGGGGCGGATCCAGTAGGAGGAGCAGTCTGAGCCTGGCGATCAACAAGCGGCGGAGGCGGCGGCAGGTCGATCTTAGCCGTAGCCGCATCTTGCTGAACGGCCTCACCGCTCTCTTCCTCGGCCATAGGAACCTCGTTCGCGGCGATTGGTATCGATGGGCCGGCGTCCGTCATCTCGATATCCGCATCCCGCGCTTCTTGTTCGGGAGTCCTGTCGGCAATCGCCTGTTCTTCCGAAGGCACAACCGGCGTAGGGGCCTGGACATTGACCTGGAGGCCGTCCTCAGCAGCTGCCGAGGTATCCAAACGGTCGGCCTTGGGGACGGGAGGAAGCGGCTGGTCCAGCGGTTTCTTCTCTTGAGAGGGAGCGGGCTTATCCGCCGAGGCGTCCCCTGACAACGGTTGCTTCTCCACGTCCTTCACAGGCCCTCCCGCTTCCGCAGATTTGGCAGCCTTCTCTTCAATGGGATCCTTCGAGTCGGCGACGCTGGACTCCGCGGCGCTCACGTCCTTCTTTGCGGGGGTAGACGGCGCGGATTGCTTGCGAACCGAGCGAAGCTTGGTAGCCTTCTTGGGTGCCTCGGGCGACTCCTCCTGTCCAACCACATTGCCCTTTTCCGGCACGCCACAGCAGTTGAGTATGAGCAAAATCCTCGAAACACCGCTCTTTTTCTTGGGCTGGACCTGAGGGGCAGAACCAGCCGCGCCAACTGCTTGCGCATTCTCAGGAGCCTTCTCGCTTGTCGCGGCACGCGCCTTCTGGGAGCGCTTGCTGCTCGCAGTGCTCCCAGCACGCCGCTTGCCCAGAAAACTGCGCTTCGAGCCCCGTCCCACGCTCTCAGCCCCATCGCTTGCGGTGGCACCGCTCAGTCCTGATCCGCTCGCCGCAGCCTCCTCGTTGGTTTGCGAACTCGAGTGTGGCACGTCGAGGAAGGAGGGCTTTCTCTTGGGCTCGTTTCCGGCACCAGCGGCTTGTTCCGACGTTGATCCAGCAGCGTTGTCTGACGAAGCGGTAGGGGCGGTGCCTGCGGTCGCTGCGATGGCGGTTAGCGTGCTGCGATGGGCGGAGCGTGCCGGGCCTCGGGCCTCGGGCGGCGGGGTGGTGGATGGCATACTGTTACCGTTGGAGTGCGGTGCTATCGCCTCGCCATTGTCGCTCGCTGCCGGCTTCTGCACAGCAGTCGACGGATTTGCGGACGACCGCACAGCTTCTTGGCTCATGTGGGGCAACGGAGGCCTCGAGGTGAGGCTCGCGGTGTTGTCAGGCGCGTGGACGGACGAGGAAGAGCGACAGCGCTCTCCTTGGGCTGGCGCGGCGAGGCGTGCAGGGCGAGGTGTGAGCTTCCAAAAGCAGCAAGCCGGGCGGAGCGGTGGGCGGTTCGGTCAAGGACGGTGGGAGCTGAGGGTTGTCGTCGCGCGCGCTGCGGGTGCAGTCCTGCGCTGCAGCTTCGGCCGGGCGTTTGAATATGGTCTCGCTGGAGAGCGTCGAGGGGAGCCGGAGAGGAAGAGTGATGGCAGTCGCTGCGCAGGCTAGATGGGTTGGGAGGCTGGGATACTCCGTGAATCGCTCGCTAACCGAAATGAGAGTCGCGGCCAGTCACGGGCGTCTGGGTCTTCGCGCGGGCCTGGGCGGGCAGCGAGCGATGACGAAAGGGCGAGCTTGAGTGTCTCGTGGGATGGACGAGGACGGTGGCAGCTAGAGGCGGCAAGGTAGGGGAGGGTGCAGCGCGAGTGCAGGGCAGGGCGAGAGGCTGACTTGACGGGCGTGGGCCACGGGCGGCTTCGGGGCAACTGCCGCTGGAGAGTCTAGGCTGGGAGCGGCCTCTCTGCGGAAGTGAGGTGCGCAGCAATCAGGGCGGGCACACGCAGGATGGCATCTGGTAAGTTGCGGGCCCGGGGAGCTTGTGGATTGAGCGACGAGGAACTGCCATGCGCGACGCTATTGGATCGCCCCAGCGAATGAGCGCCCCGGCCGGTTTGGCGGCCGCCGGCTTGACACGCGCGAAGTTGGCCGGCTGCACGCTGGCCATGCTGCTACCTCCCCAGCGCCGCCCGCCAGCGCGCACAAAGCCGCCGCTCTCCGCCTGCCCGTCCAGCGCGCTCGCCGTTGCGCCGTTGCGGCTGCGCAGGCAGAGTCAGGACGCGGCGTGATCGTCGCGGCGCACTGCAGCTGGGCCAGAGGCTGATCAGCGTTGGCGGCTGTATTTTAAGGCCTGGGCGGCACGAAGCCAATAACGAGCCGGCCGCGAGTACCACCCAGTGTCGGCGCCACGCGCCTGCATCTGGGCAATCTGCCGTATTCCAGCAGGGGTCCCGCAGCCCGTCATCAAAACTCCTGAATGCGCGCGCCAGTCGGCCAGCTGCCAGCCGTGACGAGCTCGCGTCGATGGAGCTTGGGGGCTTTGGGGCCACACTGCGCGCGCCGCATCCCGCAGATAGGCTCGCGACACGCCTCTCGGCTATTTGCTTGCCGCGAGATCCAGCGTTGGTCCAATCATTCATTTCCAGGTCCCCGGCGCCGCCAGGTACGCGCTACGGACTCAAGCAATCCCAAAGCTGCAAAAAAGACCCGCGGCGGCTTATGACCGCCCGAACGCCATCGTTGTACAGAATCCCCAGACCCCCAGCTTTTGCTACTTTTACCCTAAACAGAGACGGGAATGTCTTCCGCGTCCGTGATGCACCCCTGGCTGGCGTCCTTCACCAGCTTGGCGTACTTGGACAGCGTGCCCTTCGAGTACTTGAGCGGCGGCGCAACCCACGCCGCCCTGCGCTTCGCCAGCTCCTCCTCGCCAACGTGCAGATTCATCTCATTCGTCTCGGCGTCGATGGAAATCTCGTCACCGTCCTTCACGAGAGCGATGGGTCCACCGACCTGCGCCTCGGGCACAATGTGGCCGATCAGGAAGCCGTGACTGCCACCGCTGAAGCGCCCGTCTGTGATGAGCGCGACGTCGTGGCCCAGTCCCGCCCCCATAATGGCAGAGCTAGGCTTCAACATCTCCGGCATGCCCGGACCGCCCTTGGGACCCTCGTACCGGATGACCACGACAGTCTTCTCACCCTTCTTGATCTCGCCCTTCTCCAACGCCTCAATGAAGAGATCCTCATCATCGTAGCACTTGGCGTTTCCGACGAACCGCAGACCCTCCTTACCGGTGATCTTGCCAACGCAGCCACCAGGCGCCAGGCTGCCGCGCAGAATCTGCAAGTGACCCGTCTCCTTGATGGGGTTGCTCAGGGGACGGAAGATCTGCTGCTCCTTGGGGAAGTCGGGTGCCTTCTCCACGTTCTCCTTCAGAGTCTTGCCCGTGACGGTCATCTGGTTACCGTCCAGGAGGCCTTCCTTGAGCAAGAACTTGACGAGAGCGGGCGTACCGCCGATATCGAACAGGTCGGCGAAGACGTACTTTCCAGACGGCTTCAGGTCCGCGAGGAAAGGAGTGCGATCACTGACGGCCTGGAAGTCGTCGATGGTGAGCTTAATACCAACCGAGTCGGCGATGGCAATCAAGTGGAGAACGGCATTGGTCGAGCCACCGGTGATGGTGACAAGAACCATGGCGTTCTCGAACGCTTGCCGAGTAAGAATGTCACGGGGGCGGATGTCTTCCTTCAACAGGTTCTTAATGGCACCGCCGGCGGCCAAACATTCGAGGACCTTGGCGTTGGACTCGGCCGGGTTGGACGAAGAGCCGGGCAGAGTCATACCCATGACCTCGATGGCGCTGGCCATGGTGTTGGCGGTGTACATGCCACCGCAAGCGCCGCTGCCGGGGCAAGCGTGGCGGATGATATCAAAGCGCTCGTCCTCGTTGATTTCACCGGTGATGAACTGACCATAGGCCTGGAATGCGGAGACAAGGTCGAGCTTAGGGTGCGCGGGAAGCTTTCCGCAGCCGGCGGCAATAGTGCCGCCGTAGACCATGAGCGAGGGCCTGTTGACACGACCCATGGCCATCAAGACACCAGGCATGTTCTTATCGCAACCAGGAACCGAGATGTTGGCATCGTACCATTGAGCGTTCATGACGGTCTCAATGGAGTCGGCAATCAGGTCGCGCGACTGGAGCGAGAACCTCATGCCCTTGGTACCCATGGAAATACCGTCACTGACACCAATGGTGTTGAACTGCATGCCCCAGAGGCCAGCACGCTGCACACCCTCCTTGATCTTGTTGTTGAGGTCCATCAGGTGCATGTTGCACGGGTTGCCGGTGTACCAGACGGACGAAATGCCGACCTGGGCCTTGTTCATGTCCTCCTCCTTCAGGCCGGTGGCGTAGAGCATGGCTTGCGAGGCACCCTGCGACTTGGGCTGGGTGATGCCACGGCTGACCTTGTTGAGGCCTTCATCGGCGCGGCGGGCGGCGGTCGAGGAGAGAGCCCTCCTGTCATACGAGTCAATGGGGAGCACATTGGAGCTGTTGGCGAAGATGCAGGACTCACAACGACCGCCACTGCGAGCTGGCGCGCATTGCCGGCCGCAGCGGCATGGTGTGTAACCTGGGGAGAAGCATTGCGATGTTGCTGGACAGTCCTCCGCCAGTGAAGCCCGCAGGTGAGTCGAATTGGACTTCTTAGAAAAGTTCGCGAGGCCGGCTGTGACTCAGCGAATGAAGCTGTCGATAATTATTCTGCGCGCCCTGGCTGGCTTAGCGTTGGAGCTTGCGAGCCGCGTCCTCCGACCTCGGAGCATGTGGCGCATTCCATTGGCCGCCGCCCAAGCAACTCACGCCCGCATCCCACTGTCAACACCACGCCTTTGCCCTACGAGGCGTGCGGCTGAACGTTTGTTTCCTCGCTGCATGGCCGAGACAGGCAACCTCTGTGTGAGACCCTAGCGCAAGCTTCCTCGCGGTCCGCGTCCCGTAGCGCGCCAGGCGCACCCACGGCCGTTTGCGGCGCCCTGCCATACTTGCGCAACCGCCGGCCGCCTCATTTGGCCATGGGTCTTTCCCTTCTTAGCGCATAGTCGTTAAAGTTTCAGGTGTTGCACAATCCTGTGCTCAGTCCGTCTGTTTCACCGTGTGCCCGAACCCTCCCCAGCGCTCCTACGACGACGCCTGGCGCGTGAGCAAGCTGCTTCATCATCGTCAGCACGCCCCTCTGTCCCTGCGCAGGCTGTCCGAGCGTGAAACTCTGCAACAACCGCGGCGTTGGGAGCCCACCTGCCCCGTTCTGCGCAGGGCGGATGAGAGAGCTTGGACGCCTCAATTTACTGGAAATTTGCACACAATAATCAACCACTCCACCGGATCACTCTCATACACACCAATCAGTCAGCAGCATGATCATCTGCCCAATGACGCTGGCCACCGCAACGGCCCAGAACCCTAACCCACCTAATCGAAGCATTTGTTCTACTCCAGTTCTCCGCAGCCGCGGCTCACCCTACGCACGAATCATGACTCGATCTTCTATCAAATGATGCTCGTTGACCGGAATCTCAAATGACAAATTGCCGCCTTGTCACCCACCCCCCTTTCCCACCGCCTTCAGCTGCTTTTTTTAGAAACTCACGATCTTGTAACCAACTGGCCACTGCTTACATCATCAACCAATCAGTCCTATGGTCTAGTGGTATGACGTTCGCTTCACAGCAATTTCTCTGGTCCCCAGAGCGAGTTCTTGGAGCGCGAAAGGTCCCGGGTTCGATCGTAAGTTTGCCAGCTGCCGAGCCATCGTGAAGAGAGCATCATCTAACAAGAGACTTAGCCCGGTGGGACTACACACACAACGTGATTTCTTTTTGCCCATTGACCATCCATACCCCTATAATTCCATTCCCCCAAATTGCCCTCCCATTCTAGCACATTCTGAACGCTTTCCTTTAGTCAATTGATTCTTGCTTCTTGGCCAAAACTTTCGCAGTCCGTATTTTTTTTGTCGGCCGCAGGTACCGGGCTTTTGTGGGTACAACGCATGTCCTCGCTCGCTTCCCTTCATCTGCCCCATCCCCTTCGGCGCCGGCGCCGCAGCGCAGAAATGCACCGCCAGCTCAACCCACACCCGGCCACGCATGCTGCTGCACCACCACACACACCACACCCAGCATGCCGGCTTCAACCCCTATTGGCTCCCCAAAACCCGCCCTCCCACACAATCCCGATGCGCACCGGCACTGTACCGTCGATCTTCCGACGCAGCAACCAGCTGTCCGGCCAGGCGATCCGTTGCTGTAAGAGGAAGGTGAGCCGCCGCCCCTTGCCCGCTCCATCCCGGCGAGTCGGTCGTCGTGTGTGGGGGTGCTTTTGGTTTTCGAGACTGCAGGTGGGTTGTTCGGTGCGTGGTGTGATGGAGAAGTGGGGTTGGGGTGGCGCTGAAGAACTGGTGACTGGTTCTCGGTGGCTGCTGGCATATGCACCAAAGGCGGTCGCCCTGCAGGGCGACGTGGAAGGCGGTGGCAGGGGGTCCGGCATGGTTTGCTGGCAATGCTGCTTTTTGTTTCCCTTGCCTGCGATAGACGCGGGATGGAAGGTGAGTTGTTCGATGGCTTCCATGTCTGCGGTGTGTCGTTGCAGATGGGTGCATTGGCATTTCCAAATTGGCGATGTGTGAAGTCTCGAGGTGTATTCCTGATGACGTTTGAGCGCAGTGTGGATATTTACGTTAGCATGCTCTTCACGAGGTGCTTTTGAACTGCTGGAACAAGTGATACAGAGCCCGACGGTTGTTGAAGTTAGTTGAGCAACATTGTTTCTTCAAAATTATGAAGAGGCTGAAAGTGAACGCCTTGCTTTCTAAAGACGAGCTAGAAGGAGAGGCTCAGTATCCAGGCAACATGACGCAGTACTGCGTTTGGCTGCAAAAGATCGATGCAAATACCTAATTGGACAGTCACTTCCACGGAAACCCATGACTAGTTTCTGAAATAGGCATGTGCATTACTGTGGATGTCACCCATTATCACGATCGATTTTGAAATGAAAGAGAAAATGCATTGAAAGACGATGAATGAGACCACCAGATAACATATCTGATTCAACTGAACTCGTCGCCAAACCTATCGAGACAGAGGGACAAAGCGGACCTCAGGAGCAGCTTCAGGGAATGCCATCTTTCCAGATCCCCGGCTACTATGCTCTCTCAATCAGTGTAATGTTTCTTTTCCTTCTATCGCCGGGTAACACCTCTCTCCGTTCTGTCTAGATTTATTTCCTCGCTTTCCATCTTAAGACGTCTCTTAAAGCGATAGTTTCCGTTGAATTGATTAACCGGAAAATTTGTGGCCCATTCCAAGTTAAGTGACGCTTGTAATTTATGTTTCAATTCCAATACTCCACCACATTTACCACATCTTGACCTCAGTCAACTACTGGTATCGCAGCGTCAGCCTTCTGCCATCTTACATTTCCCTGATATCTGTGATGTGATGCACAACAGAGGCAACTCACGGCAGCAAGTCTACGAATTCCTCATGATCACCAGCACGGAACGATCATGATGGATGACGCAGTGCCATAGGAAGGTGAAGGGAATCCCAGTTGAAGCCAAGCGAGAGTCAGGCTAATTTAAGGCTGATATCGTACCATGGAAAATCCGGCAAAACCGAAGTAGGTCTTCATCATTGTACTCCTCAGTTCAGCAAAGAGGAAGTTGTGCACCAGGAGAATTTCAGTACATTGATAGCTATTTATGATGGGAAATCTTCTCTCTCTCTCACGTGCAGTTGAATTGCGCATGTCGCTCGATCATAAGCTTACAAACATTCACACGAGTCTCGTCTTCAGGATGCCCGTGACCCGTTTTGTTCAAGCACCTCCGTTCTATCTATCAAAAGCGCTTACAGACGTGTTCATCGAGAGTCCCAAGTAACAACAGATCGTACAAGATGTTGATGGGCAGACCCCTCAACGTGTTCACTCTACTGCTCTGAATTTCGGGCAATACTTGGGGCCTGGCTCGCTCGCCCATCGGTAACTCGTTAGTAAATTCAAGATCCAACGCAAGATCATGAGCTTTTTCATCCATGCAGCAAATGGCGTTGGTGATGGTGCCCTGCAATGTGACACTACTTCGAACACGGCAAAAGCGAAAAGCGAAAAGCGAAGAACAGCACTTGGGCTGTCGCTTTGGTATATCGAAATCCCCGCTACATCTTTCTTCTGCACTTCTTTGCTTTAAATATATTTGGCTCTCACAGTAGTTCCAGATTTAAAATTCCTTTCTCGCATCATTGGGTTAGAACAATGAGTCTTCGTATGTCTCAGTGATGAGGAAAGATACTCTTGAAGTGTCTTGGTGTGTTTTGATACCATATCTGACATGCCGCCAAGTGAGAGATCTACTTTTCTGAATGAGAGACGTGAATTTAGTAAATTGTTGTTGTATTTCCCGCCCACAGAAGGAAAAACAAACGTGAGCATTTTCAAAATGATGTGATACTGATGAGCTGCATTACTTAGAGGTGATGAAGGGCCAAATTGAAAGTGTGTGGAAGGAGATTGCGGGCAAGGTAGGTGAGCTGCCGAGATGAAAGAACATGAACGTATAGAGGGTAGCCCTATCACAGAGCCAGTGATTTCTCTCGATCGAATTTTTATCATAGTAGCTGCAGCTTTTGGTGAAGAGAAAAAAATCGGCTGGTGGGAGGTGGGCGCGTTTATAAGCGCTTCGGATAGCGAGAGGTAGGTGTGGAACATCTGATGAGACTGGTATGTTTGGAAAGTCACGTTGGCGGATTACTACATTTGATTGACAGTGCCGACACGTGTTTCATTCCAATTGACGCCGAGACATGTGGTTCGTCAATGCTCGCAGTCTGATGCTTCGTGAATACGACACTCATGACGGCAATTATAAATTCACCAGTCGACCTTCAGAACTGCCACAAATGGCAGCTCCCGCTCATATCTAGACGCTACGTTGAAACTCCAAGAAACTGCCTCGCTGTGTCTGTTGGCGTAGATACCTGAGCGGTGATCTGTGTGTTTGTCTGGGCCTATGTCAGTAGCATGCTGACACCATCGTTTGACTAAAATAATGCTGAAGCCCAAAAGCCAGAAATACATGATAAATTATGAAAACAGCTAGTCTGCACCTTTGCACTCTTGCGTTTCATCATCATTATCATCTATTATTATTATTAAATCAGCACAGAGCGTAAGAGAAGCGTAAGAAACAGTGTTGAGCTTTCCAACAGTGCAAAATAGCGACATTCATGCTCATTTTCAATTTTCACTAACAAGCGGAGCTGACTGTCTTGTACTTGCGGTAAAGAGTCAGAGAAATGGCACAACTTCATATAGGGGGTGCAAAATATGCATTCTTTGCCATCGCGAAGGACTCGTGCCATGAGCAAAGACGCTGGGGTGATCGGCCAACAACCTTGTGTACTTTAGAGGACAGATGCAACGGCGCTTGAAAATCACGGAGATAGCATCCCGATCTGGATGATAAATGGATTGGTCAGCTCGAGATATCAGAGTGAAGGCCCATTAATCAACCCGACCCTCCACCTTCTCCAACTTAGCTATTCCACGCAACAAGATCAACCGAGTCTATCTTCAACAAATTCTGCCGACCGAAAGCAAGCCTAAATCGCCATTCCGTGTATACGCCAATTGAGCAAACACATATCCAAACCTATGCTGTCAAAGCCGAACTGACGCCCAAGATGCCCATACCGACGAATGCAAATATCATACAGAGGCTGCGGCTGTGGGTCAAGGCCATGCTCTCCTGGAACAGTTGCAGTGCCACGGAAGTCATGACACCAGCTGCACGAGAAGTCAGCTAAAAATGTAAAATTGCTCATCACAAAGAGATCGGACTTACCAGTCACAGCGAACATGCCTCCATACACGGACTCACCGGGCTCACCAATACCCGTCCGCCCGGCAATCCTGAACCACAAAGCAGCCACACCTGCACCCAGAGGTTGGCTTGCGCCACCAAGAATACTGCTAATAACCATGGCCTTCCATCTACTGTTGATGGCCAGATAGAGAGGTAGAGCCATGGCGAAACCTTCGGTGATGTTATGAATGAAGAGAGCTAGGAAGACGGCGAAACCAAGCTGTGGGTTGGCGTGATTGGTAGCATAGGTGATAAAACCTTCCGGCAGCTTGTGGAGAGCGATGGCAAGCGAGGTCTGCAGGCCAATGGACATGAATGCATTGGTGGGGACGTGGTGGTGGTGATGGCCCTGCTCGTGAGGGTCATGATCGTGATCATGATGGTCATGGTCATGGTCATGGTGGTCTTCATGGTCATCATGACTGTGGTGATCGTGGATCGAGCGAGCGGAATGGGTGCTCCGTGGTTTCGAAAACCCGTTGGTCCGGCCATGAGCAGCGGTCGACGAAAGGGTACTATAGTTTACCTCGTCGTACTCGGGAGTCTGCAGTAGCAGAGGCTGGCGTTCAGGGTGCAATGTGCTGCTTGCGTGTGGCGTGGTGGCGCTTCTTGAAATGCCAGGCTGACGAGGCCAGGTATGGACGGGAGCTCTAGTGCCACCTCTGGCTTGGACAATCTTGAAACATTCAGAGCCACAAGGGTCAGTGAATCCATGGCAGGGGCCAATCTCATCGCAATGAGATTTTGCCCGCATCACAATTTGCGAAGCCTTGTGTGCTAACTGGGCTGGAAAAGACGGCCTCCGGGCCGAAGAGAAGTTTTGGTGAGGTTGAAAGGAGTCGGTGCTGTTAAACATGTCGCTGTTCGTAGAGGCATCAACGCTGACGGTGGCACTGTTAGGGAGTCCGGGGCGTTGCTGGCCGTGGTAGCCAGGCAGACTGCTCTCGTGTTCGTCGTCATCGTGGGAGCGAGAGGTCTTGTCAAAGTCGTGGTCGTGTTTAGTCGACTCCTCGTCGCCATGGGTATGGTCACAGTCGACGATGTGGGAGGGCATGAACTGGTGGATGACTCGCGAGACAACTTGGATGCCAATCACACCGCCGAGAAAGCAGGCGATGAGGATCCATGCAGCAGCCTTAGGCGAGTGGCCGCCCTTTTGGAGGGAATTCCTGGCCGAGGGCAGCATGCTGTACAGCGACGAGAACAGCTCGAGAATTGTTCAGCATGACATGATGTAAGGTGACGAGAGGACATCCTACCATGACGCCGAAGCTCAAGCTCAGGGAGGCAGAGAGGAATGCATTACTGTCCTGGACTCTGAAATTGCGCTTTCCGGGAAATAGCCTGACGATGATGTCGACGCAGATGACGGAGGCTGCGGACTGAATCAGTTCTGGGCGGCGCGGGAGGCTGCATCGAGTCGGCACTTACCTCCGAGTACACATGCTTTTACCCACAAAAAGGCCCAGTCAGTGAGTCTTCTCCGATGCGGGCACGGACAGCAGGCACCTACCTATGCCGCTCATGGCCGTCATGATCCAGCCGCGGGTGTCGTTGTCGAGCGCCATGTTTGCCCCCGAGGCTTGGCGCAAAGCGGCTCTTTTTCTGCAAGGGCGGCTGGAGATTGGAATATGCGAGGTGCAGAGAGTGTGTGGGGATAGCAAGTCGAGGTGGAGAGGCGGATGACGGCGGCCAGCGGGCAAAGCGAACGCTAGCGGCAGACGGGAAGGTGCAGGCTGGAGGTTTTGAGCACCTTGTTGGCCGCCGGCCTTTGTGGCAGTCTCGTGAATTCTCGATGAGGTCAAAGCCGTCGTGACTAAGCCTAACGCACGGTCACTGATTGGCCGCTCCGTCTTTGCTGATTCCGTGTTATCTGAGCGGCTCGCCCCTCCAACTCTCATCCCCGACACCTGTTGTCGCGACCTGACACACCACCATGCTAACCCATTGATGTGGCCACCTCACCGGCTTCATAGCGTGTTCTGCCCCGAATCGACGCATGCGACCGCTTCTCAACGCCCAACTTTTGTCGCTTTCGAGCCAACTCATTGTTGCGAGATGGTGGCTCGAAAGCGCACAGCAGCATACGCCTTTCGTGTAGATTGAACCCCCTCGAAGCGAAAATCCCCGTTCCGAGCCCTCGGTGATGCTCGAGGAGACCACCGGGAGGCTCAACGCCTGCCGAGCCCTGCCCGACTCAGCCGTCGTAGACTTTTCCGGGTCGAAAACACAACATGGGATTGGTGGTGTTGCGCAGGTCGTGAAAAAGAAACTAGTGAAGAGCAAGCGCCTAGAATGCGCTCTCGGGTGAGGGTAGAGGATAATGCTGGTGGTCATGAAGGAAGCAACGGCTTGCTTCTTAGCCTTGCGTGCTTCTTCGATCAAATAACACTCACTTGAAGCCCACGGAAATTCAAAAGTCCGTGAGGATACAACCACTTGCTTGATGCTGCACACAGAACAGCAGGCGTTGGACAATGGCACACGCCCTCAATGCCTCGCGCCTTTGGCGAAGATCGTTGCATACGTGCACCATCGCTTGGCGTACATTACGGCATTGCTTACAAGATCAGCGATGCAAATTTATTTCTTTTTTTGGTCCAAGCGTACAAATATGGAATCCTTCCTCCTTTCCGTTTCGCTTTGTTTAAATTTTGCCAACATACAGGTGTTGACCGCGGACAAATTTGTAGATAGCGTGAAGAACGTCTGGGCATATTAAGGGAATCAATGTGCTCGTACCTGTAATAGTTAGCCGGACTCTAAAAACTGCCATATTCAGCGTCTCCAGCTTTCTTTTCAGGTAAGCAGCCATGTAGTCACTAAGTAGATGTAATCTCAAACTCAGTCGATCCAGAGATTTCCCAGAAGATCGAGTTGTACAGTCGGCTGCCTGCACACGCGCCCGAATAAAAATATGTTTCATTATGGAGAGCGTGCTCTTAAAAACGCCTATTATTTTTTCGAAAGAAATAAAAATCCAGAGGCCAGGCTAAGCCATGGCAGGACAGCTTGATTAAAAAGCCCATGATAACATTGAACTTGCAAATCTTACTGTGGAATGAACAATGGATGCACTGGATACTTTGTGCCGAGGATGCCGGGTGAGAGTTGATATTGCCGCCTGCAGGGTGTCATCTTTGAGGCCTAGAACGATAGCCATCAGTCGTACAAACCATACTTTGCCAACTCAAATGAGGCAAGGATCGATGTGGAACGCTATAATGTCGGGTTCGGTTATTACCGAGACAGTAACATGTCTAACAGCTGGTGCGTCGAAATTGTCGTTTGGAAAAGGAGACCATCCGACATCGCGCGGCTGACGCCTGGAAAGTTTAGACAAGGGTTCATCCAGCTCTGATGCTCAGACCCGTCGCCAAGTGGTTGCTGTTCTTTAGTATTTCACTGTTCTAAGCCATTTTACCTTTCTTTTCCACAGCACACTTCCTTAATAACCTTGCATCGCCACGAAAACAATTCCTAGTCGATGGAGAATACGGTGTGTTTCACTAAAATGAAGAAATCCGTCACATAACATGTTAGCTTAAACTTCGATTGTTGGGGCTCATACTACCCTCAGATCGCCTCTCGAGTTCAGCCCCTGACGCAGATCGATCGAACCAGCCACAATATATGCTTCGTTCCGGTGGTCATGATATCTTAGGCAGACGGCTTCATAATGATCATTGTAGCCACGTGTCGCATGACATTGCGCTTATGATTGCCTAGAAGTGCTCTATGACCTCTGGTAGTGCCATCAAGTAATATTTGACCGCCACCTATTGGGGCCTCGCCCAGTGTTGTCAGCCCCTTTTCACATACTATGTTCAGCTGATCCGGTAGAAGGGATGATCTTGTTTGGCTTGACTAGGTAGATAATTATCTACTCAGAGATGGTATATGCATCCGACGCTTTTTAAAGGCAGTCGGAACGCTCCAGAGCATCAGAGATAAATTAGTTGGGGATGGCGCCTGAAAAACTAAAGGTATTCCTCTGGGAACATTACAGCCGGCCATGCCAGTCTGAGACAAGTGACCCTCGATCAGATACATGTGGCAGAATATCACGGATCCCATATACCATAAGTTGCATTTATATTGCGTACTTAGCCTCACTACAGCCGCCCATTGAATGAAAGGGGAGATTTCTCCGAGTCTGGTAAGTCACAGCTATCATTCATGCCAGCAAACAAACACAGGTTGTTGGTATTTACTCAACGCAGTGGCGCGAATAGACCCCTTGTCAGCAAATGCGATTGATACAAATCAGCAATGAATTACGGATACCTGGGTGCGAAAGAAAGATTTGAAGTGATAGTATATTGAAGAAGGTATGTATTCCAAAGCAGGCAGTTGACATTAGTATTAGGATTACTTCGGATGCTGTGAGATTATCTAAAAGTTTCCGTCCACTCTTCTTAGATTAAGCCGTAACTTGCGGCGTCTCCACAGCCAAGAACAACATCAAACGGGGGGTCCGACTGCTTGACGACCATGAATCGTGTCCAATTGAAGTTTGTCATTCCCTCTGGCCTCCAGTACAAATCGACGCAACCCTGGATTTCCTGGGAGCCAGTGCCGAGCTGGGGAGTGCTGATGGTCGCTTCCCACGGTTGAAACTCAACCTTGAGGACTTCCGAGACAAATTTAGGGGAAACGAGGTTGACGTTGCTTTGGTTGCCGTAGATGGTCATGACAGCAAGCTTGAGGATCTGAATTCCTTCTGAGGTGGTCGTTTGGACCTGGACAGAGAATACTCTGTTGGTCGCATGAGGAATGTCCTGGCAGGCCGTGCAAATATTTCCGTTAGCTTCTGCAGTTATGTAGACTAGATAAAACTGGGTTCATTGGGCCACACCTGATGGCTGAGCCGCGAGGAAAAGCACGACATCGTGTTGACAGTGTTTACCCGGCGTGGGTCTCGAAGGTTTAAGGTTTGGATAGTTCTCCTTTTCCAGACTGGTGACTTCATAGGGGTCCATCGGACTGTTTAAAGCACGTCGAAATCGGACACTTTATTGGTGTCAGCCTCTTAATTCCACAGGATTTAGTATCCAGGATCATGGCGTTATTGGAATGCAGGCAGTAGGTATAATAGCCGCTCTGAAAATTGTATTGTCAACATGTCATCCGCCACAAATACAGTATGGGCAAAAAAGGCGCCGAGCTAGCTGAGGATGAAATTATTTTATGCCTCACCAGAATCCTTGACCTTTTATTAGGTTTTCCATAGTCTGGTACGGAATTCTTTAGGTTATCGAGAGGGCGCCTGAACACAGACGAGTAAGATTCCAGACGCAGTCGGGTTTGCTTGTCTTCAGGGAATAGCGTCCGATGGGTGCTACTCCACATTAAAACGAAGATTTCCGGGAAAAATTTACTTTTATGAGTCAAAGTGAGAGGAATACCGATAGGTACCTATGGGGAGTAGTATTAAATACCGACCGCTAGGATACTCGTTACTTCCCATCCGCGTATGTAAAGGCTTAGCCTTACCCACTATGCCACGCCAGTTTACGTAGGCCTCCTTAAGGGTAAAAGAGTAGTGGAATGAACCAAATTTGTTAAGGTCAATTGTAGCGTGGTCAGGTAATATACTGTCCGTGACAGCGTAAGCGTTACCATGGAATCACATCCAACAGATACTAATTTCTCCCTGGGTCGGTGTTTGAGTTTTGTCCGCTCTTCCTGTGCATGCCTTTAGGGACACACGCCGTCAAACTTGGAAACTAGTCTTCATAGATGCGTTTGTGAGAATAGAAGCAACAGAATGTCTGTCTTCGTGCTGTCTCGAGTCTAGAACGGTATGAAAAATCATCCGTCGGATTGAGCCTTTTCCTGGCCATGTTCCTAGGGTCCCATCCTGCTGATGTGTTTGTAGCTATGCATCTGCAGCATAGTAATCTTACGGGGCGTGCTGAAGATCTGACATATCAATTCACATCGCGCAACTGCATGCATATCAAAACGAGCGTTTGCAGTGGTGTTTAACGGTGAAGGAAGGATGGCAAACGAACTTTCTTGTTCGCCATAGCTCTCTCCTTAGTGCAGAAACTGTGTATAATACAAAGTAAATCATCACTGGCAGATCTTCAAGTGATTTTAGGTCTGTTTACCTCAATCTCCACGTAGCGTGAGGTCCATCGTCCAGCTAGAAGCGTCTTTACAGTAGATTAATAAGATTTAAACAAGCATGCGAAACTAAGGTGATCGGTTTGTCCTTTCTAAGGTCTTCTAAGTGGAAGAGAAAGCAGATAAAATGTGCGATGCATCAATGACTCTTCATAGACGGTCAGGCTGGCAGCTGAGTTTTGCGACTCGTGAACGGAAATGCTGGACTCCCTGTTAAATCGCGGCTCAGATTTTAGTGGGTTACACTCTACGGTCACGCTCGAGCAGCAGTACGTTAGCCCGGAAGCAGGTCTTGCCAGGCTGTGGCCACAAGACTTGATCGATGCTGTGGGACGACTGCGGTGATCCCACTGACTTGGTGCGGTGTACGGGGAATTTGGTATTAAGTAAACCCTGCCTTTCACACTTCTTTTTTTTTAAAAAAAAAAAAAAACTTAAGTCTCCTTTAAGAAGGTTGAGGAATACTTATGGCGGAATTTGGTTCTTCATTTGTTCATGCAAACGTGCTTGTAGCATGATAAAGTCTGGCACATGTAATTTGCGCCTAATGAGCTAATTTACAAACGCCTGCTGCATATAATCATGCAAGGTAACGATAGTGTCTTTTGATTTTCTTCCTTTGAACCTCACCGACTTTTCGAGTATTCATGCATGCCGTCAAATACCCACAAAAGTAGTAGATATCACGCAGCCCACAGCCTTCTTAAACCCCGATATCTTAAATTAAAAAGAATCCAAAGCTTCCGTATTCTTAAAGAAATATATATTATTGAATGTTTATACTGATTGGTCCATGGAAAGGAAAGTGGGCGATGGAGATGGGTTGCACCAGCTGCGGGGTAAAATCAGGGCCTCTCCTGTAAGAATTTATGTAATTTCAAGCAGATCCCGATCTACTTTAACCGTTTCGAGTCTGGTATACGGATATCACCGTATCACTGATAAAGGGCTTACTTAACCGAAAAGAAATGTAATGTTTTTATATGGTGGCTATCGTATAGCACATGTCATGCGGATGGGAAGCAAAATACTGGAATTGGAATCGGTAAAATGAACACTGGATAGTACTTTTAATCTAAGAAGTTACGTATGTCCGACGATAGCTGTTAATGACGCGTGATTAACGTTGCCAAAGCCGTTCTTCTGAGTGACGGCGCTCTATCAAGACTTACCTAGATTCGTGTTCGTTGGTTTCATTATATTTTGGACAATGTCTGGATATTCTTTGTTTTTTATTTTAGTACCAATCGTTGATATCGATGAAAAACCATTGATATACCCCTATTACAAATGTGTTAATGGAAAGAAGCTACAATTTGATGTTGTTTTTGTGCAACAATATTCGACTTCAACTACGTGCTGGTACTTACAGTGCGCAACAATACCATCAGAAACTTCTAGGTCACACTACATATACTTTCTCAAGGCCCCATTACCTTTTTAATATTCGAGTAACCTGCTTAAAAGTTTCGAATAAAATCATTAAGATATATTTGTGTACACTCAGCCGCTGTAGCGTACTCAAAGATACATGGATCTAAAGAATATATTCCAAGATATAATTGGATTTTCCATCAAAACAGAGATTTGAATATGTATTTTATCTATCCTTCTTGACCTCAGACTTGCCGGGCAGCGACGGCTACAGAAACCAAGTCCAATCGCAAGACAGTCTTGAAGGCATCTACTGTAATACTGCTGGGGATACTTCCAGTTCCCGCTTTTATGCATAACGCTGGAGTAGCATGAAATTTCCGGTTTCCATTGGATGGTCCGCACTTCTACCATATTCTAAAGCAAAATAATTCTTCACATTGATTTTTCCCTAATTGAATACATGGTGAAAAGATGGTGGAGCTACCGGGTAATTGGCACTGACCTTTTTTAAGAGATGGAAGACAGTTCTGGCCCCGCTGAAACAGATATTGGCGGCAGATTTACAGGGTTTCTTTTGACTTGTGTGCAATATCGACCTTAGATTCTTTGAAAATAAATTTGTCTGTGGCTCTTGGATGTAATGAGAAGGGAACCCAATGATATTGTCCTCTTTTTTTTTTTTTTTGTGCAGCAAGCTAGATACGAGACACGCTTAGAAATACACATACCCGGGGAGTTCTCCCTTTTTATGTGGTAAATAAGCATAGATGTGATACCCCCACATGAAGTAGCGACGATTACGAGTGTACATACACTTTGATGTTATGTAATCACTCTAAAATCAGATCATGCGCAGCCGAGCTGTTCAAGTGTTACAACCCAGGAACTTCTCAGAATGTAAGAGTCTCGACTAGCCCTTCACAAACGTGAACCGCTTAAAAATCATGTGTGAGTGTGAGACAGTGAGAGTCCCATTGTGCTCTAGCGCTTTCACTAGCTAAACTTAGCAGACAGGTGTATAATAGACTACGGTGCCTTTCGCGAGTTAATGAGAGATGATGGTAACAGGTTCTGCGCACGCATGAGTTTCATTGGCTTGCTTCGTGGTGGAAAGGCTGACTGTGCCGAGGCCTCCCACGAATGAAATCTGGCGAGAGGGCATGTGACCATGGTAGATCGTTGCACGACTTATGAGTCTCCGAAGAATTTGTCTGGAACCTTGGTGCTCCCACCCTTTAGTCGAAAGACGGTCAGGGCTGCTGGTTGCCTGCTTGAGGTTTGAGCGGCTCATACTGGAGTAATTCATACAATCCTCTCTGATTCCGAGGAAAATAAGGTAGAGCCATATATTGCTATTTCAGAGAAATTAATATCCCGGTAACACATTCCAACATCTGCATATTATCAGTCTCCGCTTCGCCCTACCTGGAATTGATCCAACGTCAGCCCAAATTCGTACTACCACTCCCCCGAATTTGGATTGCCATCTTCAAGTCCCGGGTAGCAGCCACTCCTGCAACCTGCAAATGTAAATCCTTGGATGTTTTCTCCGATCCAGTTCTCCCGATGATGTTCCTGTAGCCTCGGTGTGGAGTTTGCTGCAGGTGGTACCATTTCTGTACTGGCATTTCCCTTACCTTCCCCTTCCTTTGAGCCTCTCAACAGCCGATCTCTCCTCTTTGAACTCGTATTGACCGGGTCTACAGGGATTTGGCCTGCCTGATCCCAGCATACCGCGCGCTCACCCCGATCGATCTTGTCAGAGCTGCAGGACTTCCGAGCCCACACACGAGCTCTTGCACGACTCTGACAAGGTCGCTCAATGCATTACCTCTCATTCCATCTACCACAAAGATGCCAGTTAGTACTCGATGTGGTTGATACTTCATGTTCAGGTCATTATCTGATATACACTGCTGCTTCAGGATAATTACAAGCGAGACGTAATATTCGCGTACATAGACGAACTTGGAGGAGAAGAATCTTGTTCCGAGGTTGCTGTCGCAAAGTTTGACACTGGATGTGAAGGATGTAACTTAATGTCCAAGTCCTTCTTCGATTCCGCTTGTATACGCAAGTTGGGCGACTTTGAGCCATTGCGTGATGTCGTCAAGGACAACGAGACAGCCGACGAACAGCAGCCTGAACCGGAACAGTTTCTGAAACACAAAAGACTGATCCATTCACTTTGGACATCATGTAAACGCCGGCTCTCTCAATCACTCCGAAAGCTCACCAGGAGGAGTCCGCCGCCAACCCTAGTGACGCTGGACGGCCAACCCATCAAAGTGGTTGGTATTCTTAGAGATACGCGCTGGCGAGGCATCAATGATCCGATTGGGCCCATTCATGGAAGAATGATACGATTTCCCGACAAATACATGAGATCCTCGCCCCATAACGAATTTCGCGTGGTGAAGAACTTAGCTTATGACGTCGTCTTTGGTCTCCCAACTATCAACCATATCCAAGATATGATGCACTCTGAGTATACTGTGGCTGGTGCTTTGCCTAAGGAACCTAATGGTGCGTTTTTCAATCAAGTTCAAAGGTCAAACTACTGATATCAAAGTTTTCAGATTCTGCGGACTATGAGAAGCATCAGGAAGATAGGAAGACACACAGGAAACTCATGAGAGACGGAGAAAAGGAGAAGATAAAAGCGGCGGAGAAAAGTTCGACTTCGAAAACACATACGACCAAGAAGTCCAAATGAGGAATCCCGGCGAACACTTCTCTCGTTATTATCTTACCTTCTTCATCAGCTTAAAGTTGAAATCGCATTCAAAATTCTGTTTTGTTCTAATGGAACGGTACCGTGGAAAGACATTTAACTCCATTCTTGATTTGATGGTTTCATTGTGCTACGACTGGATTATCCGTACTTGTTGTCCCACTTGACCGGATATTTCCTTTTCTCCTACATTATATTTTAGACCAAAAGAACGAATCTACGAGACTAGCATTATTAAATTTCGGGCCTTCACAACATATGTTGTTACATCGCACATGAGGGGTTTGGGGTGCAATTTTGGTGGACGTTTGCATTTCTTTTTCCTGTTCTCTTTTAGTGGCAGCACGGTCCCAGTGAGTGGAATTAAAAGCAGTTTGATTGAAATCATGATGCGTCTTTAGTTACTTAGTTGGCTATGGATTCTGGTATTGCTTTCTTGTCAATAACTCATTCGATCGAGTATGGTCGCCTTCTATACACAGTCCCACTCATTCAACTTGTACATCTAGCATCACTCATTCCACCCTGTACAAAGACAACTTGCACGGCCGAGAAAGCTGCGACAACAGCAAACACCTCTGTCCTCTTAGCTGTAGTCAGAACTGTCAGACACAGTGACAAGACAATGTTGAATACAGCAATGATTCCGAGCTTTGCCTTCATCGATTGTACGTAAACCAAGACAGCAATAGCAGCTATTGGAAGAGCTGACGCAAGGACGGTTGTGATGTTGTAGGTAATGCGAAGTAGGTCCGACTCCTCGTAACTGACGAAGCCGTGAACGGGTGACTTTTTGCGAAATCGCGCCCCGCCGAGCCCAAAGAACTTGCTGATGCCTTTTCCGGTCACCCACTTCGAAAAGCCATCCTCGTCGTGACGTGGCCGAAGCGTCACCAGATCTTTGGCGCAGCTTTCCGGAGACTTCACGGAACCCCAAACTTCTGAATCAAGCCCTGCAAGTGCGAATGCGAGTCCTTCATCTTTGGATGCGATGTATTTACGGATGAAGCTCATATCGAAGTCTTTGGGGCTCTTCATCGACAGTATCTTCTTTTGTTGAATCAAGGCGGTGTCTAGAGAATGTAAGTTGATGTTACTTTTCCCATACTGGGAGTTGCTTACTGTACTCGATCAACTTTTCACGGGCCTCTTCAACGAGCTGAAGCTGTGACTCATCGCCATCTTGTTCAGACTCGTTCAAAAAGTACCAGTCCTTTGCATAGAGCGACTTGTACCCCTCTGGGTTCTGGTGGTCTGATTCCTGAGCTTTCTTCAATTTCCGCTCTATGTGTACCAATCGAGCTTGGAGGTACAGTAGATTGAGTGCATTAAGCGCCCCAAAACGGCGGAAGATAGCCATCTCTGGAATGTCATTCATGAGCTCGGCGAACTTGGGATAGCCTGTTGGAGGGTCACCGAAAATTGAGGAAGCAACGCTTGACGCCGTCTCATTTCCCTGTATAGACGGCTCGGTAGCCATCTCCGTCATAATAATACCGGGCGAAGGGGTCCTTGCTCTTAAGCTGTGTTCATGGTAGAGCGGAATGATGGAAACAGTACTGCTGTTGACCATTGATGCTGTTTAGCCTTAAAAGTTTTGCTTTCTGTGAAAAAGAACACGCCAATGGCCATGTACAATGTTTACTTGCATATAAGGTATTAAATATCTGATGGGGCTCTTGCAGCCTCGAAGTTGTGGGCGAATAGTTCGTGTTCGCGTAATGATGGAACACAAGGCTGTGCTAATTACACAGCGTAATGCCGTGGCCGTTCTTTACTGTGTGATTTCTTTTCAAAAAGAAAGGATAGCCCGGGATATATTTGAATCCGGCTGAAAGGGAAGAAATTGGGCTGCAGCCATTGGTTGCCTGAAGATAGCCTTATGTAGCAGAAAGCACGGTAAGTCGTGGATGTAAAGATTGCTTATGTGTTGAAACTGCCCACGGCTGACTCCTGATACTTCATTTTTCAGTGTAAAAAGGCACGTAGTGTAATATATTCACCTTAGCCAAAATAATTAACCTCTAAAATAAGACATTCTTCCAAGTAGGCAACAACACTATCATACTGTTGGCAAATCCCGAAAGCGAACTCCTGCGAGGTGAAGGTCAGGTGAGGGCCATACTGGTTATATAACACCATCATATCGGTAGCGATACCTCAGTAAAACCGATCAAGGATGGGGATATATGTTCTCACGGACAGGAATCATTACTCTGCTAGAACAGGGGCTGAGTACATGGTGACCAGGGGCTATACCTACTTGAATGCCAAAGTGTGAAACGCCTTAAAGTCTGCAGCTTTGTTGAGGAATGCCGCAATTACCTCGGGGAAGAGAGAAACAATGAAATAGCATTGGGCCAATACAAAGCTATCAGGAAGTCTCACTAAATGGATTATTGGAGTCTAGTAGCATTGACCTGGGCGAGCTGTCGTTTCACCAGATTTGCCGGCCTGATAGATTCAGTAACTGTTAGGTGCCATTACCAATATTGCAAACAGGCAGACTGAGTTGAGCTCTGAATTCCGTGAAACGTAATAACAATTGTGGATGGAATACTGGATGACGGTTATACTTCGATGCGCGAGAACCAAGCCCTTTTCCATATCAACATTGCTGTCGCCAGCTAACTGAACCCCGATAATTATCCTTGCATTTATAATCCGCAATCCCGAGCAATCCTTTCCCCAACTAGAATGTCGAAAGGTGGATCTTCCTGTGCCGTGACTCTAAAGCGTGTTGTGTATGTCGGCTTGTTGCGCCGCCTCTTTCCGTGCGCATATACACTCCATTCCAAGTCAACAAACCCTCGGACCTCCAAGGAATCTCCATCAAGCTGTATTGTTGATCTGTTCTCGATATCCTGTACATCGATTCGAAGCACTTCGGTTACTAGTTTCAGGGATATGAGGCTGAGTTCTTCGTTGTTGCTGTTTGGACACCACATCACTGCAAGCTTCTGGAGTTTATCGCCGGAGGGCTGACGGATATGGATTGCAACATTCGCGGTCTTGTCTTTCCCGGGATCGCCTTCCTGTACCACCTGACCTCAGTGTACTGTCATGAGGAGCTCTGGGTGTCGGTCGTCTTACATTTTCTGCTTTCCGAGGCAGGAGTCCGAAGCACATCTTCTCCGGTATCAGAAATCGGTGGCTCGAGGTTGTAGAAACGGGTCGGCTTTTAGGATTCGAAATCGGGCAACAAGGCCGAATACTGAGTACAGGAAGCGAGACAGGATGCGGCTTACCACACGCTTAATATTGCTATCAGCAATGAGGCGGAAGAACCGACCTAAGTAATCCGAAAATTGGGGCGATACCATCTTATCGTAGCTGTTGCTGATAGCAATGAATGACTACTCGGGTCTTTGAAGTGAAAAGTTGAACTGATTCAAGGACTCACAGTTGGTGAAGAACAAACTTTCACGTGAAGTGAAATTCCAGGGTAGCTTCAACTTATGGAGGCCTGCTACCGTTGTAGAAAACAAAGGAAACCTGTCTCATGGTATGTCAAGGGAGGCAAAAGAAGCAAAATGGTTGAGTAGAAGTGTCACTTCGAATCCGTAACATGAGTGCTTAGAACATACATCTCAAATATATCGAAACAAAACTGACGTTGGGGCATCAATGATCTTATCCAGGTCTGGACCCAACATGCAGACCAAAAGGCCTGACTGCGTGACATTTTTGGGCGCGGCAGAAATCAGCGGAACATTACCGGCTCGCTATTGTGCAATGATCCAGAATGTAGAGCGTCGGAAAATCGCCTTGCGGAGCAGCCTCAGCGGTTCGAAACCGGAAAAAGAAGCCGCATTCCGCGAAACATTTTCAGGTATCCACATTAGAGAGAGAGAACAAGGCAAGATGAAATCGAAACAAGCTGATTAACTTTTATTGGCTTTGTGTTCTTCCAGTCAAAAGCAATGGTGAGGCATCTGTGTAACAGTGGGCTTGAGAGTTCACCAGCTGTGTTACCGTGCTTTCTCCAGATGAGCATGTGGATGCTGCTGCTTCTCTAGATATTACACGTCCACGTATGCGTCTTTAAAGATGGTCCTCCCGGAAGTTCAAGGCGGGTGAGGCTATGTGGCGTCGTAGGATTCGCCTAATGCGGGGCGGCCAATCACTTCACCCCCACTTTGCGTTTTGTTTCGCCTGCACTAAGGCCCAACCCATCATTTTTGCAGGATCAGCTCAAAAGGCCTGACCAAGAGAGAGGTCTGGAAGCAATAGCAGTAGAGTCTTCCGCGGTGCAGGGAACAGGTGACACGGCGGAAAAGCGGGCATCTCCGATGACCAACACACCTCTCTTCGGTCGTCAAAATCCCGATGGAAAAAGGATCCCTGTGGTATTCCAGGTCCGTGAAGTCTTTGAAGGTGAATAAACGATTAGATCGGATCCTTCAAAAAGGCTCGTAGAAGAGCTTTGAGCAACTTGTTGCCAATCCCATATTACCTATAGGCAATGATTTTTCCAGTCTGTTCAGGCGTAAAAAGAATATAAACGTATACAACGCAATTCCTGTACCTCGTATCTTCCTTCCCAGGATTATCTCCTCTCCTTCTTGTTTTTCCACTCTCCCATACCGTTGAATTCCCGCTCGAACACGCTATTAGCCTTGAGATATCCATCTCTGCCGGGCTTTTGTACTGATACGATATTACGGACCACTTGATGTTTGTTCGGGCGCCAGAATGCGGCCATTAAGAACTGTGGTGCGCTGTGAGAAGCCGCATGTGAATGACAGGTTGTTGAATGCGAAAGACAGTAATCAAATAAGCCGAAAGAGTTGACAGTATAGTATACCCGAAATTTGTTGCCGTATGTATGATACGGGGTGAAAGGAGCTGTGGGCCAATATAACATGGCAGGAGATTCCAGGACTTGTATGAGAACGCCCAATTTGTCGGTCGTAATGCCATCCTTTGGCAGTCGTGCCTACATGATAATTCATGCAAGCCCGCACTCGATGGCTGCTTTCCGGCCGAGCAGAACGTCAAAAGGTGGGTCATTTGTTGAGACGACAACAAACCGAGTTTGCCGCGTGGATCTGGATTTTTTGAAGGACCATTCCAGATCAACATAGCCCCTTGTCTCCAGCTGCTTTCCTTGGTAGATGAGCGGTCGATCCTGCTCATTTTCGCTGGTCTGGATCTCGAGGTGCAGAATCTCCGAGACGAGTTTTGGAGAGATAAGGTTTGCGTCATTGTCGTCACCAGGGTACCAAAGGATGGCCAATTTTGATATTCTTTTGCCCATTTGATTGCGAACGTAAATGGATATTGTTATGATAACTTCCTCAGCCGACTCTAACTACCAGCCCCAAGGTCAGCGTTTGCAGGTAGCGTTGAAAGTTGCGGTGACATTGATGTATTTTATCAATTATTCTTAGAGCGACCGTTTTGTACTCACCGATCTCCGGCGTTTGCGTGAGCGGAGCGGGCCCCAACACATCTCGATAGTTTGATAGAGCGTGCAATGAAGTGAAGACGGACTTTTCTCTTTTCCCCTGTAGTGGGCCAGAGTCTGACAGAAAGAGGGCAATATCGTCTTTCAAGATCGTTTTGTGGATTGTTGGGGTGTGTCTGCCTTTAAACGATTGGGTGAGCAGCGAATGTTACACGTCGCTTTGCGTGAATAATCCTTTTCCATCTGATGCCCCCTGACATTCATTCCCGGAATCATGAATGTTCCATTCTTGCTTCAATAATGGGATCCTTAATAAAATATCTATTTTCTTTGCTTTGGTCTCACTTGAAATGCAAATTTAACGGTATGCTCGCGAAAGCCGTCCATTTTCCCTTGTGACAGGAATTATGGCTCTCAAGAATGTACAGCTAACGAAGATTATGTGAGTGTAGCATACAGGGATTGAGCTGAGCGACGCAAGCGCCATCAAACGGAAATTGATACGTGCAGATTCCCCGCTCTGTTTGATAGAGTAATCTCGATTTCGCTTCCAATGGTTTTTCGAGTCGCATCACCCTCCAAATTGATTCGCTACAGTTGCGAATCATATATTTCAGCAGGGCAGTCCTACTAAAGATAAAAGAATCAGCCCTGTCGCCTACTCATAGCTGAAGCACAAGTGCCACAGCTGTCATCCAAAGACTGAATTCTTCCTGGTCCTTTGTTTGGTTTCCCATACTTTCGCAACTGTACGCTTGTCCAAGTCTTTGACAGAAAGGGCCAACATTGCACGTTGGATGCAAAGGTCTGTTCGAAAGGAATCCAATTCTTGAAACTGGTCTGTGATGCTTGGCAAGCCAGCTGCACAATCGAGCTCAAGTCCGATGAACCCCAAGTTAAGTCTGCCTGAAAACCCCAGAAGGCATTCCATTCGTAGAGATTGCGGGATTACGAAGACTCTCCTTCCCAGATCCATTTCACTTCAGACCTCTGGCATTGCAATATGACAGAGCCTCAAGAATCAAACAGTCGTGGGAGCTGAGGCCTGGAGAAGTATGAGGTCAGTATTCTCAGATATGTCATTCAACTATGTCTTGGTGGACACTTTCTTTCGACGACCCATCTTCAGTGTTGCAATGTTAAGCGAATCGACCTTGCGGCCT